GGAGCAAGATGGTGTTGTGGTTCTTAGAGCATATAGAAAATATGCTCCAACTAATATTTGACGAACAAAATCTCATTGCATGTCTCTATCTCTTACAATCATTACTCATTGAAGGGCCGAAAGATCCTTGAATCTAATGATGAGGCTCTAATAAAGGGCAATTTTTTTTTGTCATATGTCCCCAAGCTTATTCTTAATACTCTTCGCTCTCTTTTCATTGGGTTTGAGTGTCATTGCTCTTATATGAATATGATAGGCTCCCTTCTCACTTATATTAAAGTGAAAGTGAGATGGCAAATATGATATCAAGAGGATGTTGGAGCACTGCTAATAGATGAGACCCTCCACTCATCCATCAGATCAAGAGAGAGGATGGACATGTGATCTCAAGAATATACATAAAGGTATAATAGAAAAATGATAATTCTATTAGACAATGAGAGAAAATAATAAAGCTACTTTAATGAGAGAGGTGAGACAAGTAGAGATAAAGAGATACATACTATTTAAAATGGTCAATCTCTAAGACAATATTTGAGTTCCTCTTGTCGAGTTTGGACGGTCATCTTCTTATTGTTATCTTAGTTGAGCAACTTCCACCTCTCCTACTTTAGTGTCCTTAATAGTCACTTATTCATGTGACAGTCAAGATCTCTTATGTCATGAGAACAATAGGAATGTGAGTATTTTATCAAAATTCTTATTTCTTGTCCTTCTCCAAAAAGAGATGAATGACCATCATAATAACATAAGAGATCTTGATATTTCATGTCCTCCAATCTATGATGGTGAAGGTTTGGTGAAAGAAATGAGGAGATGTACATAATAAAATAAAAAATAAATTTTTTATTGTCATGAGATGTTATTTTGATATACTTGGTTAAATGAAGGTACTTACAACTTATTTAGAATATTTTCCTCACTCTCACTCATCATTTCTACTCAAATCTCAAGGTCTCCTCATTTAACCTGATTAAATTTGTCAAAAGAGTTGAAATTGAATTCAATAAGAAAATTATAAGCAAAAAATTTGACCTCCTATCTTGAGGAATCTTCACTTCAATTAAGAAATTATTCATCAACTCTTGGCATCTTTTATTGGCATCCTTGACCTCAAATATGCTACTATTACTACTCCCAAATTATGCCTCCCTTCTCACTTTATTGATCTTCTAATGTCCCATTTATTTATTCATCAATGTGACTAGTTTGATCACCTACCGAATTCAATTACCTTTCTACTCCATAACATTCTTAATGAGATTGAAATCAATTTTAGTTTTATTCTCCTGTTGTAGATGAGACATATCTTTCAACATCCTACAATAGTACCTCTACCCTTCATCATTATATTTATACTTTAGGTTTTATTTTTGTGGTGTGAAACATTTTTAAGTCATCCTCATGATGTCATTGATTGTGATATTTTTATCACAATCGATGATATCATGTTCCATGATATGACTCTTTCATGAAACAATTAAATCATTTTTTTCTCAACTCTTTCATCATATTCTACATCTCTTCCTCTCTTCCACTAAATTGTCACCACCTTCTTCTCAAAACTCTTCACTTTTCTTGATAACCTTAACGACTAGGTGAAGTAAATTGAAGAGAGGGTGAGGATACTTGAAGACAAAATTGACTTGAGTGAGCATATATTTTCCTTTATGGTTTCGTTCCATGATGTATCTTTTTAATGAAACAAAAAGGCAGAGAAAATTGTAGAAAAATGTTAACCAACTAAGTTAGAGCATATATAAAAATGGGACAACAATAAGGGTGAAAAAAATTGCTTTGTTTCATGTTTTTTTTAATGTCAAAGTTTATATTCACTTATCTTTGACAATTCGTACTAATTTTTCAATGATTTTAAAAATATCAAAAAATAAGAGATTGTTCATTTAAGTGATCTGAATGTTAACAAAATTAATTCCATAAACTAAGTATGAAAAGTTGTCGTAAAATATGTTTAGATAAAATAATTTCTAAATCAAGATCTAAATTATTTGATGTAATTTTTGTTGTTATTTTAAATGCATTTTTCAGGCCTCAAATGAATAAAAGAATTATCAAAGATCACATGCATAATGTTGTCAAATCATACCTATATAAGTCATTTTAAAGTAAAACTAGAGAAGAGAGAAAATAGACCAAAAAGTATTTCACTCACAATGTTGATCTACTATAAAATTTTGACAATTCATTATACTCAAAAGAGAAATATTACACAAAGACGACACGTATCCAACTTGACTAAATAGTATGTCTGGTGGTAAACAAAGCTAACATGTCACTTAGGAACTCTTAATAATTTGACAAGTGATATGTGACAAAGAGATTGTTGATTGGTGATGAAACAAGTGACACAAGAAAAATGTGGCAGCCATATTTGACAAGAATAAACAATCATAACATGCCAAAAGACCTAGACAAAGTGAAAGTTTGTGATCCATCAAAACATTTTGAGGAGACACTCTACAAGATCACAACAATGTGTTAATTCATGTGTCAACACAAAAAATCTTTGACTGGTTAGATTTCACTCATTTGAATTTCAATAGTTATTTTTTTTTGTTCTATAGAAAGCCCTTCAAACAAACTTCTAAATATTTCTCACCTTTAAAATTTTCATTAATTTAGTCATCCATATAACCAAGAGAAAATTTAAAGGTAAGCACATGCATGCTCAAACTTATTCTTTTGTTTAGCTCATCTTCATTAGCAAGAAAGCCTCCATTTTAGAATCTTGATGTCTTAGTAAGTGTTCATATGTAAAGGCATTTTGAGAGTGTTGGTAACGTCAATAAATAAGTAAGCTAATGTTTTAGAGTCTAATGTGGGGTGAGAGTCTTGTAAACACTATAATATAAAAGAAAATTATATATTTCATAAATTTCAGTTATAATTCCACAAGGTAAAATAATAGAAATGAAGGATATGAATCTTTTTAAAGTGGATGTCGACCCTAAAAAGGTTGAACTTTTTTATGTTCAAGATGTGTTAGAATTTAACATGCGACTCATTATGTTGATTGATAAGAATCTATTTCAACAAAAGTTGAAAAGTATGAAGACATGATTTTATTCAAAATTATAAAAATAATTTTAAACACATTTAAAATTGATAAAGCACTTTAGAAACCCAATTCAGCCCCCCTTTTGGTATACTTGCTAGTCTATTAGGAACTTAATACAACTCACTTATAATCTTAACCCTTTGTTATCTTGTTAATAAAATAGCTTTCACTTTCCTTATTATTACATAATATACATGCCTCATATACACCCAAGGTCTAAACCATCACATGAGCTTTCATTCAAAATGTTTCTTAGATAAAGTTTAGTAATGTTAAAACCACCACTTCTAGTAATTTGAGCATGCAATGCAAATTGGTGACTAATGAAGTTATAATCTAAGTATTTTGAAGAAAAAAAAGTTCATCCAACTCTCAAGATAAGTCGAATGGCTTTTTTTCTCTCTTAATATTTTATAAAGCTTGTTTTTTCTTGAAGTTTATTTCCTCGACAAATTTTATTACACACATTGAAAAACATGTTCAAGGTTGACACATAAATTTGGTTAGAAATGCAAGCTTTGGAAACTCAGTCATCTTAGAATTAGTCATATTCTTTGAAATTTTGATGAAATTGAATCATATTATAGAATTTTAGTGCTCCAAAAATATCTTAACATGACTTAAGTGCTGAGTTTATCCAATCTGAAGACAAGAAAATGCACAATATCTTATAATATATTCAATGAAAAGAAAATAGTTGTAACACGTAAATATGGTCATTCTTCTCAACCAAGGTAGATAATTGTTATCTAGGAGATATCTATCAAGCATTTTTTTTTCCATCTTAAAGATGGTAGACTTCTACACTCACTATATTCAAAGGTGAGATGAAAAGTTGGTATGAGACTTCTCATCTTGCATTAGAAAATTACTTTTCATGCTCTAATTTACAACACATTAAAATTAGCATTATTATTTGGTTATTTACATATCATTTGCTACATTATAGCCCTAAAAAGAGAAATTCATAACCCAAATCACTTAGCCCTCTTGCATTTTTTACCAAAGAACAAGTAGTAAAAGTTTGAACAACCATAGCCAGGTCTATTCCCTCATTAGGTAAAAGATAGAGCTGCACATGTCATATAAAATACAAAAATCACCCTCCCAAGATGTTAGGAATAATAAATATACATAGTCATTACAAGAAAGTCACTTTCCATGTGTGGGTGTGTTTTTGTTTTTATCATTACCTAGTTTTTTTTAATCGTAGGTAAATAAATTTCATTTATCTTCAATTTTTTCCCCTAAGAACAAAAGAAACCCCATTGAATTTATGTTCCTAGGGAAAATAAACCTTCCATAGTCTTGGGAGACAAATTTTGTTTGATCATTTATTCTTTGCTCTTTGATGAGTGATTATTAGGACATCACTTGCATTTTCATCAATTAATGTGTTTTAGTTGACCTACTAGTGATTAGGACTGTTTAAATAACACACTCTCTTCACCACTTGTTATCAAAAATTAGTTTGAAGTAAATCATCATAACCCAGCTGCCCCTTTTTTCTCTGGTCAACTCTTTCCTTTGATTGATATCACTAAAGGAAAAACTAATTTGAAGGGTCTGACTAGGACCATCCTTTGTATTGTAATAATTTATTGATGTGCATGATCATTCATCTCATATATTCCTCTTATGGTACCATGGGAAACATCACCAAGTATCTATGAGGCGTGGAATACGCCCAAATCAAGCAAGAAACTGACCAGCCCCACAGAGTGTTAGTTAACATTCTAAGTCATAAAAAAATTAAATACTCCTTTTTTTTGTTCTTCAGCCGAATTAATTAATCAAATTTCGTCAATAATTTTAAATATAAGAGACTAAGGAATTGGGCAATCGACGATCTTCACGCCAATTTTTCTGATCCACCTTCCTGTTCAGGAAGTCCCTCCGCCAGTGGAGAGGCTCCGCCGCCATGGGGTGGGCGGCGCCGCTTGTCTTCTGTTTCGTCCTCGCTGCTTCGCACCTCATCATCCCCCTCCACCGCCTCCGCTCCGCCGCCTCGCCGCCCCTCTACACGGACTCCCGCTGGCTCGTCGACGCCGGCGGCCGGCGGGTGAAGCTCGCCTGCGTCAACTGGGTAGCCCACATGGAGCCGATGGTGGCGGAGGGCCTCGGCAAGCAGCCCCTCGCCGCCATCTCCGGCCAAATCGCCGCCATGGGCTTCAACTGCGTCCGCCTCACCTGGGCCCTCTTCATGCTCACCAACGACTCCCTTTCCTCCCTCACCGTCGTGGAGTCCCTCCGGCGACTCGGCCTCGCCGAGTCCGCCGCCGGCGTTGAGGTCAACAACCCCAAGTTGGCCCATCTCTCCGTCGTCCAGGCCTTCCAGGTCAGATGTTCCTGGAGATGATCATCGGGATCGTTGTTTTTTCCTTTGTGTGTCTGGATCTGTGGTGCTTCTTCTGCCCTAATTTCGTACCCATGGATTAGGGATTGCAGGAGGTGGTGTCCAGTTTAGCCAGGAACGATGTCATGGTCGTGCTGGACAATCAGATCAGCAAGCCGGAGTGGTGCTGCAGCAAGTTCGACGGCAATGGCTTCTTCGGCGACGAGTTCTTCGACCCCGGCGAGTGGCTGAGGGGGCTCTCTCTAATGGCGGCGCTGTTCAATGGGTCGAGCTCCGTCGTAGCCATGAGCCTGCGGAACGAGCTCAGAGGCCCTCGCCAGAACCTCACCGACTGGTACAGGTTCCGCCCTAAACCTCGAACCCTCTTCAAATCTTCCCCACCTTCCTTCTCCAAATCCTCTCTTCGCTGTAGATATATGCAGATAGGCGCAGAGGCGGTGCACTCTGCGAATCCCGACGTTCTGGTGATCCTCTCGGGGCTAGACTACGACAAGGACCTGAGCTTCCTCGCCGAGAAGCCGGTGGAGCTCTCATTCTCCGGGAAGCTGGTCTTCGAGCTCCACTGGTACGGCTTCTCCGACGACGGCGACTGGGAGAGGGGAAACCCTAACGAGGTCTGCGGGAGCGTGGTGGGCAACTTGACAGAGAGAGGGCTCTTCCTGCTCGAACAGGGCCACCCTCTGTTCCTCAGTGAGTTTGGGCTGGACCAGCGGGCCCTTTCCCTCGCCGACGCCCGCTTCTTGAGCTGCTTGACGGCCATGGCGGCGGAGCTCGACCTCGACTGGGCGCTCTGGGCTTTGCAGGGCAGCTACTACCTCAGAGAAGGCACTCTGGCTTACGACGAAACCTACGGGATCCTCACCTGGAGCTGGTGCGAGCCTCGGAATTCGTTCTTCTTGCCCAGAATCTCCACCCTGCAATCTCCCCTGCGAGGTAACTTAACTTTCTGCTCGGATCGTCTTCTTCCCTGGTTTTAGGTTAAAACAGAGAGCTTCCTGCTACAGGTCCAGGTCTCTCTGAGAACTCCGAGTTCCAGATGATCTTCCACCCATCGACGGGGCAGTGCATCTTGAAGAACCCTAAAACAAACGAGCTCGAACTGGGCTCCTGCGCCGACACCGAGGCCTGGAGCTTCCAAGGAGGAAGCCTGGCGATGGAGGGTACAGAGCTTCATCTGCTCGCCGACGGCGTAGGCGAGCCGGCCAGAGTAGGTCCTAGTGGCGGCTGCGGCGGCTCGATCTGGCGGCTGATATCCGACTCGAAGATGCACATCGCCACCACGCTTGCCAACGATGGAGGAACCACGGTGTGCTTGGATGCGGGGGCCGAAGCGGGCGGCGGCGGCGGTGTCGTCACCAATCTCTGCAAGTGCCTGACCAAGGAGGAGCTCCCCTGCGACCCACAGAGCCAGTGGTTCAAGGTCGTGAGCAGCACCAGGAGCCTGCGATGGCGGCGGCGGCCTCTCGCTTCCCATGGCGGAGCTTCTGGTAGAAGAACTTGGATAGCCACAGATTAGGAGATAGAGGATGGATGATGCAACAAGCCCGTTGACCAACGTCGCTTTTTCATTTCTATCGGTTGAAGGGTAATATTGTCATCTCGTGGACAATTATGGGGGCAGAGAGGAAACCTCTCAAAGCAAATAAATTGGGCGCAACGGAAATCAGTCATGGAGTTCGCAGCTGCCACCAACTCCACCTGGCCGCCAAAGACCAAGTATTTATCACGCCCAACAGCGCGTTGACCAGCATTGATGAGTGAGAGAGAGCACTTTTCTCTGGGTTTCCCCTGGCTTTTTCCATATTACGCAAATACCTCAATTGTGCACGTAATCAGCGATGGACCAGGGATCCGGACCATTCCGCCTAACAAGGGGTGTAGGACACATTATCAAATACGCTGGTAAGGCGTAGATGTAAATTTCATTTTTTTTAGGTTAATTCATAATTCATAATATGTAGAGGGATCTCAGTCTAAAAGAAATGAAACGACAGAGAAGAACGAACTACTAAAGGGCTGCCTTCCTTCCTGCCGAGTGAAAGAACTTGCTCCCTGTTAATGGCTTCATACCGGATGAGGCTCTCCTACCAGAAGCTGAGGAAGGGGCGAGCAGAGCTCGAAGGTGGCCTGGAAGAGGAGGACGAAGAAGAGGGCGGCGGTGGCGGCGGACGGAGGGAAGACCCGCCGCAAAGAGCGGCGGCGGCCTCCCGGAGGAGCGGCGGGTGGCTACGACTGGGCTGGCGGCGGCGGAGGAAGGGGAGTCGGCGGTGGCGGCGGCTGAGGATCCTCCGGCTTCTGAGGAGGAAGGCGGGTTTGGTGAGGGCGTCCCTCAGACGGGTGGTGAGGAGGTTCAAAGAGGGCAGCTCCCAGTTTGGGGATCTCTTCGCCGGGAACTACCTCTTCGTTCAGGTCACCCCGGCCCCTCTGCGTCACCCCCAGCTAAAGTCCTCCCCCGCGGCCCTGCCGTGGGCCACCGGAACTGAGCCGCAACGGGCACAGAATCCCCCGGGAACCACCTCTCCGTTCCGGTCACCGCCGCCCCTCTGAGTCACCCTCGAGACAAAACCCTCCGCCGCGGCGCCGCCGTGGGCCGCCGGAACGGAGGCCTGCCTTCGTGTTAAGCTCTCCAAAGAAGCGAAAACATCTCGACATGGTTTCAACTCTCAGCCAACAATTTATAATAGATGCATTTATTACTCTATGTTTGTATGTTTGTATGTTTGTGTATGTACGCATGCAGATTTCCTTGGCACGTGCGGTGTTCTTGCTCAGTACAGGCGGATCCTCGTGTGGATGTCCTCTCGGCAGATGGGGCAAGAGTACAGGTTCTCTCCGCAATCGCAGCACGTCTGAAAAAAAACAGAAATAAATATAAATAATCCAATTTGCGATCGAAATTCCCCCCAAAAAATTGGGGTTTTCTTTCCCTTGTTCCCGGAGAACTGAGCGTTTTTTCCCTTTTTTACGTGGGACTTCTTCGGTTCCAATGCCCCAGGAAGAGAAAGTCAAGAGAGAGAGAGAGAGAGAGAGAGAGAGAGAGAGAGAGAGAGAGAGAGAGAATTTATAGAGTTCAAGTGATCATGAGCAGACAATCTAGAGAGAGAATCGTCCGAGAAAATGATCACTTTTTCCTCTTCTTTTTTTTGCAGGATTTATGGAGTTCGTATGAGCAGGAACAGAAAATATCGAGGAGAATTCGCCCAAAAACCTTCGGCATTTTAATGCAGAAATTAAAAAACTTGTAGGTTTCTAACGTGAACCCAGGAACACGAAATCTGGGGAGAAAATTCGTCCGAAATTTCTGCACATTTTTTTCAAGAAATTCCAAAAAATTTCATAAAATGCTGAGCATTATCTTGGTAAGATTTCCTTAATTTCTCTAACATGCAGGAACAGGAAATGCAGAGAGAAATTCTCCAGAAATAATCGAGCTTTTTCATTCAGAATTTCTCTATTTCCGATGAAAAATCAAACATTTTCTCTTTTTTGTTTTGAAGAATTAATTCAGCTCTGACTACCCGGAACTTCAAGGAAGAAAGAACACGTCGGTTCGTCGTCTCACCTGGTGGCCGCACTGAAACGCCAGGTTCTTCTGGGAGGCCAGGCAAATGGGGCAGAGCTGTCCAAGAAAGAACAATACCCATCACAGGAAAGGCGCACGTCACAAGGTCTTCAATAAACTAAATCTATATACATATGAATCATGCATATTTTTTAACCATAAAAGGTAAAATTCAGGGAGTTGCAGAAGAAAAATGGAGGAGAGGAGGGGCGGGGGAGGATTACATTAGTTTCCCAAGGGGAGCTCGAAGTGGGCGGTGGTGTGGCGGGCGGTGCGGCCCGCAGCTGGAAGCTGGTGGACCGAGAGGAGGTCTTCGAGCCGCCGAAACCCGCCACCATGGACGGCGGCGGGAGCGGAACCCGGTCGGGAGCTTGCCCCGTTGACTGGCTGAAGGAGAAAGAACAACTCATTGAGATCACAGAGCTTCCCCAATTGGGCAAGCTGTATAGAAACACTAGAATTACCCGAGGAACCCCATCTCCAGTGTAGCCTTGTACTGGGAGGGTATCTCCATCAGGGCCGAGAGGGCGAACTCCGCATCCTTCTTCAGCTGGGGGATCCTCTTCGACATGATCTCCGTGAAGTTCACAAACTGCAACGAAAGTCAACGGGCCGATTCAGCAAGTGGAGAAAGAGAACTCCGAAGAACGAGGGGTTGAATTGATTGATCTGATCACCTGGAAATTGTCGAATGCCCGGGAGGGGATGTTGTCGTCGAATTCCCTCATCATGTCCCACGGCCCATCCCCGACCCCAACCAAGACAATGGATAGTGGGAACCCGCTGCGACAAGTCAAAAGCGAAAAGTCAGCACACGAGAACCACCCCCCCTTCCATTTCCTCCTCTTGTGATCTGAAAGTCAGCCCAGAGAGCTCCAGTGTACCTGGCCCTCACAATGGCGTCGACGGTTTTCTGCTCCTGCATGCTCAGCTGACCGTCCAAGGTATCGACGCTCCGTGTGACCTGCAACCATCCGGCATCACCCGAAAAGTCAACCACGGCCCCTTCAGAAAGGGGAGGTGCTCTCTCTCTCTCTCTCTCTCTCTCTCTCTCTCTCTCTCTCTCTCTCACCTGCCCGTCGGCGATTATCAGCAAGACATGGTACTGCCCCCCGCTCTGCTCCACGATGGTCATCGCCATTTCGACGATCGGGGCGAAGGAGGTGGGGCCTGCCGCAGAAAAGGAAGGGAGGAAAAGTCAACCATGCCGGCCTCTCTCCATGGCCACAAGAACAAACCAGAGGGGAAAGAGAGAGAGAGAGGATGGTACCGGCCAGCCGCAGCCGGGGGGCGATCTCCCTGTACCGGGACAGGACCTCCTCGAAGCCATTACAAGACCTCTCATCAGGGAAGAAGCTGAAGACATCCTGGTCATGCGTCGTCGCTGCCATTTTTTCAAGAAGATGAGCGGCGCCAATTCATCCCCGAATCATTAATTAAGAAGAAGAAAAAAAGAAATCTTTCAATCCCTGGTTTTACCATCGCCGAAGCCGAAGCAGGGGATCAGATTATCCTCGTCGAAGGCGGAGAGCGTCCGTCCGATGATCGAAATCGCCTGCTCGTAGGGGTTCTGGACATCCCCGATGCTGTGCAGGCACTGACGGTTGAAGGAGTTTCTCCCTGCAAGCAAAATGGGATCAGAAGGGTCTTTCCCCATCTGGGGTGGGCACGGCATGCCGGATGTCTCGGCCCGGTCAAACCTAGCCACTCGTTGCTCTTAGTGAAGTCAACGCCCACGATGAGATTCGAAGACTCCAGCCCGGCTCTCGCCAGCGCCTCGGTGACCTGAAGATTTATCCCAAAGTTATTGAAAAAAGGTCTCAAAGTTGTCCATTTTTTTTCTGTAATTTATTGAGAAGAATCGGCCCCTCTGGTTATCAGAAAATTGGTCAAACCAATCCGAAAATTTCTGATCTTGGTGTTCTTTTATAGAAAAGTTTCAATTTTCTGTGTCTGGGTTGAGGCAGGATGTTGAAATTCTTCAAACAGGTAGAGGGCATTGAGGGAATCAAGCCTTGGGAAAAATGGCGGACTGGTTAATCCCACAGCGAGAGAGAGAGAGAGAGAGAGAGAGAGAGAGAGGGATTGTACCTCTTCAAGAGAATTGTACTCGTCTGCGATCCTGGAATACCTCCGCTCGAGCCTGCGCCGAGCGTTGGACGGCGGCGCCGCCCGTGGTGTCTGCGGCGGAGTGTAGCTGTCTCTGCGGGGGTGGGAGTAGCCGCCGTCGCGAGAATTGTGGCTCTGGTAGACCGGCTGCTGCGGGTACCCGCGGTGGCCGTACGACGGCGTCGCCCACGGCGGCGGATCCTGCGCGTAGCCGCCGCCGGCGGAGCCGTACGACGACGAGCCGGACCTCGATCTCCTCCCCGCCTCCTCCCTGGAGCTGTTCCCTCCCATCAACCTCCGTCAATCTCCGACGATCTCCGCAGAATCCACTCACCTGAACAGAGAAGAAGCGGCAGCTTACAGTTCAGAGAAGGCCAGATTCTCGAAGGGGAAGAAGAAGAAGAAGAAGAAGAAGAAGGCCTATGGCGTCCTCCCACAGAATCTAGAATTCTATGGTTATGCTGCCCACCAAACCAGAGGATGAAGAAAGCTCCCTACAGGCTCTAGAACCTGCCCCAAGCGAGCAGTGCCGACACGCAAGCACTCCCCTCCCGACTTGACGCCTTGACCGAGGCGGGGTCAACGGGGGACGGTAGTTAGAGAGAGAGAGAGTGGGCGGGTGGGGAAGATGAGGTGCTCAGATGTCCAAGAATAATTTCAAACAACGGGGGATACGAAACTTGCGGGATGCGACAACGGCCGCGAAGAAGAGGGAATTTCAGCAGTGACGACTGGATCTCTGCTGGTTCGCGGTCGACTTGATTGAAGGAGGATTGGACAGAGAGAGAGAGAGAGATGGCAACGGCGGCATCGCTGCTCCGGCGAGATTTGGCAGAGAGGGAGAAGAGAAGCTAACAGGGTAAACCGCCATGGTTCCCGGCGGGAAGACGCTCTATTCGATCACCGCACACAGAAAGAGAGAGAGAGAGAGAGATGGCGGCGGCGGCATCCCCGCTCCGGCGAGATTGGGCAGAGTGGGACAAAAGAAGCTAAAAGGGTAAACCACCATGGTTCCGGACGGGAAGACACTCTATTCGATTACCACAGAATCGACGGCATGAAGAGGCCGCTACCCACCTTTCTGCGCACACTTTCGTTGAGGTTGCCCTCCCCACCTCCACCATTCCCTCTCTGAGCCCACGGAGGCAGAGATTAAAATGGTACCCAGCCACCGCAGATACCCCCAACTGCTACTGCCGCGAGAGGGACAATTGTTATTGACCGCAAGTAGGCAGGGCGGGAAGTGGTCAACCATGCAAATAATTGGTTTCAATCCACCATTGGCGTACCATTTATCCACCTCTGTGAAGTTTCCTGCAGCCTTCCAGGAAAAGAGCTAGTAATACGTACTCTGTTGACCTCTCTCTCTTTCTCTCTCCCCCTTTTGAACGTTCTCCACTTGAAGTTTCCTTGTCATCCGTATCGGGGCACACCAAGTGAATACGTACGGGCAGAGAGAGCCCATAAACTATTTACTTGACGTGTTCTCGTCGGTGAGACAACTAACGAATTTGTGACGGCGTCATCGACCAAGGGAATGGAATATTCGCGGGAAACAGCGGTCTTAAACGCATAGGAAACCCTGTCCTCTGGAAACTACAATTAAAGCAAACCTCAATGTCTAACACAATCAGTTCTAACAAATCAGATTGCATCTAGAAAATGCATAGGAAAACCCTATAAAAATTAGTTTATACTAAGAAACCCAAAGCAATTAATCTAAGTCACTATTACTTATCTTTTTCGTAATTTTAATTATGGAAACTAAAAGTTGAATATTTAACCTGTTGTTCTTCTTTTAGGAATTTAGAGAGGAACAAAATTTGTCAATAAACACACGTCATGAGTAAAAATAGAACCCTTCATCTCAAATAATACAATTTCCAATCGTTAAACATCAAAATTATTTTTATGACAAAAGAAATTGATGACTGATCACTTGTTAACAGGGGGAGAAATATTAAATTTATGGGATTTTTTTCTATTTTTAATTGGTTATTCTACATGAAAATAGACAATTCACTTCTGCTCTTTCCCTTTTATTGCGTTTTTTTTCCTTTTTATTACGTTCCCAAAGATATTATTCTTATCTAGGATATTTATTTTTTAACCGTAAAGAATAAATGCCATCATTTTGACTCCTACGCCCTAGTCTAATATTAGGTAGAACTTATGTAATCTCTTTCACTCTATCAATACCTGTAATCTAAATTTTCTTTTGGGAACCATTACCCTACCAACACTACCTACCATGGGCTGGAAGATGTTAACCTTTTCAAACCCCCTTGGTGGAGATGCTTGGCATGGTTCAATCCCCAACGATTGCCCCTAACTTCTGAGGATAAGCCAGGCAAACTCAGACCCCTGAGTCAAGATTGATGGTGACTAGTCAAGGGTTTCTATAAATAGAAAAGTGGAGGAGAAATTGAGCATATTTTAATATTTTTGGTATATAGCAGATCATTGCAGATCTTTTTAACATTTATTAATGAGTATTTTTTTAATATGACCTTTTTCTAAGGAAAATATACTTTTAGGCTTGCATTTTTTTTAATATTTTTATGGGCTTAAATATAAAACTTTGTTTTTTATACTGGGTTGGAAGACTTACTGAAAACTTGGACAACTACAGACATAACAATAAGTCGTGATAGGGAAGTAAGCGAATAAATTATTGGGGGCAACCCAACCCACTAGAAAGAAAAAAAAATGGTAAAAATTTAAAGAAATAGATGGGGGCCACCTAATCTGCAACAGCAATGTTCAAATGAACCATAACATTTCCCCAAATTAAAATTCAGGTCTTGCTCATCAATTTTATCCTAAAAGACGGTCAACTGGAGAAGATATATGATGTTATCATGGAGATTATGTTGATCTTGATGCCCACATTAAGAAGCCAAGGTGGGCAATTTCTTCCTCATAATTGTTTTTATGAGGAAGAATCACTGGTGAAGATGCAATGGGAGCATATTCAAGGTGAAAATACTAAATTGTTTTTATGAAGAAGCGAAGGTGGAATTACCCCAATTCCTCTGACGGTGATCACTGGAGCATATTCCAACGAATTTGAATGCCCGTCTCCTCACTACTTGCAACATTATCCAAGTGAAGAAAATATTCAAGGCTATTTAATTTTTTCATAAATATGAATTATTATGGATGTTCTTGTGAATTCCAGCTTTGGGCAATTCCACCATCGCCTTACGTTGGGGAAGCATAATTCTGAGATATTATTCGGTAATTTAGTATTTTTTAGGAACTTCTAAGAAGGTTCAGCAGTATAGAGTGCCCGTCAAAGGATTTTCGTCGCCGGATCTTCTAGCTGAGCCGTTCGTTAAGCTGTGATTACCATACGTTTGACTCGTTCTTGGGAGGCTCTTGCTTCGAAGGGACTGCTTTGAGTTTCTGGGGAGGCTGGCTGATGTTGGTTGGTATAGGAGACTGTCGTCATAGCGACGACGTCATTACAGTGAGCAAGATGTAGTGGGAGGACTGAGGAATACGAGACCCGTTCCACCTCCTCGTCCCCGATGGCGGTTAACCCAGCGGCCAAGTTTCCTCTCTCTCTCTCGCTCGATAGGGACGTTGGGTTTTTATATTCATCTGCAAGGAGATGATAGTCTCCCAGGCCTTATCTTCCTCCGCCCAAACCCCAATTGGTTCTCTCAGCCATCCACTGATGTGAGAGGAAATAACTGAGGAAGGGAGAGAGAGAAGTAAGAAGATGGTCACAAATAAATAAATAAATAAATATCCCAAATATAACTATGTATGAGAGAGAGTGAGAGAGAGAGAGAGAGAGAGTGAGAGGGACTGCTGAGGTGAAGTTGAAGAATGGAGAGGGGGGTGTAGAGGGGATAGAAATTATCAACCATACCCTAGCCTAGAGTAAATTATGGTAATTAGATTTATGAGAAACTTTTTCAGTATACTTACGGTAAATCATATAGTCGTAATTACTTCTAAATTTGTTTTCCAGATTTTTCAAGGGTTTTTTTCATAAATTAAAGAAATACCTGAAGATTGGTTTACGATTACTCCCTCCATATCTTCCTTCTTCATTTAGTTTTTGAGTTGTTTGAAACATGTGTAACAATTATTTTACTTATATTAGTGTAATGTTTCCACAAGGTTATAAATTTTAGTAAATGAAAGAGACAACTGCTCTCTCTCTCTCTCTCTCTCTCTCTCTCTCTCTCTCCAGTCCCTTTCGCTATCTATATTCTAATCACTTATTTAATTTTTTTCTCAATTAATTAACCCTTAGTAACTTCAACGGAGGATTCCCCACTTGTGATAGGATTGAGATGGACTCTAAAATAATTCATTTAAATCATGACATCTTCACTTAGCTACTTTGTTATGATCTTATTTAAAATAAATTGAGTATATCCCTTCAACCCCTAGTTGACTCAGCTACTAGTCTATTTTCCTATCTTAACCACCAAAATTTAATCCCATCTTTTGCTTTACTCGAAAATTTATAAGTTTTTTAACGTAAATTGGGGCACTGTGTCTAGCTAGCTATAGAGCTAAGGTTTTCTTATATGGCTTACCACTAGATTTTTGGCATGCCCACTAACTCAAGTATGCCATCTTTTTTGGACCCTACGTTTACTCTATGAAAAACCAAATTACGTTAAGGGAATCTTCATCATCAAATCATGTGAAATTTTTTCATAGAAATTTTTCTTCTATTTCACTAGTTTCTATAGGAACACAATCACAAGTCAAGTGAATTTTTTGGGGTTGGAAATAATGCTCAAATCATTTAAAATATTCATCACTTTGATTATGGTTGACTAAAACATGATTGTATTAAAATATAAAAGATATAAAATATTGCATTAGCACCTTAAGAAAGTGATAAATTGTAATAGGTTTAAAACATAAAACCAAGTGAGATAATTAAAGCACAACTTCGGTAGAAGAGTAGGTTAGGAAGTTTTAACATCATGTGCACTATGATTTTCTTACTTCTTCAGACCTTCAAGTTTTCTTCACACTAATTGAATATCAGATTGAAACATAGGAGCCAAGAAATTTGTCCCAAAAATAACCAACGAAAAAGAAATCAGATTTAAATTATTTTACTTCGCAGGCTTGAACTTGAATCCACCATTTTTACCCGTGAAGCATAACACTTAAATAATGATTTTAAGGAAATATTTTATTCCGATAAAATAAGAAAATTTATATCTCAAATTTCCAGTGATCTAGGAGCTCCTTGCTTCATCCATTTATATCCTTTTGATGATCTTCCAGCCCTCACAGACAGACTTACACGCACAATAAGAAAGCATTAATCTTCATGGAAACAATGGGAAATGAATATGGGAACAATTTATTCTTTTCATCTGAATTTTTTGACTAGGAATTGATTACACAACACGCCTTCATTCCATTCATGGAAAGGAAAGAATAACTGAAGCTGTTTACCCTTTCATTCACGTGCTTGAGAGAAATCTGGTAACATCTGAAGGGCCGGCACATTATTATTATGGAAGATCAGGCTAAAGCTGCTCCTAAAACTGCCACTGGAGGATGAAATTTACATCTCTGTATGGAATAATTTTCCAAATCAGGCAATGGTTTCCTTCTCGGAACATCACCAGATAAACCCAAACGATGCCCAACACTTTAAACAAGAAACATCAAAAATCTAAATGAGAGGTTCTGAGAGCTCCATCTCATTAGAGCTCTCCTGGGTAGCAACCTGATGGTGGACAATATTCAACCCCAGCCACTGCCATGGCCAGCAGATATATCTCTGCCGTAGTTGACTCCTGGATTCCTCCACGTTCTCTGACTCGCCCAGTTGCTGGGTCAACTCCTCCAGCCTCTCCCTTAACCTGGCAGACCTCATGTCAGCCAACCTTAAGGATTTCTCAGCTGCGTCCCTCGCAGCAATGGCTGCCATGGAGGTTTCCTCTTTGAATTTGAGCTTGCTCTCCAACTCTGAGACGGCCTGCTTTGCATCTTCCAGTTCTTGGCGAAGGGATGATAGCTACAGATTAAATATCCAAAATTTAGTAAGAAACTACACTGAAAAAAAAGAAAAAAAAAAAAAGTAAAGTCGCAAGGACATATTATATAACAGTCTTAGTCGGTCAGTGATATGAATTACTAGCGAAGGGCTGAAGGCAACTAGTCAAAAGAAACAGATTCAGTGACATATTAACTGAAAAAATGTGAGAAGTTGCAACCAAATAAATATAAGTTCCTAAGTTAATGACAGCATAAATTTGGATGTACACGACTGCCTCATTTCGAGTAAGATGCAAAATTAGAAATTGCATTCTTAAAACTAAAGACCGTTTTCCTAACCAAAGGATCCAATAAATGGAAATGAGAATCCACGAAGCAGACGGGATATCACTAGAAAAGGAAACAGAATAGGAACAGGAAGGAAAACTTTTGGATCTTGACCAGATATAAATATAGGAAAAAGGAAAATATCTGTATTTAGTAAATTCATTAATAGAGACATCCTCTACAAATTCAAGGATATATACTGATGCAAGCTGAGCATGATTTTTTTAACAGATTATATAATTCATCATGCAACTAGGATCATTTCTCCTCCAGCTGCAAATTATTACGTGAGTAACAGTGGCTATCCTTATTTCAACAAATATCATATGGCCTTCTGAGTGTCTGTACATTTCACAATATAGGAAGGCTATACAATATCCTGATTTCAACGCGAATCTTAACTGGTAATCCTTGGATTAAGAACATTACAGCTTATTTGGCTTAGTCTACTACAACTATCTTTCCACATCCTCAACCATACTCGGTTTCAACTTCATACTTTACAAAAGGAATAAGAATTTTATTTTTTTTGGGTGGCAACTACACAGGTAATCTTTTATAACAATGGCTATCTTCCTCCTTAAATGCCCATTTATTATTATTCATATATATCGACATAGAGACCCATACTCCAGTCATCCAACTTGAGAGTCTAATTATACAAAAACTGGAGAGTGGGGATCCCATGAAACAATTAGCTAGGAAATTTAAACCGAAACTAACTCAATTCTCAGAATTAGAGGCCTTTGCACAATTCGCTACGGATCTTAATAAAGCTACTCATAAACAGTCAGAAAGAGGCCAACGATTAATTCAAATGCTAAAACAATCAAAATCTGCTTCTCTTGGGGTGGAAGAACAGGTACCTACTATTTTACTCTTAGAAATGGATAGCCTGATTATTTGAACAAGATACTCAAAGAGAATGGTTTAAATATGTTTGATATTTCTATTTGATTTGAATTTTACTCCATCCTAGTTAGTTTTAGGGTTGTTACTTTAAATTAAAACCAGTGAATGTGCTTTAATAAGCTGGCAATGTAGTATTTACCATTTTACAGAGAAACTACTAGGTTTTTGAGGATAATAAGAGAGCATAAAATATCTATTGTCTCAAACATGGGACACCGAAATGCACCTCCCTCAGGAAGACAACCTTCTCACCCACAACGACCCAAGGCTTTTTCTTCAGCAATGAAGTATGGTTGAAACATGTTCTGAAGGATTTATTATAGTGAAAGACATCTTATACGAATGAAATAATTTTAAAAATGAAGAAAAAACGCTATATGACTTGCGTCCCAATATTGCTCCTCCCCTTACCCCCTCCTCTGATGCCTCTCGCCACCATGCTTCACAATACTTCGAGGGAGGGGCACAAGGGCAGGCGGGAGGAGAAAGAAGTTGCCAGTCACTACAGGCCAAATCAAGTGGCAGGGATGGGAGAAAGATCGAGCGTGTTTTTCTGCTTTACTCTTTCCCCCCCCCCCCCCCCGTAGTTTGTACAAATTTCAGCTGTAGCCAACCCAAAGCATCTTTGTGAAAGAAAAAATGTGAAGAACATACCCCAGCCAGGGAATGAGTAATCTCTCTCACCAGATCAGGGAATTCATTGCCAACCCACATCAGTTGATTTGGAGTGGAATGGTTGGATTCAGATAATACCAATGAACACCCACGGAATATCCACCAGCCAAACCCAAGATATTCACAATCTAAGCCTGAAACTCCAAATTCGATACCCGATTCTCTATACTTTTTTTTCAGTTACCATAAAGAGACTCGTCCAATCATGTCAAGATTTAGATAATTAAATTGAAAATTCCACCCTCCCATGCCCTTCTTAAGCAGTGAGCCACCGCACATCCAAAGAGATATTAACGTAGTAAATTAACACTCTCTTTCCTCTTGTAAAACCACCATGCGCCCATAGGATGCACACATCCATTTGCTGCCAATTCACCGTCAGATAGAAATGTCCAAATCCAAAGATTCTCCATCCTTCTTCTCATGTGTACTACATCTTACTCTAGTGTTCACCCTGGAATGATTGTTTCATGAGGAAATATCTAATTCCTAGACCTCCATGTGAAAATTCATCAGACTCAAAGGATAAAAGAGAAAGATGAGAGTGAGTGAGAGAGACGAGGAAACCTTCCCAAAATAAAGTTATCTTAAAAGATAACTGAACTTGAAAGCAATCATTTTCAACTTAAATAAACTAAAGAATCGTTGAAAACTTTAAATCATGTAGAAAAAAGTGCCAAATCAGCACAGCTTTCATATGGGAAAAAAATTGAAAGGGTATTAACATGAAATTTTAACAGAAATTCAGAAAAATAAAAGGTATGATCACCATAGGGATCTTGCATGTTTTCAAATGGTCTAGAGGAATGGAAATGAGAAGTGACCGTCAGGCTTGCTTGATGAGCATAATCATGTACAGGGTTGACTTGCTTTTCTAACTTCTTTGTTTCTTCTTCTAATCTACCATAATGTTAGACAAGAATTTACGCCCTCTGGCCTTCTTATGTGTGTTCTCCCAGCTGTCTGTCTTCTCTTCTCTTTGTTTTCTTCCTAGTACTTTGTACGTTTTGTCTGGTTTAGATTAATAGTGGCAAATAAACTTTGATTAGGATTTCAATTTTTATGAAATTAGATAAATGCACCTTAACTAATGTTTACCTACTCGTACATGATGCAGTAATAATTAAAACCAGATATTGACTTCGATCATTAATCACCGATTAAACTTACTAGACATGAAGGCCTCTTTTACACAAGGTGTTCAATTGCATACATTCTAAAGATGATGAACACGGGATAGAAGAAAACCCTAATAAATACAGCATGCATTCATAGAGGCAAGAAATTCAGATTGCATTCATAGAATTATCAAGATGCAAAATTTTCAGGAAACATGATGACGGAAGGGCATCCGTCAGCCAAAGGGAAAACAAATTATTCACACATAAATGACAGTATATAGAACCTGCCCGGGTTTCTAACAAGTACGTCAGTTTGTTTATACCTGAGTCACAAATTCTTGTTCAATGGCTCTTCCTGCTGCAGCTTCTTGCTCTGCTGCCAGTTTCCATCTAGCAATCTCTTCTTCTGCGGCTGCAATATCCATCATAAGTCCTTCAACCTATAAATGCCCATATTCAGAACTCTTTAATCACACATGATGTTTTCAACCAGCTAAATCAAAAAATCGAAAAAGTTCCTCATAATGAACTACCACAAAAAGGGAGCCCTTTCAACAAATGCACAAGGATGAAGGTTCATGTGAATTACGCTTTCATTCGCCAGATGCTCTTTTTCCTCAAGTTCTTTAATGCGGTGCTTTTGTTGGCCAATCTCTTTTGCATGAGCACCCAGCTGTGTTTTAAGTAGACTACATTCTGCCCTTAATCCAGTAAAATGGTGTGCAAAAAAAAAAAAAGAAACAACATAGCAGTCAGCAGAGCCTAAACATGTATAGAACCATGAAGGTGCTGTTGAACAGTGGCTATAGTAAAGATGAGAAATCTTATGCTTCCATAGAAATATAAAGGTTGAAGTCATTTGCCGAACAAAATGACTGCACAAACAAAGTCGCATTCACTTTCTAAGAAAAGATCTGTAGTACGAATTTATTTATTTATTTATCCATTGGCATGGTGTCATTACTTGTAAGACGGTCTTAACCATAAGTTTTCTTTAGCGTAAAAAGATATGATATATCCAATCGCAGAGGCACCATCACTTGTGTACCGCATATCAGAATGTTATATCTAAGCACTCATCCATCACAAAACTAATGACTGCATAAAAAAGAAGAGTTCAGCTTACTTCTAACCCTTTTTTGCCAACTATAGTGAATGATAGTAAAATATGTTCAACGAACCTTCTACAAAGACCAAATTTCCTTTCTGATCAGATATATAAACGAGGAAAATCGGGATATCGGCTTTGGAAAGGAAAATTGATCAGAGAAGGGAAGGAGAGATATCCTGTAGAATAAAATGGTGGAGATTTAGAAAGCCAGCCTCTGTGGCTCCCGATTCAATTATAATTTTCATTAGTGATCTACCGTAGTTGTTTCACTTTGTATTGATAAAGCAATAACAAAATGCATGATATAAGCAAAAGACAAGGCATCTATCTCCAGAAGGATTGCTAATTCAGAGAGCATTCAGCAGTCCTGTGATGAAAAACTGGGGTATAAACAATTTCAGTGAACATAGGGAAATTTTCTGAGAGCAGGTTTGTCTTATAGCATCTGCACGATCAAGGAAAGTTACCAAAGGTGTGATAAAAAAGGCCATCTCTGTTGGTGGTGAAAAATCGCATCCCACAGTTATAAACACGAATCGATTAGCATGGAACATCTTCTTTTCCCAGTGAAATCCCGTAGTATATGAAACAATGAATAAATGCTTTTGTTGCTGTGGAATAAGAAGCCTTGGTACTTTATTGTATGCGTTCGGAGCTATTAGAGTGGGATCCACGGTGTAACTTTATTCTATATTTTATTGAATACCTATTTTTTAGCTGCTATAAATGTCTTAATCATATTTTCTGTAATGTTTACGAAAGGGCTCAGAATATTCCAACGATTTCTATCTTTTGACTGGAATATGTGGTTAATTTCCTGGCCAGTATAAGCATTCTATTTTCACTAATGCGTACTCAGATACATCATGGTACGGGTTTATTTGGACTACAAAATCAAACCACATTATAGACAAGGAGCTTATAAGTAATATTCAACATGATTGGAATTCATATATCAAGACATGTATATAACTATGGGAAGTCAGGAAATTACATAATCTAAATATTCCCACAAAAAGTTTGATTTTAATTCAAAATGATCAATATTTAGAATCAGAACAAGTGATTGCTGAGATTCGTATCAGAGAAGCCACTTTGAATTTTAAAGAGAAGATTCCAGTGGCTAACCTTCACATGAGCGATGAAAATAATGATCGGTCAATATGTAAGGAAATGAAAGGGATTTCCTGCCTTCTTCATTCCAAACTCTGGGTGGAAATATTTAATAAGATCTTCAAATAAACAGACAAGGAAATGTGGCAGGGATCAAGGGGTATTGTAGGTAAGGTGGAGAGTTGTAAAGTTCAAGAAATTGTTGTAGTCTTTAAAGGTTTCAAATGTTTGGAATGTGTAGTGACTATGGAGAAGATGGAAGCGTTGGCCAATCTAGTTAAGGCTATTAAGCCCAGTAAATGGCAGCTTTCAGCTGCCACATGCCCCTTATCCTATTTGATTGGAATCAAGCATAGGCTAGTAGGGATTCTCTGATGCAATGAAAGAAACCCGAGAAACCTTGCGGGGGCATTTTCCATCCATGTGAAGAGGGCAGTCACTGGGGAATGAGCATTTATGGCATCAGATACAAGTGTGAGGGTGTGGAATTTCTCCTAGGTTTCCTCCTGGAGGGCATGGAATTTCTCATCAAGAAGAAAATATTAGAGAAGACAGGAGGAAACACACCAGAAACCTTAGGTTGTATGGATCTGAGGTTTGGTTAGAGATCCAAGGCAATTGTGATGTCCTTGGATGGCATATGGATGCCTACGTCCCAAAAAATATTAGACTGGATGAGTGTTGTTTATGTTATGTCTTCAGAACACTTAGGTCACTGGGAGATGAGAGCGTCTGTTTTTACATACTAGGACCAGTCATCTTTCATGACAGATTTTGCTGAGATGGATTTACGTCGTACATTCCTTTGGTGACATCTGCTATCCTCATAAATGGAAATCCTTTGTGATTCTTCCATTTGGAGACAACTTACAGACGGGAACTGCATATCTCCTCTGATCTTGTGCGTAGTCAAGGTGTTAAGTAGAATGTAGCAGAAGTAAAAGCGTTTAGGTGAATCAGATGCTTCCAAGCATGTAGAGAAAATTTATTTGTGACCCACCTCAAATGTGCTGATGACCAGACTGCTGGCAGGGAAATTTCCTCACTCTTATCTAGGTATGTCATTAACTACGCGTGCCATAAGTTGCAGTGACAGCAAAGATGGTACAGAATCTTGAAAGCAGACTGGCAAGATGGAGAGGCAAATTTCTCCCTTAAGGTGGAAGGCCGGTTTTGCTTGAGTATCAGCAGTCTGGCCTATCAATCTATAGCATTTTCTTACCCTTCACAGCATTGTTGTTCTGGAGAAAGGGTCATACACGTCCCTTGTGTTAGAGTGAGAGCGTCAGCCGGGATTTATATAACGAAGCAATTAAACAAACTTATTTTTTGAGGGCTGAGTGATTAGCATAAACTTCGCCATCTAGGTGTAGACCACGCCACTAATTTCTTTTGCGCAGATGGCCATTTCAACACCATGCTAAGATAATCCAAATACATCGCCTTTTCATTTGAAGATAATGAATAAGATGCAGTACTCGAGTTAAAAAAGGGGAGCTTCTACTAACTGATAAAAATGCAACACATCATTCTCTTTTCCTCAGACGATTAACATCATACTATAGAGAGAAAGTGAATATATATATCACATAATACTCATATTGAAGGCAAAAGACCTCAGAATTCTCTATACTAGTAACACTCGATAAATTATGCATATATCACATAATGCTAACAGTGGACAAAAGAAAATTACTATAATATGAAACTGAAAGAATAGCAGCACTTGTACGAATCTGTTGTTATTCTTTTCCTTGCTTTACTAGACATATCATAAAAAGCAGTTCACGCCAGCTGATGTAAAAAATGTCGTTTCCAAGTGACATGACAGTTACCTGAGTGCTTCTACCTGATGTTGCAGCTCAATAATCTCCAACTGTGATGTCTTAACTGTGTCCTCCAACACGCCAGCCTTTCCATTAGGGAGAGGAGGGAAGTCCAGGGACACATCAAGGATATTTCCACTATCAATTAATGTCGGTACAACAAAAATGAGAAAAAGTTATATCTTACGTAAAACTATGCTTACCAATCTATAAACTTCATCCTCCTTGCCTATAGAAACGTCTTCTTTGTCGTAATCATCAAATCTGAGATCCACACCAGCTTCTCTCGGCCCATTTGCAGCCACTTTTCTTACCTCACTCATCTTTGATGACAATGCACTTCTTAGTAGAGTCCCAATATGACTTTTCTCTGCCAGCAACTGAGCCACCTTTTGGCTCAGACAGTCAACTTCCTGTTTCTTCTCTTCCAAACATGTTCTCACTTTCTCTGCGGCAACCTTTGCCAATTCACAGACGGACACAGTCCCCTCCAATGATGTCCGAAGGTTCTCCTCCATGTCCATGTCCTTCCACATGAATTGTGATTCCGAAAATTCTGAGCGATCCCACTCATTTGACTCTGCGTTCTCAATGATCTCACTGACCTGCTCATGAGCTCGGGAGATATACTTGAGTAGATCCATGACCACCAACCTCTGTGAGTCCAATTTTTCTTGAAGGCCCTTCCACTTGGCCTCATACTCCGCCCCGGACAGTCTGAGCTGGGTTATCTCCCCCGCCAACTCGGTGATTTTCCCGTCCTTCTCACCCACAGATTTCTCAAAATCCTCTATTTCTGAGGACTTTCGTGATACCTCCTCTCTCAGCCCAGCGATAGTGGCTTCAAGTTGCGAGACCTCGATAGCAATCTCGTAATTGCGTTGCTCCACTAGCTCTCGGGCCTCATTTCTATCCTTTTCTGCAGAATCCACCTGCCGGACAAGCTCCTCCACGATTACGTTTGTTCTCTTGATCACCCCGTAAGCGACGGAAGGCAGCCCCGTCATGTACTTCTGCGACCTGGGCAACCCACCTGCGGGAAAGTTCACGAATCTTCCGACCTTGCTAGATATCTTCTCAATTCCTGTGACCATCATCTGCGCTGCAGACTCCATTTCCGACCTTGACGCGTCCTTTTGCCTCATTGCCTCGTCCAACTGCCTCGTCGCCTCCTCCTTCTGCTTCAGGATCTCCTCCTTAAAACGCGCAGCCTCGGCAAGCTCGACGGCAGCCCTCTCTGAGGATCGGGCCGCCTCCTCCTTGTCGCGCAGGGCCTCATCGCGCTTGCGGATGGCCTCGTGGGCGAGGACCTTGAGGCGGGCGAACGTGTTCTGCAGGTCGGCGTGGGCGTCCTCGGCGACCTTACGCGCCTGCCGCTCTCGATCAAGCTCCGCTTGTAAGTCGCGGATTCGCTGGTTCACGGCAGCATCGTCAGAAGAAGAGGACATCGGCGAGGTCTTCCCAGCGGAAAGCACGATGGGCACAGGGTCTTCATCCCCGTCCACGTCGCTGAGGACGGCATCGGCGTCCTCCTCCGCCATCCCAGATCACCTCCGACCCCGCTGCCCGACGCCGGCCACTGGAGACGACAGGAGAAGAGAAAGCGCAGAGAGAGAGAGAGAGAGAGATCCAAGAGACCTTCAACCACCGGTCTACTTATGGGGAATCAAGTACCCTCCTTCTATCGTGTTTCTCCTTCTCCGTGCGTTATGTATGCGGAAGAAGCCGCTGACGTGGTTCCGGCTTCGTCGCCGCTTCAAAGTGCCGGTCTAAGAAGTCGGATCCGGATCCACTGTCGCCCAAAGTGCACCCGTTTTATGTTTTTACTCAAATTTGTAGCTTCGATAATTCATCTAAATATAAAAAATAGCATTATATTCTGATATTAACATATTTAAATTTATTTACGTAATTATTACATTGAATTACGCTTTTTATCCCAAATACTGAGTACACGCTTTATAACCTTTGCTAACTTCAAAATAAGCAATACAATGGATTTTAGTACTTTAAAATTATATAATAAATATTATTTATATGGTTTCTCAAGATAATAACTTTGTTCTATCGTATCCATTAGAAAAATAATGTCATCTCTTCATTTATTTGATAACATTCTACTCCTATCCATTGCCTTATCAAATTAATGTAAAATATTAATTTTTGGGAAACATCAAATATACTAAAAAAAATGAAAAAATTCCCACAATTTTTTATATGAACTTTTAAAAATATATAATTTAAAATTTGGAGGAAATAAATGTACAAAAGTATGTTTTAGAGATTATTTAAGATTTTTTTTATAAAAAATAGTAATTATATATTAAATAAAAAAAGAATAGCTAACTATAATCTCTTGACCCATCACCCAAGTGGTACAGCAGATGGGAATGAATGCTATGAAAGCCTGAATAAGTGTGAATTATTCAAGAGAATTTCAAAGATTAAGGGTTTTGAAAAAAGATTTTAGAGACTAATTTTTCAAGTATGTTTGGAACCTATAAATTTAGTGGGCCACATTGCTATATATTGTGAAGCTTGAAAAAATGATTGTTATGATTATAGAATCTCAACTTTTTCATTAAATTGATGAATATTTTGTGCATTATTTTAAGCAAGGAAATAGATAATATTAATTCAGTTTTTTATTACAAAAATAAAACAATAAAGAGTGACCTATGAAAGTTATATGGAGATACATACTTAAAATAAATCATCATATGTATAAAAATATAATCTTAAATAATTTGTATCATGAAAGTTGAGGATTATATGTAGTTCACCCACATAGACTTCCATATCTTAGTTTTCTATGACTTAATGAATAGATATCGACAATATATTAGTTAATTTATTATAATGACCATAATTAAATGATTATGATACATAATAAGTAGTCTCCCATACTTACTTTTATTAAGCTGACATTCGTAATAATTAAAAAATATTCACTATATTTTTTTCGTAGTTTATAAAATACTCGAGATTAAGTGGGAAGTAGCCGTCGAGAGTAGGCTAGTTTAGTCGTCAGTAATGGATTTGATGGGCACGTTTTTTTACATGGTTCTTTTATCGGGTTTTGTAAAAGTTTGAACCTTTACGAGGATTTATGTATAATTAGATCATCACAGTGAAGACGAAATCTCTAGGAAGATAATCCACGGCAACCCAGTTGTCACTCGCGCAACCCCCCTGCAATGGCTGCTACGGGGCATCCGTTCGCCAGCGCCACCCTGAGCGTCTCCTCTGCTCTCAGTTCCGTGCGAGAGAGCAGCAAATGTGGCGGCGGACTCTGGGCTCGCACCATCTCCCCCTCTTTCCATGGCATTCCAAGCTTGAACCGTGCCACCCGGGTTCGAGTGAGACCAACTCCTTCCAGAATTCCTTTCTTTGGTTCAGATCCTGCTTATAGTATCTCTGTAGCGAGTTTACTCACTGGGGTTCGGGATGTTTTAATTTGAAGTGCCCGAAGGGTGTTGTTAGGATGCGTGTCGCGGTGGAGGATGAACAGGACCCAGCGAAGCAGGTGAAAGAGATGGCTGCTGCCAGGAGGAGATGGGACGCTTTGGTAACATTATTATCGATTTTATATAGAACTGTATTTATTTTTATGTTGAAGTAAGGACTGTTGTTACCAATAATCTGGGGACTTCCTTTTTACGTGTGAACCTGAGAATTTCAGGAGTGGGAGGGAATTTAGAGCATGTCTTGTTTCAGTGAATATGCCACGTTAGTCCTGGTTTCATATTTTAAAAAAAAATCAAAATTTCCTTGACTAATTGGAGAAGATGACATCAATTGAAAGAATATCTTATATTCATTAGATTATGTTAAAAAACCCTCTGGTACAGGGAGTGATCACTGGATGGATCGCTCATAGTTCGAGATGTGAAGTTCTAGCCCATAATTTTGTTGTGTTCTTGTCCTCCAGTCCGCAGAAGCTAGGTTTCAGTCTCAGTCATGCTGTCAGTTTTGGGAAACTTCTATGATGATTACTCTACTCCATGAGCTGATTTATTCTCTTTTTTTGTTCATTTGGTCACTTTACAGATCAGAGAACAAAAGGTTATGGTCCTTACACCAAGAGAAGCTGGTTATGCTATTCAACTCTCTGACACAGCCCTCCTTGATGTTCGTCCATCAACAGAGAGACAGAAGGTCAGGTGGTGTTCACTAGGGCGCCTCGGTTATATTGACTTCTAAATTTCGTCCAGCCTCTCCATTTAATGTTTCTGTTTTGGCAGGCATGGGTTAATGGCTCTACCTGGATTCCAATCTTTGATGTTGATAATTCACTTGACTTCGGCACTGTTTCCAAAAAGATTACCTCTTTTACAATGGGTAAATCAGAATTCATCCTGTAACCATACTTTCTTATTCGGACAATGATTATTAGTATTGATGACGAACTATATCCATCTGCATTAGCCTTCTTGGTGTTTAAAAGTACTATTCACAGTTCTTCTTAGATACCAGTTTCTTTTATTTTGCTTTATAACACCAATAGCAGAGTCAAACAAATATTAGAAACCATGTAAACGAAGTAGTAACTTAAAGCTTGTGAGGCATAAGAGGTTTCACCCATAAAAACTTCGTTAGTACACTTCACCATTTTTGTTTTTATTTCAAACGGTCAAGATTATCGACTTACTTCCCATGAAAACAGAAATGTGCTGAATGTGGTATGACAATCCAAAATGACCTTGGGACAAGGCTTGTGAGATAAGAAGGAAGTAGAGCTGGGTACAAGGATCATGTATACTCAGTTCCCTTGGTGTGAATGGTGATCTATTCCTTGTTGGAAAGTAAAGATAATTCATATACTGAAATCTAAATTGCTCCTTCCGAGTTTCAAAAAATCTAAAGACCTCTCTGGATTGGTCAGGTTCAACTTTTTCCTATTCTTTCAATCGTTTGAGTACTTGGACAATTTGGTTAATGTTTAGAAAATATATCTCTTCAAATTCTGGTCATAGAAAATTTGTGTTGACTACTAGCAGCAAGACGCAGCATTTTGGATAGTAGCGGATAGATTGCTGGTCGCCATCATGGTGGAATCATTGATATAAGATAGTTAAATATATGAAACAAATGTAATGGCGTGATTTACCTTTATGCTTTTATTGTTTTCTTTTCTTTTAGCGTACTGTGATAGTGTCTTCATTAGATACTCTTCTTCGCATGCTTCTGCGCATATGCATATTTCCTTTTTCTAGATGTAGATTTAACGTGTCTTGTAGCTCCTGACGTTGATCAGTGCTATTCTTTTTATGGTGGGAAAAACGAGAATCTGATGAACTGCTCTTGGAATGTGATTATCATTATGGTCAATGTACTTAGTCTTGTCAGGTTCAAGGCTTGGACCAACTTATCTGAATACGTATACAGCTTTTATTTCTCAATTGAACTATGTAACATAACGTGTAGCAGCCATAAATTCCTTAACTTCAACATGTTAACCTTAATTACAAGGTTCTGCATCTTGAATTTTGATTGAGGAGTGGTAGTGAAGGTATTTGTATATAGTTGTGTAACCTTCCATGAAAAGTCATAAAGGCCCGTATAATCAGGCTACATTGAAGATTGGTGCATAGTTATGAACATGTTTGGGATCTGATTGTTGTTGTCGCTGCTGATAGGGAGTAAGTGGAAGATGAGGAGACCTTTTGTCGTAGAAATTAGGTTGGATTTTGTATTGGCTCAGGGGTGATGAGTGAATGTGGAGAAATGTGGGAATGTGCTGTATGAGATTAATATGTTGGAGATTAGGGCTATCAGCTATGAGAAATCTTATGAATTGCGTATGATTTTGACTTGTTTTGGGTCATCCCTTGAGCAAGGCCTTACAGCTAGGTATGACTAGTCCAGAGGTTAAGGCTCATCTTAATTTTTGAATTTTTTTATTGATAAGAGCTCACTCATCGTAAAAGTGGATGTAAACTCTAGGGCGATTGGCACTTGATTAGTGGTTATAGATATGTAGTCTATGAGCAGAAATGATCTGTCTGTAATGGACATAACTCATATTTTCTAATTATTCCTCTACATGATATGGAATAATAGATAAATGCTTACTTGTATCTTGTTTTTATCGACCTCTATTATCTAAGTTGGACTGTGAAAATGTTAGTCCTAAACTTATTTCTATTTTGCGTCGAATTTTCAATATTTATTAATTTTAGAATTAGCTTTATTGATTTTAGAATTAACTTCCACAGTCAACAGATGTTCCGTTTCTTTTCTTCTCTATAATTTGATCGGGATCAAGTTTAGGCTCAACTGAGCAGGCATTAGTCGCAATTCCTTTATCTTTTGTTAAGATTCAGAATGATTATGAATTGAGTCAGCCTTTCTTGCTGGTCTTGTGGGTTTCAGTTTTTGACACAATTTGGATATCCAGGACAATCACATGATCTTACTATCTCAGCTGTGATTAGGTTGAACATTCTATGGATCTCATTGGAGAATGTTAAAAAAATTCTAGTTCCAAGGAAGATTCGGTTCTTTTTGTTTCGTTTATAATTAGAGTGAATCTGTACATTTTCCTCTGTAAAGATTTGGCCTGAATCTTAATTTTCCTTTGTGTTTCAAGTAATTAGATTTATTTCTATTAATTCGTCAGAAAAGGATTAGTGAAACCTGTGTCAGAGAAGAAGTGATGATGATCAACTTAATTTGATTTTGTATTACATATGCTCTTTCTTTCTTCCTGAATTGGTTTGTAAACCTCGTCAACCTGTCCCTGTTGACTTTTTCAGGAGGCTGGTGGAGTGGTGTTCCTACATTAGTTTATGACAAGTACGCTTAATACACCCTAAAATAGTCTCTCACAGATTAATGGAGGATTCTTATGGATTCGTGGTAGTTAATTTCAGGGATTTCATCTCAAAAGTTGAAAGCAAGTTTCCGAAAGAGAGTGAGCTAGTTGTTGTTTGCCAAAAGGGACTCAGGTGATCCCTTAGATTATAGCTCCTCTCACTAAAGCTTACAACGTTGTTAGTGAACATATTTTTCTGTCTGCTGTATTTTCCCTTTCAGTTGTTATAAATGTTTCTTATTTAGTTGCCCCAGTCTGATAAATAAGGTGTTCAAGTGGTATAATGAATGCTTTATTGCCTTATGAAAAAAGGGATGATAGCTGACATGATGTTACATATTTGTTGCTATGAATATATTTGGACAAAATTTTGATAATTTGGATCAACATTATTACACAATCATTAGAAAAAATCAAAGATATACAAACGTGGTCAATCAGTTCTCAAAGGAAAAAAGATACATTCCATAACTTATCAAAGACAGTATATGCTGCACTACAACCGTAGTAGAAACTTGGGAGATTAAATTGGGAGGAAAAAATTCACTTTGCTTGGCCCCTTTTTCATGCTATTCTATTTTTCCCTCCTATCAATTAATTTTGTGTCCTATATATCAATTGCTTAATACTTTCTTTCTATTGGCTTTCAATCTATATGTTTTTCATTTTTTCCACTTTTGTTATTCTTATTTACTTCCTGTTCATTTGTGATCTGCTTGTTGTCCACATCCTGTGGGGAAAAGACTTCAGGTCATTCCTTGATTTTTCATCGTCGTTGTTAGTCCTCCAAGCTTGATCTGTAAGGAAGAGCGTTCTATTTTAGCATCATTTAGAAAAGTATTAAACCCAGAAGTGTTGCTGATCTTGCCTTCTCCTCTTGGCTTTTTATCACTTTTGTTGTACCCACTGAAGGTTGCTAACTTCTGAAGGTCTTCTTCATCTGGTAGGCTGTTGATCCTTGCTATTTCTGGACTGACAAACTTGTGCATATTGTGATGGATTTATAAGGCTTTCCATGTTGACTATATGAATGCTTTACTTTCTTTTGGTAATCAGCTGAAAGATGCTGATCCTGCTTTTCAGTACCTTTCCCTCTTGAGATCATGTTGAGTTAAATGGTCTTCTATTGCAGATCAATTGCTGCTTGCGAGCAACTATACAACGCGGGCTACAGAAACCTCTTTTGGGTTCAAGGGGGTCTGGAAACCGCTGAAGAGGAGGTGAACATATTCCTCATACATGGATCTACCCTCCTCGTTTCTCTGATTCATTTTCCCTTTCCAAGTTATTTTTAGGGCAATTTAGTGGGTATTATATGCTTCATACATTCTTGAAACCAGGATTTTCAGCGCGAAGGTCCTCAGCCTTTCAAGCTCGCTGGGATTGGTGGAGTGTCCGAGTTTTTTGGGTAACTTCTTGTTGACATTCCCATGCCGATTATTGTTAGTGACTTTATGTAGCATTGCTACGATTGGGTGGATCTTCCCTGTTCTTCATGAACCCACAAGTACCCAATTTTCTTTCCCTGATGAACAGCAGAAGCATGATCGCCTGGAGATTTTATCTGCCTATAAAGAATGTTCTGAATATATCATCTTAAATGTTCTCTTGCAGTTGGACAGATCAACAGCGTATTGTGGCTGCCAAGGAAGGATGGGGCTACCGATTCACATACACTGCCCGCTTGGTATCTTTTGGCGATATTGGTAATTTATGTCAGAATTTAGGATAATTTTGAGGAAAATCATTTTTCTCTTGCTGGATTGTGCTACAGATTGGGCTAATTATCCTGGTAGACGCTTTATTTTTTGGAGGCCAGCAAATCCGTCCCCTGCTTCAAGGGCTGCAGTCAAATTGACACGGTTTCCCACAGGTGGAGGAGGGGATTTGGGTTCCAGTTCTCTAGAAAAACAGAAAAAAATAATGCTGGTAGGAATCCTCCACCAAGATGTTTATAACTGTTTGTTCCTTTTATTTCATCTGATTCCCCATGCATGGGTATCTGTTCCTCATATTATATCTGAACCATGATGTCATTGATGACATTTCATTCATTGGAGCAGATACATTATCCTAATTCCAATCAAATTTAGTTCATCCCTTACAATAGTTTTTGTTTCTTTAGTGTTCTTTTAACATATATCACTACTTCTTATTTCATGTAATTTCCCATGGATATCTGCTCCTCATATTATATCTGAACCATGCTGTCATTGATGACATTTCAGTCATTGGAGCAGAGATATTATCCTACTTCTATCAAGTTTAGTTTATTCCTTACAGCTTTTTTTTTGTTTATTTAGTATTTTTCTAAACATATGCCACTACTTATTTCATGTAATTTCCCATGGATATCTGTTCTTCATATCATATCTGAACCATGCTGTCATTGATGACATTTCAGTCATTGGAGCAGAAACAATATCCTAATTCTAATCAAATTTAGTTCATCCCTTAAAATATTTTTTGTTTATTTAGTGTTTTTTTAAAATATATTTCACTACTTCTTAATGCTTTCTTTGGCAGCATCAGAGGCAGCATCAAATGCCCTTCATCATCATTCTGTGAGGAAGCAGACTAAAGAAATAAAAACTATTTGATAGATAGCCTCTTACTTAGTGCATGGTGTTGGATTTTTCTTCACTGGTAGAGCGTGTAGTCCAGATTTGCCTCTGCTTGTCACGTTGCTTGATGTTTTATGTGACACGTGTTTCATGTTTGGCTTCAATTTTTTGAGTATCGATGAGTAAATATCAGTTTTTTGTTTATATTTGAGCGAAATAACGCCATTATTCCCGTCAAATTTAAGCACATATCAGTTTTTTTGTTTATATTTGCCTATATTTCAGTTTTTTGCTAATTTCTCCAGCTCATAATTTATAAGGATTTTAGTAAAAAACCTTATAAAATGTGCATATCGAGATTAAGATTATTTAAAACTGTTATATATGTAATTTTAAAAATATTTCCAACTAGCAATTTTTTACAAATAGAAATATTCAGGGCTTTATAAATTAAAGGAAATATATGATCACGCACATATATATATATATATGCATAAATGGGTTGTTACATCTAATTACAGATAATATTTAATTTCAGAATTTAATAAAAAACTTGTGTTTAAATAATAAACTAAATATGACAAATTTTGGTAAAAAAAATCTAATAGATGGATATTCTTGGAATCTATAAAACTTTTTATTTCAGAAGTTTATCCTTCAAACGTAACTTTATGTACTTGTCTGAGGTTCCACGTGAAACGAGGCCAACCGGGGCTGGAGGGAGGGCCCAGAGGCTTGAACCTAACCCCAGGGTTAATGCTAACCAGAGTTAGAATAACGACGGTGACGGCCAGACTCCCCCGGCCCTTCAGCGCGGCATTACTATATATTGATTTCTCCGTTGGGATTAGATGTCACGAAGGAATATTGGTGTATGTGTTGCGTTCTCCGCTGGTTAGGGTTAGGGTTAGGGTTTCCAGGCGCGACAAGCGGATCTCGGTTTCTGACTTCATTTTCTTAGGGTTTCCTCGGCGACCTCCATCGGATTCGTGCTCTGTTGAGCGGATTTTAGAATCATGGAGATGGAGTGCCTCACAGAGTTTCCGCACAACCACATGGATCGTCATCCCAGGAAGCGCCCTAGGATGGCCTGGGACGTTCAGCCCCCTCTTAAGGTATTGTTTCTCTCGTCGATTTTCTGACTTCTTTATGTTTCTCGATTATGCCTCTCTATTTTTCGTTTCCACTAATCCAGTAGATCTATTCTTGATTCCTTAGATCTACAGGTTAGATCAGGTATGTAATTTTGTTTTCTGTTGGTTTGTGTTTGGATTTCTATGTATGTTTCTATGTTATGCATAATTGTGTCGCTGCTAAGATCTACATAGGTTTTCATCTATTTGTCTATTTTTTGTTATTCTTGCGCTTATGTGCGCATATTGGCCTTAACTATCCTCATCGATTTTATGTTGTCCTCTCTTTAATACTGTAAAGGCGGCTGGAAATCTTATTTTCTAGCATAGCTTTCTCTCCTCAGGTAATATATGTATGTTCGTAATCAGGCCTTGCGAGAAATCCTTTCAGGGATCATCCCTGCCGTTATATCTGACTCTGGTCTTTGAATTTAAACCGTCGTGTTATTTACCGTGGAATTAATATTCATATGGTTGACCTGCTAACTCTGGGTATGCTGCGCGAGAACCCTTTTCCGTTTTTGTAGCTTCTTTATTTATTATTGCGCAGATAACGAGTTCGGTGGCAACTGATATGTTTCTTATGAATCCGTTCTCTTTTGTGCATGGAGCTTGTGTCACACCGAAATTATATTCCATAGTAGTATCCTACGCGGTTTTGTCGAGTCGGTTTACACTCGTGGGAGAGTCATCATCCCTCGTGTTTCGTCAAATCCTGTTGTGACAGGTTTCAGAAGTGCATTTTCGACACGGTTGCTTCTTGAAGGTTGATGGATTATGATGCTGCCTTTCGGTTTTGATTTCTAAGTAGCGTTCTATATCATTCTCTTACCTCGATGTAGCCATTTATTCTATTTTTTATCATGTGCTTCTATTTCTCATTTATTTGATGCTGCAATGGTTGTTGTCAATGGAGATGATGAGGGATGATTCTTTGTTGAGTGGGAAAAATTAAATGAATGGTTGTGTGTAGGCTCAGCTAGGATTGTCATGTGGACAAGAAGTGGGAGATGTGACAAGCTTTTTATCTTCAAGTGCACCTTCAGACCACACTTGTTCTTCTGTAAATGTGAAGGGATTGGCTCGAAATGGTTCTCCGCCTTGGCGAGAGGATGACAAAGATGGGCATTTCATGTTTGCGGTTGGAGAGAATTTAACCTCTCGCTGTAATTACACTTGCTAACCACTATTAAAATCTTATTTGTGTGCTAGATGTTTTCCATTGCCTCTTCAATATAGATATCGAATTTAAAACTTATGTAGTGTATAGTAGGTTAGCTTTATTGTCGTTCTTAGTACTGTTGCCGCCTTTTTTGCGAATATGGCGCTTATCCCGTGAAGTGCAATTATCGTTTCACTCTCATTGTGTCTGTTCTCAGACAGTATCTCTAGATAAGAAAGACTGCATTGTTCTATAATTGAACACGTTCCAAAAATTTTTATGGTTGATTATCCACACTACCTACTATATTACTTTGTCCTTCGTTCACCTCTCTGTCAACTTTTCATCGTTTCCGATTTTCATCTGGTTGGTCGGTTTTTCTGTTCTTGTCATACAAGATGAAAGAAGAGAATTATGTGCTCTTTTGATTTGCCTTCTTTCTATGCCAATTTTCTAATGCGTTGTTTATTGTGCTTGTCTTTGCTTGCAGATAAAATCTACAGCAAAATGGGGGAAGGTTAGTTTTCCGATTACCGTCCGTTGTCAATTTTAGATAGCTTTTTCGTCTGCTTGTGTAGTCGGTTGTTACGAATCGCTTTTGTTCGTCATTTGATCTACGAATAGTTATTTCCTTATTTGTACTGCATCGTTGTGCTTGTCCTTAGCAGGTGGGTGTAATTCCTCTCACCTGTTATTTTTACTGGGAAATTGTACAGGGACATTTGGCCAAGTTTTAGAATGCTGGGACCGTGAAAGGAAGGAGATGGTGGCCATTAAAGTTATCCGTGGCATCAAGAAGTACCGTGAAGCCGCCATGATTGAGATTGACGTGCTCCAGGAGCTAGCTACAAATGATAAGAGTGGCCGGTAAGTGGTTGTCCGTTATATGGCACTGATGGTTGTTGTTCCCTTTGGTTTATATTAATTAGTAAGCTCTCTAGGCAAATGAAGCCAGGCATAAGTTGGTGTGTTTTTGCAGTTGTGTGCAAATAAGGAACTGGTTTGACTATCGTAACCATATCTGTATTGTAAGTATATATGGCCTGGTTTTGTGATGACTTGCTTTCCCCATTCTAAAGATATCCGGGGGGTTACAACTTGTCCATGGATTTAAATGGCTTGAACAGGTCTTTGAGAAGCTTGGACCAAGCTTATATGATTTTCTCCGCAAAAACAATTACCGCTCATTTCCCGTTGATCTTGTCCGGGAGCTTGGAAGGCAACTCTTGGAATGTGTAGCATGTGTGTGAAGCCTTCTTTATCTTCCTTCCACCATTCATTCCTTCATTCATTCATTCATTCATTCATCTCTCTTCCTGTTCGCCTGTGTGGTCACGGCGGCCTGGATTTTATATTCGTCATCATTATGTTCATGCTGACGATATTATTATATCAGACGGTGGCATGGTAGCTAGTTCTTGCTGCTCTCTCCATTTAGGCAGCCAGAGTGGAGCTGCTGTTATTCTCCCGTTCTCACTAGTTACCTCTGCTCTCCCCTCCAGTTATGCACGAACTGAGGCTGATCCACACGGATTTGAAGCCGGAGAATATACTCCTCGTGTCTCCCGAGTACGTGAAGGTACCCGATTACAAGGTATACATGTCTCTTGTTCGTCTTCTTCTTCTTCTTCTTCTTCTCTTTGTGCTTGGGTATCAAATCCCGAACAGAACCCATCTGGTTGGGGTTCCCTCTTTTTACGAATTTTAAACTAATCCCTCCTTGTATCTGGTTGGTGCCCGCAGGCGTCTTCTTCGTCATCCCGATCGCCAAAGGACGGGGCTTGCTTCAAGCGGCTCCCCAAGTCGAGCGCCATTAAGGTGATCGACTTCGGCAGCACCACGTACGAGCACCAAGACCACAGCTACATCGTCTCTACCAGGCACTACCGCGCCCCCGAAGTCATCCTCGGTACTTGGAAGATAGATCTTTTCCCCTTCCTCTACTACTAGTAACCCATATGTACATATCTATCTAGATATAGGCAGTGCGTTTATTTGGTCTGCATGTGTGTTGTTGTGTGTGGGCAGGGCTCGGGTGGAGCTATCCGTGCGACATATGGAGCGTCGGCTGCATACTGGTGGAGCTCTGCTCTGTACGCCCCCTCGCAATCCACTCCCGCAACATTCAACCCCCGCAAACGCGTGGGCTGTGAGAGTAAATGGCGGTTTTATTTGCTCGTCTGCGCGCAGGGGGAGGCGCTGTTCCAGACTCACGAGAACCTTGAGCATCTCGCCATGATGGAGCGCGTCCTCGGGCCCATCCCCCAACACATGACCAAGAGAGCCGGGTGGGCCATCATTAGCCATCAGCCATCATCATCATCCATCCCCCATCCTCCATCATCACCCTATTGCGGCTAACCCTCGTGCTTCCTTGCAGCCGGCACGCGGACAAGTACGTCAGAAGGGGGCGGCTGGACTGGCCCGAGGGCGCCGCCTCCAGGGAGAGCATTCGCGCTGTGCAGAGGCTCCCGCGCCTCCAGGTGAGAGAAAAGAACAACATTCCTCCCCAGGTACCTCCACCCACCGTACTTCACTTGCTTACACCCTGCACCCCCCTTTCCCGCCGTCCTCTTGGCAGAACCTGGTGATGGAGCACGTGGACCACTCGGCCGGGGACCTCATCGACCTCCTGCAGGGGCTCCTTCGCTACGAGCCCTCGGAGCGGATGACGGCGCGGGAGGCGCTCAGACACCCCTTCTTCGCCCGCCCCGACCACCACCCCCACCACTCCCACCACCGCAGATGACACGCTCCTCGTCTCCTCCCTTCCTTCCTCCTGTACAGTCTCCGTCGACTCACCGCTGCCAGCTGGCGGCCCAATCCATCCTCCATCTCAGTTCCCCTTGCGGTCAATTGGCGGCGGCCGACGCGGTCCCGCCGATGATGGCTCGACGAATCTATATATAAATATTATATTTCATTTCATCTCATCTCTGGAGTTATTATTGTGAGATAGTGAAAGATCAGATCTGATAGGCGACGGTGGTGTCGGGGGTTGCAGCGGACGGATAACCGTGAGAGGGAGCATTAAACGTGCGCCCGTCAAAAAGCATGACTTCAGCCTACCGTTCTGTTGGCCGAAGTCATGGTTTTTGACCGGCGGTGAACCTCGGTGAGAGGAGGAATTAGAATTGCCGGTGTACTTAGTTGATTTATTGAATCGGTGACTGCCGTCGCTTTCCACTGCCAAACCCGCGCACTCCGCCCACGCCGCCTCTCTCTCTCTCTCTCTCTCGCTGTGTTTTGGGCTGGCTGGCTGGCGACGAGAGGAAGAGGGGGGGAGGGGAGGGATGATGAAGCAGGAGGGGGGTGGGGAGGGGCCCGTGCAGCTGCCGGCGGCGGCGGCGGCGGCGGTGTTGTTCTTGCTGGGCAGTAGGAGGGCCTTTGCCTCCGCGCTCATCGTCCTCGTTGTCTGCCTCGGCCTCCTCTGCGTCTACCACGGCGCCTACTTCGGCCCCGGAGTCGGTCGCCGCGACTCCCGCTCCGGCGACCTGGAAGACGACGTGTCCGACCCAGTCTTTGGCCATCTTCTCTCCTCCTCCGCTGCGGCCACTGGGGGAGGAGCCTTCCACGATGACGGCGGCGCCGCCGTCGTCAAATCCATGCCGGTACCTCGCCGTTGCTTGCTGCCTTTCTCGCTACCGAGTTCTGTGAATCATTGGTGATCCGATCCATGGTTGGCTCGATTGTGCAGGTGTGCGATATGAGACTGTCGGAGTTGATACCTTGCTTGGATAGGAACCTCATCTACCAGCTGAAGCTGAAACCAAATCTCGACCTGATGGAGCACTACGAACGCCATTGCCCCCCGCAGCAGCGCCGCTATAACTGCCTCATCCCTCCCCCTCATGGCTACAGAGTACGTACATCCTTCTCTCGCTCTTTCCAGTTCTCTCTCTTTCTCTCTCTCTCTCTCTCTCTCTCTCTCTTTATCGTCTCCTCTGCCTTCTCACTGTGGCCTGGCCTCTGGCCTCTGCATCGTTTCGCAGATTCCGATCAGGTGGCCTTCGAGCCGTGACGAAGTGTGGAAGGTGAACATACCCCACACTCACTTGGCCTCCGAGAAGTCCGACCAGAACTGGATGGTGGTTAGTGGTGACAAGATCAACTTCCCCGGCGGAGGCACCCACTTCCACAAAGGGGCTGATAAATATATTGTCGCCCTGGCCAAGGTATGAGCGTACGGGAACAACCGTGGGCAATGCCTCATTGAGCTTTCTCGTCCTCATGGATCGATCATCTCGATTTCTTTTTATGGGTTTCTGAAACCCAAAAAACGTTGGATCGCTTTGGCTGATTGCTTGCTTTCCTTTTCATGCTGGAACGCCCCCGGTGAAGTTTAGATGCTGAAGTTCCCTGGCAATAACCTTAACAATGAGGGGAAAATCAGGGCCGTCCTTGATGTGGGCTGTGGAGTTGCAAGCTTTGGGGCATACCTTCTCCCCCTGGACATTATCGCCATGTCAATGGCGCCCAATGACGTGCACCAGAATCAGATCCAGTTTGCTTTGGAGAGGGGGATACCAGCCACACTGGGCGTGCTGGGGACCAAGCGCCTGCCTTACCCAAGTCGTTCATTTGAACTGGCTCACTGCTCCCGGTGCAGGATCGATTGGCTTCAGAGAGATGGGATCCTCCTTTTGGAGCTAGATCGGTTGCTGAGGCCTGGTGGTTACTTTGTGTTGTCCTCGCCAGAGGCATATGCACAAGATGAAGAAAATAGGAGGATATGGGCGGAGTTGAGTGATCTCCTGAAGAGGATGTGCTGGAGGATTGCGTCAAAGAGGGATCAGAGCGTGATATGGATCAAGCCTTTGAGTAACAACTGCTACTTGAGAAGAACTCTGGGGACTCAGCCGCCTCTGTGTGACGCAAATGAGGACCCTGATGCTGCCTGGAATGTACCCCTGAATGCTTGCATCACGCCATATTCCAAGAGTAAGAACCTTGCGTTTTTTATATAACCTTGCTTAATGATTTTCGACAGTTCATCATGTTCGTTATGGTCAGATTGATCACGTTCCTATTAATAACTTTCTTGGGTGTTTCTCTTTTCATTTTGTGAAAATCTTTATGATGTTTAAGGAATTTCGCTATTCTGGGTTATTAAGCTATTATTTGCTTTTGAAATGATAACCGCCAGTCTGACAGTTGGTCATGTTACAAATTCGTCATGACATCACAGCTTAGCTACAGTTTTGTGTGAAAATCAATGTTATTATGGTTGACAATTGTGTATAATAATTGTCATCTAACGATTGGTCCATCTAACGATTCAGCTGGCCTCTTTGAGGCAAATCAATCTTATTATTGTATTTGTTATCTTGTTGACGTTGTATCTAATAATGTCTGCCTTGGTGATCGTTGATCAAACTATGTTGACCGACTTCCACTGTAAGGCTAGCTGTTATGGTTTAATCCTAATCACATTGCTTCACTACGTCCCAAATCTGCATGCTATGGATTTCCAACTCACTGTATTTGGTTTGCTTGTACTTTGATTATATTAATTATACACATCTTCAACATATTTTACAGGGTAAGTTCTCTTCTCTTGTTCTTTTAATTTATTTATTTCTTTCCTTTATTTGGATGCAGAAGTCAACAATGGAAATGATAGTGAATTGGCTCCTTGGCCAAGAAGGCTCACTTCTCCACCTCCTCGTTTAGAAGAAGTTGGGATCAGCCCTGAGGCGTTTCATGAAGACACGGTATAACCCTGGGATCCTTGATGGTTTGCTGCTGCTATTATTTTCAACTTGAGCTTCTATGCTACTTTCTTTAGACGCTTCTCTCTCTCTCTCTCTCTCTCTCTGACATTCGATTAATGTAGGGGATTTGGCGCTTGAGAGTAACACAATACTGGAAGCAGATGAAATCTGCAATAGACAAAGATTCTTTAAGAAATATAATGGACATGAGATCGAACATTGGAGGCTTTGCAGCGTCCCTCTCAGATAAAGATGTATGGGTTATGAATGTTGTTCCTGTCAGCGAGTCGAGCAAACTGAAAATCATTTATGATCGAGGTTTGATTGGATCTCTTCATGATTGGTATGTTTACTTATATCTTTTACTGGTATTCTTTACTTGAGGCCATTTAATATGTATATTTCCGTCAATGTTGTTCTCTAGAGGCTGATGGATCCTAGATTTTCCTGATATTTCTATCTTATATTTGTCTTTAGTTTATTTAAAATATTTGATATCACTTTAACTGGATTGAATTGTAATTTTATTTTTTATTTCGTGATTTACATTGCTTGCTCATTTCTCAGAATCCATTGATGTAAAATTTGGATAAGTAGAGATTGAAATCTTGAAGGTACCTTTTCTTTCAAATACTGATACCTATCGTTTCATTGGTTGTGAGATGGGATGGAGTATCCACATCAGTCAGAACCATTCTAGTGTAGTTTAATTGGGATCTGATCAAATGGACGATGGATGGGGAACAACATTATATTTGCATATTTCTTTTGTTCAAGCTTGAAAATGTATGCCAATGACCAGCTTTGGTGTCAGTTTTGAGGCTAAAAGCGTTTTGTAGGCTGTGCTCTGCTACAGTGCATGCAAGAAAATCTAGGGAGAAATAACAATTAGCTCCCCTGGACTAGCTTCCTATTAAGTCTTCCAAGATTGATGGAGGTATGTGGTCAACTGGGCTTCTCAAGTAGTCAATGTCGTCGCCTGCCTTGATGCCAGGGGCTATGAAATAACCAGCTGAGTATGTTGCAGCATCTTCCTGAAGGTTTTTTTCGAGGAAAGGTAGTTACATTAAGTAGCTGCTCTGGGTAAAGATGTTGCCGAGCTTCGGTTGACCAACTTTGGTTGACTTGGACCCACCCTTTGGATTACCGTTGACTTACTGATTTAGTAAAAAATGCAGAAAAGAAAACCATGCGTCGTAATCACCCTGAAACCCCATTCTGCAGGTCCGTTTTTTTTTTACTCAGAAGTAATGAATGAAGTGAAGGACAAGAAGAGATCCAGTGGCAAGTGTTGACTCAGATTCAGCTGGGCAGAAAATCTGTCAGAAAGATGATAGGAAATTAGCCACATAAATAAAATTACCAGTTCAAAACCCATCGTCAATCTTTGGTTCTTGTGAAGGCTTTTAGCTGCAACAGGGTTTCAATGGACGCTTGATAAATTGATAAAGCTCTCCCCTAATGTTTCAGCTGCAGCAAGAACCTCAGTGGAGCATAAGAAAAATGAAATGATATCATAGTCTGCTTCATGCTTTCCCCCGTTGACCAAAAAGGTAGAAGGTCGCGGTCATTGAGGAGGATAATGCTTGACTTTTGGACGGTGTTCTTGATGATTATTGCTCAGCCATGACTGTAAGCTTCTGATGATCAAGTTCTTGGACATGGGCTTTCCTATAGGTGATGCTTCTTGATCTGCAGGCCTTTTGAGATATTTGGGACATGATGCGGCTGATCCGATCATGGAAAGGCTTGATAACTCATGATTTCTGTCGTGCCGATTTTCTGCTTCGTTTTTTTTGGTTGTTCTTCGATGGAGAGATCGAGCCTTCTATCGTCAACTGCGGCCTGTGAATTACTTAATGTGCTGATCGTCTGCTGTTCTTTCTTCTCTTCGACTGCCCGCTTCCTGCAGGTGCGAGTCGTTCTCCACGTACCCTCGCACCTACGATCTTCTCCACGCCTGGCGGGTGTTCTCGGAGATCACTGCTCGGGGCTGCGGCATGGAGGACCTGCTACTCGAGATGGACCGCATAATCAGGCCGCTAGGGTTCGTCATCATCAGGGACGACCCCTGGGTGATAAGCCGCGCGGAGAGGTTCCTGGCGGCGCTGAGGTGGGACGGCTGGTCGTCGGCGGAGCCCAAGGCCGATGGGCTCTCCCCCGCCGGAGCAGAGCGGGTTCTGATCGCGAGGAAGAGGCTGTGGAAGGAAGAATCCGAGGGCCTCTGATACCTTCTTTCCTCCTCCTGGAAGCTGGGAGTTTGATCTCCCATGTACGAAGAAGAACCCTTCCTGGTCTTCCATCTCGATCGATCCTCCATGGTGTTAATATCTTCATCTTCCTCTGGTTTCTCTATCGTTTTTACTTTTATCATCGGGAAGAAGAAAGGGGTATGGACGCAATAAGGAAGGTACAGAGGGTAGGGAGGGAAGAAGTGGAGCTTGGCCATTCGCGTTCTCCCCCTGTCGCTCTCTTCTTCTTCTCCTTGGGGAAGTAGCCAGATTTGAGGGCGGTTGCGGCCGCAGATCCAGGCCGGAGGGGGGGTTGGGGGGGGGGGGGGTGTTGGGAGCGGTGGTGGAGCTGGGGAAGGGATGGCGGAGCTGCGCTACACGGGTCCGGCGGGCTCCAGGGTGTCGTCGCCCCCGGTGAAGCGTGGGGGAGGGGTCGACGATGGGGATGGGGCAGATCCCCTGGTGACGGGGCGGGAGGAGGAGGACGACGGCCGGCGCGCCCACCATTTCCCTTCCTCCCGAGGGGGAGGGTGGGGAAGGGGTAGGTACAGGGACTGGTGCTCCTACCTCTGTTCCTTCCTACGCGCGGAAGATCCCATGGCTTCCCCCTCCCGTTGTGCCGTCGTCTGCTGGGCATTCTCCGTCATCCTCTGCCTCTCCGTCGTCGCGAGCCTGTACCTCCCTTCGTTGTGGAGTCGCATGGTACGATCTCGCTCTGTTAGCCTCCCCCCGCTCCGCTCCCGCTGTTCACCATAGTCAGTGGAAAGAGTATGACGTCAGGCCTCAGTCTCACCTGAGGTGGTTGAGCACTTCGGCTCAGATCTCGGGAAGTTGGGGAGAGTTGAGGCTGGTCTCCCTTTAGATCTTGGAGTGAGACCTAAGATCTGAATCTCAACTGTCTTCTCTTCTTGGCTTGTCCCGGTTCCATAGTGGAAATTATGATTGGCAGTAGTTCCAGCTAGAGCAGTCGATCGCGTAATTCTGCACGTCTGTTCTTCTGCGGATGAATAATTGTCGTTCGTGAGTCAAGTTGCCATTCGCCTTGTTTCGCGTTCAGTGTACGTTGCAGTCAGGTTCCTTCCATCTAGTCGACAAACGAAGCCCTACAATCGTGGAGAGACTCCCCGATCGTGAGGGAGTTTTCTCGGTTTTTGACCTACGATTTACACTCAAAGATCTGAGACGGCTAATTCTACGGGAACTTTAGATCAGCAAAGGTTTGAAGGCATCGGCTTACTATGTGGACACTAAAATCATCTCTTGTGCCATGCATCGAGGATTTTGTTCAGCTTGCCAAGATGGTCATCTTTCTTGAAAATTAACCTATGGCGACATACTTGTTAGAAGATGCTGAAATCTGGTTTAGTCATGAAAAATTTATTGAGGTTGATGAGTTCATTAGCATATGATTGCATCCCTCTCACGGGACAAACACATCTCATTTATGGGTTTCTTTTTTCTGTAGAATGTTCCCTACTTATGTACGAAGGTCGGAACGGCTATCCAATGCCCCAGTGTAAGTTTTTATTTAAAGTATTTTTAGTACCGAATGTCACTCTTTATGGAAGCATCTTTAGAGACCTGTTTATGGTTGTTCCTTCTCCCTGTAGGTAAAAGAACCTCCTTCTTTATGGGAGAATCCATATTCTGCTTCAACATCTTGGAAGGCATGTGCTGAACGACGTGAGGATGAGCTTTCAGGCATGCTCGTATATCTGATCGAAAGAATAATATTTCTGGGGAATTTTCTCTTGCTGTTTGTATTTTTGAATTTCTGTGTGAATCTTTGGGTATTGGTAGACAAGATATACCTGTCTAAGTCTGCATGAGGTTCTGAAATCATGTCCAGTGTGGCTACTGGAGAGGACATTGTATTCTAAATACACCCCTGTGCTGTATTTTAATGCTAAAGAGTTTTCAGTGAAGATCGTTGGATTCTATTGACTTCGTTTCAAACACAGAGTTTCCATTAGACTATTAATATTTGAAATAGATTTCTCAGAAGCTTGTTTTACCAGTAGCTGTTGGTAAACAAAGAGCTTATGTCTGTCCATGAATCAATCAGGTTTACCTGCTTCTACTTATTTACGTATATCAATCAGGTTTCTCTTTAGAGGGCTTTAATTATTTTAAAGGCCCCAACATGTTGAGGTGGCTTCAACTAGAGATATGTAATGGATTTGATGGGAAAATGTATGTAAGCATGTGAATATTCTTTTAACTTGGTTCACCGTGGGTATTTAAGACATGAGCTAACAATTATGCTTGCTTCTCTTTGAAGACAGATGCCCAGTTTCATAAGAGAAATGTCTAAAGTTTTATATTATGAGGGTTTCTTCTATAAGTCTTTTTTCTGTTGGAATGACACGTGCAAAACACAAGAGATGGTCTTTCGAAAAGAATTACTAAATTTTGCTTTTTAGGATACGCTAAGCACCGTCAAATTTTCTGCAGACTAGTTGAAGCTCACCATCAAATGTAAGCTATCATAAAATTACGGATAGAAAGAGCCAAGAAAATTCATGAAGTTTTGAGGCCTTGGATATTAAGAATTGAGCCTTGCCCAAATTTAATTAAATGTTTTACTGTACACATTCTCCTTACATGATGATTTTATCACGCCTACACCTCTTCAGACACGCCAGCTAGCCTGCGACTAGTTTGTACTACATTATAATAGCGTAGTTGTATGTTCTTTGTCATCTGGTTCATCATTTAAGGTCCATTTCACTTACTTTGAGGTTCTTCCTCAGTTCAAGGTCAACAAAGTTCTTTTACCTATCGAGGTGCTATTTTTATGTATTACTCTTCGGACAGTAAAAAGTTCCCCAACTCCTCCTTAAGTTGACATATGATAGCTTGGCTCCGTGATATGTAAACTCTTTAATTCGTCTCTTTAATCACTTTTCAAATTGCCTAATGTTTTTCATATGTACCCTTCTGCATGTTTTGTGTATAGATAATCTTGCTTGGTGTTGTGTGCAAACATACCAGTGTTATCATTGCAAAGAAAGCCGAGCATGCTTCTTATCATATGCCAAGTGTTATATTGTGGTTTTGGCTGTCTGGAAAAAATTGAGCCCAATCCTTTTCTTCTTTGCTCTTTCAGAATACAGAGAGGAGGCTTTTCCCTGGACGCAAAACATTATTCTATTTGGATATTAGTCAGATTCATGCTTAGAGTAAATAAAAGTACATTCTCTAGACATCTAAAGAAATATAGGGACACTGAAAACATAAGAGGGAGGCTATGAAAGATGATTACACTTGGGCTGTGACCACCTGCATGATAACCATACGGTGGACTTGTGTTTATGATATTTTTCTGTTTAATATTTTTATGCATTTTTAAAAAAATATTTAGAAGAGAAAATGGTATTTTACCATTAGTCTAAATATAACTTTAGCCTTGCATCACATAAATGATTAGTAGTGCAAATGACGTGAAAGCAAAAACATAGCCCATTAGGATAGAGAGGTGAAGTTGACAGTTTTATATCACCTTTGAGAGGTTCGGATTTAATGGTCTCTTCACATTCCTGGAATCTGGGGAAATGTGTCCAGTATATGTCCTAATTGAAGTTAAAATTCGTAATTTATCATTGTAAGAAATGTATTCAAACATATATAGCTTTTTTTCACTGTTAACTTGATTTACACATGGATTAACGGACTGAATCTGAGTACCATATTAAGTTGTTCGAAGTTATCAGTTTACTCTGATAGCTTTTCTCTTATATGCCCTTCTTTGTATTCTTGTTACCTTTTTCTCCTTTTAAAATTTTTACTTACGAAAATATCCTTTATCTTTTTTGCAGGAGTGCCTGGTGAAAATGAAACAACTGGCTACTTATTCGTTCATGCAGAGGGTGGTCTAAATCAGCAACGAATCACTGTAAGGGTGTTCCTTGAAAGAATATTGAGTTTCTAAAGTGAAATTCGTTGCCTCGATTTTTGTATTCTACTGGATTATGTTCTGTATCAAGGTGCTGCTTTATTGGACTTCATCTGCTTTATCATTTTATGGTCAAAGTTGTTGCATTGATGCTTATTCGACAGAATTAATTTTCTTCATTGTATTAAAATTTATGTATACGTTGTAGAATTTGGATTTGGAGATCGGTTCCAAAGATAGCCTCCCCACAGATGGAGGAATCCAATGCCATCTTTACACTGAATGTTAAACCGTTGGACGTCAATTGTGAAAGAAACTAAAACACAATTAACGCCTCGGAGAGACTGTTACTAAAAAATGACAACTCTGAGATTGAAGATGAATGTGATGGAAATTTCGATCCATCATCATGGTAACTTGAAAGATTTTAAAATTTAGGTGAAAACCATTTGAAAGATGATGATTAAAAGTTGCTAATCTCATGTGCCATCTCGCTAATATAGATAAAGATGCTTTTTCTTTTGTGCACTTACTGTTTGCTTTGTTAGGAAAGAAAAAGAGAGTGATACATTTAAGCTCATTGCAGTTGCAACTCATCTTAAGGTGGATTACCAGTAGTTGATTCACCAGGTCTAGGGTTCATGGTTCACACACTCAGACGAATAAGGTCTTCACCTTTGATATAGTATTTAAAAACTGATGTTTTACCCTCAACAATGTGACCATGTAGCATGTGAACTTGAAGCTTCTTGGACACGGGATTATATAGCAGGATCTGGATCCAATATCAAGACTGGACTTGCAGATGACAGAAAAGTCGTGTATGCGTGCTAAAATAGCGAAGATTTGAGTGGCAGATTTTACCAATAATGAAGACACAAAAATTAAGTCAGATCGCAGAAAGATGATTGTAGTGACTATCGTTCTTTTTCTTGAATGATGACTTTGATTGTAATAATAATCCTGCTTTTAGGAATCAGGGCAAGGAACATGTTGCAGTGGATTGCATTTTCACTCCTATGATAATGTGAACTCTGTTGATGATGAAGTTGGAAGTTGGACAGGGTGCATGAAATCAGCATGTAGGAGTTCATGTTACTAGGATAGATTTGATGGACGTTTGAATTATTAATTTTATTTTCCAATTACTCTCCTTTCAAGGCTTCACAATTTGACAACAGTAACACCGTTCACTTCACTGTGGAGCTGTTTTCTGAGGAAAGACAACTAACCCTTGAGGTCATTGTGGTCATTATCTATTTTTACAATCTCCAAAAAGTTCATCTAGAGGTTGTGGAAATGCCACTGCGGTCTTCTGTGTCAGATTTGGACTCCTTATTTTCTGGGGTTGATTCAAAGCAGGCTGGGATCTGTCAGCTGGTACCTTAACCCTATTCATCTTTAGCCGTATTCATCCTTAACTGATACTTTCTAAGGTTGGTTCAATCCAGATTGAGTCCGTTCATTACCTTAACCCTATTCATCGTCCTTGCACACCCCACGCTCTAGTCACCTGATGACCTTTCCGAAATGAATGAGAAAACCGAAGGGCTTGTGTTAGGCCTGCGGGCTGCCTCCTTTTCATTCGGACTCCTGGCTGCTGTCTTTATTTGCTTCTCTGTTGTGCTGGTTAAACCATGTCTGGGAGCTTGATATCCTCTGTGATAGTGTGAACAGGTCATAATCTTCTGTTCTCTTTCAAATGTACCTCTGTCATAATCTTCTGTGTATAGACAACTAAATATCTTTACCAATATGCTCTCCAGAATTCACATAGATTGCCATTAGTGTTCAAGTTTTTTGAATTTGTTTTTTTCTGTCATTTTCGTTATTTTTTCTTCCTTATGTTAGTCGTGAGCCATTGTTCTGTTAATTTTGATTTGATTTTGTGTTATTTTCTTGCAGATATGTAATGGTGTAGCTGTAGCAAAAATATTGAATGCAACACTTATTCTACCAGAATTGAAGCAGGACCAGATCTGGAAAGATAAAACGTGAGATACTTTAATTATCTCTCTTTCATTGTCTAACAGAGAATTAGTAGCATCTTATATCGTTTCCTTTTGTCATGTACTTTTCTGCTTGCATATTTTTGCTGAAGTAAAAGGAACACACAATCAGAAACTAGCAATCATTATCTAAATATCAGTTTTTTTTTTTTCGTGATAATCTCAACTCTATCCTTTTTTGATAGTTTATGTCTCACTTCTCTATTCATATTGATCTATCTAACATCATTCCAAAGACCATTTTTTGTGTGTGGTGTGAAGATTGTTTGATCTTAGGAAGTGAAGTAAAATTGATTTCTTGTAGTGTTTACAAAAATACATTTCATGACTGAAAAGTACATCCTAAAATGTTTTCTTGCTGGTTAATATTGGTTCTGTGACGAAAATTTCGTACAACAATCCCTTGATGTTGCCATTATTTTGTGATGTTTAGTTTTTTTTCAACACGTATTGTTATTGTTCCATTCCATTGAAGATGTTTCTCGGATAATTTCTCGTTTGCCTGTGTAAAAGTAAATGAACTCTTCTTAGAAATACAATGAGTTTTTTCTTATTGATCTCATAAATGACCGCAAAAAGTGGTAAAAGTCAACACTTGAAATTGCTTAATTGCTCACTCTCCATTCAAATGGAGTATTTACTTTTTATCCAAGTATAAAATAAAAGGACAATGACAAAAAACTACATCATGAGAGCTATGAGATAGTGTCTTTGAGGAACAATGGGAAAGAACATTTGAAAAAAAAAGGGCTTGCATCTGTCTTCATGTATGCAATGGTTTGCAATGATGGTGTCTTCTTCTACTCATCCTATGGCTGATAGTGAGTTCTGCAATATGAGAGCTGGCATCAGATAGGTTGTGGCTCTAGCTGCTGCATGTAGAAGCAGCGATCGTCTATTTTTTCTATTATTTCTCCGCTCTTCGCTTGATATTATATCACGAGAAATGTACATATTGCACCCAAGAAGTGATATTATTTCAACAAATAAACTTCATGGATAGTGATAGAAAACTTTGTAAACCTATCATTCGTTGAAATAAAGTATTTGGAATCGAGGTCCAACTTTGGTTATTTCATTCCTCCACCTCTGTTGATATCCTGGATTCATGTGTCTGGTGATGCTGTTACTGAGCTGAAGTCTATATTCTATCATGTGTCAAGTCTAATGGAGCTTGAATATGATTGTGTATGTTAAAATCACGCAATATGAATGTGATTGTTGCGGAATCATACATGCATTCCACAGATACAATGAAAGTGAAATAGATATTTCTTTCATTTATTCCCCATACGAACTTCATTATAGGATGGTGGTTAAAATAAATGTCCAAAAATAAAAAGTACTAATGACTTCAGAAGAATGTTATACCAATCGGATAATATAATCATATCTTATCTACAAAAAAATGTAGTGCACAAAGTACTTCTGGAAGTTAGAGGAACATCCGCCCATGGGCAAGTATTTTGAAGGAGCTATTTTGATTGCAATATGGAGAATAATGAGGATGATGTAAATTATTTGGTTAAGTACGATTAAATAACGATCTGGTAGAAATCATAGTCATTGTTTCCTATTCGTCTGCTAAATGCTGGAGTCATTATTTTTCTGACGATATGGTTCTTTTGTTTTTTGTCACAGCTTTATGTTTTGTCTCATGTTAACTAGAATTTGTGAGTGGAATAAACTGATCTTCGGAGACTATAATGCTATCTTAAAAGCTATTTAGTTTGGCCTCTGCTTGGGAGGCTGTTTTTTATCCAAAATTAATGTGCTTAGGAGACATTTGCATTAAATCATCATATTTTTGTTCTTTTCTACATTATGACATTGTGTTCTGTCTTTTTGTATCTGTCTGTTCACCTGTGTTACTATTTTTCAGATGGAATTTTCATTTTTATCTTTTATAACCTTTTTTATGCAGGAAATTTGAAGATATATTTGACGTAGATCATTTTATCAATTATCTGAAGAATGATGTGCGCATTGTACGTGAAATTCCCTTTAACGTCCCTATAAGGTTTAGTACACCCGTTACTCACTTTTTACGGCCATGTATTTAGATTGCTTCACACAAGATGAATTCAATACTGATGTTGCACAATCCTAGAGAGCAAGATTTTTTTTTCTTATGTTTTTCATAATCCTGCTGCTCAACGTTGGCAGCTCGTTTGACAGGATCATAAGAGTGCCTATTGATGCATTTATTTTATATACATATTGCTGTTAGAGAATCTCTTTTCTTGCAATTTTTTAGGTTGAGAGAAATTTCTTCCCGAAGTATATATATCTCACTTACGATAAAGTTAGTTGAGTGTACCCTTCTGACATCCTCTATGTTATACTGCATTCATATTTAACATACTTCATTGATTTGGAGTGCATCGACTTCCTCCAAGTTCCTTTTTGTCTTATCCTTCAATCCGAAGAGTCTAGAAGGTTGCATGCGTTTGAACCGGATTTGTGTAGTTTCCTTTCACCAATCACGCAATGCAGTAGGCATAGTTTTCCTCAATGGTGGGACCCTTCCATACGACGGTTCAATTTTTATTTTGTATGACTTCAATGTCGCTACAGTACGATGATCATTTTTTATTTCAGTTTGGCCTTTGTTCATATTGGTTTATGCTTCAGTTGTTGACTGCAAGTGTTTATATAAACCCCAGTGAATACTTGTGTTGTAGTTTGTTCATATAAAATCTTAAGGGCTTTAGATTCTATTGCATGTTTCTGTAGATCCAGTGGGGCCATATCATCTGCAAACCATATAAACCAAGGCACTTCGTCCTTATTACGTACAGTCAACGCACCATTAGATGATCAACACTTATTTGAAATTAAGTAGATAAACGAAATGAGGAGAGGTGATGTGTAAATTCCCATCCAGAAGAACTACTATTTTATCTCTTGATTTATATAAAGAAAGGTAAATCAGAGAATTGGCCTGAAATCAGAAAATATCCGAGATAACAGCTTTTTTTCTGACAGAATTTCTATGACTAGAAGAAGAACCTCCAAGAGTTTCCTGTATGTAATTTATTGTGAAGTTGATCTTAAGTGATAGTATATGTTGCATGGATTCTACCGATCTCCTAATAAATAATGAATGCACACATTTCTGAGTAGGCTAAATTTATGTCTCCCCGTTAAATGAATTTAACTATTTATGAGTTGATGATAAATATGCCTTTTAATATCTATGTTTGAAGATGTTTAAAAATGATTATTTCAGCCTGTGATTTTAGTTGACGTTCATATCTGGATTGGCAGGGAATATGTAAGGAATATTCCAAAGCATGCTTCTGCACAGTTTTACATTGACAATGTGCTACCACGGCTCAAGGAAAAGAGGATGATGTCTCTGAAGCCTTTTGTTGATAGGCTGGGGTAACTCATCATTATTAATGTATCTGTGATTTTCACAATACTTCCTTTTCTAGATTCGTATAGAAACATATAACTGTTCTTCATTTCCTACCCTGAAGTTTTATTAAACTGCATGTATTTTATTTTTTATTTAATTTAATTTTCTATGGAAATAGACAAACTGATTCGCAGATGAATCTTGTTTCTACTATTTTAAATCTTCAGATACGAGAATGTGCCCCCAGAAATAAACAAGCTCAGATGCAGGGTCAACTATCACGCTTTTAAGTTCCTGCCTGATATTGAAACGATGTCTGATAAGCTAGCCGCCCGGATGAGGAACCGCACTGGGGGTTCCAACCCTTACATGTAACCTACAGAAGTTGAATTAATTTCAATTTTTAGTTCGTTTTCATTTCGCAAGTCTGTTGTCATATTACTTTAATATTTTATTTTTTCTTTCTTGACTCAGGGCGCTTCACTTGCGATTTGAGAAAGGAATGGTGGGTTTATCTTTTTGTGACTTTGTTGGAACAAGGGAGGAGAAAGCTATGTTAGCAGCTTATCGGAAGGCGGAATGGCCTAGACGTTACATGGTATTAAATTTTGAATCTAAAATAGAGAAAATGATTAATTTTTAACAGAACCCCGCGAAAGGTGCTAAACCGTGATGAGTTAATGAGAAAAAAATGATGAGTTTTTACCATGTCTTTTATTAACGGGCTAATTTGTAGAGATCGGTTCATCTATATCTAGGATGGTTCTCACCTCTGGCGTCAAGCTTTGCAAAAGCGAAAGGCTGGGCGTTGTCCACTTGAACCCAGTGAAATTGCTGTGATTCTGCGTTCAATGGGGTATCCAAAAGAGACACAAATATACGTTGCTTCTGGACAAGTCTATGGTGGACAGAATCGAATGGCTCCTCTGAGAAATATGTTTCCAAATTTGGTAAGTTGATTCTTTGGCACATATTACTCTTGTATAAAATAGTTGACTTCTCACTGGTAGTGGTTTTGGTTAATGATCTACTTGGTTGCAAAATTGTTTTTGTAATTTAGATACTCCCAGAAAAGTGGTTTTTTGGTATCCATTTGCTAATTCACAAGAATGGCTCTCTAGTTACCTAAGACAGTTTTCCTAGCTGTGGGGTTTACTAATCTCTTTTATTCTTCCTGCTACCGTTTCTGTTTCTTCATTTCTTCATTTCTATATGAACGTTTTTGATTATTCATGATGGGTTTTAAAAGAGAGTAGGTTCATGTTCTAGGACACCAAACTCTTGTTATTTTGAATTATTATGGTTCATGGTATGCTTGTGTTCCTCAATGTGTATGTATCATTTATGATAGTCTTTTTTTCTATGTTTGTGTTTCCTATTTGTGAAGTACATGTGAAGTAATTATAATCAAATAATCATAGGAGTAATACAGATTTGTTTAGTCAACCCATATTTCTTCTAGGTATTTAAATATTATCTTTGCATTATCTCGCTCATTCAGTCTATAGAAAAATTTGCTCACCCACTTGCTTAAAGCGTGGATGAGAAAATGAGCTCAAGACCTTGTTGCCTCTGTACTTTTCTTTTCAACTGCTTTTCTATTGCTTCACTAGCGGAGAAAAAAATGAGACTTTACAATGTATGTGTCAATGTACTACCCTTTACAATATCATTCCATGACATCCTTTTCTGAACGAAAAAATCCAGGTTCGATGAACTTCATTTATTATTTTACATTATCCATTTTATACAAAAAGAAATAATGACTCTTGCGTTGTTCCCCCTTTTTTATATATTTTATTTTTTGTATAAATCTTCGTATTCATATTGTATTCTTCACATGATTTCTAATTCCTTTTATGCTGCAATCTTCATCACTCCTCTCCTCCCCCCCCCCATACTACTCTCTTAAATCAAGTGTATGATTTTTGGGTCTTTTCCCCACAGATTACGAAGGAGGAGCTAGCAACCAAAGAAGAACTGAATCATTTCAGGAAACATGTCACAAGCTTGGCCGCCCTCGACTTCCTGGTGTGTCTGAAATCTGACGTCTTTGTAATGACCCACGGCGGCAACTTTGCAAAGCTCATAATTGGGGCCCGCCGGTACATGGGACACAGGCTCAAGTCCATAAAGCCGGACAAGGGCCTCATGGCCAAGTCCTTTGGGGACCCCTACATGGGCTGGGCATCCTTTGTGGAGGATGTTGTGATCACCCACCAGACTCGCACCGGCCTCCCGGAGGAAACATTTCCCAACTACGATATCTGGGAGAACCCTCTCACCCCATGCATGTGTAAAGTATCACCCCATAAGTAATCTGGGCAGCAGCCATATCATCTTCTTGCTCATCAGGAGCAAAAGAAAGGTGGAGGTATGTTTCCTACAGTGGATACTTTCCCTCATCATCAGGCCATTTTGTGTTCCTGCTGCAGATTAGGCATACTCTAAGTGAGATGCTTGTATGCATTTGTGAATTGGTTTGACAGATGGAGTTTCATCCTGAATAATACCCATTTCTGTATGATATTTGTATTGAATAGCATGCCCATCTGCTACTATTCTTAGGCAGCTGGTGCTTGTTCTAGTCTGAAGGCAGGAAGATATAGAAGAAAACTTCGCAGGGGAATTGCTATCTCAATGAATGCAATTGTTACTTCAGACTGTTTGTTCGTCCATTGTTTTCCCAAAGTAAATCAGGGTAAGAACTGGATTTGTTTTCATCAAGAGAGATATCGTCAGACTGTCTGCTCCAGGGGGGTATGCTCACAACCAATTGTTCTTGATGTTATAAAGATTTCACTACGATTGTGAAAGGTTTAAATTAGTTGTTTCTTATTCCTAACGGACTCAGGAAGTGTAGAGATTGTAAACTCTTGTTAGTTTCTACAAGTTTCAGGTAAAGGTAGGCATTAAAGATGGTTCTTAATAATCAATTTTCGTTAGAAAACCTTCATACTTGCTCTAAATTCACCATATTTCCATTTCCCTTGTATATTTGAGGTTTGTATCCATTATTTAGTTTCTGCTATGGTTTGAATCTTAGGTTTGTCTTTTTTGACAATGCCTCAAGTGGAGGCAACCTGAGACAAATCAAGATTCTGAGGGTTGATTTTTCTTACTTTCCAAGCCCTAAAAAGTTCATGGTTTGTTATAATATCTGATATGTTGATGTCTTCCTTATGATGGAATCCTAAATTAATAAGTCGTATTAACAACAAGTGAGATGATTTATTGAGGTACAAATAATTGTGCACTGTATAAACATATCATTGAATAATAACAAAAAAATTAAGGATGATTATAAATATTCAATAACTTATAAAGATTGAGAACTCAATAGTTTAGAGATCTTTAATTTGATTTGATTTTGGGTTGGTTGAGGGAGGATGGACGATTTTTTTTGACTAAATATGAAAATTCATAAAGAGAAATGAGGTGTTTGGATTCTTTTCCTAGCAAGTGAATTGGCTGACTTCCTTGCTTATTGAAGATAGAAACATAGAAGTCTACTCATTCCTAGGCTCTAGGATTATTTGGTCATTTCTCATGTTGTGTGAAATGAAGAAAACTTGCAAGTTTCTTGAGGGTGAGGGATTTTGACATATGAAGCTGTCATATTACATTTATTTCTTTTCTCATTGTGTAAAACTCATTTAATTAGGTGAAGTTTCTTTTTCTAAACGTAAAAAGTAACATTTTAGGACATGCATTTGGTCCTACAATCTCATAAGACCTTTCTAAGGGTTATAGAAATATTCTGTCAACATTTTTATAAACTCTAGCATAATTTTAGTAGCATGAAATTATTATTTTGCCATTATATTTATTTTTTCATCATCAAAACTATACAAGTTCCAAAAGCCAACACTTTCAAATTTACAAGAAGCGTCATAATCAATAACTACAAGATTTGATCTAATATCTATGAAACCATATTATGGCTAATAGCAAAATCCTCTCCTTATTAGGAAGTACATGTACACTTGGGTACTGTTAGATATGGATCAAAAGTGAGGTTACATTGGACTATGAGCTTTTGGTTGGTTAGAACCTCAAAATTAAAAAATAATTTTTAATGCATTGAATTTGCTAGAGCTAAGAATCTAATCAAGTTGATATTAATCCCAAGGTGGGCTAGATAGAGTATTTGACTCCTTAAAATAGTTTCTCATTTTCATATGATTTAAGAGGTTTTTCTTTAACTAAGCAAGTTGACACATTACGCAGACAAAAATTATGTTCATTGCATTGGGTGCACACTAGGTCAACATTAAAACATAAACTTTTCTTTTTCTTATTTGTTACTAACACTCTCTAAAATGTCTTCACATAAAATCAATAGTAATAAAATTATAAAGTAATCTTCAAGCTTAGAGGATTTTTTTTTGATTTTGTGGATGCTTGCATGTAGAAAGTTGTTGTGAAGTTACATGTACAATAGAAAATAGATGTAAATATTGAAATGAATAAATGAATTAATCTATTATTGAGGTATACCTTGAAAGCTCTTGGGATCAGCATTTAATAGAACCCAAAAACTTGGTCGTTGCAATTCAAATATTTGAGACTTTATCAATTAAATATTGTCTAGGCAGACACCTATGTTGACTTGAATAGTTTGCAGGATTGAACTATCAATATGGCTATCATGATAATGTGATAGTGTGAGATTTAGATTTTTTTTTTTATGTTCTTGCTTATTAAAATATGCTAAAACTTATGAAAGATATTTTGATAGATGTTAATGCTTTATTTTTTTAGGATAACTGTGGCAAAATCAAAGTGATTGTCACATGAATCAATGTAGAATACCATTTATTTTAATTAAAACACATTAGTACTAGTTCTGGATGACATGCAACAAATTTGCACTCAAATATGCAATTTTGAAGATCTTTGCTATATGAACATATTTTTTATCATTTAAATATTATACTATCCTGAATATCTATAGTTTATGACCTTGAGAGGTATCTTACATTTGAGAAGAAAGTGTTGACAAAGTTAAATTTCGAGTCAAGATTGCAAAAATATGCTAGCTAACAATTTTATGAAGTTTCACACAACTGTGTTGAAGTACATGTTGATAAATATCAACACAAGTATTAAAGGGCATATTGACACAATTGGACAACATAAGCATGACAACATAAATGAAAACATGTTGATGCAGTAGTAAGTACATTGCCACACAGATCATCACAATAGATAAGTCTGTAAGATCACATGTCAATCTATGCACTAGCCATAGCAGTACATGTCAATAAAGATAATGAAATTGTGAACCACATTGGCATGCATGCATGTTCATGGGAAGTCAACGAATGGTGAAATTAATAGATGAGAACACTTGATTTTGATGCCAACTAGAATTTTTCACATAAATGGATTTGTAGTGTTTCCTAAGATAAAAATGACTCATATTTCAGAAATAAGACCAACTTCTTCCCTCTTTTCAATCATCTCCTGGTGACAAACGGAGAGGAGTGAGAATTCTTTTGTTTCAACATTTTTAATACTTTTGCGATTTCATTTTAGTCCATGTTCTCTTTTCATTTTTAATGCATGTTCTTTTCCTAAGTTTTTTTCCCACAAACTTTAATTCTCAATCTTCTCTAGGTGACAAACAGAGAGGAGAAAGAGTTCCTACACATTCTTTGATTTTCTATTGAATTATTATGTTCCATGTTTAATTATACTATTTTGTTTGTCACTTCTCATCATGGGTCATAGACAAACATCCAATTGAACTTTTCTTTCTACAATTTTACTACTTTGATCTGATTTTGTATGTCAATTTTTCATTCACCTTTCCATTCCACGTTTGGGTGAAAAATAGAGATAATTTTACAAATATTTTTTATTTTGTTGCTTTCTTTATATTTTCTTGTTTGCCTTGGGTGACAGATGAGGCATTTACAGTGTAACATGTATCTTTACATTGTGTTTTTTTGTTTGGTTTTTGTATAGTTAGGCTCAAAAATTATTTTCCCGTTTCATCAGTGATGGAGTGACCTTGTTGGTTGACTCCCTTCTTTCTCTCTTTCACTTCGTGACATTGTGGCAATTGTCTCCATTGGTTTTTCTTTATCTGATAGGTCTAGAAGCATTGAAGTCATTATTGATGGAGACTACATACATTGTTCACCTTTGGATGTAATAGTAGTAGCTGGGAGAATGGAGCAGACAATCTTCTTTCCTTCTTTGTATTATATTTTCCTACTTTAATAATTGTTTGGGAATAGGTCTTTACAATGTTAGTGCTAATGGATTGACATGAATTCATTAAATACTTGTTTTATTTTTTGTTGAATTCAATAATATAAATAGTAAAATTTGAATGTTTTGATAGCAATGACCAGAGCACATTAACATGCTAGATTATTTTGGTATGTGTAACATGTTAAATACCTCAAAGATAATCTTCACTTCACTCTTTTGAGATTTTATCTGCTTATAATTGAGTTTATCTGATGCACTTTCTCTTCCTTTAGTTTTGACTTAGCAATGGCTTATGTTGACTTGCTTGGTTTGACCCACTAATGAGTTTGAATAAAATTTCTCTGAAATATTTTATTTTATTTTTAATATGACTTTCTTCTATTATAGATAATTGTGGTAAATTCTTGAAGAACATAATCAAATACTGAATGTGCTCGATTTATTTATTTACGTCTTCATCAAAAAGTTATTACAAGAATAGGATATTTACCAAAAAAAATATTATCTTTTATGATCATTTCCCATTAAAAAATTCTTAAAACTATCAATAGACACTAGATAATAAAATAAACCAATAATCATATATTGAATGGAGTTTTATACCAAAATTTATTATATATATAAGAATCAACATTGAAGGCTCCAACCATATTGTAATAAAATAACTTGCCTATCTTTGTTCCGTCTTTGGAAAGTTATTTATGTAGCCTTATTTTATTGAATGCATGATACTCGATAATATTAAAGCTACATCATTCTAGCCACAAAATACTTCATATTACTAAGGCTACCCCTAGCAGTTACTATCGTTGTGATTACCCATTTTTCAAGCTTTTTCTTCAAGCTTAGGCTGACGTCCAAGATGCGATTTTTTTGTGAACTCTGTCTGCAGCTGTGGCCTGAAAATGGGGTTTGAACTAGTGATATCTTATTTATTCTCCAATAAATGCGAATAGGTCAGCGCGGAGAACACTGACGATGTTTTTATGAGACGTCTTGATCGGGAGGGGTTAGCACACCGAAGCTTCAACGGCTCATCTAAGTCCGTTGATGTTGGAGGTACATCTGTAAACCAGAAGCCCTTCGACGGTGGGGTCTGCGGGGAGGCACCATCGTCGGCTTTCTTCTCTCTCTCTCTCTCTCTCTCTCTCTCTCTAGCTATCTGGGTTTCGCGTTGCGGCTTCCAAACAGTTCGTACTGTTCATCCTGTTATCATCCGCTGTTCAGGTCCCTACGGCAGCCATGAGGTCCCCTCTTTCTTCATCCTTCGGCTCCATCTCGCTCTTACTGGGGCTCACCCTCCTCTGCAGGTTGATACAACAGAATCCTCTCTCCCTCTCTCTTTCTCTTTCTTGGTCTCTCAATCTGTGAGTATCTCTGAGTCGTAATCATGTGCATGCGCCGGTTATGACTCTTCGATTTCACAAAATATGGATACCCCTTCACCGGCTTCTACAGGGCCTGGTTTTCTTTATCTTCATTCATGGATTCTCAGAGGGAGGGGAAGGTTTTCTATCTCCCGCTAATTATCACTGTTTAATCCCTGGCTTTCCATTCCCTTGCGACTGAACTTATATGATCACACAGAAAAGTAGAAGACCCTGTTCATCCCTCCCTCCCTCTCTGTCTCTGTCTCTCTCCCTCTCGCTTATGATGCATGCTACCAATGGGGCAGGGTATCCAGAGCCTCCTCTCCAGGGGAGCTTGCAAGGACGCCGCCCAGAGGCTGGAATTCTTATGATTCTTACTCCTGGATCATCAGCGAAGAAGACTTCCTTGCCAATTCGGAGATCGTCTCCAAGAGACTCCTGCAATATGGGTACGAGGTAGGGGGTGGGCTCCCTCAGAACCCGTGCCTGATCTGATGCAATGTTCTTCCGTCTTTCTGCTCGTTCTCAGACGATCTTTCTGCAGTACGTTGTGGTGGACTTCCTCTGGTACCGGCGGCTCGCCAGTGGATCGTACACCGACGCCTATGGGTTCGACTCCATTGACGAATGGGGAAGAGTGGTGCCAGACCCCGAGAGATGGCCGTCCTCCAGGGGCGGCAAGGGGTTCACAGAGGTCGCCCGGAAGGTCCACGACATGGGTCTGAAGTTTGGGATCCACGCCATGAGAGGGATCAGTGCTCAGGCAGTCAACAGTAACACACCCATCCTAGACGTCACCACGGTATCCTCTCTCGGTTCATCCCCATGCGTTGTTCTTCACTTGTTGACTCATAAGCTGATACTGATTTCTGAATTTTCTTGTGGGAAAAATTCCGTAAAAAATATGGCGAAATTAGATGAACTGATCGGCATTCTTGGGTGTTCTTCATTCCTTGAGCAAGTATGGATCATAATTTTCAGTTATTTTTTCTAAGAGGGTTGAAAATAAGATCTTGACCCACCTGCTCATGGTCCTCTTTGTTTCATTCGTTGACCATTGGATAGAACATGATTTCTGGGTTTTTTTTTTCCTTAGAGAGTTGATAACTAGAGATAATAACTTCTCTGGTTCTTGATTTTGACATAGAGATTTAATGGTGTTTCTGATCAGGGAACCGCTTACAGTGAGGATAATCGCCCTTGGGGCGCAAAGGATGTGGGGATGAGGGAGCGGGCATGTGCTTGGATGACTCACGGATTCATGAGCGTGGATACACAAACTAGGGCAGGGAGGGCCTTCCTCCGGTCTCTCTACAGACAGTACGCTGACTGGGGCGTTGACTTTGGTGAGAACCCTGTTGACCCTATTCACTCTTCATCACTCTTCTTAACGTTTTTTTTTTTCCCCTCTCACCATTAATCAATTCGCAGTGAAGCTCGACTGTGTCTTTGGGGAGGACTTTGATGAAGCGGAAATCAAGACTGTGTCTGAGGTGAAGAAAATCATTAATTTTTAGTGGGACACTTATGATTGCCATGCTTTTTTATATAGATAAACTTATGATGATTCTATTACTATTTATAAAAAAAATTCAATGGCGGGTTATTTTCAGATCCTGGCTGAGCTTGAACGGCCCATGGTTTTCTCTCTCTCTCCGGGAAAGTACGCGATGCCCAGCATGGCAGAGAACATAAAAGATCTCGTTAATATGTACAGAATCACAGCTGACGACTGGGATATATGGAGTCAGGTGGAAGAACACTTTGATGCTGCAAGGTATCCTCCTTAATCTTCTTTATTGGGAAAGTTTTGGGGCGAATTTATGACTGGAATTTTACGGCCAGCCCCAGAAAGCAGTGGGTTCAACCAGACCGGGACCTGAAAATCCTGGTTTTGACATTTGGAGGGCATTCTTCTCGGATTGGTCACTGTGTTTGCTCCTTCTTAGGGACTTTGCAGCGTCACAGCTCATAGGGGCTGCCGGGTTTCATGGAAGGTCATGGCCAGACTTGGACATGCTTCCTCTCGGGTGGCTCACTGATCCAGGCAAGATATAATCTGCTCTGTTTGCTCATGCGGCATGAGCGTTGACTATATCTGGTATGTTTCTAGGGGCAAACCATGGTCCAAGTAGACGATGCAGGCTTACTCTCGATGAACAGAAGACCCAGGTTCAGCCCTCCTCCTTATTACCATATTTCTACTGCTAATTATTCGTATTATTCATGTTCCTGATTAAACCCTCCGGGCAGATCACACTCTGGTCAATGGCGAGGTCTCCTCTCATGTTCGGAGGAGACTTGAAGAGGATCGATGACATCACCTTTGACCTCATTACGAACCCCGCCCTGCTGGAAATCAACGCTTTCAGTGTAAAAAATATGGAGGTATTCCTCTTCTGGGATGATTTTCCTTTTTTATTTTTATTTTTTATTACCTGAAGTAGATAACATCAATTATGTTTGGGCCTCCATGCAGTTTTCGCTTATTAGCACGACAGAAGATCATGAGAGGCGGCGGCGTCCTTTTCAAGATGGAAAGATATTAAGTCTGACCAGTTGTGAGGATCCCAAGGTCAAGGGTTGGCATAAGATGGTCAACGCCGGAGATAAAGACCTCATCTGCTGGAAGAACAGCCGGGCAAACGAGAGATCCTTCTGTCTTCACAGCACCCAACCTCTTTTGGCATCGTGGGCATCGCTCAGCTGTCTAATCTGCCTGATTAACACGAGTTTTCTGTGCTTATTGTGCTAATGTGTGATGCCAGGGGTGAAGAGATCGCGTATAGAGAGAACTATGACGGAAGCTTTCACTTGCTGTCAAATGGGGAAGCTGGTAGGTGCATAGGGGGGTCTTCGAGCACAAAGATGACAAAGTCAACGGCGAAGAGCAGCTTCATCTCCCCCTGCAAGTGGAGTGCCAACCAGGTTTGCGATGTCTGGTTCTGGATTAGCAATTACTAGTTGTGATCATTAAGGGACTCAAGAATGATTAATCTGTGCCACAGATGTGGGTATTAAACGGCAATGGGACCCTTAAGAGCAGCTACTCCGGTCTCTGTGCATCAGTCAACGCTGAGAAGGGTATGCAGTTTAGAAGGCCATAAATCCAGAATCTTTCATTTACTAAAGCAACTACTTTCCTGCAGAAAATTCAGGTTATGGGGGAATGCGGTCGTGGGTTGCTAGAGGAAGAAGAGGTCAACTCGTTTCTTCATGATAGATCACATCAATTATTGAATATATTTTTAATTTATCAGCATATTTCAGTCTTGTCCATCTTGTTTGAACCCCCAAGATCAGGCAGCAAAAAAGAACCAAAAAAAAAAAAAAAACGGTGATGACTCATTTTTCTCTACTCAACTACGCGTTGACCCATCCTTTTTTTTTTTCGGTTTCTATCGCAATCAGGTGAATAAATATCCGGAATTGAATCAATTAGCATGCCTTGACCATACCAACCTTTCAGGAAATTTTTGCTCATGTTCTTCAAATCATGTATGCTTTATAGGTGAGATATACTTTGCCATCTTCAATCTGAATCCCACAAGTTCGTCAGCCTCCGTGAGAATCGAGGATTTGGCGATGGCTGTCGATTTTGGACCATTAATCGGAAGATCCTGCAATGCCACGGAAGCTTGGAGTGGGATGATCTTGAGTCAACTCAGTGATTCACTCTCAGCTGATGTCAACGGGCATGGATGCGCACTCTTCATTATCTCTTGCGTGTAGCTGTTGGAGGTAAGAGAAGGGGAATAAATGCTGTATTTTTATTTTATTAATTTATTTTCTCTGGGATTCTTACCATTAACGTCATGATTTTATTCCTTGACTAGCTGCAATATTTCATATGCGAATATATTTATCATGTAAATATTAAAAGGGAAAAGATAGCTTGAAAAAAATCTTCTGGAAGTTTCTTTCCATGCTTTGGGAGGATAATGTACACGTGGAGAGGAATGAATGGGGGTTCCCCATTGGATAAGGAAAAGTGATAGCCGAGTCATGGGTTTTACTGGGGTTGACTTTTTTCCATTGGTCCAAAGTGAGCATGAAAGCGGCGAGTGTGCCGAATTCCCACAATTTTGCATTTTTACCCTGCTACAGTTACAAACGCAAAATTTGCAGTTGCAAGAAGCAGAATTGTAGTCAAGCCCTTCCCAGCTCGGAATATCTGTACTTCCGAGGCTAGAACGAATGAAACATTTCTCGGAGGGTTTTATTTTCGATCAGCCGTTTTTATTCTTTCTCGATGGTTGTTAATTTCAACGTCTTCCCATCAGAAGAGTATATCTCCAATTATGTTTCTTACGATAACGCACCTGCACGTTTTAATCACGGTGAAGGCACACATTTATATTTATATATAATATATTTTTACATCCATAAAAATATTTAAGCCAAAATAGATTTTTTAAAAAAAATAAATTTGAATTCTACAGATTTCCCTTAAGGGAAAGTATCCTTCTCTCTCTCTCTCTCTCTCTGTTTGTCTCTCTAGACGGATTCCAATCAGATTGCGGCAGGCCTTCGGGGCGGGGGGGTGTGGATAGAAGGGTAGTGGGGCCCACTTTGGTGCGTGGTGCCGCCTCCCTAATTTGTTCGTGTCCTGGCGGCGTGTGGCAGACGGGTCTCGAGGAAAGTCTTCGTTTTTGTGCTTGGCTTGCCCTCCCGCCGCCGCAACGGTCATCAGCGCGCGTCTCCGGTTGGTGGGGCCACGTGGCAAAGGAGGAGACGTGCTCTCCTCTCGTCGCAGCGGACGGCGTGGGATGCGGTCTGACGCGGACTGAGGTCCCGCTCTGAGGACGCGGGAAGGGTGGTCGCATTTTAGCCGCTGAGTTGCCACGTACCTCGCCGACGGAGGGTAAAATCGTCATTTAAGTGGAGCCGGGGCGGTAGGGGCTGGATAGACCGGTACGTGGCGGGATGTAGTACCTTCAGAAGGGGTGTCGACCTCGAAATCCTCTTCGTGGGCCCTCCTTTTCGCCATCTCCGCTTGGCGACTGTTGACCGAGATATAAATACCCTGGGCTTGCTTTCCCTCCTTTCACCTCTCTCTCTCTCTCTCTCTCCCCTCACCCTCTCACATTGTGGGTAGTCTGCTGCCGCTGCATCTTCTTCTTCTGTCTCTGCGTGAAGAGAGAGAGAAGGCGGAAGGTAATGGAATCTCTGGTGGTGGCGGATGGGGGGGCATCAACGTCGAGCCTCCTCGGCCTCGGTGTCGGCCTTGCCGGCGGCGGCCCGGGCTACATATCCCACGGCCGCCGGCGGATCGGGTCGGGAACATCGCTGAGCAGCTTCGGGTGGAGGAAGCGGAAGGGCTGCGCCCCCTTGAGATGCCTGAAGGATCATAATTCCGCTGCTGGTCACAGCGAGCCTGGGGTCTCCTGCTCTGCCGTTGCTCGTGAGGCTCCCTCTGCGCCTTCCTCCTCCGTCTACCAGGGAGGGGACGCGAACCCTCCCCGACTGCGGCTCCAGCAGATCGCTGACGAGTTCCACTCCCTGCCGGAGCCGATCGACCGCGTCAAGCGGCTGCTCGATTACGCTGCTCGTCTCTCGCCGCTCCCTGATGCTGATCGCACGCCGGCGAACCGCGTCATGGGATGCACCGCGCAGGTGTGGCTCGCGGCCTCCATGGACGACAGCGGTCGGATGCGTTTCGCGGCGGACAGCGACTCGGAGATTACGCGGGGTTTCTGCTCCTGTCTGATCTCGGTCCTCGACGGGGCGGCGCCGGATGAGGTGATGAAGATGCGAACGGAGGACCTGTCAGAGTTGAACGTGGTCGGAAGGGCGGCGGGCGGGAAGACTATGTCGAGGGTGAACACGTGGCACAACGTTCTTCTGAGCATGCAAAAGCGGACCAAGGCGATTGTTGCAAAAAGGAACGGAGAGCAGCCAGTGGATCCTTTTCCGTCGATGGTGATCAGCGTGGACGGAATCCAGCCAAAGGGTAGTTACGCCGAAGCTCAGGTGAGCTTCGCACCCTTTGCCTTGTCGAATGGTGATGCTTAAGTTGGGCTGTGGGAGTGTGCATCTTTCTAGCTGTACTATTTGCTGATAGTTCTCCATTCCTGTACCTCTCTCTCCCTCTCCGTGTCTTTCTTTTTGTCTGTCTGTCGGTCTCTGTCTCTGTTTCTGTCTCTCTCTTCTCCCCCACCCCTCGCGCACAGTCTGCGTGTATATGTGCTGCAGACGTTATTGCATTAGGAAAGCGCGAGTGCACTGCGTGTAGTTTAAATCATTCCACGGATCGAACGTGCTTGTACTTTCTGTTTGGAAAAAGGGGTGATGAAGGATTTTTTCCCCAGCCGTTGGGGAAAGGGGTCGAGTGAGGATGTGATGATCTTAATATTCTCAGTGTTAAATGATGCGGAAGCTTGAAAATCAGCTTTTGGGAGGGATTGTCAACAAAATGTTCTGGATTTTAAGGCATACAACGTGATTCATGGATTGCTTTAGAGAGATCAATCTTCTCATACGGATGAATGAATCGTGAAACATGCTGATCTATGCAGAAAGTGGTCGGCATTTCAGATTTCTTTCAGTGCACATACTCCGGTTTTGTAGAGGCTTTCGTTGCAGCCTTAGGCGTTACTATTTTTATCTATGAATCAATTTCCTTAATCTTTTAATTACCCTGTGATGAATGTTTTTATGTGTGTGAAAATGAAAGATGTGTGGACGTTCTGATCTAAGGCACGGGCTCTGTTTTAGTAGTGTCATTCTAGCTCTTGAAAAATATGCATAGATAGTCTTTTTTCCGCATATATCACTTCTTGAACTTCATGAACTTTTAAGCAATTTCCCAATATTAAATTTAAGTGTTAATCCAGGCAAAGTATCTATCACCTGATAACTTCAGGGTTAGTGAACTCGTTGATATGCTGAAAGAGAAGAAAATTGGTGTTGTGGCGCATTTCTACATGGACCCAGAAGTGCAGGGAGTCCTTACTGCTGCACAAAAACTCTGGCCTCACATCCATATATCTGACTCATTGGTAATGGCGGACAGAGCTGTGAATATGGCAAAAGCTGGATGTGAATATATTACTGTTCTTGGCGTGGATTTTATGTCTGAGAATGTCCGCGCAATTCTGGATCAAGCTGGTTTTGAGAAGGTAATAGTTCAAATCATTTATCCTGTCTTTTTTTTTTAATTTTCTGCTTGTCCTAAAGCTTGCATATAAGTACCAAAAATATATTTTGACATGGATACAGAAAGTACAAGTCTATTTTTCACCTGAAAGAAACTTAATAATGTATACCGTTAAAACGCTTCAATATGTATGTATTAATTTAGCAAAAGCCAATTCCTCCTGCATTTTTTGAAGTAATTTTCAAGGAAGCTTATGCTTCATCCACACGATTTTTAATCCATTATCACAGGAAGGTGTGCTACTCCTCTTCCTACAAAATTTTTACAGTTTCCATGTTTGATTCAGAGACTGATGGAATCACTCAGATGTCAGATTTTCATGTGTCATTCTTTCCTGGAGATGCAAGCGTGCCTCTTGGTGCGGGAAGAATCTCAAAAGTGTCATTATAATTTCATATCTATGAAGCTTCCCAGTATGTTTTCAGTTTCTTTTAGTTGTTGTGTAAGAGCAAATAAGAAAGACGGATGAGTTTTCATTTGTTGAAATGATATAGGACTGTTGAATCAAATAACCAATGCCTCTAATTGGCTTTCTATGCTATTTTGCTCTTATTTTCTTAATTCAAACACTTTATCGAAAAATCAAATCGATAATACATTGAAAATATATAACTCAAAGGATCGCTAGTGGTGCCGTATCTGGTGGATCATGTGTCCCCCGGTGTACAAAATCTATATTTTAATACGTCTGTGGTAGGCGTTTGTGACTTATTTCCCCTTTCATGTCCTCTCTCTCTCTCTCTCTCTCTCTCTCTCTCTCTCTCTCTCTCTCTCTCTCCATTAATATTACTTTGTTTAGTATGGTCTTAAATCACTTTATTTCACCATACTTTATTCCAAATCAAACTTCCGTTACCATAATTCCAACATAAGTTGATTCATAGTCTTATTTTATGATAACATATATCTTTACAAAATTCTCCCAGTGTCTGATTAACAAAATCAGGTTGTCCATTTTGCTCCGCAAAGGAATCTATTCTGAAAGTTTATTTTCTTCCAGTTGCTAATAGTGAGAGGTTCATTGCAGGTCGTCGTGTACAGGATGTCAAGTGACCAAATTGGTTGCTCTTTGGCAGATGCAGCAGCCAGTCAAGCCTATCTGAATTTTCTAGAAAAAGCATCAAGATCAAAGACCTCCTTGCATGTAATCTATATAAACACGTCATTGGAGACAAAAGCCCACAGTCATGAACTTGTTCCAACGATTACCTGCACTTCCTCCAATGTTGTACCAACCATACTGCAGGTACAGTGCTTGGGAAATTTCATTTAGAATTTACAAGATTATCAAAATTTTGATATTAGGGTTCTTTCTGATTTTACATAGTACAGCATTATGATTTCTCGTATGCTCTCACTTATGTGACGGTTTACTTCATCAGGCTTTTGCACAGATACCAGACATAAATGTTTGGTATGGCCCAGATTCTTACATGGGTGCTAACATTGTTGAGCTGTTTCACCAAATGGCTTGCATGTCAGATGAAGAGATTGCACTGATACATCCGAAACATGATAGGAATTCAATTGGATCATTATTGCCTCGACTACATTTCTTTCAAGTAAGTTGCATCTCGAATTATATGAGAAGCGGAGTTGTGGCTTCTTATCTAAATGAAGTAAACTTCGAGTTTTACTTTTATTTTCTAGGAATCATGGTTAGAAATTTAGCTGTCACCTCATTTTGGATACAATTATGAGTTCTATCCCTTTTCTACTGCATTTTGTCTTTGTGAGTTTTCAGCATTCTTTTCATTGCATAATTATCTTTCGATTTATTATTTTGTAACATAATTAGTGTTCTTCAGAAGAAAAGTTTTTAAACGTGTAATTTTGTGTCGATATGGTGGATCCATCATCTTCCCGAGTTAATGAAAATACATAAACGAAAGTGTGTGCAGCTCCTCAAATCATTATGGCATACCTGCGCGATAAAGAAAAAAGGATTTGCACTAAAATGGTGGCTAGTGTGATGAACCATGAAATAACAGACCCATCAAATTGTCCGATAATAACACCAATACCAGAAACAATATCACTCAGAGAGTAATACAAAATTTGGACATTATTATCAGTCGGAGAAAAAAATTATTAACACTCTTTGAAAGCTATTTCATATATCACTTAAAATAGAAAAGAACTTATGTTTCTCGATATATTCTTGCTACATCTCACTTAATAGTACAAGATTGGAAGGTTGACATCGAAATCTATGTTACATCGATTATCTATCATGACCTTTAACAGTGGTAACCCCTTCAGCTAGAGTTCAATTGTTCTATTTGTGTTTTAGACATTTTTTCCTTATCAAAATTTGTAGCATCTGAATTGTCAACTATAAACTAAAAAATTGTCGTTCCTCAACTTCCAACGTTCATACTCATTTCCTTTTAAAATGTTTGTATTATCAAAGATTCAGAGATGCTTTTGATGCCGCTAACTTCTCCAATATTCTTTTTTCTTGCTTTATTTATGTACAAGGAGTGCAATTTCCAATCTTACCCATTGGATTTTGTTATTTCTCTTTCTTCTTGGTGTATGTTTTGAGCTTACCATTTAGGAGTTTTTGATTTTGAATTATTTTGATTCGTTTTTATTTTTTTTAAAAAGCCGTGGAAATTATGTTCAAATTCTCATTTTATCACAATGATAAACCAAGATCGCTGGAATATTGCCTTAGTGTCTAATGCTATCACTTTGCCACAAGGGGACGGATAAAAGCCACCTTGTCTCGAGAAAGACAGCATCCTGGCAGGAATCAGCTCCGGGCAGGAATCGGCTCTTAGGAATTCCTAGAACTATGTTCATAGATATTAGCTTTTAGGCCAGGCTTGGTAATGTGATTTTGACATTGCTGGATTTTTGGAAATCAGTTGCGAGCACTTTAAATTTTGTTTCTTCGTCATTGTCATCTGTTAAATTCCAGCTGATGCGTGTTAGTAGCACTGATTCTGCACGTTTGATCCTCTCAAATAATATTGACGATCTCTGAATAAGGTCCCTATGGTCTTCTTACTCTCTTAGGACCATACGAAATGTATTTTCCATATCTCTGAACAGGCGCTGTTAGCCCTCTATTCATGTATCTAAACCACCTCAAGTGGCTTCTACAAACTTATCCCTCAGTACCTCCATCGATCATGAAATCAGATTTTTTTCGTATTTAAGGATTTATTTTCCCGAGTAAATCACATTCATATTTTCATAATTTTCTTTTCAAATTGAAGCCTTCAAGTGACACTGGTCGTCGGTATTCATGAATTTGTGAATTGACACATGTCAAGTCACAACTTCAATCATAAATTTTCACTGGGTCTGCCTATAAGGCTTGATCGTCGGTATTCATGATCCGTTGAGTAGTAACAGTAAAACTTTTCTGTAGTTCTTGCAGAACTTTAATTGTGACTATCAAAATTTTCTTTCATACTCATTTCGTTCTGATTTTCGAACTGTATGAAGCACCGAAACGTACGAAAAATATCTGGTTATATGAGAACGAATTGTTCTTGCTTTTTGTGAAGAATGGATAAATGTTTGTCGTGCTGTCGTACTTGGTATGATGGGGAAAGTTATAGTCTTTCCTGTAGGTTTGCTGTGAGAATGGAACTCTTACTCACTATTATGTATCACGACGAGTAAAAAGCTTGCATAGCTTCTCCTGGCTCTTGCATAAGAATTTTATCTGGGTCTCCTGGCTCTTGTATCACGACGAGTAAAAAGCTCTACTTTAGTAACATATTAAGGAAGATCAGAATGAAAATTTGATTTGAAATTGAACACATAAATAACAAACCTTATCCTAGTATGAATTTTCGATGGTGAGTTGTCCCAAAAGTTTTGCGTAGTTAATGCCCACCTATTTTTGTTAGTCAACTCATTTCTACTTCATGCTCTACTTCATGCGTTTGCAAGTTTATCCCATCATCGCTAGTAGAAAATGTTAGTTCTATCATTTATGATGATTCATTGTCTTTTGCTGATTTTTATTTTTTTCTTTCATTTCTGAGATGGCTGTCTTCTGTATTCCAGGATGGTACCTGCATTGTACATCACCTCTTTGGACAGGAAGTTGTACAAAAGATAAAAGAACTTTACTGTGATGCATTCCTGACTGCCCATTTTGAAGTCCCAGGAGAAATGTTCTCCTTGGCCATGGAGGCGAAAGGAAGAGGGATGGGTGTTGTTGGCTCAACTCAAAATATATTAGATTTCATCAAACAGAAAGTGCAAGAGGCATTGGATAGAGATCACGAGGACCACCTTCAGTTTGTATTAGGAACAGAATCAGGAATGATAACCTCTATTGTAGCAGCTGTCCGTGATGTGCTGGGCTCTAATATATCTGCTTCTAGGAAGATCGATGTTGAGATCGTGTTCCCTGTCTCATCTGATTCTTTATCGACAGCTTCAGTCAATAAAGCCGAAAGACAGGGTTCTTCTGAATCACATGATCTTAGTAAACTTACTGTCGTTCCTGGTGTGTCAACTGGTGAAGGCTGCTCTATCCATGGTGGCTGTGCTTCATGTCCATACATGAAGGTTGGCAAATTTACTGATTTTCCTGCTTAAGTTCCAGTACATTTGTTATATATCATCCAGATCCTAGTATGGTTAAGAGCTCTTATTTCCGACTGGCAGTTGAAGCGGCACCGATGATAATATATTATACTTCCTTCCTTGTGTTCATATTCCTTATTGAATGTGATATTCTACCTTTCATGGATGAAAAGGATTCAGTTCCACCAACAGTAAGAGGCCCGAAAGGCTTTTCATGAGTGAGCTTGTCTAGCATTCAATCTTTTAATACCATTTGTAGTTTTACTCGGTTAACAGATTAACATAGATAAAACTGATTTCATGTTCAAATGTCACCTGTCACGTGTGGATTTCCACTTTTTTCAGCGACCCTGCTTAGCATTTTTGTTACTGCTCATAGCAGGATTGATTTAACTTGTATAGGTTATTTCCTTTAATGTCGTATGTACATCTCCCCTTTACCAAAGTGAGGATTTAATTCTATAGTCTTTCAAGATTTGGCCCAAGGACACGATGTCTTGATAAATACAGAGGACAATAATGAGAAAATCGAGAATCCTTGTGGAGATTGCTTGTGTTCGTTCGTCATTCCATTGCTTGCTTTGATTATTATCAGTCCCTCATCGTTATGTATGCTCATTGATCGGGCGAAGCCATGAAGTTTACAATCACTTTCCTCCCTCATTCCATTTTCTTCGTTTTCTTATTACTCTTTATCTATATATATATATATATTCATAAGTTCTATTCATTATCTCTCAACATGAATTATGCGCAAATTCTTATTTTCATCCCGAAGAAAATGTTGCATTACATGAAATTTGTTTTACTTAATTTGATTTTATTGTGCTTTCAGATGAATTCCCTCAGCTCGTTGCTAAAAGTTTGTCATCAACTCCCTGATGCCAAGGATCTTCTTTCGGGATACGAAGCTGAAAGATTCAGCTCGACCACACCTCAAGGACGATCTGTTGCTGATGTTGGGTGTGAGCCAATCTTGCACATGAGGCATTTCCAGGTCAGTCCATACTTAGCACCTTCTCCCACCCCCAAACGAATAATCCAAATTCCATCTACAGATTATGGTGATATATATGAAATTTGACGTGTGCGCCCATATGCCGTGCTGCCGTGCGCATCCGGCATGCCGCCGTGCACATGTGCTGTGCCATGCCTTTCTGAGGCGCACGCTGTGTTGTAATCAATGTTTTTAATAAAATTTCCTCTTTCTTTCTCCTCTGGATAAACATCTTTGTTTGCACCATAGGAGATAATCCCACTCCCTAGAGGGAGTATTTCTCTACCCATCTAAAAGAACAGACTATTTTGGTGGTCTGTATGTCCCTTTCATCTGATATATATTCTGCCTTTGCCTCTTTTATTTATTCAGGCATATAAAGAACTGCCACAAAAGCTTGTTCATCAAATAGTCGATTGGGAGAGCAACAGCACGGCCATATCATGAAAGGAAATCCCATGCTGCTTGCGACTTGTGTTGACTAACTGTGGCATTTCAGAGTATATACAATACATACACACTCGGACTGGTCTCTGCGTTCTGATCCGCTTCAGCTTCTGTCTGATCTTGAACTACCTTGTGAGGAAGGTGCCCTAGACAAATACCTTGGTTGAACAATGCAAAGGAAAGGATCCATCTGAAGAAATTTCGTGCTTGGAGTAGGCAATGCCATTTGAGGTAGTTCTGCTTATCTGTTGTACGATTGTTATTATCATTTTTTATATATATTTTCTGCCCTCTATACAGTCTGAGTTATCTGAGATCATTATAATTAAACCATGGGCACGAAATTTTTTGAAAAAAAATATATTCTTAGTTGCATCTTTAATGCAAAAGGTGTGCTTCTTCTTGAGTTGTTTCCTTGATAATGTTTATCGTTTTTTGGTGTTTTGCCCGAATCATCAAGAATTTCTAGTAAATTAGAGTTGATCTTGAAGGTTTTTGATAAACTGGGAGATTTCATGGATGGCTCCGTGATAAATTTCTTCCTATTCAGGGGGAAACGGCCATGGTGGTTCATGTATCCCAAAAAATCTTGTATGGCCTTGATACATGCATCACTTTTGGAGGTTTCTTTTCATTAGAGAGCAGCATTGCATGCAACGTTAACTCTTCAGAAAATGGTCTCCAATAAACGATTGAAAAAGAAATAAAAAATAGTGATGACCATTCCAATGGCTGCTTGCAAATGACAGATGACTACGTTGCAGTTATTTATTTATTTTTCTTTTTGTATATCATTAAAAAAACATTTTTATTTTTAGATTAATGGTTGTTCTTGTGATCCCTTGGAAAATATCCAACATTAATGACAAATGGCTAATATAAATTTCTTAGAATATTAATAAGATTATCTTTAGCAATGAAGCCTTTAAATCGTGGTCTTCTAATAAATCAGATGTTGGCAAAGACTCGTAAAAATACAAGATTCTTTTGAAAACAAGGGTTCTATAACCCTTGTCATCTTCTCTATTCAAAGATAAATTTAAAAATAAAATCTCGATTGGTGACCATATTCCTTTTATAAATAAATCCTAAGTGAAGCTAAAATTAATTCACAATGGAGATATTATATGAGATGTAGCACAATTCAAAATCTATAAGATGTGAATAAATGATAAGAAATCTTGGTTCTGATTCTCAGCTTATCTAGGGATTAAATCCCTCCAAGGTTTTTATTTCCATCTAGTTACAGTTCCAAATGTCATTCTATGTTGGGGCATCCAAAGTGAAGCTTGTTTATTTACAACTGGTACAAATAAAGCCTTGGTTAATAATATATGAAGGAGGGGCATCCAACGTGGATTTTAATCTTGTGGATATTAACCTATACCTCTAGTTTTTTTTTCTAAATAAAAAAAAGGAATAATCAGTGTTGGTGATGAGATTCTTAAAAGAGCATTTGAATACATTCTATTACATGGACAATTTGTGTGAGTTTACTAAGTTCTAACAATTTTACCATGTTTTAGAAGCATAGATTATATACAAAAATTAATTTAAAAAATTCAATTAGTGATATGTTTTGATATACTAGTTTAAACTTTAAGATTATCATATGCACTTAAAATTATTGCAAACGTTTATATGAATTTTTTAACCTTGGACACTAATTAATCATTTTCGAAATTAGTGAGTATATTTTTCGTTCTTTAATATATCAACAATACTTATAAATATATATTAATTGTAATGAAAAATGATAAAAATATTTTTTTATGTTTATAAATTATCTATAAATACTTATATTTTCATAGACTTGAAATGCATAATTATAGAATGGCATGGGTATGTTTTCATTTCTAGTTAAAGGGGGAGATGTCATATTTGATATACAAAGCGAAATGTATAAGTATGGTGGTAACTAAGAATATGAGTATAATATTCATACCACTACTATGCCAACATAATTTGTGATTATATGGTGCAATCAATAAATTAATTTTTTATAGGTTTTGCCAAACGTTAAGAGAAATCAAATATAAAATGTTTGTTTATACTTTGTGGAGTAAAAATATGATACTTGTTTTAAAAAATTCTTTGATATAATTATACAATGTACTTTAATAATTTTACTTCTATAAAGAAAACGCATATTTACATAGTAAATTTAGGTAAAATATTAATGTGAAAAATGAAATAAATAAATAGATATATGATTAATTTTTTTACAATACTTATTGCACCAAACTTCGTGAACACAATTAAAAAATGTGCACTCAGAGTAGTTCTGAATTATGTGACTTTGGTATATTACTTCTGAGGTATTGTGCAGAAAAAGTTAATTTACTCCATTCATGAGTAATTGATACTTTAGTTGACCTAAGAATTTTAATATGTTGAGGGGGTATATGAAGAACAATATATCTTAATTATCACAAAAAAAATACATTTTAAAAATGGGCCTACTCCAATCTTAACAGTTAGCTATGAACAGTGTACCCTTATAATTTGAGTAACTACATCCTTCAACTAAGAAGTAGGAGTTCTGCTCCAACACCGAGCAATTATTTCTATGACAATAAAAATGCCAAACTTTGAGAAGAAGATTGATTGCGACATCCCAAAGATGGGGTGAAGTGTTGTGCTCCAAAGTCTCCTCCACAAGGGCTCAAAGAAACATTGCTTCAATGGTAATTTAAACATTGCAAGAACTACTTTTCAATGTCAATACAGGGCATCCCCTTCAAGTTTGAAGCATGAAAATGGCAGTAGTATCTAATCCCTTCAAAACCCTTCTTCATAGCTTATATACACAAATTATATAAATACATGAACAGAGAGAGAGAGAGAGAGAGAGAGAGAGAGAGAGAGAGAGGAGCAATCTTCAGTGGAACAATTATGAGAGAGAATTTGATTGAACTTGAAAACATTCTCTTTTTACTGACATCCACTTGATGATGTATTTGAAGCATACCGTTCGTTGTACATAAAAAATGAGCAACACTACTTTTTAAGCGTCATAGAATTCCATTAGGGCAGAACGATCTAACACTGTCCAATCCATCCAAAATCAATCCTTCGTCTTGTTCTTCTTCTTCCTTGTTGCAAAGCTGCTGGGGCCCACGGCAACAGACATGCGTTTTGTCCTGCCAATTAACGAGCCCAGAACCCCATTGGACGAAATACTCGAGAAAATGGATCATCAAGAGCATTGAAAATTAATGACGATATAGCATACCTTGCAGAAAGATCCACAGCGATTGTCTCATCTTCCGGATCTGCTTCATCTGACAGACAAAGAAGGATGGAACAAGAAAGTGTGAAATATGTGCCCCTTCACTATTGCAAACAGATTTGTAGAATACCCAGGAAATACACAAACTTTCATGCGGGGCAAGAACTTGGGTTAATAACATAGATGGACAGCAAGATCACATAACATTGTTGAGGAACATTGTGATGACTCTAACCAGCGTCAATGCCTGACAATGCCCCTCGGATTTGCTTTTGGACATCTCTTTTCGTTCCTTAAATCCGAACAAGCAAAGCAGCTTTAGAAAAGATTGGTCTTGAGAGTTGTGAGTAGAGGTAGATAAGTCAATCTATTTAGGGTGAACAAGACATTGGTCAAATACTTAATTAATTACATATTTTTTCCTACCTTCAGGTATTTTACAGACCAATCTTTTTTCAACAAGTAGCTTATATTATATCATGTTTCCTAATTTTCCAGTTTTTTTTGCCTTTTAGTCAAACGTATGACCTTCAGTTTTGCCTTCTTAAAATATGGGCTGCTGATCCAAGGCTGGGTAGACTTCCCTTGGTCGGTACATCTGATCCAAACTCTATCAGGCCTCGCGCACCCCATTCCTCTCTCTTCTTCTATCTTTCCTCTTCATGATTGCTTCTCTTACATAATCAGAGGGCATCGCTCCCACTAACAGGCTCCTCACTTTCATCCCAATAAAAATAATTTAAATAAAATATGAGCAGATAAACAATTACATAGCAGCTCCTAGTCAGGGTTTTCTTAGAACACTGATTGATTTCCATCCCTTTCTCAGAGGATGAAGCACATTCAACAAATTCTATTATGCGCCAACTTCCACTACCATGTTCGAAAACATGACTAGAATAAGTAAAAAACTGATTTTATTACACAATAATCATAAGATGGAGGCTCCCACCAATTATCTGCAGAGTGGCGCTCTATTTTGACGGACCATAATAGGATCAGGACTATTTGGGTACCTCTCCATATATATGTGATCCACCAGGTGATATCAATGAAGCTAGGCATATGATGGGTCTCGAAGGCAGATAAAGCCCAATAGTGTTCCAACAAAATACCTACGTCTATAGTCTCATCCAGCAAATTTTATAAAGCATGCATAGAGAAATATTGGAAACCCAGGCTTTGTGTAAAGTGCAACTGCCTGAACTCACTAATGGCCGACTGATGTGGGCACAGGAGACTTTCTAATAAAAACGGTGATCTTGAGATCCAAAGGTCAAGAACAAGAAAAGTTCCACTAGCATTGTCTCGTAAGTATTACAGAGCATGATTAAGCTCAGCTCCTTTGGGGTCAGGTGTCATTTTTCCATGTCTCACGTAGGCCTTCCATTTGGATACCCCCTAATCAAATAGCGCAATTAACATGTTGCTATCAAGACGTTTGCAAGAAAAGCCACATTATAAAATGAGCGTGTGATCTCCTGAAAAAGGAGAATATAATCCATGGTGGAGGCCACCGGCCTTCCTCTTTACTTCCTTCCTTTAACTCAATATGCTAAAACAGAGGGAAAATGCATATGATTTAGGGCACATTCCGACGGAGATAAAAATTAAAAAAACATGATCTTGTTTCCACAATTCTCGAATCCTCAGAGACCCAAGAAGAAAACAGAGAAAATATTAGCGCAGACAAGAAAGTAGTACATAAGCATGCAATTTTGGCTGTTCACAACTGTGAAGGAGAATGTAGGGATGGAAGATGATGGAAAAGAGAAGGAAAAAACGAGCAGCATCCCATGATTTTTCTATGACTTCGTCTCTACCCAGTGTCCTGACCTGGTGAGATTGGAAAAAAAAAAAGAAATATTTTCATGGAAGGGGGTCCAAGGACAGAAAGAAGACATGGAAGAGGCCCAAGACCATGTTTGGGAAGGAGGAATAGGAATGATTCAGTCCCGATCCTATTTGGTAACAGTGAGAAATGGGGGATGGGGCTAATTATCATTTTGAGAGATTATATCAAAGATAAACGACCCCACACTAGTAAGAAGGATAAATAGTTCGAACCAACAATTAGGCGGCTACCAGAACTATTTAAATGAAACAGAGTTATATTTGAGGAAGTATACATAATAAAAACGAACAAACATTCATTCGTAAAACCAAATAGACATAATTCGATATTGTGCTGTAACATGGATTATTATGTTCCAGGGCAGTAGAGAATGACAAGTAGTCGTAATATAAGGGACTACAAAAATCTATATAATAAAGCATTGCAGAACAGAAATAGAAAAAAATTACAATCTCGTGCTTCATATGCATCTTATATGTTACCTAGAGAAATGTCATCTGTTTCAGAGGCTGAGACTTCCCAACGGTCCTTTCCATCATCGAAATCCCAACGACTTCCTACTGGCGGGACCCAGAAGTCAGGTTCTTCTGAACCACTGTTCTCAGCAATTTCGTCATTTGTCAAAGAGTGAGTTCCAGTTGTATCCTGCCTTTGCTTTTTCTTGATCATCTTCTGTCCCGTACTTGATAACCCATCTGATTTCTTAGGATTCCTTTCCACATCTCCATTTGCAGCAGCCTTACCCGCCTTTTTCTTTTCTATATTGAGAAATATGCACCAACATGAAATTAAAATGACTGGAACTGTCAAAGAATCAAGGGCCCACAGCTTTTTAGATGATTCACCTTTCTTGGAATTATTTTTTGTTACTCCATTCGAAGTCAATACATTTGCGTTCATCTCTGCTTCCTTTTGATCTAGTTAGAAAAGATAAGGTGAGGATGGTTTCATATGGTGCAGTGATCAGAGCCCAGAAATAAAATGTTTAAACTAAGAAAGCAACTTGATCCACTTACCTAATTTTTTCTGAAACCTCTTTCCATTAATGTGCTTCCAGATATGCTCTTCAGATTTATTGATTGTGTCTCCAGTCAACTTGCATATTATCTTCGACCTATAGACATAAACAAGAGCAATCACGTAAGTAAAATATAGAAGACTGAATAATTTAAGATTTGAGGAAGCAAAGATGTCTCGTGATCGACTTCAGGAAGATCATTGCAAGCTACTTGAAAATCGTAGGCTCCATTACTAGGCTGGGACTCACTCGGTGGGCATAGGATGGTTCGAGGCATCATTCTAGATGACAGTTGAATGAGATTATCCCACGGTAAACTCAGATAAATCCATGAAATGATCAACTCTAGAGTAGGGGTAAGCACAAAAATTCTACCATTAGTGCAAAGAAAAAGGTGAACGACAAGTACCAATTACATGAGCCTGTTGATAAAGGGAAAAGAGGGGGGAAGCGAGAGAGAGAGAGAGAGGAGAAGCTTTACTTTGACAGAGGATCGGGCTTGAACATGTTGAGAGGGGGTTTGTGCTGCGTCAGGGCAGCGTCGATTAGGCCAACTCTGCAACCCTTGCCCCGGCCGTAGCTCTCGATCATGTCCCTAGAAGACAGCTCGTGTCCCGTCTCCACGCACCTAAACCGCCCGTTCTCCGTCTCCCTGAAGGTCGGCAACCCCAGCAGGAACTGCCCTTCCCTAAGGCCCGCCGCCGACTCGCGCGCATCGCCTTCTCCTTTCCCATTCCCGTCCTTCCCGTCGTCACCGCCGCCGCCGACGTGCCCGTCCGCCATGGCCGAGCTGCGACCGCCAACTGCGCGGGTAGTGACCCTAAACAAAATTTGTTCGAAAAGGCTATAAACACAGTTTATTGTTTTACAAGGCAAAAATTACCTCGCCAGACTTTGTGGGGTTTAATATAAAATAAAACCAGCGAATCCTAGACAAGAGTAATCAACTTCGAGGGTTTGTTAAAAGTTTGCGCCACGTGGGCCGTATAAATCATGCCACATGGCGAGGGAAGACCCAGTGCACCCACCTGTAATTATAATATTTCCTTTAATAAAATTGCGGAACCCATAAATAGAAACAATTCCGTGGGTCGGTCAACAAGAGTAATAGATCCTTGTCTCCCCCTCCTTTTCTTAGTTGTGGGGCGAACCCATCAATAGTCAACGGTCTAAGAAAGCCTAGGAAGCGCCTCTCAACACCACGCACAAGGAGCAGGATACCTCGAGCAGGGGTTCAGTCACGTGATTTCTGTGGTCGGTTGGGTGGACCAAACATCAGAAGGTCGTTGACCCCTACTTTGGAAAGTCCACGGAGCCAGGCCACGTTATCACGATCCGAATCCGATACTGTGACCGAACATCGAGGGGACGAGGGGGGAGGGGGGGCCTCAACCTCCCTCTGGTGCGGATCCCGCCCCTCCGGCGGGGCGGCGCGGTTCTCCCGGTGATCGGCGGACAGCGATTCCCCTCAACCGTTCTTCCTACTTATCCGGGGGGCGGAGTCCGTTGATCGTGATCGGGTGGGGGTTGGAGGATCGCAGAGAAGGAAAGTTTTCGTGGAGGAGAAGAGAACGGAGAGGGGGAAGAACTCACGGCATTCATAAAATTTCCTCTGCGGCTTTGTCTCTGTGAGTGTGGTTAATACTCTTAGATTTTCTTGCATCTTCAATTCGATGGTGTAGGGATTTGGCTTCCGTCGTTCTTCAATTCGACTTCCGTCGTATCCTCTTCTTTTGAATCCGTGATCATGGTAGCAAACCGTTTGAGACTAGCCGGAGGGATGCGAACGGAGTTCCCCCTGGGAAATGGGGAATCAATGCCGGAGAACAGACAGAATGGTGTTCTTCATAGGGACCTCATTTTCTGCCAGAGAAGAAGAGAGTTGGAAACAGGGAGAAGAGGAGAAAAATTGGAAAGAGGCGAACCAAAATGGCGTTTCTCATCGCTGGTCTTCGAGAGAACTAGTCTGGTGGTTTCATTAGAACATGGATTTGGACCTAGTCTCCTCTCCTAGTCATCTTATACGTTCCCCATCAGATTTTTTAACTCCAAAACTGCGAATTTCCACTCAATTATATGACGGAAAAACATTTATAAATCATTAGTTTGGTGGTCCGTCGGATTTATTGCATGAAGACCTTGTAGATGACTCTTTTTTTATTATTATGGAGAAATTGAGGTCGAGCTAAATTGAAAAATAGATTGAAAGTTATGGGGAAAGGAGGATTTCCACTGTCATTCCCAGGGTTTATTGTTTGTGAAATGCTGTCGTGAATGCAAGAAAATCCCACTGGCATGTGGACCATAGCGTCACTGTTGAAGATCTTCTGTGGCGGAATTTTATCTCAGAATCAGATAAATTTATTTTTGGGTTTTTGTTACTATATCTGATTTTCAGGGAGGGTTCTTTTCAACCCAACTTGCTCATGGACTCTGAAAAGTGAAATCTCTCATAGATGATTCTCTAGTGGGATGATTCTGGCAGGGGTTGGAGTTTTCACTGTGATAGGAAAACGGATTTGGCGGTACAATCAGCCACCCAACGTGGTACTGGGTTGCCCATAAATTCAGATTTGAATGAATAACGAAGATGATGATCTTGAATATTCTTATTATATGAAGTTTCTCAGTCATTGTTGAAAGTTCAGTGGAGTTGTGCCCTTTTTTTTAAAGTTCTTAACTGCGGAGTTGTATCTCATATCATAGGGAAGTAAGAAAGAAATGACTAGTATCAGTGCACCTAATGAATGAATCATATACCAAGATTTTGAGTGGAATATACTTGTAGGACTGAATAAAAATAGCATGCTCATAATTACATTATGATTTGAACGCCTCTGGTTATTATCATAAAAATCTCATTGTATTATTGTTATGTAATTACATCCTCATTTGGCGAACTGTCTCAGCATTCCACCATCGTCATCCTTGTAAAATTCAAAACCATATTCTGAAGGCAAGTGTCAGTTACTATATATATACCATGAAATCATCTTACCTTGGTAACCAATATTAGGAACCTCAGTACCTAATATCACAGAATTTCATTTCGGGCACAGTGCGCTCTATACATATATATATAACTGTAAGAATTATCTTGATATCATACCATGAAATCATCTTACCCTGGTAACCAATAATACATTCCCCATGGGCCTATCTTTCCCCTCAGTAGCTAATATCACAGAATTTCATTTGGGCACAGTGCGCTCTGACTCTTTCTTCTCCACAAGTTTGACTTCTTCGTCAATTTTCATCTTCTAACTCATATCCTTTTGGTCAAATGCGCAGAAGGAGGCTTTGATCTGTGCCATTATTATATGCAAAATGACGCCTGCCAATAGTTTAATTGCCACTCGCGGGAGGAAGCCCCTCTTCTCTTTTGGTGTGATATCTGACGTCCAATATGCCGACATCCCAGATGGGCGCTCTTTCCTCGGCGTTCCTCGATACTACCGACACAGCATCCTGGTTCTTCAGCGGGCCGTTAAGAAGTGGAATGACCAGAATAACCTCAAGTTCTCGGTCAACTTTGGCGACATAGTCGATGGGTTCTGCCCCAAGGATCAGTCACTACAGGCAGTGCAGAGAGTTGTCAACGAGTTTGACCGATTCAATGGCCCTGTTTACCACATGATCGGGAACCACTGCCTCTACAACCTTCCTCGCCCCAGCTTGGTCAACCTGCTCAAGATACCCACAGAGACTGATCTCACCTACTACGACTTCTCCCCATCTCCTGCATTCAGGATAATCATTCTCGACGCCTACGACATCAGCACCCTGGGTTGGCCGCAGGATCACCCCAACAGCCTAGCGGCCAGGAAGCTCCTGGAAGAGAAGAACCCCAATTTGGACAAGAACAGCCCTCTGGGGTTGACCGGTCTGGAGAGGAGGTTCCTCATGTTCAACGGGGCTTTAGGGAAGCAGCAGCTGACGTGGCTCGACAATGTCCTCTGGGACTCCACCAAGAGGAAGCAGAAGGCCATCATATGCTGCCACCTTCCTCTCCACCCGGGGGCTTCCTCTCCAGAGGCTCTTCTGTGGAACTATGATGAGGTGCTAGAGGTCGTCCACAGGTACACTTGTGTGAAGGCTTGCATTGCTGGGCATGATCACAAGGGCGGGCACGCCGTTGACTCCTTGGGAGTCCACCACCGGGTCCTTGAGGCGGCCTTGGAGTGCCCCCCGGGCACAGACGCATATGGGCATGTTGATGTCTATGATGATAAGCTTTCCATTTTAGGCACTGACCGGATGGAGAGTATGGAGATGGTCTTCAGCTCTTGAGTCGTGTCTCAGGGCCCACAGGTACTCTCCCTCTAGATTGAACAGATCCCATTGACGTTTGTAGAAAGTTAAAATCATGTACCCTTGGACTTTTTCTTTTGGTTTAGTATTATTTTATATTTTTTTTAGTTAATTGAGATGGTCTATATTCTATCAGCGAATTGGGTATTTTGGAGGAAAAAAGAGCATGATTTGTGCTCAAGTTAATGCAAAGAGAATATTTCCGTAATCTGTGTTTATAATTATAGATGGGTTCCATATAAAAATTAATAGATTTTTTTAATTTTCTTCTCAGGTCCAAGGGATCTTCCAGAAAAATAGATCGCATCAGCATTGACGTTTTGAAGAGGAAACACATTTTTTTATTGGTTGATTTTTTATTTTTTTATTTTAGATTTGTCTCTTCATCGAGATGATTCTGCTATCCAGGGCAAAATAGCTGCATATTTTGTGTTTTCATAGAAAAAAAATATCACAAGAAAATTAGATACCATGAACCTTGAATGCATTTTTTTCGGTTGATTTTCAGTTCATATATTTTTAATCAATTAAGATGGTATCCCTCAATCTAATGCAATGATAAAAATAGCTTAATCTGTGTTTATAATTTCTTGTGGCTGAAAATTAATAGAACTCCGTAGGAGGCAAAAAGCCTGCAGAATCTCTTCCAGTGATTGATCCTCGGATTCAGATGAGGAGACTCTCTGGAATTAGAAGTTCTTTCTGGAGACTTGTTCGAGTGTTCATGGCAGGGATTGCAGCTGGTCATGAACTGCTCAGGCTCAAAGCAGATTGCTTCTTACCAATAACAAAAAAAATTAAAAAAAATAATGAAACAATTAGAGACCCATACCTTCTCCCTTGTTTTATTATAAATTATAAAAAGAAAAATATTAATGATCATCTGAATTCACACCCTTCTCTGATTTGTTTCTCCCTCGAAGGTCGCACGAATTTGTAGAAAAATGGTTCATTTATTTGCCCAAGATGGGGAAACAAATACAGAGATAGTTCTTCATCTTCATCCAAAGCCCCAGATCAGGAGATCATACAAAAATGTGTTTTTTCCTTGCAAGCTTTGCCATTTTAAGATAGGTTGGTATATTAGATGTCATTTACCCAAGATGGGAAAACAATAGCAGAGCTGGTTCATCATCTTCATCCAGAGCCCCAGATCGCAAGATCATACAAAAATGTATTTTTTCCTTGCAAGCTTTGCCATTTTAAGATAGGTCGGTATATTCAGATGTCATTTACCCAAGATGGGAAAACAATAGCAGAGCTGGTTCATCATCTTCATCCAAGCCCCAGATCGAGATCATACAAAAATGTGTTTTTTCCTTGCAAGCTTTGCCATTTTAAGATAGGTTGGTATATTAGATGTCATTTACCCAAGATGGGAAAACAATAGCAGAGCTGGTTCATCATCTTCATCCAGAGCCCCAGATCGCAAGATCATACAAAAATGTATTTTTTCCTTGCAAGCTTTGCCATTTTAAGATAGGTCGGTATATTAAATGTCATTTACCCAAGATGGGGAAATTACAGAGATGATTCATCATCTTCATCATACAAGCATATATTTTCCTTACAAGGGTGGCACTTCACCTTTTGGGAAGATAAGAGCACCGGGCGTCATCTCCGAAGAAAACAGGCCGTATAGAATCCAAGCTTCCCTACTTACTGTAAATGATAAGAAGAAGAAGAAGAAGAAGAAGAAGAAGAAGAAGAAGACGAGCAAGACGGAGGAGAGCTGCAGGATGACAGATGAAGTCTACTTCTTCTTAGCGCCCCTCTTCTCTTGAACGTAGAAGGCGACGAGGGCGAGGATGGAGAAGGCGGAGAAGCAGGCGGCGGCGACGTCCAGGGAGGCATGGTGGCCGGAGATGCCTTCAATGTTGAAGAGGTTCTCGGTCTTGCCAGCGTTGGTGGTTTGCCCGAAGGCCAACTCTGCGTCGGCGGCGTCGACAGCATAGGCCCGCACGAAGAAGGTGCCGCTGGGGAGCTCCTTGCTCACCAGGTAGGTGAAGTTGCTCCGGTCGCCGCCGGCGTAGGGCTGGGCGGTGATGGCGAAGGAGCAGGTCTTGTCCTTGCTGAGGTCGTCCTTGGTCTTCCGCCACCCGCGGTCTTTCTGGCTCGCCGGCGCGTAGCAGAGCCTCACCTTGATCTTCTTGTACGCCGCGTCGGTGCCGGCAGGGAGGCTCTGGTTCAGCGCCCAGGTCACCGTGATGGTGTCCTCGCCCGCCCTCAGCACTGTCGAAGAGAAGCACCGATCAATTAGGGCAGAAGGCGAGCTTTGGGGAAGAAGGCGAGAGAATTCAAAAGCTCTGCCCTATGGTTCGCCAGAGATGACAGAGAGCACTCCATTTAGCAGAAGGCCAGAATCAGAAAAACTCTGCCAGCCATGGAGGGTGATCGGTCCCATACCTTGACCCTGTTTAGGCGAGGCGGAGACGATGAGAGTCCGGCGGAGGGAGGCGAAGGAGACGCCTTTGGCGAGGGAGGGCCTCGGAACCGCGGTACAGAGCAGGAGCGCCACCAAGACGAGGCTGATCTTCTCCATGGCCGGCGGGGAAGGCTGGAACCTTAGAGCTTTCTCCGTCGAGGAAGGAGGAGGAGACCGATGGGTTATTCGGGTCCCTCTTCTCGCCTATTTATGCGCAGAAGCAAGCAGGATGACGGCCATGGCGGCATCAGCCACCCAAAATGTCAACGCCCCTCCTTTCACTCCCCAAATTCCATCTTCCCCTGCTCGTAGGGAGATGTGGACCGAGAGAGAGAGAGAGAGAGAGAGGCCTCTCCAAGTCACAGAAAGGATGGGGCCATGGAGCTTTCTTTAATGAGAGAGAGAGAGAGAGGGATGCGGGGAGGGGATGCTCGTAGGGTGGTGGGGGGCATTGACCTCTGGGAAGGTTCAAGGGATGGGAGATGCGGCCGGCGGCGCAGGTCAAACCCACTGTTGGGTCGGCGGCGACGGCCCCTAGGGTCTTGGAGGGAGGGAAAGGGGCGGGGAGGAAGAGGACGCGAAGACTCGGATCGCCCGCGACGGCACGATCAGCCTGGGATGGGGTCAGCTCCGGGGGTGCGGGCCCCACAGCTGGGTCCCACAATAACCAAAGGAGAAATCCCAAATCGACCCTTTCTGGGCCAGATTCATCTCCAGAAGCTCAACCTCGGCGTAATTTTTCTTCGATTTTATATGCTCGTAATGCCCAATAAATATGGATAAACCTCATAAAAGGGCAAGAAATATTAATAAATAAATTAGTAAATATTAAAATATTTGGAAAATTTAAAAAGGTGGATGTTCTCATTGAAAGGATTAAATAATTTTTTAAGATTACCATAAAAGGAAATTAGCACCATTTTACGATTTGACACATACGTACTAACCTCATTAGATGGTTTCAATATTGATCCAGAACATTAAATTTTTGTAATGATCATATGGTTAATAGACCCATAGAAAAATAATTATGGCCAACCATTTGAAATTTTTTTGGTTAGATCAAGAATGCAAATTCATACAATATAATATATATATAATAGTGGAAAAATAAAAAAATCAATCTGAATAAAAATATTTCTTCCACTAGATACAATATACTCATCAAATGTTACAATTTTCGCAATCTACTTTACCTATCATTAATAATAAAATAATAATTCGCTAAGAAATATACTTCTTGGCCCATAAAATTTGTTACTTTTGGTACCATCCTGGACCTTCCATTTGCGTACAGTTGGCATGATTTGAACTGGCCGACTACGTCTACTATTTGCATAGTATTTACATATTTGTTAAAAAAATTAAAGAAATCGTAAAAGAGATGATGCCTTTATTTTTTAATTAATATATATATATATGTATATATATATATATAAATGTGGGAAAAACTGATCTATATTATTGTCAGATAAATATGGTGAAAACATATGTAAGCCCTGATCTGCCCCCATTGCCGTTCAATGAGGTGTGAAAATCAAATAAGATCAATCAAGTTTTTTCTGGCAAATAAGAACCCAGAAGGAAGAACAGAGGAAACGAATGATTACTGAAAGAAGCAAGCAAAAAACAGGAAGAAGGGAAATTAATGCTGGCTGATTAACTGGTCAAAAAAATGGGATCAGAATTATTTAGAAGACATCAAGAACACTGAAGCATTAAGAAACTAATAATAGCAAAGTGTTGAGGGTTATACATAAACCTATCAGCCCGGAGTGATATGATAATAAGATCCAGAGAACAGACAGAGAAACAAACAGACAGACAGACAGACAGACAAGAAAGACAGACAGCCTCTCGTTTTGCCCTCCTTGAAATGGGAAAAAGTTTTGAGCTTCACACCAAATCAAGGTAGCGATGAATTAAGTGACGGAAGGTTTAGGCCTGCTCCAGAGGTTCATCGTCACTGTACAAATACAGACTCGGGAGTAACTGCGGCAAAAAAACTAGGAAGATGTTGGGAGAAGCATTGACCATGTTTAGCAAGTCAAAAAGGAACGCCCATCAACCTTGAACTATCAGCATCATCATCAATCATCATCATCATCATCATCATCACCATCTTTCCCTGGACTGGGACCTGAAACCCACAGAAATCATATTCTCAAGAGATACCAATGAGGAAAGATTTTAAAATTTTATTTTCTTGTGAAAATATTCATGGCCATGAAATATTGAAAAAGATCTCAAAGGAGTCAAAAATAGTTGGCATATTATTGCATGTTATTCCATAATGATTTAAATCAAAAAGCCTAAAGAATAACCCAAGAAGAATATCAAGTTTAATCGAGCTTGATCAAATGCTCCATAATTTATTTTCTTGGACGAGGAAATTTTCCCACATGAGCTGCTGCTCTGATACCTACACGGCAGTGCTGCTAGAATGTACTTTGAATCAATGAAAAGATATGCAAAGTAAAACGGCGATCCGGATATCTTGTAAATATTTGCACGATTTTCGGACTAACATTAACCCTTCTTTTTCTCAATTCAAATCCTCTTCTAATTGGGACAAGAAGTTATCGATCAAAAGGAGATAACTTGTTAACAGCACTTTATTTCCAAAAGTGGAGACTAATCACCCAGAAAAAAAAAGAGTACACGGCAGCTGAATCATAACAGGAAAGGAAAAACAGACATTCCTCATATTATTTTCTCGATGTTTCATGCGTATCCCATGCTATGTCAATCCAATAGTTTTTTTATTAATATGAAGCACATACCTGTTCATGCTTCTATTCCCAAGAAACCCTCCTCCCGTTCCGAGCTGATATGATCTACGATCATCTGCTGGCCTGCTCCACGTGTCTCCCCCTCCTCCACGGGATCGAGGCCTCTCCGTGAACTCCGTACTCCTTGCATCTTCTGATGCACCAGACTGTGAGGAAGGCCTATCTGACATAATGCTAAGTCTTCCTGATCCAGAGCCAGGCCTTCGGTCATTTGCTTTCTGCCCAAACCGAACCTTGTCATCCAACTCGCGTGATAGGTGCTCCAGCTCCCTTTCTAAATTATCTTTCTTCTGCTGGACAGTATCAAGATCTTCAGGAGAGAACTGGTCGGATTCCCCATTGTCATTAGCTTTATTGTCTTTAGTCAGGTGCTCATTCAGAAGGTTGATTTGTTCCTTCAACATCTTTTCTTCTTCAGTCTCAGGTCTGAAATTTTAACATGCAACTACAGAGATTAGTCGTTAATACAATCTTCAGATAGTGGAATAAATGAGCAGGACGGCAACATTCCAGAAAGTCGTCAAATTGTTTCAAACTACAACACAAATAATAACACTGAAAAAAAAAGGAACAGTTCTTGAAACCAGAAAGTATTTTAATCACTTCATTTCTCGCAGCACTAATAATTTTAGCATATGTACGTGTTCATGCAGCACAGAATAGGGATGGTAGTTTTGTTGTAAGAGTCATCTGGTTCAACAGTGGACTTCTCTACTTGAAGGCCTCTGCAACGAAATGAAGATCAACTAGGTTCATATGGTCTATAATGACTGATTAGGTTCTACATATGCTATCATCATATTCTACGTCCAGAGCTTAAACCAATGCACAATAATGTCGAAAGTAGGTGCCCACTTATAAGCAATTGGATATAATAATTGTCTAATAGCTTGAAATTTACTGCAAGCAATTTTCCAAAAGATATCAAGCTCCCGACAGATTTCGTAAGTGGTATCACTGATTTAGGTCACCCAGTGATACACAAAAGTATCAATAAATATGAAAACACATGAATAACACGCCATCACTCTGCCTATATCTGTCAATAGTTCAGATAAACTTTTAGGCTCACAAAGCTCGAAAATCGTTTATCAACCAAAGTCAGGTTATGCTAACAAAAACCAAGGTTTGACGCAGTACCGTAACACTTTGCCTGACCTCAGTCGCTCTAGAAATAGTTTTGCAACATGAACATGGTTACACTAAGAGGAAATAATCCTTTCATTAAAATGGAAATCCCAGCAAGCACAAAAATGAAAGTCAAGCTTTCATTTAGATCGCAAATTCGTTAACTACATATATCGCAATTTCGCGGATAATAACATAATTCACCCATTAAAAAAAATGGCATGCAATCTAGGAAAGGCCAAAGTAGGTGCCAATCTTCCCTTCTGAAGCTAAAAACTATGTAGCAGTATCTTCATATAAATCTTGGCAGCAGAAAGTGGGTAGCTATATATCAGTCACTTCCCGCGTACTTAAAAAAGGAATATTCCCAGCTTTCAAAACCGTAGTTCCAGAAATAAAGGCATCAGAACCTCCCTAGAAGCATAGAACAAATCTCATGTTGCACACGAAGTCGGTTGAACTCATTTGTATTGGGAACAGTCATTTCTAAAACACTTTATGAAATTCACCTTCAATAAAAAGGTAAACGCGGTAAAATGAGTTGTCTGACAAACAACGATAAACACATATATGGCAAATGGAAAAGAAAACAACAGGTTTTGATATAAGATTTCATTCAGATCAACCTAATTCCAGCTAAAGTCGAGATATTTATCCGCTCAGTGCCTTAAAATATTATTCCTATAGTGGATAGTAAAAAAATGCTGCTGGTCTATTCAGAGAATTTCGTAATGAAGTGAAAAACGGAGCTATATTTAACATAACAGAGTTGCCAAAGATAATCATCGCTAATATTCATCCACTATGAGTGGACTGTATCATATTTGTGGGCAGAAGAAAAAGATATACAGGCTAACAAATACTTTGAGGTCATTTGAAGAAAAGGGAATGGAGATATGTCCTAGAGTAATTTTATAAAGTGAAAGAATGGTCAGCTTCAGAAACATAGAATCAACAATTTCCATTTTCCGTTGTAATTGGGCGAAGTCCATAAAAATAAAAAATAAAACGGGTGGCCTTAATACAGGAATCTTTCCTGCATCTTTCCTGACTTCCTGTTTGCTGTCAGTGCAGACTTTAATTTTTCCATTCAGGTTACCCAGGCATAAGGTTTTATGGATTTGTTATTGAAAGGCAAACACATTGTATCCATATGAGTGCCATCTTGTGTATCATCCACCATAAAAAAAGGCCCCACCGCCCCTAGGAGCAGGGACAAAGTCAGATTATTTTCCCAATGAATGAGGTTTCAGACATAGAATAATCAATATCTAAATAAAGCTATCAGTTCTCAAAATTTTTGCTTGCGGCAAATTTCTTACATTTAACTTTAATAGTACTTTACCTGAATACGAACTTTAATAGCATTCTCCTTTCATTCTTGCCCAACTTAGCATTTGCATCTGTGTATGAACAGAATACAAAATTTCCCCTCCACTTACTAAAATGAACCGTCACCCATAGAAAGATACATTTCCAGCCATCAATCAGGCTTCGACTTACCTTTAAAAACGTTAATTTAAAATGACATCCACGTTTTCCATAAAAATAAAGGTTCCTACATTCATTAATTAAGTCAATTTGCCATAACCCACCCTTCCTAGCTTTAGAAGGCTTGCCTATCACTACACCCTTAATTCAAAACAAAAAGTGAACACAGATAATCTCCTTATTAAAAAACTCAATGTAGCATTGGAAAAGAAAATGCTCCAAAGGAAAACCACTGATAAAATTCCCGACGTTTAGATTACATGGAAATAATGCACATACAGATCCAACAGACAAAATGGCAAGAAGAAAGGTTGATATTGAATTTTCGATTTATTGAATAATATTAGCAATAGAAGCACTTTTAAAGTCAGAAGAATAAAACTAGAAATTCATCAGAACACTAATGCTCTTATCTGATATTCATGAACCAACTTCTTGCACATCTACCAATGAAGCATGGATGATATATAATAAATAAAACATTGGGCAAGACAGCAAAATTCCAAACCGATTGAACAAAGGAGTCATCTTTCTTCTCAATCAAGAGCTTTTGGAAATCAGTGATGAGGAAAAATAATGAAGTTAGACACACAGAATACCCTTAGACGAAATGATGCTCCCAAATATTCGGGATGACCAAGAATGAGGCGAAGCTGCAAGTTTTGCGCACGTCTGGAGAAAAGGAGACAACGAAGAATGGAGAAGATTACGAGTAAGATACATACCAAACGTTCTAGCTGAACGTTTTGTATGAATGCAATATCATAGGAGAGTCAGTTCCTACTGACTTCAAAAAGACGTGTATCTAACACAAGTTAGGTGAGGTTAACTCTGAACAAGTTGAGCTCAGGTCGAAGTGACATTTCATAAAACAGATATGCGTACTCTGACACACAGCATTAAGATGTGTAGATGCATATGCACGTAATTTGGCAAATCAAACAAAACCAATGAAATACATGAGTTGCATGGCATAACAAAGAACAATCCCATAAACACAGCATTTGTTTTCCTTTTATGGGTTTGGTTTTGGACACTTGACGATTGATGTGGCATGAAAGGTGACAGAGGGATTTCCTTTCAAAGGAACTGCAGTAAGCCAATTGACTTTGCTTACAAAACCCCAACAGAAGACAGCAAGTACAACTATTACAAAAACCATGTTGTCTTGTCTTAAATGTTATCAAAATCATTTCAAATGAGGCATCTATCTCAAGAGATCTCTTAATCAAATATAGTATACTCTAGTTGGCTGGCTTCTGCCTTAATCATTATACCTAATTTATTCGCCTATCTTTAGTCATAATAAACTGACTCACAAAAAATCGTTGCGTATATCATGAAAACCACAGAACCACATGGTGTGTTGGTTATGCATGGAGGATGCATAAGGGGTATAGATACATAAGGAGTATAATAAGCATGTTAAATTGTATAAATATTTAATTTTTTTAATAAATCAAACCATTGTCTTTGTGAATATTATGCGGCATGCAGAATATTGCTTGAATAAGACAGTTACAAGGTATTGCTACCATTCCTTGGAAGAGTTTTCAATTATTGGAAATAAGAATAATCCTTTAGTGATCCCAAAGACACCATAGTACTTGGGCATTGCAAACTCTCCCGAAGTTTCCTCCAGAAAAGTTTTCTGGGAATATTTTCTTACATGACGGATGCATAAAAATAGCCAATAGTAACGCATTCAATAAAGTTATCTCACAACAGAATGCAGCTACTCTGCCAGTTAAAACCATTTATTGTTGACAAACTCAAAACACATTTCTACAAAGAACAAGAGAAAAAGGAGAAAAATATTTGAATGGATAAAGTCTATGGAAGCAGAGTACATGAATGAAGGAAATAACACACACTGGAGTCTCTACCTGAATTATTTCAAGGAAAGAAATAGCAGGGATTAGAACCTTGAATAACGGTAGGGACATTAAGGGTTGCCAAAAGGGTAGGAAATTACGTTGTTATCAATGAGGAATAGAAGGATCAAAGTGTAATGCAGAGTAAATGGAGCAAATTACCTATCAACTCCACGATGCTCCAGTTCAAAGTCAATCTTCTTCCAGTCTTTCCCTTGCTCCTGTAGGATAACTTCACGCGGTTTTGCTTCACCGAAAGGATTAACCTTCTGCCTAGGCTTCACTACCGTTTCAGGTACTCCCAAATGTCTGGTCGGGCTCTGAGCCCTGCTTGAGTGCGCACTGGAAGGCCTGCTGGAGTGAGAACTCGTGGGTCGGCTTGTCTTCTTGGTCTCAATCTCAGCTTCTAGTCTTCTCCAATCCATCCCCTTCTCAGCCAAAACCTCCTCCCTTGGACGCGCTGCTCCAAATGGGCTTGGCTTAGTCGTCTTCGCCGGCTCAGGTAGAGCCCCCGCAGCATCAGCCTTTCGCGGTTCCAGCACGAGCCTGGGTCTCTCACGGTCGCCATTTGGAGGCAGCTGGCTCACTGCGCCCCTTCCCCAGCGGTCGGAATCTGCTGGAGCATAATCCCTAAATCCCGATCCAAACCCAGGTTGCCTGGAAGGAAGTGGCTTCTTTCCCGCTGCCCAGTTGTCCATCTCGTCAGCTCTCGAAGCCCCGCCCCTGCCCCCAAGCGCCTCGTAGCGGTCCTGTCTGCCGGACTCCATAGGAAGTGGCGATGCGAGAGTCTTCTTCATAGAACCCCAGTTATCGACCTCGTCGGCCCGCGAAGGCATCTGCTCGAAATCCGAAGATCTTGGCGGCCCCCGCCGCCCGGGATCGTCATCAAATCCACCGTAAGACCTCCTCCCGCCGCCCGCTACGTCATCCCTACGGCCAGACATGCCGCTACCAAGGCCGAACGAGCGGAAACCGCGGCCTAATTCGAGCTCCTCTTGGGAGCGTTCCCTTGGCCCGGTGGGGAGGCGCGACAGCTCATCCGGTGTGAGGCCCCGAGACGTGGTCGAAGAGGATGAGGCGCTGTAGAACTCCGAGAGAGGCATGGTGACCCCCTTCTTCTTCTTGGGCTTGGCGGAGGCGGCTTCCTTGAGACTGGGGAAGCTCTCAGTATCCGCCGTCGCCGCCGTTCCCCCCGCCGCCGCCGCAGCGGCAGCCCGCTCCTCGGCCTCTGCGGCCTCCGACTCGGCTGCCCAGGCGCCGATGGGGCCCCAGGTCTTCGTGGTCGACATCCCTTCTCCCCGCTGCCACTCCCGCTCCTCGAGCTCCTCCGGTGAGATCTGCGCGATTAGGGTTCGGCGAATGGCGGTGGAATCGGAATCTCGGCGTTGTGGGGACGTGAGAAGAGGAAACCAAGCGTAAAAAGGCAGGGACGCCACTCTAAAGGGCCGGCGTCTAACATGCGCCTCGAGAGAGAGAGAGAGAGAGAGATAATGGAACGACAGGGAATCCTTTTGGGTGGGTGATTTCCTTTCCTGTCTTCGGGAAAACCCCAACCTACTTGTACCTACCAAAAGTACAAGAATACCCCTTCCCGCCCATTACTGACCCTCCAAATTTGGGAATAGAAATCTCAAACTATTCCCAAATTTGAAGTGAATTTCTAAAGGTTGACATTAGACAGTGATATGCAGTTGACCCCCCCTCTCTTCCATAAGAGCGGTCACCTTGATTGGTTGGTCAGCGCTATCACAACAATGATGCTGCTGACCTGTCAACTTTGCCTTGCACTAGTTTGACTAGACTGGTGGAGACATTTTGAAAAAAAGTGCATAAATGTTTGACTTTGCTTTTTATATAATGTTATATGTTGGTTATTTTGTCCTAAATTTTATATTCGGATATTTTCTAAACTATAAAACCTGACCCATAACCATGATTTTTTTTTTCCAAAAATGGATGCAAAGAAATGCCTAGGTTTTTTGTGATCAGAGATCTCCAGCTCAAAATCAAAAAGAGCCCCTTTTAGTACCTGATACACTACAACTTGTGAAGCCCTTCACTAAAATGGGAAAATATATGGCTTGAAGCACAAAGCTAAATAATTCCATTGCTTTTTTTTCTTTATTGCTTAACCAACCATGATTGAAACTAAAAATTAGAAGCATGTGTGTTTAAGAGAGCCAAAAAAAGAGGAAAAAGCATGCGAAAACCATGGATTCAAATATGCTATAATAATCAAATATAAACTCAAATTTAATAGGATCCCAGCTAAATCTATAATTGGATAAAAGCATAGAAAATGAATTTCGGATTGGAGCCCTTGACATGTACTATTTTGGGTTAAAGAGAATGTGTTCATATCACAGATATTGTTGACTTAGACAATGCCCAAGCTTATATGGAGTTCCTTTTCAAACTTAGACAATACCATATTCATGATGTATTTAGTAAAATAATAATTTTGGTGGTTCTATTGAAGGTTGATGTCAAGTGCCAAAGGAAAAATGGAGGCATAAGTTATCACATAAAATATGGAGGCCATTAAATCAGTTTTAGAAATTACCACAACCTAAGAATTGGGATCTCTCTCTCTCTCTCTCTCTCTCTCTCTCTCTCTCTCTCTCTCTCTCTCTCTCTCTCTCTCACTCACTCACTCACACACACCCCCACACCCCACATGTTGGGGTTGACAATGAGAAATGACAAGGCCCTTGAAAACCTAGGCCCAAATAAAATCCCAAAATGTGAGCCTCATATGTACGGCTCACAAATATTATATAAATTTATTTCATGTGTGGGTAAATTAATATGTAGGGGCTAGGGAAATTCATGAAGACAAGAAAAGTTGCCATATAGGTGACAATTGAAATAGTCATGCCACAAAGAAAATTGAGCCCTATTCATTTAACCTCTTATAGCCCAAACTAGTTAGTACTATTAGTAATCATGATAAATGAGCTTGATATCCTAATTTTATTTCAAAACTTTGCTTTGTGGCTGGCCCTTGAGAAAATATAATTGGTGTCATATGGATTTGAGTAAGACTATCTACTTTCACTCCCTCATGCTAGCCATGAATGTTGCTTATCCAACATGAAGCAGCCTCACCACTATGGGTATTCTTAACTCTTTATGACCATACATTATGAGGAAAGTCTCCTTTCTCACATAAAAATATCCCTTTTTATAGGAGAGCGCCCTTACATCTTTGTGACTATCCTTACCTTGGTAGTTATGAGCTGGTGATGGTTCCATTGGAAATTAATACAACTATCACCCTAATCACCCCTGCTCACGAAGAGGAGACACCCACATCTGCAACAGTTGCTGCCCCCTATATACCCATCGTAGTGTTTTGACATGTTTCTCATATAGTCCCAATACAAGCCACACCATATCACTTGGCATCATATATGCCTACACATGTCCTACGTCATGTTGTTGCATGCATCCATGCACACTCATTGTGCAAATGTCATGCTATCACCATGCTACATCATGGCATCTTGTGTTGGCAGCCTTTGAGGTTTAGTGGATGCTCCTCTCATGCTAGCAAAGTCGTCCTCTTGTGGTACATATGCACACATGCATGCCCTCCATGTTTTGTGCATGCTGCACTGTAATGACGCATGCCAAAATGACTTGTTTGTGCACTCTTCACTTGTGAGGTTCACAAATGCCTTATGTGAACCTGTATAACCCAAAGGGTATCTTTCGCCCAAGTCGTGTGCATGGCACTGCTCTATGCATGCAGTAGTATACCATGTCATGTTGATGTGCTTGTTGCACATGTCTGCTTTGACTATTGTGTGGCCTAATGCACACAAAGAGATTTTACTTCCAAAACCTCATTTCTTCAAGCAAGGGGTATCATAGTTGGGTTCTAAGTTTATCTGACAATTAATGTCCCTAATTAGAATTTATTTTGCTGTACTATGAAGAAGCTCATTATTTTATGACAATAAGAGGATCTCAAAGTTACGAAGAAATCATATTTCTAAAAAAAAAAAGTTTACCATATGTATTTATTTGTCATTATGATCATAAAACTAGTGAGGGAAGTTGAGAACATGATCTCACAAGACTCACATATATATTTTTACTTCAAACTTAAGCTCAAGGCACACACATACAAGCTAGGTCAACTCCATGGGTCCACTCTCTTATTTCCACATATGATGATCACAAAACCAAGTGCACTTCATTCTAAATATCTTTATAATTTTCTTGAGAGTTAATTTATACAGAATATGGTCTTTTGACATTGGAATTTGCCAAAAATGGGACTGGTCAATCTTGCCACGCCCACTTGGGGTAAAAAGTCAAAAGCGCTCAAACCTCATTTGGAAATATTCGTAATGATCAATCTTCACCATACCCTTTCCATAAAACCCAGAATGTGTTATTTTATGTAAAATGGGAGCACCAAACCATGTGGACATTAGTCCTATTAGGTGAGGACCCATTTAATTCCGTGTCTTTGTGGTCCAATGAGGTGCACAGTGGTGAGACAGATCGAGTGCCGTGTTGCATCCATCCTCATCAGTCTGTGTGAGAATGAGCGAGCGGTGTGTGGAAGAGGTGGGGAGGTGAGGGCCACGTGGGCATCTGGTTCCATGAAAATGGGGTTCCCAAGCTCTTAGAGGGAGAAATATCGGCGGTGGCGGCTCCGAGATGAAGAAATTCAATGCGCAAATGCTTTCTATATCATAAGAGTGAATGAGAGGCCATCGGGTTAGCTGGTGGAGGGTGACGTCACTGTATATCCAACTGGCCTATCAGTGGGCTTCATCCCAAGAAGGGGGTCGTACGGGAAGACTCAGGACGTCGGAATCTCCGGCAGCGCCTCTCTCTCTCTCTCTCTCTCTCTCTCTCTCTCTCTCTTTGGGGAGAAGGCGAGCTGAAATGGGTTGCGTAAAAAGTCAACTCCATGACAATTCACGATTTCGATTGGCCGATTTTTCACCTAACCCGTCGGGGGAGAGGGTATGATATCCAGATCCGGGGGGCTCAGCGGGGGAGCTCCGTGTTCTGATGGCGCGCGGGGCGTTGGTGCTGCTCCTGTCGGCCGCTGTGGTCGCAGGGATCATCGCGGCGGCGGATGGGGTGGCGGCAGGGGAGAATGGCTTCCGCTTGCACACGCTGTTCTCGACGGAGTGCCAGAACTACTTCGACTGGCAGACGGTGGGGCTGCTGCACAGCTACCGCAAGGTCCGGCAGCCGGGGCCGATTACGCGCCTGCTTAGCTGCACCGACGAGCAGCGGAGAAGTTACCGCGGGATGGGCCTCGCCCCCACCATGGAGGTCCCGTCCATGAGCCGCCATCCACGAACCGGTGACTGGTAAGAGAATGATAGAGCAGCAGAATTTTGACGGATCATTTGGGCCAGATTCATCATTCTGCTTCGTCGAATTCGAAGGATCTCACGTTAATCGTGGATCTCCTATTCTGGTGATGTTGTTGAACTGTGGCTGATGAATGGCCTCTTCTTGGTTGATAACTTCTTTTCGCATGTCTCACGCGGCTATGATCTGCTGAGATCGTGGATCTACTGAGATGATGGATCTGAAGCTAGAGAGGACATAAAAAAATGGGTTTTCTGTTCAATTTATTTATCTTTGACTTTGCAAGTTCAGAGGGATTCTTTGCTTGTAAGCTTTGGTTTTCCTAAGATCATCAAACTGTGGCCATGATTTTGTCGGAAATTATACTTCCACAAAAAAGAATGGTTCCTTTTTCTGTGCCCAGTGAGTCAATCATTGAAAAGATGAGGCGAACGGGTCAACTTCTATGAATTTCATGAATAACCACCAATTGATGCCAAGGCTATCTCTTATGGTTATTCATTCATGAAGATGTTTTGGTTCTCTGAAGGCAACTTTTCCCTCCGAATACCTAATGGCCGTCTTTTATGCTTCAATCACTCGGCCATTTGGACTATGTCTTCGGGTTAACATTTGCAAAAAGGCCATTGTTATCATTATCACATTCTCCCCATGATCTGTTGCTGTGAGTTTGAACGAGTTTTAGGTGTTTATGATTCTACCTCGACTCACGAAGATTCAGATTTGGTTGTGGGTCACGAGTATTTGTTAGACATTTCCCAGCATGATTCAGCTGTTATTAGTTTGAGGAGGTTTTAAAGGTCTAAGGATTCTTTTCCATCCACGTTGCCAACATCTTTTGTTCTAAAGGTCTGCCTAAGCTATCAGGCGAGAAGACGCAAATAAATTTGGTAACTAAGTTGTCCATGTTCCCTGACACAAAGTCTGAGAGTGCTTCCTCCCATTGTCTTGTTTAGATCCAGACATCTTTTGTTTCTTTGTTTTTTCTTTCTTTATGCAATGCTTTTCGTGGTGTCTTATGTTTTTCACTTTATCTGCCTGTTTTTATAATTTCTTTATCATGGGAACCATTCTCATATGCTCTTCACTTCTTGATTCCGCCCAGTTTGCTAATTTAATGACAGTGTAGCCATGCTTTAACCAGGTATCCAGCAATAAACAAGCCAGCTGGGATTGTGCACTGGCTTAAGTACAGTGAAGACGCAAAGAATACTGATTGGGTAGTGATTTTAGATGCAGATATGATCATGCGTGGTCCAATTATACCATGGGAGATTGGAGCAGAAAAGGGACAGCCTGTTGCTGCAGAATATGGGTATATGACCACTTAAAGTTTAAGGGCAACTATTGACTGATCCTTTTCCATTATGTGCATAATCTCGCATTAAGATCTATGCATTTTGATATTGTTTGTAAAGTTATTAAAATTTGAGAGTAATAACTTTCTAAAGATATTTATTCTTGTGTTTAAATTAAAGTTTGGGTTCTTTAGTAATCTTGAAGATACAATCTATTAGAGTTTATATTTTTCAGAAATGCTTATTAAATTAAATCTTTGTTCTAAACAATCCATTATAAATTTTATTCGTTTTTAATCCCTTGGAGATCCCAAACCTTTATTCCTTTTTATGCTCTTGGAGATCCCAAACTTTGAAGTTCAAGTCTTAACCTGGTAAGTTATTTTTACATTCTTTAAGGGAAAATTTTAACTCTTTCTTTATTAAAATATAATAATCTTTTACGAATAATATCTGACGAAGATCAAATGCTGATCTCATGGTACGTGTGGGATGATAACTCTATTATGGCAATTAAGGATATTTTTTCTCCTCTTGGGTTCATAGCCTCCTTTTAATAATGTCTTCAGGTGTACCTTTTTTTTGAACATATGATGGATGAGAATTTCTTTCGTGTTGCTAGTTTCTGAAAGACAAATGGAGTTACTTTTATCCTATGATAGTCCATGTCAAGTAACTACAGACCTCGCTGACAGTCAATCCACAGTTTCCAAGAGGATTTCCTCATACTTTGTATAGTAGAGAACAAAATTAACTAAATATGGTTCATTTGAGAACTATGAACAGTTCTTAATTTCTTAAAAAAAATGATTTCATAAATATTTAATTTTATAAAATTATTTATTCTTATATTCCTGTTGACATAAATTTTTCTTTCTTTAGTGCTCTTGAAGATACTAACTAGGATTTTTCATTTATTTCAGTCATGCTTAAACACGAAATATTGTCATAAAAAATTATTGTGGATCATTCAAGAAATATGAATCATTTTTCCTTGGTTTCAATCTGTGCTGCTTGGAATTTTCAAATTTGAAGAAATTTTTTATTGTATGGATTTAACTGATCAGAACACTTAAATTACCAATTTTTATTCTGATGAATCTGTAAAGGGTGATGATGTTACCCATGATGATATTATACTTTCGACGGGTATGTCAAACATAACTACTTTGGAAGTGTGCCCTGTTTCAAACGATAAACTTCCCTCAACACCTCAGTGAAGATATGCGTCAGAAACATACTTGCTCATCTATCCTGGCTTTATTCTCTCACTTCATATTATCCCATGCATCATTTAGTTTTTAAATCTTATATCTTCTGCAGATACCTAATTGGATGTGATAATATTCTTGCAAAGCTGCATACAAAGCATCCAGAACTTTGTGACAAAGTTGGGGGGCTGTTGGCTATGCATATAGATGACCTGAGGGCCTTAGCCCCTTTGTGGCTATCAAAGACAGAAGAGGTACGGGAGGATCGAGAGCACTGGACAACTAACATAACTGGTGACATTTATGGCAAGGGGTGGATAAGTGAGATGTACGGATATTCATTTGGTGCAGCAGAGGTAAGATATTTTTCGTTCTTTGAATGAGTAAATGGGCTTGATCCTCTTGCATTTTTGGTTCTTCATACAGTTAATTATCCTGAATATAGTCTTTGCTGCAAAATCTCTTCAACAGGCTGGGCTTCGTCACAAGATAAGTGAGAGCTTGATGATTTACCCTGGCTACACCCCACTAGAAGGTGTTGAGCCAATTTTGATGCACTATGGCTTGGCGTTTCAAGTTGGAAATTGGTCTTTCAGCAAAATAGAGTATCATGATGATGGCATCGTCTATGAATGCAACCGCCTTTTCCCTGCTCCTCCTTATCCTAGAGAGGTAACACTTCTGAAGTATCTGCCCTAAATTCAGAATTCAACACGATCCTCTCAATTTGGAACCATTATAAAAGGTTTATAGAGAGAGGGGTCAGATAAATTATAGAATAGAGCATGCCACCAACTAAATTTTCATATTATTTTTTTCAGGTACAGATGATGGAAACTGATCCACAGAAGAGACGGGGGCTATTCTTGAGCCTAGAATGCATAAACACATTAAATGAAGGCCTCTTATTGCATCATGAATCAGCAGGTTGCCCGAAACCAATATGGTCCAAGTACTTGAGTTTCTTGAGAAGTAAAACCTTCTCTGAGCTTGTGAAACCAATATATTTGAGTAGTGTTGAGAAGAGTAGAGATACAGATACAAAAGAACGAACAATTTTGAATGAAAACGGAAACTCTCATCCCAAAATCCATACAGTTTTCTCCACTGAATGTTCCCCGTACTTTGACTGGCAAACTGTGGGGCTCATGTATAGTTATCGTTTGAGCGGCCAACCTGGTGGCATCACAAGGCTTCTTAGCTGTACCGATGAACAACTCAAGAGTTACAAGGGACATGATCTAGCTCCCACACATTATGTTCCCTCCATGAGTCTTCATCCGCTGACAGGAGATTGGTAATCATCTCAATATCAATTTGATTTCCAGGACTCCTGACAATTTTAGAGGATCTGTATTACGGTTTTGTACTTGCTTTGCATGAAGGTGTTTACCACGTTGTAAATTTTCTTCAACATCAGTTAGACACTTAAAAGGAATGTGATATTATATTGCTACGAGTGGCTCCTGAGATTTTTTTTCCTCTTGTTGAAATAGTAAAAAATTTCTCTTGCTGTTAGCTATGCTTTTGTTTGAATAAATATTAATGAAGAAGCTCATTTCTCGCAAAGTTATGAATGATGTATGATTTTTGCTTCCTCCTTTCCTAGTACGTAGGAAATCACCTTTCAATGCCTGTGTCTTGCAAAACCAGACTCTTTGTTCAAATTCGTGCAAGTAAAAGGTTAAAGAATATATATTCATTGTCTTATACTGATACGTTTTCCACTTAAATCGATTTAAATTGCCAGAGCTTCAAGTTTAAAAATACACTGACATATCTGGATGGTGTAGGTATCCTGCAATCAATAAACCTGCGGCAGTTTTGCACTGGTTGAACCACGCAAAAATTGATGCAGAATTCATAGTTATTCTAGATGCAGATATGATATTAAGAGGTACCATTACACCATGGGAATTTAACGCAGAGCGTGGTCGCCCAGTTTCAACTCCTTACGAGTAAGACCAGTGGTTTAATTTGAAACCATATATCTTTCAACTTTATACCATTTTATGAAATATCTCTCAGTTGGTATGCTTCTCCTGCCGTAGGTACCTCATTGGTTGTGATAATGAACTTGCAAGACTACATACACGCCATCCTGAGGCATGTGACAAGGTTGGTGGTGTCATAATTATGCACATAGATGATTTGAGGAAGTTTGCTTTATTATGGTTACATAAGACTGAAGAGGTTCGAGCTGATAAAGAGCACTATAAAACTAATTTTAGTGGAGACATTTATTCGTCTGGATGGATCAGTGAGATGTATGGATATTCCTTTGGTGCTGCTGAGGTATGAGACTAATGTTATATACTTTGCTGTTCTTACAGTTTCCTTATATGTCGGCTGTGAAAGAAATTCTGCATTTTTTTAGAGCATTGTACGCACTTTCCTTATAACATTATTTCCGTATTGACAGGAAATGAACACCCAATGTTTGAAGATTATCGTCATATAAGTTGTCATATTTAGTTAATTTCAATATGTAATTACCATTGAGAAGTGTTTGAAACTGTTTTTCTCTTTTCCAAATTTAAAATGAGTCATTTCTGGGGACAAAGGCTAGTTATTATTTCATAACTAATATTTTTAGTTAGAAACTACGAATTATCTAGCATTGTAAACAGAAGTTTGTTCTTACCCATTTAATTCATATTTAATACTCGAACAAACTTTTCTTGATATGTTTGCATTCTATATTTCGTATGCTAATAAAAGGACAGTTTCATGTCCATCAAATATAATGCTGCGCTTATCACCAAAAGCATTTCATATATTTAAAAATAATTGAAGGATAATGATCCCCAATTGTTGGAAGTTCTAGGAGGTAAGGAAATACAGTAAAAGACTGAGGGTATTTTGGGATAGTTGTCTTGGGTTCCTCTCTATATATAATGATTGTTAGAGCTGAATAGACATTGATGCGGTTGTCTGCCGTTCTCCCATCTATCCCTCCGTGACAGAGGTCATTGTTCTTGTTCCTATGTTTTTCAACACCAATTATAGTAGATCAGGCATAAAACGTCATATTTCACTATTAACAAGGACCGTTTCATGTACTTATGCTCTACAAATATAGATCTTGAAGTCTGCAGCGAAAGTAATGTATTTTTATGTTTCAAATTTATTAGCTTTAGGTCTTTCGCCCTGTTGCAGTAAGGGCTCATGTATGAGTGAGAGTCCTGCCTTTTAGAGTATACGAAGCATCTGAAGGTATCTACGAGAAAGTCCTTTTGTGACTCAAAAGTAGATGAAATGTGAATGATGTTAAGGGATGCTACTATATACAGTCATTATGAAATTTCTCTTCTAAGCATATGCTTTTTTTTTGGGTCCTTTGAAGGGAGATATACACAATTCTTTGCCTTCTTTCTCATTGTTTAGGTGCTGGGACCAAGGATATGGTTGTCTGCAGTCCCAAGTCTCAAAAGCCCAACATGAATCAATCATGCCCAAATCTGTCTGATCCTAATCAGATGGAATAAATTGGTCGATTGGTCTAATATAAGGCTGATTTAGTGATCCATGTTGGGCTTTTTGAGACTTTGGGAAATCAGTCTGATTCTAATCAGATGCAACAAGTTGGCCGATTTGTCTAATATTAGGCTAATTCAGGCATGCTTGATCCATTTTGGGCATCTTGAGACTTGTGAAATCTGTCTGATCATAATCAGATTGAACATATTGTTCTATTTGCCTAATACAAGGCTGATTTGGCAGTTTTGTCCTGTACTTACTTTAAAGAAGAAATTCGTTTTTTTGATCAGTCGCTTTTTCCTTCCATTTTTTGGGAAATACAAACGACTTGAAAGTGGTCTCATACAAGTTTGATTCAACTATTTCTCTAACTATTGACAAAATGCTACACTTGGTTAATTTTCCTTTCTATGGACAATTTTAGAGTGTGGGTTTAAGATCATTCATTCGCTCTCCCTATTTTGGCACTCAACTGTGTTCTCCTTTCCCCTCTATAAGCTCTGTTCTCAGTGGAACCTAGCACTCGTGAGAGTCGGAGTGCCATGCTGTGCTGCTGGGATGTGGTAGATGATAAGTGCTGTGATACGACTCCAACAATATATTTTGGGTAGCAGGGAAAATAGTCTAAGTCGCGAGTGTAAGGGGATTTTAGCCAATGTCTAGTGTGACTGAGGAGAGAACTTGGGCTCTCAACTTGGGGAAAAAGGGAAACGAGTCTTTCGCCACACAGCGTTCCAGCAGAGCTCTGTTTATCGTTCTCTATCAACTTTCTGTTCCTGTTCTTCTGTTCAGTCGATTTTCAAATTTGGTTTCTTTGCTGAAATTTCACTCCAGTTTTTCAAGTAAAAATTTCTATCTTTTTACACTATTTGGAATGGGAACATTTTAAGTTATTATACTTAACACTCATATATGTGCTGCTTGCTACGGAAAATTCTCATGGCCTGGAATTGAATCCGTCTTCGTTCTAAAGCTTTGTATTCTTCTAAAAATCATTGTCAGATTCTTCTCTAAATCCTTTTCTAAATCCTTTGGGCAGTTGAAGCTGAGGCACAGAGTGAACCCTAACATACTGATCTACCCTGGATATATTCCCCAGCCTGGGGTCAAGTACAGGGTCTTCCACTATGGGCTGACATTCCAGATCGGGAGCTGGAGCTTTGACAAGGCGAATTGGAGGGAAACTGATGTCGTAAACACATGCTGGGCAAAGTTTCCTGAGCCTCCTAACCCTGCTACCCTCTCCCAAGAGGATGAGAACATATACAGAAGGGATCTACTAAGCATAGAATGTGTGGAGAAATTGAACAAAGCCCTGTATTTACACCATCAGAGGACTTGCAGAGACCAAGGAGAGAACAGTGACCAGCAGCTTTCGCGGAAATGGCTTAGAGAAACAGAAGAAGAACCTGTAGATTTGAAGGCTGACGTCGTCTTGCCTACTCCCAGAGTTAAAAAGTTGCCTGCAGATTGGGGAAACAAGGCGTCTGGGTCACAGAGGTCATGGCTAGTCGCTGTCTGGGCATTCTCTGTGATGGGTTTCTTTGTTGTCATCACAATCAAATTCTCCCATCGTCGAAGAGATGGAGGAAGGGAAAAGGCCAACAAAGACAAGGTCTAGTGTCCTTATCTGTGACTCACATGTATGTGGAAACTCTCATCGACCCACAGTACAAAGAGACTAATTGAGCTAAGGCTTTGCCCTTTATAGCAATTGCCTTACAGCTTGAGGTGCACCCGTATCTCCCAGTTCAGGCGTTTGGGAGCTTCCAACACCAATCTTCTTAGGAAGTTTCCAATTGTTGCTAACATCAGAGTAAAGTGCCGAATCCTCTTCAGATTTTTCATGTTTTCTCTCTGTTAAGTGGGTTTCATTGGCTCTATGAGGATGCTCAGTGAGTTCGATGCTTTATGTATTGTTGTCCATTGAGATTTCAACACTTAGTTATCGCAGTTTCAGCATCTTTTTCTTCATTGTGAAGTGTGGATAAACATTTTTTTTTTTTTCAAGACTTTTCATATCCTCATCTCCACAGGCTCAATTTCTCTTCTTTCCACCTCTTCTTCTGAAAGTAAATCACAGTTACATCCCCATGTTTTAGGTTAAAACATGGCAGATTATCCAATTGGTGGCCAGATCAAGTTTACATGGATGGTCTATTGGGATGTGAACCCCAAAAAAGCCACTGTTGAAGAAGAAGGAAGTCTAGAAAAGAGATTGAAGTCAAAATCAAAGCCCTATTAAACATGTTCTCACATGTTCTTCCATAAAAAAATTAATTTAGAACTATTTTTTTTTGTAGAGATTATAGAAAATGTTAGATAATTAGTGGTGCAAGGCCTCCAACCGGGTTCCCTCTCTCTATATGTCTTTGTTTAATAGACCACTTGTTACACATTTAGTTCTTGTATTATACAATTAAAACAGCCAGAAAAGCTGCTTTATAAATTTTTGAGTGAAGTAAAACAGAAAAAAATATCATAAAAGTAGTAATTTGGGATAATAATTCTCAACTTCAGCAATAATTTTGAAACATTTATACATCTTGCTTATACCTCTACAACCCAAAGAAAAAGCATCATCTAAAGCTCCTATTTACAACTTCAAGGCACTCCACTATATATAAGCTTGAAACTTTTAGTCCCATGATCTTCACATTTTAACATTAAAATCTAGTTGACTTTTTTGTGAGGAATATTAATAGTAGAAGATTGCCAATAGTTTATGAAGCACTAAGGCTTTCTAGAGACATCAATCTAAATGAGTAACCTATCACTAAAAAGCTAATAATTGAGCCCTAAGAGATATAAATCGGAAGGGCTTAGCTAGGTGCCAATCCTGTTTAGCCATCTAGAGTTGAAAATCTACGAAAGGCTTATGAGACTTGTTTGATATGGGCCATTAGGAGGCATGACCTAGAAGTGCTAAGTGTACTTGGGATCAAAAGGTCTGTGAATCTAGTCAACTTATAGGAATGGCCCCCACTATAGTACAAAAAAGTAGATTAGGCTAAGAAGCCAAGCCACTATAATACATAAATAATTATGCTGTCTTATGTCAAAGTAGGAGTTTATTAACCCTAATTTTAAGAAAACATAGTTATTTATATACACTCTTTATAGTAGAACAAAGAGAGCCATCATCCCCACTTTACTAAACCCTTGGTTTTGATGTTGATAAGATTAAAAGGTCCATATGTCAAATATTGGATGGCTTGAACTAGGCTATTTCCTTATGTATGCTATTGCACCCTATAGATATCTAATTTTGGACTTGATTTCTTTCCAACAAATTTCAAGGTGTCTTTACTTCTATGTTGCTTTCATGATAATCTTATTTGATAACATTTACTTATGTTAAATTAATGACATATTGACATGAAGGTCTCAAACTTCATTGATCTATCAAAATTTATTATTTGTAAAGAAAAAGATGATGGAATAAATAACACTAAGAAATTCAAAGATTCAAACTTGATATGACTTTTATAATATTAATTATTACTTTTTAAAGTGGTTACACAAGCACATGATATCACAACTAACAATTAGTTTTATAAAAATTTCTAGTTATTGTATGAAAGCATCGTAAGACTACACCAAACCTTATCAAAAGACAACCTTGTTGGACATTCAATGGTAATGAGAGTAAGGTCCAAGACTAAATATTTAACCATCAATTTTAATGCTACAACAACAATTCAAAAGAAGGAATGTAGCTTAATGGACAACAACCTTAGCTAGATCCTCATCTTGACAAGATTGAGATCATATGAAGAGTTTCTCATTTTTTTTAACATGGTTAACATCATTAAGAGGTGATATATGACATTGCATTGTAGTGCATGCTTGACAACACCTAAAGCTGTTTAGTGGGGTATAGCCATAAATCTAGTGAGGTAATAATGACTAGACATATTATGGGTTAGAGTCCAAATTTTCAATGGAAGATTAACATCCTATTATGTATACAGATGTTTGTCTCACGAGTAATACAGTGGCATGAAAAAAAACTAGTAGCTTTATAATCCTAAATCTACATGTATATCCTTTAATCATTGTGAAGATCAGTGAAAACCCAAAGATCTAAGGAGTTCTTAAATATTTAATTTAGTTGTCGACACAAAAATATTTATTCATCCCCACATTTGACAAACTTGCATCCTACTTTGGCTCATACATAGTTCTTTTTCAGCTCTCTTGAACCTAACACTTCCTATATAATTGATTTTCCACTCATAGATTGCACTTGATCCATGGATTTCATTGTAAGTTTTGAAGAGGCTACTAGATGAACCAAGAAGGGGTTGAATGAGACCTTTTTGAACCACTGCTAAAATATTATAATTTTTTACCCAAATCATAGATTATGGAGTTTATAGTGGTTTGGTTGACCTAACCTACTATGCTATCTAAGGATATAGTTGTTAAGCTCTACTAAAGTGAAATGGTGCAGACTATGAGCATCAAAGCTGATGCTATCCTCCATTAGATTTCACCATCTCTAGACATCCTATGCTTTCTAGAAACACTCATTCAAGCCCCCCACTCTATTAGACAACTTGAATAGATCTCAGCGAATCTCTCATATTTTCTTAACCCTAGGTTGATCTAAGTATCACAAACTTTCAACTACAAATCAAGAACAAGTTATTGGTCTTAAAAATTAACACATGGCTCTTGTGTCATGAACGTCTTGGCCTATTGATGTGAAAAATGCTCGTATAAATTATATCTTTGAATCCTTAAGTAAAAATATTTATTTTTCTTTTTAAATATCTTTTATCAACCTAAAATTTTGAGAGCGACAATTTTTTTATGATTTTTGATGGTAAAAAATGGCTAGAAAAAATATTATGTAAATGGCTAAGGCATGCTTTCAATACTATAGTTTTTTTGTATTTTCTCTATTATTTCCTGTAGTAACTTGTTTTTATTTCTCTCCTTTAAGTCTATTTCTAGTCAAGTTTAAGCAGACTCACTTTTTAGAATGAATAAAATATAATTTGTATGAAAATTTTCTAAAATCATTAAAATCTTATAAATCAACTTAGAGTATTTTACTATGAGAAAATTTCCAAATTAGTAAGGTTATTTCTTCTTTGTCTTCACACTCATTCTATATTAATGGCAACTGTTTTTTCTGAAATTTTAGATAGTTTATTCATTCCTATCTCTCAATAGTCAATAAGGATCCTATAAACTCGTCTAATGATCATTCTGTTAAATCGTTCAGCTCTTCAATTGACATGACTTTTGGATTCTTACTCGGGGTGAAAACTAAGAATTAATTATTATTTATCGTAATTTATTTATAGAGTATTACTTTGGAAGGTTAAATTTTGAGACATTTTAATTTTGTAGGTTTTTCAGCCCAAAATTTGGAAATATTTGGCCGGAACATATTTCTTAGGTTAGGGTTCATAATCCATTGTTATTGTTTTGAAATGCGGGTGTTACTTTCGATCTGAGAAATGAATGAACTGCAGACGAAGTCGCTGTTGATGACGACGTCCAGCTAAACTACTTGCCCACTTCGAAGCCGATCAGGGCTTCCTGTAAACCCTCGGCACACGATCCTGTTAACCGCAGGACCTTCGGAATGAATTTTATATGGAGTCAGTCGGCCACCTCCCGGGTCGCTCCGCCGACGACCACCCCTTCTCCGACGGCGCCGGTGATCGTTGCGGCGTTTGGTGGGGCGGGGGGGGAGGAGTGTCCGGACTGCTTCGACTGGCAGACGGTAGGGGCGATTACGCGCCGCCTCAGCTTTACCGACAGGGAGCGGCGGCGGAACCGCGGTATAGGCCTTGACCCCGACATGGAGCTCCCAGCCGAGAGCCGCCATCCACGGACAGGCAGCTGGTAGGAGAACAGCGAAAGCCGCAGAATTCAGCCGTAAATTTATTTTTTTTCACCTCTTTCTGTTGTCGATTGTGGATCTCCCATTCCCGTGATGCTGTGGAATTGTTGCTGTTGTTGGATCTTCATGGGGTCTGAAGATCGGGTGGTTCTGGTTTCACTCATTCTGATTGCCAACTAGTCTTTACACTACTTCCGTTGACAAAGGATAACAAAAGAGGCATTTTCCCCCCTGATCATTGAGTGCCAGAGTCAACTTGCCCACGTATCCTGAGACCAAGTGCTGGAGTTCCTTGGTGAAGAAAATAAATTTAGCCACTTAGTCGCCTATGTATCCTGAAACAAAGTGCTAGAATGCCCCCTCCCATTGCCTTGTTTAATTGCATCAAACGTAATTGTTGGTTACAATCTTTTGAAACTTACTTTCATTTCACAGGGTTGTTGGCCTGGAGATATTGGATTTTTATTAAACCATGATATTTCCATGGATGTAGGAAAATGATCTTGCCTTAAAACTCTCATCTGCAAGTTCCACAAGTTCATGCTATTTTATGTAATATCTTTAAACTGGTGTGTTTCTCCTGCCTTAGGTACCTTTTTGGTTGTGCTGAGGAACTGACGAGGTTACATACATACCATCATCGAGCATGCAACAAGGTTAGTGGATAGTCCTTTGGTGCAGCTCTTCTGATTCTGCCGTTACCTTATGCTCTATAAAACATGTAGTACCTTTTAATGGTTTTCAGTGTGATGGTTAATTCGAATTTGTAGTCATGATTGGTAAACATTTGAACCAAATTTTGTTTTCTGCAATTCAAATTAGTTATTTCTTGGTACATTGACTATTTATTTTCACCATATAGTTTTTTGGTTAGAAACCGTGTATATTTTGTTAAAGGTAGTCATTCTCTATCAACTTAAACGATCTTGAGACATCATGCAAACAAACTTTATTGCTCTGTTTGCCTTCTATAGATATTTTATAATCCAATGAGAGAGGACGTTTCAATGTCCATCATGTGTGTTGTTACACTTATCTCCTGCCACATTGTTTGATATCTGAGAAATTTAAGGGAAAGGATCCCCGGAAACATTATTTAATATTTAAAAATTCATATTGAATGTTAAAGAGACCTTTTTGGTGTACTTGTTGGCTATACGAGACATGGTATAGTATGAAGAAAATGTAATGCTTTCGTATTATTTTTTAAAAAGTTATTTTTTTTTAATGTCTTTTGCTCGGTATAAATCAGCAGCTTAATGTGGAAATAGCCTCTTTTAGGATATGCAAAACATCTGAGTGTGTCCAAAAGAAAATCGTGGTATCACACCTAGCTTGAAGACATTTAATCACCTAGCCCACTGACACCTACCCATGTTATTTATGATGTTCTTTCAGATACTAAAAAGTGTTATATTTTGACGTCATTACTGCGAAACACATCATATCATTGAACCCTCTTGAGACTAAGCATTCACTATACCATATGATAGGCAATGTAGTTGATATGAATGGTGTCACTCTCCCTCTCTAAAGATAAAACTGATAAAATCGATGCAAATAGTAATTTTAAAAGCTAAAGGTTTAGAAAACGTAGAAGATGAATGACATATGAATTTACCTATAAAATCGATGCAGCTTGTGCTCAATGATTCGATTTCTAGTTTTCTGGTTACACGGATATCTATAAATCTCCTGTCAGATCCACATTGTCACAGGTGCACTGGGCTGGTCCGGAGAGAAGTGTCCTAGGCTGGAGGGAACCTATGTAGGAATGCTGACTCATGGCGCCTTGTATTTCTATCTAGCCAAGTGTGGAGAAAGCAGAGTGTACATATACTATATGTTTACATTAATAGATAGTTGGGGCTTCTTACATCTCTCTCTCTCTCTCTCTCTCTCTCTCTCTCTCTCTCTGATTAGAGGAAAGTTGTCAACCTGAAGCCAATCACCCCCTCCAACATGTGCCACATGTCTCCTGTTGTTCATGCTACTTGTGCATGTGCAGGGCACAAACCATGCTTCTATGATTTGAAATGTTGCAGAATTAGGAAGGCTCAAGAAAATATTGTGGCCATCTTTATGAGGAGAGTATCTTCTTTAAAGATAACCTCTTTGGTTAGTTCTAAAGGGTAACTGGCTGTTAGTTGGATGATGCGTTCTAGATTAGTTTATGACTTGTCAAATAGTTTAGATATTGTGAAATCAAGTTAGAGCATTGTTAAATCTCTTTTCCGTCTTTCTTTGTGAAGCTTATTAGAACTATTTTTTATGTGTTAACCCGTAGTTAAAACTAATAGCCAGTTATAAAGACTTTTTTAGAACCAAAATGGCGTACAATGTTGAGTGCTTCGTGGTGCATGACCTCCTTTGTCGGACCACTTTTCCTCACATCGTTCTTGTCAGTGCAGGGCGCATGGGCTGGAAGGTGTGCGGTATTTATGACTATGGGGATTTTATAATGACAATATTAGTTCAGGCATTAACGTTACAAATAATCCTTGAAACGCTTCAATAAACTTTTATTTAATTTTAAATGTTTTAAATCTTGTTCTTAGAACCAGATTAACAAGGTGGGTCTTAGTTTATCTCAAGGTGTTTCAGGTCGGTTCCTTACTGAACTGTCCAGATTTTAATTTTCACTGGTCCATGAAAGTTAAAATGATGATATGGGAATTGACACTGTTTTATTATATTTTGGAGAAATTATCCAGCAGATACTTGCCCTTCTTCATGGTTGATGCTTAACTTTATGAGGCTCCTGGAAGAAAAAATAGCTTCATATGCAACAGAATTCATCCCGTTTTCATATTTTTTCTATTTGGTTTCATTATTTGTTTCTGATTACTTGCAAGTGCTTTTTTATATCTTGTAGGAATTTGAAGGAGTTGCTGTCCGTCATAATTTATTAGATTGGCTGGGCTTCATCAGATTTCTCACTCTCTCGATCTCTATCCCTGTGATTTGGAGGAAAATGGGCAAGGTGAAGTCAATCACCTCTCTCCACTGTGCAACTTTGTGCCTGCTGCTGTTCTTGCTATCTCAGCGTTTTGGTGTTGGAGAAGCTCGTCTGGTAGATCTCTCAAAAACTTTTTTGTTTCCTCCTCTTCTTGGCTAGTGATTTTCCATGGGGCAATATCCAAAGCGATTATCATTTTAAACTTGTTCTTTAATTACATGCAGCAATTTTCAAGTCATCTAATGGATGTTGATTATTTTTTGGTCATACAGTGTTTACCAGTAATTATTTGCAATGTTTTTGTTAAACTCAGAGGGCGTAGTTTATTTTTTTATGAAGACTGTAAACTTTCTGGTTTTTTTTGCACTTTGGTAAACTTAATATGTACAACCTTCTGTGGAAGCCAATTTATTCTTGGCCAGTGTTACCCTTGATGGTGTTTCTTTAATAAATTTCTTATAATTTTGCTCAATGGATCCTGATGCTACCCTAGTGAAGAATAGCGAAAATAGCAAAAAACATAGAGTCACAGACTGGCACCGCACAAGGGTCCTTTTATGATTATAGCTGTTGCCGTTTTAGGAAGGATTGACAAAATAATGTTGTTATCTTTGGGGGTAGCATCCTCTTTGGGAAATAACCTGTTTCTTGACGATTTTTTCTGGATTAATTTCTAGGCTTCTCGATTCTTCTGTTAACTTTACCCTTTTTATCTTATTGTACTAAATTAATAAATAGTTTTGAAGTAGAAGTTTAACTATGTTAAATATTTAATTTTAATGTGTTAATGACATATAATGTTATGTGGTTAGTGGCAGAGGTCCTCCGACATAGAACCCTTTTCTTCACATCTTTGTTGTAAACGTAATGATTCTAGAAACACACTGCCTCTTGAGGAATTGCTTTTATAAACTATCTTGAAAACATTCGGAATAGACTTATGATTAATTTGAAATGTTTAAAAGCCTGCTCTTATCTCAGAACCAGGAAAAACAGATTAAATCTTTGTCAATCTCTGAATCTTGCCGGTTTTGGACTCAATTGGCCCGATTTGAAGTCTTGCCGGTCCACAGATTAGAACTCAAGGATGTTGGTCCTGAACTTAATGACATTTTATTACGTTTGCTGAACACTCGTCCTTTTTCATGACTGATTACTTTATAGACAAAAAACCGTCAGATATTAAGATTCTGTCCATTTTTGTTATTCTCTTGTTTGGCTGACCAATTTGTTGATACTTTGACTTACTACTGTTTGTTGTCTGTTCTAGGAACTTGAAGGAGTTGAAGCCAGAAGGTGATGTATATTTACCGTATATATTGCAATCATAGGTAGCATGTGAAAAGCTAGCCAGGATTATGTGATCTTATTCATCGACTGCCAGGACTCTATAGAATCAGCCTTCAGCTTGAAAGAAGTTCATCCATGTTGCATGTCTTTGTATTGAGTTGATGGGCCATTTTTTTACCGGTAGACTACAATTAGGTATAATACCTTTTTAAACTATTTTTTATGTAGCCACTAGAATTAAAATCTGATGCCCTGGATAGTCTTGCAATGTCATCTCATTTTCCTATGCACCAGATTGTATTAAATACTGTCTTTTCTGGATTTCTGCATTACTGAAGACTAAGATTCGGTTTCATTCAGAACTTCAGAGAGTGGTCCTGAGATTCACTGCTCAAGAGAAAGAAGCAGAGCAGCTTGGAAGATCATTGAGGAGGTATACATGCTTCTTTGATCCCTGAAGTCAAATTTGAGTTGATGTTTTGTAGCGTTATTTCATATTGTTTCATAATTTTCATACTGTGTGGTACCGTTTCATAGCATTATCCTTCTACTGTTTAGATTCCTATATTAAATTATAAAATTTTGTTGCAGTACCTGATGCCCTTTGTCGATGAACACAAGTATCAAATTTCGAGTAAGTGTCGGCTTCACCCTAGCAATGACATGTTTAGAGAACAAGAGGCGCACAAAATCCATGTGGATGTAAACGAATGGCGCTGTGGATTCTGCCAGAAGCGATTCCGTGCAGAGAAGTATCTTGACATGCATTTTGATAACCGCCATTACAATCTACTCAATGATGTACGCCAGCTACTTTGGTGTGAAATGTTCATGATAATTTATTTATTCTTCAGTGTATTAACTTTGGTTCTTTACTGTGTGAATCTTTCATAATCATTTATTTAATTTCGCGATACCATTACATGTCAAAATATTTCATAATCATTTATTTACGTCACACAATATAGCTATTACTTTTTATTCAAAAGGGCTACTTTTTCCCTTTTTTTTTTTTTCCTATTATTATTTTTTTCTGATTATGGCACGTTGGTTTTAGGCAATCAGCATGATTTCCACCTTCTCTGGCATTCCTACCCCTATTCATGTGATGATTCTTCTCCCCAAATGCAATTGGTTTATGGGTTTGTAATCGTTGAGCCTAAGTGCTCTCTGTCCAATTCGAAATCTTTACCAAGAATTTTCTCGTTGAGTTTCCCTTATATAAATCTTCCGCTTACCCTCCCATTGATGATGTTTAATTACGCCATTCCTTGAAGAAACTGAGAGGAAAGCCAGCCACAGTCCCAGAGACAATAATTTCAAAGGTTAATCCAGTGCTCAGCAAGATTTGTTAATTTTTATGCCATATAGGCAATTAATAGGTACGCATTGATGCGCAATAGTTAGAAGATTTTCTTGTGGGAAAAAACTTAGAAAACTAAAAGAACTATCCTCTTAGCTCTCAATCATGAAGTGTTCCATGAGCTTCCAGGGAATCAAGTATTCATTTCTTTCTGTGAATCTCACATGACGTATAGCATCTTGTACCCACTCTTCGAGCACATTAACCTTTTTTTTCGGCAGCCCTTCCTTGAAACTGAGATTGCAGTTGCTTGAATCATTCTTGGTGTTCTTCCTCTTTGCTGTTGATATTTTTTTTTCTTTTGGTGCAATCTAATCAATTCTCTCTGATTGTAGACTCAAGGACCATGCTTGGCTGACTTATGCGGTGCATTGCATTGTGACCAAGTGATGGAGTCCAAGAAACCCAAGACTAAATGTAACCCAGCCGCTGTTGCAAGAAATCGCCATCTCTGTGAGGTTCAGTGTCATTTCCTTGTGCTTGGGCGTCACTAAATCGTTCATTTATGGGTTTTTTTCTCCTGATTCAGTATAATCTATTGAATACAACTTGAGAGGGCAAGAAATATACCCACGAAACAAATTTCTACCAATTTAAGCCGTCCAAGAATTGATTTTCTCTTGGAGAAAAATGCCAGTAAAACCTCTAGCTTTTGCATTATTCCCATACATTTTCTAAATATTCCTTCTGGTTCAATGCAGAGCCTTGCTGATAGCTGTTTCCCCGTCAACCAGGGCTCCACAGCCAGCCGTCTTCATGGTATCTCCAGCCCCAAGAGCATTTTTCTTTCATCTCTCACTCCCTTTGATTCTAAGTACTACATGCATTTCCTATGCTGGATATCAGAATTCTTCCTACGCCAGTTCTGTGATTCTCACACTTGCAGTGGAGGGCACAAACCCTTCTCCAGGGGAGGCAGAGTAAGATCACCAAGCCCTTTGTTCACATACCCTTCTGACTTGAACGATTTCAACTCATTTCTCTCTCTCTCTCTCCCGCAGAAGCAGAGCAGCGTACTCTACCTCGCCGTCTGCATTCTCCTGGTGCTTCTTCTTCCTCTGTTCTACCTCCTCGTGTTCCTCAGCAGAAGGTCGTCCATCTACCTCTGAAGATGATATCATTCCAGTTCCCCTGTTCCCATCTTGACCAAGTAACTTTTCTTGACGCGCCCATGTCTTCTTCTGTTCTTCTTCAGAGAGATGAAGGATGGGGTTCAAGTCCTGAAGCGTATCACCAAAGCGAAGCAAAAGAAATAGCTCGCCTCACCCAGAGATTATTATACTAGTAGGCTCTTGTTATTGTGCTTATTATTGTTATTTCGCCGTCAATTTATCTTTTTTTAATTAATTAAATTCTGGGTTCACTTGAATTGTTCGCTGTCCCACATCCTAGCTGGCCTCCCCCCATCCTACGTGTCACCATGCTGCTGTTCTGACTCTTGCCAAGAGGTGACTTTAATGAAATTCCACCTGGGCTGCAATTTTTCCTCCCGCAATCCGTACACTTTCTGTGAGCTGCTTGTCTGCCATGCTGGCAGGCTGTTTTTCTCTTTCCTGGTGACATGGCAATAGTCCTCCCTTCTTCCCCCCTCGAGGAGTGTCTGCCATGCTGGAATTTTTGCTTTTTTTAATTTATTATTCACAAAACGAGCTTAATTTCTTTCCTCCAAGATGAGATCAAGCTCCTAACCCTTATCAAATCCCTAAGATTTATAAAATATCATCAATTCTCTTTTAGAAATTATATCGATTACGTGGCATTGACCTTGTGGCATTGACATGTATATTTTTCTGTTTAAGCCCTCCACAATAAAATAGGATTCAACCTTCCAAAAACCACAGAGTACCCATGGATTCAACCTTAATAAGCACCATTTTCGGATTATTCTACCAGATTGAATAGCCCCTTCGATGGGTGGATTTGTTGGAGCCTCTGACTACAGATGCTATATATATATATATATATATGGAGAGAGAGAGAGAGAGAGAGAGAGAGAGAGAGAGAGAGCCTAGTATTGGATTTATTTCTCATTCAAAGGATTTATTTTAATGCTTAAATACGGTTTAAAAATAGAGTAAGATTGCGCTTGGGTCTTACTTGGGCAGTCTACCTGATGCGCTTGGGTCTTACTTCAGATAAAATGAAAATGTGTAACAAATAAGGGAGGATTAAAAGTCGTAGGGCCTTCCTAGAATGCCATTCTTGGGGCAAATGCCATTTACAGTACAAGGAAACGTATCATGAAACCTTTTTTTTTTTTGTTTTTTTGTCAAAAAATAAAAGAAAATAGGTCCCTCGTCAAGAGGGTTTCAGTTACTAGAGTGGGACCTACAAGGCCAACTATGCATTATGTTGACTGGAGCAGGTCAACCCCCGTGGTCCACGGCTGGGTGGCCACGTGAGCAGATAAAAGGTTTCAGAATCAGAGAGATTTTGTCGGTGAACTCACGTGGAGAAAAGGGTATGATGAGCGTATTTTATGAAAAAAAAATGATTTATAAAATGGGATTCCTATTTCGGTAAATGTTGATCACAAATCGAAATCGAACCGAACGGGGATTTTAGATTTTGAAGATTCTGATTCCGGCCACAAAAAAAATATCTCGCGGTTCGGGCTGCCGGAGTGGACGAGCCCGGGGGCCGAGGAACGAAGACCCCTGCGGGCAGCAGTGATTTAATTTGCACGTAAAGCCCTCGTAAGGAATTTAATTGCGTTCTGCCTCTCTCTAACAAAACCAAAATTCTTGCGAGCGGAAATTGTAATTTTCAATTTTTTGCCTGGCGTATACGAAATCAGCTTTCAGCTGGAGCTTGGAGTCATGGAAGAGGACTAGTCACCTGTGAGGTACGATCCAGCTGGATGGATGAGACAGACAGATATATAGAGAGAGGGATGGATAGAGAGAGAGACAGAGAGAGAGAGAGAGAGAGAGAGAGAGAGAAAAGGGAGAGCCTGGTCATAAGATAATGTAGAGAGAGAGAGTCAACGGGAGAGGGCGGGGAGCAACATCCACAGACCGAAGGAAGGAGGAGAGATCGGCCGGTATTAATTGCCTTCCTCTTCCTGTGAAAGGGGAAGGGTTGGGAGAGACTGTGGTGGAGAAGGTAGCCTCCAATGGATATGCTGGGGTTCCTGCAGTAGCTGGGAGCTTTCTCTGCGTTGTCCGTTTCTTCTCTCGTCTTTCTCCTCCTCTCGACTCTCCTCTTCCTATCGGTCGCCTGTTACCTGCGAGGACCTCCGAAGAACAATGAGGGCCTCCGCCTGCCGCCGTCGCCGCCCAGACTCCCCCTCATCGGCAACCTCCACCAGCTCAGTGCCCTCCCTCACCACCCCCTCCGAGAGCTCTCCCGCAAGTACGGTCCCCTCATGCTCCTCCACATCGGCAAGGTCCCCACCCTCGTTGTCTCCTCCGTGGAGGCGGCGCGGGAGGTGCTCAAGATCCAGGACCTCACCTTCGCCACCAGGCCCTTCTCCGCCGCGGGGGCCACCCTCACTAACGGCTGCCGCAACGTGTCCTTCGCCCCTGACGGCGAGCACTGGCGGCAGGGCAAGAAGGCCGCCGTCGTCCACCTCCTCAGCCCCAACAAGGTCCAGTCCCTCCGCCGGACGCGGGAGGAGGAAGCCGCCTTCATGATCCAGAAGATCTCGTCGTCCCCTTCTCCGGCGACGGTGGACCTGAGCGGGTTACTTTACGCCTTCTCCGACGGCCTCGCCTGCAGAGTCGTCGCGGGGAGCTGCGCGGCGAGGGAGGTGAGGACCCAGAGATTCCGGGAGGCGATCAACGGGGCCACGGCGATCCTCAGTGGACCGAGATTGGAGGAGCTCTTCCCGAGCTTGGCGTGAGTGACGAAGCTTCCCGGAGCAGACTCGAGGTTGAAGAAGCTGGCGAAGAAGTGGAATGCCCTCCTCGACGAGATCGTGGCGGAGCACGAGAGGTGGGCGGGAAAGAGAGAGGAGGCGTAGGAGGTTGACTTCATCGACCTCCTCCTTTCCGCAGACCCCGCCGTCGACTATGCCTTCTCTAGAGATGACGTCAAGGTCATCTTCATGGTGAGCAGCTGCCATGGATTATGCTCTCTCTGTTGTGATGTGGGTTTTAAGTCATCTTCTCTATCGTCGTCATTCCTTCCAGGACATCATCGCGGCCGGAACGGACACCTCGTACGTGGTCCTGGAGTGGGCGATGGCGGAGTGGATGAAGAATCCAGCGCTGATGGAAAGGACCCAGAGGGAGGTGAGGGAGGCTGCCGGCGGCAAGCCGGCCCCCACGGAGGACGACGTCGCCGGTATGTCCCACCTGCGGGCGGTGGTGAAGGAGGTCCTCCGGCTTCACATGCCGGCGCCGCTTCTCATCCCGCGAGAGGCCATGGCGGCCACCCGCGTGCTGGGCTACGACGTCCCGGCAGGGACGAGAGTCTTTATCAACGCCTAGGCCATGGCAACGGATCCGGATTGGTGGGAGGTGCCGGAGGAGTTCCGGCCAGAGAGGTTCCTCCGGGAGGAGCCGCCGCCGCCGGCGGACTTCCGGGGGAGCGACTTCCAGTTCCTGCCGTTCGGGGCGGGGAGGAGGATGTGCCCGGGGATGAACTTCGCTATCTGCGAGGTGGAGCTGGCCCTCGCCGGTCTCCTCTACCACTTCGACTGGTCTCTACCCGCTGGAATGGTTCCGGAGGACCTCGACATGGCCGAGTCCTCAGGAATCACCGTCCGCCTGAAGACGCCCCTCCGCCTTGTTGCCGTTCCCCGCTCTCCGAACTCCGGTATGCTCACTTGATACGTGTCTGCACCTCTCTCTCTCTCTGTCCCTCTCTCGCTCTCTCATCGTACGTCGACTTCAGTAAACGGGACTTGGATATTTCCCGGTAAAAGAACTAATTTGAGGATAAAATCCTCCCTTCCATCTGCCCGATCTTTATTATTTGACCCCTCGACCGAAGTTCTCCGATCATCTTGGAATGCGTCCCGGCGTCAAAGCTCGCGGCGGCCCGGCGGCGCCGCCAGTTCAACGAATTTACAGGATACCCTCAGAGATTGGCATGCAACAAAAACAGATGGAGAGGATTCTTTCGTAATTGTGCAATTATCCACGGGCTAAAAAATCATTATTATCCTTTTTTCAGGGGAGCATATAAACCCCCCAAAGTTTCTATTTTTGGTTGATAACTCCCCAGAATGGTTTTTTATCGAAAAAAAACACCGACTTAGCATCATTAAACGTACCCATTAAATAATTCCTGGGGTGTAAGCACAAACCATGGAGGATCGGATGATGTCCCCATGTTTCAGCCATGGAGGACGATCTTATAAATCTACCATAAGTGTACATCAGCTTGCTTATTGGTCTAATGGTAGGAATATCAGGTCTCATATCAACTAATAAGGTACTGCTTCAAGCCCATTTAGAACAAATGTATCAAGGTCTAATGAGAAAATTGATTTTTCTTTCTCATACAAGACAAGATTTGTGTATATTTAATGGGTGCTCTTAGCCAATGTATACATAATCTAAAAGTAATTCATCTTCAAGAGGATGATACTCCTGTGTATTGGCTTGATGTTAATCCATTAAAACTATAAACCTAATTATATCCTTTAATAGTGAGTATTCTTTGATTATTCAAAACTTTTCTTTGGTAACTTAATACTATTTGGACTAAGTACATATCTAAAAATATCAAATTATTGGTCAAAAAGTAACATTTTTTCGATTATATATATAAATATTGTTGTCCAACTTTGAATATAGATATTTGTTGATGCCCTTGGTTTTGATAAATTAAAAGTGAAAAATTTATTGGTGTGTCACTTAAGTAATTGTCCATTAGGACACATAAGGCAAAAGATTTATAAACTAAATTCTAAGAGGTTTAAACAAGTTTTTTGGTGGAATTACATAGATAGGATGTAGAGACAATCCATTAACTTATTCTATCTATTTATTGAAGGAAAATAAACCATGAAGTAGATAATTAGAGGAAGGAAATTCTCTCCAATTGCCAAATTGTTCTTAGTGTGCTTGCTAATTTCTATTGGCTGTTCATCTCAAGGCATCCAAATTGACCTTTAATTTGATGTACTCTAAGTCCAAGTCCCTTTCAAATAGTTTGACCTGCAGAAACTTAGAAGACTAAGAAATCAAATTGAAGAAAGAGGAAAAAAAAAACACAAAGGAGGAGAGAGAAAATAAAGGCAAGAGGTAGAAAGGGAAAACACTTGCAAGAAGGGCACCCCAAATGACGAAAAAACACTAAGTTGTTGAGTGTCTTAACTATACAAGATCAAAAAAAAATTCGACAAAAAAGTTGTTATGGACTCACAATTGAGTTATCTAAAAATTGAAGCAAACAAGAGACAAAACAGAACAATGGGTGGAGAGAAATTCGTGTAAAATCTAATCAATGTCATGGGTATACATTCAATGGGTGGAATAGAAAGAAAGTAATAAAAGAATTAAAGAGAACGTGAAATCAAATTTAATACCATAGTGTGTGTCAGTCACACGAGTAGATCAAACTTTAAAACACAAACATTAAGAAATCAAAGCGAAATAAGGGAGAAAACTCAAATAACTCCCATTGAAATAATATTAAAGCACAAATTCATGAGAGACAGTAAAGCACAAAATTAGTAAAATAAAATCTGAAAGTGATAAAAACTGAAAGAGAAAATAACAAATTCAAAGAGGACAAAAGCAACAAAAGTGATGCAGAAAATTGGATTTTCTCACTCTTTGCTATGTCATGACAATGGACATCAATATGTTCAGAAGAACATCCCCCGAATGATAATGATCTCGAGTACCCTAATTTCTCAACTTTTTATTCAATCCCTAATGTGAGAGAGGGTCATACATGGCTTCTTGATAGCTTGAAAGGTACCCCAAGAATGATTCCTTCACTTTTGATTCAAAATATATCTTCACAATTATTTTTTTGGCAAATATGAAATGTATCTCAAGGCAACAAACGATGGATAATTAGGCTAGAAAAATATTTACAAGATCTAAATTTGGATCACATCATAAGAATATATGAAAAATAGATATTTTAGTGCTAATTCATGATTTATGCTATAAAGTTGTTTAAGTTCATTTTGATTCAATTACAAAGGACTTTAGGGCATATTATGAAACATAAATAACAAAATATAACAACTTATTGATGGTTATTGATATATATGTATCATAAATGTCTAAAAACATTCAATATGTTCAACATAGTCATTATACGAAAAAAAACATTCAATATGTTCAACATAGTCATTATACGAAATATCTTTATTGCTTATATAATCTTATCACTAATGATCAAATCCAAGGTATTAATCCCTAAGATTAGTTGATTCCTCCAAGATGGGATGAAGCGTAATTATCTCCCCTGTGACCGTTGACTTTGTGTCATTGACATTTTTTGGATCCACGTGATGTATAATTTTCCGTTCAAGCCATCCGACTTAGTAATCAATCAATAAATAGGATTCACAAAACAAGCTTACTTCTCTTTCCTTGAAGATTGGATCATGCTCCTTAGAGACTCATTGGGTTGTCTACACCCTGACCATTATCCAATTCCTGAGATTCATAAAATATCATCAATTCTTTGTTAGAAATCATATCGACTACCTGGCATTGACATTCTTTTTGGATCCACGTGTATATTTCTCCATTTAGGCCCTCAACAGTGTCCGTTGATTCAACCTTGATAAGCACCATTCGGGGATTATTCTACCGGACTGAACTGGTCCAGACGGCTGATTGGATTCTGAGAAGGGATTTCAATCACCACTTCGAGGGCGGACTTGGATTTATTTTTCATGGAAGGGTTTTATTTTAATACTTATAAATGGATTAAAATCAGACTAAAATTGGACTACAATAAATAATGGACGATTAAAAGTCAAAGGACCTTCCAAGAACGCCTTCTTGGGAAAGGTGCCTCATCAAGATGATATCAATTACGAGAGTGGGACATATTGGTCAGCAAGGCCTCACAGCTTGGCTGACCAGCACTGTGTCGTGTATACCAGGTCAACTGTGTGGGGCCCACTTACGATATCGTCCACACAGGTGGCTGGTCACCTGAGCTTGAAGTGTTATTCAGTATAAAAAAATAAAATTTGTGGGTAAACTCAAGTGGAGAAAATGGATAAATGATTACTGATGAGCGTATTTTTTGGAATTTTTTTCTGATTCCTAAAATGGGATTCCCACTTCGGTGAATTTTAGGGTTTACTTTTCCAAATTCGCTGGAATTCGAAATCCATCCCAACGGGGATTTTAGATTTTGAGGAAGATTTCTGATTCCGGCCACAAAAATATCTCGCTATTCGGCCTGTCATTTAATTACATATAAAGCCCTCATAAGGAATTTAATTACGTGCAGCCTCTTTCCAACAGTACAAAATCTTGTAACAATAAAAATTCTTGCGAGAGGATATTTAAATTTTCAATTTTTCGCGTAGTGTATTCGAAATCGGCCTTTGGAGGTTGGCGTCGTTGAAGAGACTCAGATCTTGGACACTGATGGAAATAACTGTAGAGATACAGAGAAGAGAGAGAGAGGAGAAGATAATGTAGGGAGAGAGAGAGAGAGAGAATCAACGGGAAAGGGCGGGCAGTGACATCCACAGGCCGAGGAGGGAAGGAGGAGAGATCGACTGGTATTAATCGCCTTCGCCTTCCTGTGTAAGGGAAGGAGGAGAGATCGGCAGGCGAAGGAGACGAGGCCAAGGAGGGAAGGAGGAGAGATCCACAGGCCGAGAAGGGTTGGGAGGGACAGTGGAGGAGAAAGTAACCTGCTGGAGCTGCCGGGGTTCCTTCGTCTCCAATGGATATGCCGGAGTTCCTGCAGGAGGTGGGAGATTTCTCTGCCTCTTCTATTTCTCCCGTCTTCCTTCTCTCGATTCTTGTCTTCCTGTCGGCCGCCTACTACCTGCGAAGACATCCGAAGAACAAGAAGGGCCTCCGCCTGCCGCCGTCGCCGCCCAGACTTCCCCTCATCGGCAATCTCCACCAGCTCAGTGCCCTCCCTCACCGCCCCTTCCGAGAGCTTTCCCGGAAATACGGCCCCCTGATGCTACTTCACCTCGGGCAGACCCCCACTCTCGTGGTCTCATCCGTGGAGGCGGCGCGAGAGGTGCTCAAGACCCAGGACCTCGTCTTCGCCACCAGGCCCTTCTCCGCCGCCGCCGCCGCCCTCACCAATCGCTGCCGCAACGTCTCCTTCGCCCCTTACGGCGAGCACTGGCGGCAGGGCAAGAAGGCCGCCGTCGTTCACCTCCTAAGCCCCAGCAAGGTTCAGTCTCTCCGCCGGACGCGGGAGGAGGAGGTCGCCTTCATGATCCAGAAGATCTCGTCGTCTCCTTCTCCGGCGACGGTGAACCTGAGCGAGACACTCTACGCCTTCTCCAACGGCTTCGTCTGCCGAGTCGTCGCCGGAAGCTCCGCGGCTAGGGAGGTGAGAACCCAGAGATTCCGGGAGGCGATCGACGGGGCCACGGTGGTCCTCTGTGGGCCGAGATTGGAGGAGCTCTTCCCGAGCTTGGCGTGGGTGACGAAGCTTCCCGGAGCAGACTCGAGGTTGAAGAAGCTGGCGAAGAAGTGGAATGCCCTCCTCGACGAGATCGTGGCGGAGCACGAGAGGCGGGCGGGAAAGAGAGAGGAGGCGGAGGAGGTTGACTTCATCGACCTCCTCCTTTCCGCAGACCCCGCCGTCGACCATGCCTTCTCTAGAGACGACGTCAAGGCCATCTTCATGGTGAGCAGCTGCCATGGATTATGCTCTCTCTGTTGTGACGTGGGTTTTTGGGTCATCTTCTCCCTCGTCGTCATTCCTTCCAGGACCTCATCGCCGCCGGAACGGACACCTCGTATGTGGTCCTAGAATGGGCGATGGCGGAGCTGATGAAGAACCCCGCGCTGATGGAGAGGACGCAGATGGAGGTGAGGGAGGCCGCCCGTGGAAAGCCCACCCCCGAAGAGGACGACGTCGCCGGGATGCCTCGCCTGCGGGCGGTAGTCAAGGAGGTCCTCCGGCTTCACATGCCAGCGCCGCTCCTCCTCCCGCGGGAGGCTATGGTGGCCACCCGCGTGCTGGGCTACGACGTCCCCGTCGGGACGAGGGTCTTCATCAACGCCTGGGCCATGGCGACGGACCCGGAGTGGTGGGAGGCGCCGGAGGAGTTCCGGCCGGAGAGGTTCCTCAGGGAGGAGGAGGCGGCGCCGCTGGTGGACCCCCGGGGGAGCGACTTCCAGTTCCTTCCGTTCGGGGCGGGGAGGAGGATGTGCCCGGGGATGAACTTCGCTCTCTGCGAGGTGGAGTTGGCCCTCGCCAGCCTGCTCTACTGCTTCGACTGGTCTCTACCGGACGGGGCGGCACCGGAGGGCCTTGACATGGCTGAGTCCCCCGGAATCACCGTCCGCCTGAAGACACCCCTCCGCCTCGTCGCCGTTCCGAACTCTGCTGTGCTCGCCTGATAGGTTTCTGCGTATCTCTCGCTCTCTCTCTCTCGCTGTAACTCGTACGTCGACTAAGGTGATCGGGCCTTGGAGATATCGCTGTAAAATAACTAATTTGAGGTGCAATTCTTCCCTGCAATCTGCTCGATCGTTATTATTTGCATCCCGGCGTCAAGGCTTGCGGATTATTAGTTTCAAGGATAACCGCAGAAGAACAACGTAAAACAAAAATGCATGGAGAGGATTGTATTATAATTTTGCAATTATCTATGGGCGAAAAACTCATTACTCTCCTTTCTTCAGAGCACCAGATAAACCATCAGAAGTTTCTATTCTCGTTTGGTAATTCTCAGGAAGGTTTTCTTGTGGAAAAAGAAAATGCAGACTTAGCATCATTAAACGTACCTACTAAATAATTATTTGGGTTATGAGCCATGGAGAATGATTCAATGATGTCCCGATGTTTCAGTCATGGAGGACGATCTCATGAATCTACCAAAAGTGCACATCAACGCTCTAATCAACTGGAGGTATAAGCTGCTGCTTCAATCCCATTTAGACCCGCGGGAGAGAGAGAGAGAGAGAGGAATTTTGATTAATCAAAAGATAAAAATATTTTGGAATATAAGATGTATGTGTAATCAAAAGTGGGTTCTGAAGAAATGGGATGGAGATCAGAAGATAAAAATCTTACGGAATCTAAGATGTCTGTGTAATATAACAAGAAGTGGATTCTAAAGAACTTGGATGGTATAGGGGGGGTTGAAGAACTAACAAGATTCATAGCAACAAGGTAACAAAGATTTACTAGAATCAATATCAAGAAAAATTAAAACATACGATTCATTTGATGGCTAGTAAGATAATTGGATTTCAGAAATCCTAGAGGAATTTTAAAACAAGTTAACAATCCTTCAAAGAAAAAGAACACAAAACTCAACGGTTGAACATAAGTAGGGCGCTTCAGCCCAAACTACTGTATGGGCTAACCCTGCTCATAGTTCAAGCAAATTCACTTTTATTTGGGAACCCTAGAAATTGAGATTGTAGTAGTTTGAATCATTCTAGGTACTCTTTCTCTTTGCAGCCGATTTATTTTTGTGCGATTTAATCAATCTCTAAATCCTAAACCTTAAGTTCTAAACTCTAAACCCCCTTGTTTTTTCCTCTCACACTCCCACCCCCTCTAGCGGGCTACGGATGGTTGTGGACCCCAAGGGCCGTCGATGGGGTTGAAGAGAGGCTCTGTTCGGCAGGAGAAGAGTAGTGTAGGGCAGGTTCCAATGCTGGCCATAGCTCCCACACAAGAACGGCAAGAGGAGCCCAAGCGGATCAACGATGCTGGCCTCAAGTGTAGAATAGAGGGAGCCCCGATGGTAGCTTCCCTACCTTTGAGCATTTCGAAGAAGGGCTATGTGGTCGGCAGCCTGAAAGCAGCAATGCAAGCTGCAAATAACATACCCGAAGGGGTCAATGGAAACAATGAGGTAGTGGACAACGATGCCTCCATTAAAAGCAACAATAGATGAGGAGAGACATGAGACATCAGTGATGCCTCCCCGTTGGCGTTTTTCCTCCGAATTTGAAAGTAAAATGTCTGTTGATATGTTATGTATCTTCAAACAAAATATCAACAACTTACACGAGAATAGTAAACTTCAAATCAAAGAAAAATTAAAGGTCATTGGCATACCGGTGGAGCAACAAGAAGAAATTAGAATTTACATAATTATTTTTCGAGTGATGAAAATATAAAAAGATGTTGAAAAATATAAGGAGTAAGCTAATGAAGAATTGGAACTAATACTAAATAAAGAAATCTTTTGACATCATTCATTCAGCCTCAAGAGAAGTTCACACTCTATCCCTCAAAGAAAAGTTACTGCACACTTCAAAGGAAAAACTGAAAGTTATATCACTTGACTCATTCTATTCTGATGATTGTAGTTAAATAGTACATCAAAGTTTGACTCTCTTCATTTGGCCCTAAGGTATTAGGGTGGTGAATGGTAAAAGATTTGGACTGAGACATGGTGTGCTAAGACCCTATTAGTCCTTGTAAAGAGTGTGTCTCTAATGAGAATAGTGTATTTGATTAAGGCATAAGGTGCTAAGAGTCAGACGCTACCTATGAGGGGGAGCGATCTTCATGGAAATTAGTTTAGATTAGCTGAGTCGTTGATCTCATGAAAACAGTTGTGTTTTTCAAAGGAAATAATGAACTATGGTAGGATGGATTCCTTACGATCAAACATAACTGCATGAAGTAAACATGTATCTAAAATAGAAAGACTATATGAGAACTGTGTTGACACACACATGCAGATAGAACATAAGAATATAATAGAAAAAGTAGTAAATCAATTCACCCCCTTATTAGTATTCCACTTAGCCACATCAAACTTAACAATTACAATATGCATAAGAAAGAGATAATGGTTGTGGTCATTACTTGAGGGTGTGACACCACTATTTTCTAAGCAATCATTCAATTTATATTGAAATTAGAACGATCATTTATTTAAGTTCATTGGTCATTGATTAATGATCAATTGATTGAGGATAAGTTGCTCACCATTCACTAGATTAGATATGCCCCCAAACACCTACAACACAAGCTTTTACTATATGTGCACCATTTGCATCTTAGATTGCATATTTTATGAAGAAAAATTAGTGATGTTAATTAACCAACTCACAAAAGAATCATCACTTGAGTAAGAATTTATTTGGTTGAGGCAGAGATAATTTTGAAGATGCAAACATCCTCATTGTAAGTTCAAGGAAATCTGGGTAAAACACTAAGAGAGGGGTGATTTGACTTTCTATGACTTTCTATGACTTTCTATGACTTTCCTTCAATTCTTATTTTCTACCTATTAATAGATGTGTTGACACAATTTCTTATATCTCTCTCTCAATGTAAGTTCTCTCAAGGCTATCTCCCTCTCCACTACTAAGAACACCAAAACGTTTTATGGTAATTTACCTTTTACTTAGCTACTTCTAGCCTTAGATAATTCTTTCCTCTAGAGTTTATTATTTTTCTTAAAAATACATACTGATTTTCATGATATCAGCTACCCAATCACACTCTTTCTATCTCCTCAAAGTCTTTGGCCTTCAAAGGCTCAATCAAGCTATCATCACCATGTGTTTTAACCTAAATAATTTCTACAACAAATATGTTCAATCATTCTACAATAAAAATTAAGAATTAATTATTCACCCCTAACTGAAAATCGACATTGTCCTTAATGACACAGAAAAATCATAATAGAATATGTAAAACATAATTATTTTTAAACAAAACATGCATATATCAAATTCAAGTAGTAAAAATGTTGTCATAAAAGGTGAAGTTTAGAAAGACATCACAACGACCTCATTTTTTATTTTTCACTTCATCTTAAACTCCTGCACTTTTATTTGAAGAATAAATATATAAAATAAATTACTATAAAAATTCTAAAACAAATAGAACTTAAAAGGATAGAACATAATTAATAAAATAAAAATCATGAGTTGTCTCTCATGTAGTGTTGAGTTTAAATGTCTTCAGCCAGACACATTAATCTTACTCTTAAATTTATTCTAATAATAAAATTTCTTTTTCTACAAGGCATTCATGTTCTATGTAATTTTTAAGTTGTTGTCCATTTACCTTAAAATTATAATCATTTTAGAATAACTAATCATTACAACCCCATGTTGATATATCTCCTCTACCACACTAGGCCTTATCCATTTTTATTTTAATTTTCTTAAGAATATTTCAGCCATTGACATTTTTTTGAACCATTTGATGTATATTTTTACATTTAAACCCTCCACAACTTAATAGCTAATAGATAGGATTCAACTTTTCAAAAATAACAAAGTGCCTATGGTTTGAGAAATCTTTCCCCATAGTCACCACCTACAGATTGTTCTACTAGATTTAATAGTTCAGATTGATTTCCAGATATATAGAAGGAAATTCCATCTTCCCTTCAATGGGCAGATGTTCTCTTGAAAGATGCGCCCAAACTATCTGTCACCCAATTCCAGCGTCTAATATGGACATGGATAGAGAGAGAGAGAGAGAGAGAGAGAGAGAGAGAGAGAGAGAAGGTGGGGGGCGAAGGCTAACCCAAGAAGAGAATTGGCCAGCCTTGGATTTATCTTACTGGGATGTAGACTTGATCTGCTAGCTAGACTCAACCTGCAACACTTGAAATAATGTCTTAAAAAAAAGGGAAGATTAAAAGTCGTAGGGATTTCCTAGACGCCTTCTTGGGGAAAATGCCATTTTCCGTTCAGCCAAGACGAGGAAAAATATAATGAAAACCTTTTTAAATAATTAGGTGCCTCATTAAGAGGAAATTAATTACGAGTGGGACTAGCAGGCCAGCATCTCCACTGGTTGGCACTCAGCCATGCATTGTGTTGACTGGGCAAGGTCAACCTGTATGGGTTCCACTTCTGATTGCCGTCCTGGCAGATAGTTGATCATGTGAATTTCAAATGTTATTCAGCATCAAAATTAAATTTTTTCGGTAACTGATGAGCATCAGGTGGAGAAAATGGAATTCAGCATTTCAAATGAATTTCAAATGTCATTCAATATCAAGTGGAGAAAATGGAAGAAAGGTTACTGATGAGCATCTATTATGGAAAACTTTTCTGGTTCATAAAATGGAATTCCTAATTAGGTGAGTTTTGGGGTTAATTTCCAAATTGGCTACAACAAGAAATTGAATCGAGCGGGGATTTTAGATTTTGAGGAAGATTCTGATTCTGGCCACAAAAAAAATATCTCGCTGCTCGGCCTGTCGGTATAGACAAGCCCGCCGCCGCCGCCTCCTTGGCCGAATAACGACGTTAATTTAATTGCATCTAAACCCCTTTTATGGATTTTCATTGCGTACGGTCTCTTTCCGACAAGGCCTACATTTGACCATATCACACATAAGAATTAGAAGTATTACGAGATGATATTTTTATTTTCAATCTTTAACCTGGGATATATGAAATCAGCCTCTGTATCTTAGCGTCGTTGAACAGAACTTCTCACGCCTGGGACAGTGATGTAGATCGACGGAGAGAGAGGGAGAGAGAGAAGAGAGCAGAGAGGGAGAGAGTGAAGGGGAAAGGGGGAAAGATCGGCCTACTGAAATCGCCCTCGTCTTCCTGTGAGGAAAGGTTGCCGGGGGGGGGGGGGACAGTGGTGGAGAGGGTAGCCTCCAATGGATATGCCGGGGCTCCTGCAGGAGCTGGGAGCTTTCTCTGCGACGTCCGTTTCTTCTCTTGTCTTCTTCCTCCTCTCCACTTTCCTCTTCCTGTCGGCCGCCTGTTACCTGCGAGGACCTCCGAAGAACAAGGAGGGCCTCCGCCTGCCGCCGTCGCCGCCCAGACTCCCCCTCATCGGCAATCTCCATCAGCTCAGCGCCCTCCCTCACCGCCCCCTTCGAGAGCTCTCCCGGAAGTACGGCCCCCTCATGCTACTCCACCTCGGGCAGACCTCCACCCTCGTCGTCTCCTCAGTGGAGGCGGCGCAGGAGGTGCTGAAGACCCAGGACCTCGCCTTCGCCAACAGGCCTTTCTCTGCCGCCGCCGCCGCCCTCACCTACGGCAGGCGCAACGTGTCCTTCGCCCCCTACGGCGAGCACTGGCGGCGGGCCAAGAAGGCCACCGTCGTCCACCTCCTCAGCCCAAACAAGGTCCAGTCACTCCGGCGTACGCGAGAGGAGGAGGTCGCCCTCATGATCCGGAAGATCTCGTCGTCTCCTTCTACAGCGACGGTGGACCTGAGCGAGATCCTCTACGCCTTCTCCAACGGCCTCATCAGCAGAGTCGTCGCCGGGAGCTGCCCGGCGAGGGAGGTGAGGACGCAAAGGTTCCGGGAGATGATCGACGAGTCGACGGCTATCATCAGCACCCCGAGATTGGAGGAGCTCTTCCCGAGCTTGGCATGGGTGACGAGGCTTCCTGGGGCAGTCTTGAGGTTGAAGAAGCTGGCGAAGAAGTTTGATGTGCTCCTCGACGAGATCATGGCGGATCACGAGAGGCGGGGGGAGGGGGGAAGGAGAGAGCAGGCGGAAGAGGTCGACTTCCTCAACCTCCTCCTCTCCGCCAACATCGCCGGCGACTACGCCTTCTCTAGAGACGACCTGAAGGCCATCTGCATCGTGAGCCGCCGCCATGGATTATCTCATCTCTCTCTCTCTCTTTCTCAGCATGACGTGGGTTTTTAGGTCATCTTCAGACCCTCTTTGATTCCAGGACCTCATCGCCGCCGGAACGGACACCTCGTACGTGGTCCTGGAGTGGGCGATGGCGGAGCTGTTGAAGAACCCGGCGCTGTTGGAGAGGACGCAGAGGGAGGTGAGGGAGGCCGCCGGGGGAAAGCCCGCCCCCACAGAGGACGACGTCGCCAGCATGCCCCGCCTGCGGGCGGTAGTCAAGGAGGTCCTCCGCCTCCACATGCCGGCGCCGCTCCTCGTCCCGCGGGAGGCCATGGAGGCCACCCGCGTGCTGGGCTACGACGTCCCCGCCGGGACGAGGGTCTTCATCAACGCCTGGGCCATGGCGACGGACCCAGAGTGGTGGGAGGCGCCGGAGGAGTTCCGGCCGGAGAGGTTCCTCCGGGAGGAGAAGGCGGCGCCACCGGCAGACCTCCGGGGGAGCGACTTCCAGTTCCTTCCGTTCGGGGCGGGGAGGAGGATGTGCCCGGGGATGAACTTCGCTCTCTGCGAGGTGGAGCTGGCCCTCGCCAGCCTGCTCTACTGCTTCGACTGGTCTCTACCGGACGGGGCGGCACCGGAGGGCCTTGACATGGCTGAGTCCCCCGGAATCACCGTCCGCCGGAAGACGCCCCTCCGCCTCATCGCTGTTCCGAACTCCGCTGTGCTCGCCTGATAAGTTTCTGCATCTCTCTCTCTCGTAAGTCGACTTCGATAATCGGGCCTTGGAAATTTCCCTGTAAAAGAGAACTAATTGAGGTGGAATTCCTCCGTCCGATCTGCCTTATCGTTATTATATTGTACCCCCAGCAAAATTTCCCCGATCATCGTGGAATGCATTCTGGCATGAAATCACCCAGTTCAACAAATTTGAGGATAGCCTCAGAAGAACCGCATACAAAAAAAAACAGATGGACAGGATTCTTTTGGAATTTTGCAATTATCTACAGGATAAAAAAATCATTAATCTCCTTTATGTATGACTTAAATTATCCACATAAGTTTATAATCTTCTTTGATAATTCTCAAGAATGGTTTTTTATTGAAAAGAACATTTACTTTGCATCATTAAAAGTACCCATTAAATAATTTATAGGTGGTGTGACTTAGTCCTTTATTACATCACATAAATTTTAAATTTTAAAAGTATTAAATATGAGTTTTTAGATTTTTAAAATAATTTAACACAAATATATCAATTATAATTCAATAAATGCTCCAAAAATAATGAAAATGTTCTAGTCAATCATAGGGATGTAAGATAATATCAGGTAAACTTTTTAAAAAAATTAAAGAGCATAATTTTTTATAATTTTTAAACTAAATAATGAAGGAAAATTCTATTTAAAAAATCAAAAAAGAGGAAAATTCAAGTGTTAACATCAAGATGATATCAGTGCCCTGACGAGTGCCATTCAAATAGAAATGAAATTATGTTTAGTGATTCTTGAGTAAACAATTACAAATGATATAATTGATCAACTTCAGATTTGTAAAAGTTAAAAAAATCTTAATCAACTAAATAATTTTAAATTTTTAAATCACACAAAATAACTTTAAATTAAAAACTAGTCAAGTTTAAAATAGATCAAATATAATTCCAACATCACAAAAGCAATAATTAGAATTCTAAGTATTCTAGAGGAGAATCATCATGAGATGTCTATGGCTCCAGAGACTATATGGACATAGACAACATGGATAATCATTGAATCCTATTGCAAAGTTTAAAAATTGATGAGATGGGTCAATGAAGCATCTCTAGTGACTATCATCTGTTGGAATAAAAGTTCCACAGCATTTGGATCTCCAACAATTATCACTAATAGATATGAGTATGATGGAGGTGTGTACGTCTTAAGGAGTTTCATCCTCATGCTTGCATAACAAGCAGAGTCTCATATCGTATTTGGTACATTTTGAGCAGACGATGACTCTTCTTCTAATAGATCATATTTTTCTTCTGACATTATGTTCTTCAATCAATTGAAGATGATTTTCTCAATAAATTCACAATCTTTTAACATAGAATACTTGGCAAATTGATAACAACACTCTACAAATTACATTCACAACATTTCTATTAATGATCGAGTAATTCTGGTAACTTGATCATTGACTAGTGCGTTATCTAGAAAATCATGATTTAATTAGATAAAAAATGTAAATTGTTAGTAGGATTTGAACCTTTGTTAGTAACTTCGTTGCATGAGAGAAGGTTATTTATTTATCATAATACCCTTGAATAGTAGCATCATAATTGTGTTTCCTTCTTCAAATTGAAAGGTATTTTGATAATGAATCTAACATGCTTCCAACTTGTATGGGGTGCCCTCTAGGTCAACTAATAAGTCTTAGTCAACTAGTAGGTCAACTTAAATTTAAAAATTATATAAATTCACATAAAATCACAAAAAAATTATATTAGTCAACTAAAAATTTATTTTCTCAATTTAACATAAATAAAAATCTATTTATCATGTGTTAAGATATAAAACATGTTCGTAACTAATATTTAACTCATGATAATACAAACTTATTAATTAATGATTGGATGATATTCCCATCATTTCAGCCTTATAGGACAATCTTAGTGATCTACTAGACATGCACATCATCTTGTTTAATGGTTTAATGCCAAGAAGATCAAGATAGGAATTAATAAGGCTTTATAAGCTATTGCTTTTGTCCTATTATACCACAATGAGAGAGAAAGAGGAATCTTTTTTGAGTGATCCTTCTTTGAATAGGATGATGCCAATGTTTTATGAAAAAATACTTAAAAATAAAAATCATACCAAATATATGATCTCTATGCAATCTAAAGTGGATTGTAAAGTGTTAAAGCTATATTTTTGTGTTTTAATAAGTTTTATTATTCTAGTTTTTTTTGTTAACTTAGTATAATTTTAATTTTTTTAGAAAAATATAAAAATAAAGTATAAAAAAAATTATCGCCCAATGGCAAGTTAGGACTCAATAGCTGACCTAAAAGGGTGCTTCACTCAAGTGAGTATACCTAAATCAAGGGAGCCGCGAGTTGGGCTTGAGTGGTGGAGGACTCATTTTGCACACATATGTGTCACTCTCCTACCATGTCCTAGGGGCCAGCTAGTCATAGAGATAGGACTATTGTATATATGTGTGCATGTGAAGGTAGACCACCTATTATTCTCCAAAGATGGTCATGGGTATTATTTTATCCGAGAGAAGGGATCTCTACTTAGAAAGTGTAACTTCGAGATATACTTAGCCTAATTCCTCAAATACTTCTGATGTAGGACTAAATTTCTCATATTTCAAGGCATCGATCTATAGCAATGTGATCCAACAATGCTCAACAAGCCATATTACTAGATAAGTGATGTAAATTAATCACTATATAATAAATCATATAAATTTAAATTTTATAAAACTAAAAAATATTAATTTTTAGATTTTTAGAAATATTTAATAATTAATTAATTAATTATAATTAGATCAAGGGTTTCAAAAATAGCGAGGAGTGTTTAAGTCAATCATGAGGATGTAAGATAACATTGAGTAATATTTTAAAAAATTCTAAAAGAATATCATGCAATGTAAGATAATATCAAATAATACATCACACAATATATCATAAATTTAAGTGAAAATTAAGTTTAAAGTAAAAAAGTAGAATTTTGGCTTCACAATAGTGATTACTAGAATTCTATGTACAAGAGAAATATCGTACAATGTCCACAGCCTCAAAGACTCTCTTTGGACACAAATTTTGTATATCTTTTTGTGAAGTCTAGAAATCAATGAAGTGAGTCGTTAAACCATCTCCGACGACTATCACTTAGTAGAATAGAAAAACAATGACTTTGCAACTCTTTGGTGGCTATCACTCAACATAGATGAGCTAGATAGAGGTGGGGTGCATCTTAGGGACCTTAATCCTCAAGTCTGCACAACAAAAAGTGGCTCTTCATTACATCTAATATGCTCTCAAGAGGTAGTGACTCATCTTCTAACATATCATCCTCTTATCGATGATAATTTATTGTCGATCACACATAATTTACTCGATTGATTCATAATTCTTTTATTTAGAATTTTTTAGTAAAATTAATGACGATACTTTGCGAATCACATTGATGAGATTTTCACTAATGATTGAATGATTTTGACAACTTAATCATTCACCACAAGTCCATAAGAAAATAATGATTTAATCAGATAAAAATATTTGGCTCTAGTAAGATTCAAACCCTCGTTGGTTGTCTGCCTACATAAGAAAGAGTAATATAAGTATGTGAATATTGTTATAAAGTGATGTCATAAAAAAGTGATATTTTAGATATTAAAATCACTAAAACCTTCTAGGGAGTTGTGACTGTTAGTTTAGTCCCACATTAGTTATATGTCGATTTTTGAGGTAAATATATAATAATACGAGTTTTGGTAATTAATGAGTCTATTTTTCATATGTATACGACCACTCTTTTCCCCACGCCTGACTGGCCACCACTGACATGGAAAGGGAGTGACACAAATGTGTTCCCTATCAATCTGTTCTTAGTCGCTCAAGCCCTTGCTCGCAGCTCTACCCAACTATGCTTCTAACCTACTTGTGCATCCAACTAGCCGACAAGATTATCCTTTTTTTATCTTTTTATTTTATTTTATTTTTCTTTATTTATCTCAAAAGTAGATTATATAAAATCACATAATTAACTAAAAATTACATTAATCAACTAAAAATTATTTTTCATAATTTAACATGAATATAAGTCTATTATTTTTCATGAGTTAAGGTAAAAACTATATTATTAATTAATTACTAATTTATGATAATAAAAACTTATCAATAAGGAAGATTCAACAGCAAGTGAATTGTCACAATACTAGAAGCGTAAAGCAATTCATTAGTGGTTTGCAAATCTGATGACGTTCATTATGCACATGACCAGAAACGATGATCCAATAGCAAGTGAAGTACCATGGACTTAAGTTCCCAATCGACAACAGTTCATCGTGGGTTAATCATGTGTCGCTTAGCATGCCATGTGATCAAGCACTTCTAATCTAGTCGCATGCAAGGCACCACGATACTAGAAACTCAAGTTCTCTCATGCATCAACATTATTGATATAAAGATAATAATTGACTATTATATAATAAAATAAATATTATTGATTATCTTTAAAAACTCAATAGTTCTCACAAATATGATATTAGTTTCTTCCCTCTTTTCACATGATCAATACCTTCAACAATTGACAAGCTCATTCCTTCCTTCCCTCACTACATTCAAGGCCTTTGACGAGTGGTCAATTCTTCTATTTTCTCCCTTACAATGGTGACAGTATGGTCGACCCCTCCTTTCAACAGATCTTTTCAACAAACAACGCAATGCTTCTAAACGATACTACTGCAACTTTTGACATGGTGTGGCACATCTACATGAAACTAAGTTACCACACTGGTGTCTCTAGTTGCCCAGGAGGTAGACTAAACTTGGGTAATTATTTTTTCTCTACTTTCAACATTTATTTCCTACTTTGTCATTTATTTATATTTTATGATAAATTATTTCTATTTTGTACATGCTCTTATAGAAATGAATAGAACAGAGTAAAAACTTGATGAATGATCTTTGTTCCTCTTCTAAATTCTTCAAAACTTATCTCAAATCAAGCTAAAATTGTGACCAACTTATTTTCTGTTACTTTTTGTAGTCAAATCTTGAAGTATTCGTGTCACTAGCATTTCATGAATAACGAATATTTTTTAATTTTTAAACATAAAATCAGTGATATTAAAAGTTGATTAATGAGTGTTGAAGTGTTAAAATAAGGTGGAGACATTCACATTTGACCTCATGTCATGTGTGTGAATTTTCAAACACACATTCATCCGAGAATCATGTTTACTATAAGTTCGATTTTATCATGTTTCTCTCTTTCTTTATTCTCTTCTTATTTCTCTCTCCTTCTCTTGTGAGACTTCTTCTCTCTTCATCTCTCATGAGATCTCTCCATCTCTCTCCCTCTCTCTCAATCGATCTCTTTCTCTTTCTCTTTCTCTCTCCCAATCAATCTCCTTCTTTTTCTCTCTCTCAATTCATTTCCTCTCTCTCCCCCTCTCTCTCATGAGACCTTTCTCACTCTCTCTATCTCACATGAGATTTTTCTCTCACTCCCTCTCTTATCTTCCTTCTCTTCTTCACTTCTTTTCTTTTAGTCTTCTCACCTCACCCTTATACTTATTATTTCTATTAAATAGTGATAAAATAAATTAGTTTTTCACAATGGATTAATCAATCTCCCTATATTCAACTTGAGACTTACATCTATACTAATATCTTATTAAGTTTTACTTGTAAGTATTATTGGATAATGGACATTTAAATACAACAATAAGTACACATCATGAAGAATGGAGAAGGGTAGGTGGTGTTAAAGAACTAACAAGATTCATAGCACTCAAGAAACACTCATTTATTGAAATCAATATCAAAAAAAATAAACAAAGGATTCATATGATGAAATGGCAACAAACTTAGATTTTATTCCAATTCATGCCGTAAGAATGTCCTCTCTAATGGACCAAACTCACTCAATACTGCTCCATTGGCACTTGCCATCACTTGCCCTCTAATGTTGCCCATGCCTCATGGGGCTCAAGTGGCTCAAAAGGGCCTACCACTCAATTGAGGAGTAGGAGTGTAGAGAACCATGGAATGGCCACTAACACAACTAGACAATGGGTGAGGGATTCAAGTTTGAGGAGGCAATAAATCCACAAGGGTTGCTTGAATCCATAAGTAGAGAGATAAGAACCTCAAAAGATGGAAAAGTCATAAAACTCCTAATATGTCATGTTGTTGCAACATAGGGGCATCTATGTATGCATAAAAAGAGGGTTGGACACAACTAAAAGTAAATAAAATCTAAAAATGAAAATAAACTCTTAAACATAATCAAAAAAGAGTTTGAGATAGTAGCAACAAACAAATGGAAACTAACATAGAAATAGGAAAGAAAAAAAGTGTATTACAGCCAATAAATTGGGTTTTACTACATTCTCATGTTCTTTTTATGCCCAATAAGGGTTTTTCTCTCTCTAAGCCTTCCACACTTTTTAGCCCATTCTCAAGGTGCTTGGGCTTTCAATTTTATGCTTCTCTTACTTTTTGGCACTTTGCGCAACATCAGTCACATGTGCTAAGAAAAACATCAACTCTTAAGTCTTCATTCGTTTTGTTATGGTAATCATAAACATATGCATTGTCATTACTCTTCTTTAATACTATGAATGTCCCATATTTTTTTGGCACCAAGTTTTTGTAAGTACCTATTGAAAAAATCTTTATTTATGTAAATATACCATAACTAGATTATACTCTTCCAATGTATTCTTCTGATTTTTCTGGACAATTGCCACATTGTATTTTTTAATAATTTGGTGAAAGATTATTCTAGAAACTTTCATGGATTACCTTGATGTGGCCTATTGTTAGTGACAATACTTCTTCATATATAGTGGTAAATTTCAATAAATTTAGAAAAAAGTTAGCAGGAAAATAGTAAATAACAGAAAATGAATATTTTTTGGTGGAGAAAATAATTATCAAATTGCATGCAAACTCAACTTTACTCAAAGTATAATCATATTCTCTTGATTTATCTCTTGAGACGCAAAATGAAATTATTGTCATATTTACTACCTTCATTTAACCATTTGTCTGAGGGTGACCAAGATTGCTGAATTTTAAGAAAGTGTAAAACCTCTTCCAAAGAGTATGCCTAAAGTGTGAGAAAATTTTGCATTTTGATCAGATGTAATTGAGTCAAGAACACCATGCAAATGATAATTAAAACTTAGTCAAATTAATTTTCATACAAAAATCTCAAGAATTATCGCAATAAAATCTACTTCTTGAACTTTCAAAAAATATATAAAATGGTTATCAAATATAGTATCATTCGATGTAACTTCTTGTGTACACCTCAAATCAATTTTTTTAGTTACTAGAATGATGATCTAATATAGTCGTGTGAGATAAAATTTACTTCAATGTGTTGTTTTACCTCTTAAAAGTTTTGATACAAACATTCTTGAAAATGAATAAATTATGTCCATGATAAGAGGCATACTTCAAGAACTTTATTGATGTGGGAGATATCATGATCTGGTCGTGAATCCACAAAGTACAAATTTTGATAAAGAAATAAAGTTTTGAATCAACAAAATTAAAGACTTTGACCCTTGAATCTACAAGATCAAAAAGGATCCCTTGAATTCACTAGAGAGATGATATTCTCAAATATAAGAAAATTCATACCATTTTTAAAATGTCTTGGCATTACAAAGTAGGGGCCTTTACTTAGGCCTAAAGAAAAGCTTGGATGCCCCAAAAAGAGTAATAATCACTAAATATGAAAATTGGGTCTGACTCAATGTCGTTGTGCTTTATTTGGGCCCAAATATGGATCTGGAACCTCTTTTAGTGTTCTCTACTTTATAGCCTATTTCCAAAATGGTTGGGCCCCTAGTTTTGGGCCTCTCTTAATCTTCTGGACACTGGGCTACATCCTTGATACTTAACAACCTTGCGAATCAACAGAAGATGCTCCGTGAATTTTCCCCACACCTAGTGGAGAATGGTCTTCCGGCTGGGGGGTGGCAACAGTGGTGGGGAAGGTAGCCTCCAACACTGCTGGAGACCTTTCTCTGCGTCGTCAGTTTCTTCTATCGTCTTCTTCCTCCTCTCGACCCTCCTCTTCTTGTGTCGGCCGCCGTTTCCGCCCAGACTCGCCCTCATCGGCAGCCTCCACCAGCTCAGCGCCCTCCCGCGCCGCTCCTTCCAAGAGCCTCCTCACTCGGAGGACCTCCGCCTCGTCGCCCCGAAACGCCGTCCGCCGAAAGACGCCCCTCCGCCTCGTCGCCGTTCCCCTCTCTCCGCCCTCTGCTATGCTCGTCTGATACGTTTCTGCACGCCCCTCTCTCTCTCTCTCTCTCGCGACTATGGTAAACGGGCCTTGTAGATATCCCTGTAAGAAAACCAATCTGAGGATAAATTCCTCCCTCGAATCTGCCCGATCTTTATTATTTGGGCCCCCGACCGAATTTCTCCGATCATCCTGGAGTGCATCCCGGCAGCGCCGCTGCCAGTTCAACAAATTTCGAGGATAACCTCGGAAGAACGGCATGCAACAAAGCCAGATGGAGAAGATTATCTACGGGTTAAAAAATAATTAATCCCCTTTCAGCCAGAGGAGCATATAAATCCCCAGATGTTTATATTCTCTGCTGATATTTCCCAAGAACAGATTTTTATCAAAAAAAGACCCACTCAGCATCATTAAACGTACCCAGTAAATAATTCCTAGGGTTCAAAGATTAAACCATGGAGAATCATCGGATGATGTCCCCAAGTTTCAGCCATGGAGGATGATGATCTTACCAATCCACCACTAGTGCACATCAGCCTGTTCAATGGTCTAATGCGAGGAATATCAAGACTCGTCTCAACTGCCTCCATACATTGCTGCTTCAAGCCAATTTAGAACAGAGAGACAGAGAGAGAGAGAGAGAAAGAGGGGGGAATCTTATTTAGGTGATCCTTCTTGAACGAAATCATGGCAATGTTTCATGGGAAAATAGATCAAAAGATAAAAATCTTACCGAATCTGAAATGTCGGCAAAACCAATAGCGGATTCCGAAGAAGTGGGAAGAGGGGGTTGAAGAACTAACAACAAGATTCATAACACCAGGTAAACACACATTTACTGGAATCAATATCAAGAAAAATCAAAAATAGGATTCATATAATGAAAATGGCAACGCACCCGGATTTTGTTCTCGAGCATCGGCCTTCCAATTCATGCCTCAAAAATGTGGGGCTCCGATAGACCCAGCTCACCCAACGCTGCTCTGCTGGCACCCGCCGCACCCGCTGCTGCTAATGCCCCATATACACACTCCAAACCACCACAAGGGCCGAGGGCCCCCGCAGGCCAACTTGTAGAGAGCAAGCAAGCAATCACTTCACCTCGCCGGGCAAGCCCGGTGGAGGGGCCAGGAGTGCAGAGAGCCATGGAATGGCGGCTGATGCCTAGCTAGGCAGCGGGCGGGGGCTCCGGGTTCGAGCGGGTGGTGGCGTGGCATCAGCGCGGGCGCCGCCTATGGCCGCCAGCTCCTCCAGGCGCTGCCACGTCGAGTCCCTCCGCGCCTGGGCCTCTTTCGACTTGGCCTCCTTCTCGTGGAACCTCTGCAGGCACTCCTCGAAGAGCTCGGGGTTGTGGTCGGCAAAGATCTTGCGCACGTTGAGCGTGAGGCTCTGCACTGCCTGGTTCCAGTGGGTCCTCGTGTTCCTCTCCAGGGCAGGAAAGATTATCGGTAAAATCACCTTCAGATTCTGCTTGATCAGGCCCTCGATGTGGTCGTTGTTCCACAAGAACAGGGCCCTCTCCGCCACCTGTTTTTCAAAATCCAATGAGCTGAGCTGGATAGCTATCTCAAAGAAAATAATGGTCAACATCTAAGGAAACAACCGATCATGCAAAATAATAATATTCTCCTTACTGAGCACAAAAAAATCCAAAGATTGCGAAGATGGATAGCTATTTCTGGTAGGGAAGACACAAGAGTGGTTTAACACCATCCTTAGGGAACCCAAGCTGCATATTATTGGGCTCACAAACTGTGAGGTTTTAGGGTTATGATAATGTCCTCAGCCAGTCAAGTCCAAAGATGACGCCCCTAAAAGCTGGAAAAATCTGCAGTAATGGGCTCATGTCCACACCAAAAGTCAACTCTAGTTGACCAGTGGCAGCTGCAGTTAGGACCGCCAGTTATCAGTAGACACGGCCGAGCTGGTTCAGGAGCAGAATCACCTATCAGAGTAGAAGGCAGAAAATTAAGCTAAAGATAGTCGAACCTTGAAAATATTGAATCCCCTGAATCTATGAGGTAGTCAAGCTCACTTGAACTGCTATTTCGATTATTGATCAAGAACAAGACCACTCTTTTGTAGTAAGATGTCACTGAATCCAGCCCTATAAAGTCAATGGCCGGTCCTCTCCATCATGATATTATGATTGCAGGAAAGGGTCAATGGCAAGCCCTAATAAAAATAAATGCACCATAATTTAAAGCCCCCCGTCTTTTATCTCAAAAATGGGCAATTCAAATGGGTAAGCACTTCCTGAAGAAGAAGATCACAGCCACGCAAGCTTTCCATAATTGCTCTCTCCATTCCCTAGAAGTTTCAGGAGAAGAACACTGGATGAATGCCCAAAACTACAGGGTGGAAGGACCTCAATCCATGCCAGAAGAGGAAATGAGCAGGAGAAATAAACACAGAACCACCGCATGAACCAAAACCCAGCAAATCTTTAAGAAAATGGGAAGTTCCACTGCATTTGATTGCGCCATTGAGTTGACCCAGAAAAAAAGGGTCCCTCCTGTTTCTTTTCCATATCTTCCTCGATCAGGAAAAATCTTCAGTCGCACGGAAGTAGACTCAGTAGGAGCGAAGAGAAAAAAGAATGGAGAAAAACAGAGTTTTTTAAAAAATAAAATAAAATAAGCCATGGGGGAGCTCTGAGATGTTCACCTGAAAGTGTGAGCTGTTCAAGCACCGGCCGATCTGGCGAAAGAGAGGGACCATGCAGCGCTGGAACTCGGCGGGCTGGGTCGCTTCCAGGACCTCCTCCAGCTCTCCCAAGAACATCACCTCCTTGGAGCTGTTGGTGACCGGCCAGTACTTGAGCAGGCCCCTGATGACGGTGTCCGCCAGCTTGCAGTCCTTCTCCACGAACTGGGTGATGCAGTAGGAGAGCTGCTGGTAGTACATGGCGACGCACTTGGGCTTGTGGAGGGGGATCAGGGCCCGGACGAGGAAGAGCTTGTGCTCCTCCTTCAGCGGGAGGGCGAAGCCATTTATGATGCTCCCCAGGATCTCCAGCAGCTCTGCGATGCCGTTGTGCTTCTCTGTCTCGAAGATGAACTGGTAGAAGATGTTGTTGATGGCCTTGCGGATGAACGGGCGATGCACCATGAATTTCCCGTACACTCGGTGGAGGATGGTCTTCAGGTACTCCCTCTCGCGGGGGTCCTCGGAGTCGAAGAGGTCGAGCAGGCGGAGGACGAAGGAGTGGTCGACGTACCTCTTGGCGACCTTCGCGTCGGTCTCCGGGGAGGCGACGAATCTGAGGAAGAGCTCATAGACGATCTGCAGATGCGGCCAAGCGGGATCCATGGTGGGCTCGTCTTCTTCAACGTCGAACGCCTCCAGGACCTTGTTCTCCCGCGGAGGGGAGACGAAGGCCCTGAAGAGGTTGAGGGAAACCATCCTGGCGATCTCCTGCATGGCGTTCTCGGGGAATTTCCCGTTTGCGGAGGTGACGTACTCCACCAGCTCCAGGAGGGTCTGCCGCTTGATCTCCTTCTCCTTGAGATTCTTCGCAGGATCGGTGAAGTCGAAGATCACGCAGCAAAGATTCAGCTTGCGGATGAAGAGGCTCTGCTTCTCGGCGCTGGGGACGTCTTTGAAGCTGGGCAATGCTTCGTAGGCGGAGGCGATGGAGTTCCCGTTGAGCTTGACGAGGGGGGCCTCCGGGGGGGGCTTGCTTCGAGGGGCGGCGCCGCCCGGCTTCGAGGGATTATGGTTGCCGGAAGGATCGCTGCCGCTGGAACTGGCGGGTGGATTCGACTGAGAAAGTGCAGCATCCCGATGGTCACCGGATTTGGAAGGCTTCCTGGGAAGCCTCCCGAGGATTTGCTTGATCATCTCTCAGGAGAAGGCCAAAGATCTGAAGAAATGAAGGCTCTCGAATCCTCCGCAGACGCCAAATTCTGCTTCAGAGCAGAATGAGACCCATTTCCTGTCGACGCATCGATCGATGGGCTAAGATTCCATCTGCCCTACAACCTGCTCGACGATAATCAGGTCGAAGAACTTGCCTAAGCCCCTTTCCGAGTTTCAAATCCAGGGCAGAAGGCCGCCGCCGCCTTCTTCGTCTTCTTCTTCCCCACGGCAAGAGAAAGTTAGGAATGAGGAGAAGGAGAAGGGGAAAAAGGCTCAAACCCTACGGAGAGAGAACCATGGGGAACGGGGATCGCAGATGAACCATACACGCTGAAATCTTCCTCCCGAGGAAAATCCCGCCAAACAAGATATTTTCCAAATCAAACAAGAGCGAGGAGGCAAGAGCGCTGGAGAAATCGAAGACCAGATGCAGAAATCCGGCCCCGGCGGAGCGACAGATCAGAGGAAGAGAGGCGCCGGAAATAGCAGAACGAGACGAAGAGGATGAAGAAGAAGAAGAAGAAGAAGAAGATGCGGCTCCTCCCTCGTCCTGCCCTCCGGAATCCGCGCGGCTGGGGGAGGAATCGGAGAGGGTCAAATCTGCTACGCTGGGGATCCGCGGGGGCGAGCGTAGCATCGCCTGAGGACGCAGGAAAAGGAAAAGTATGAGGAAAATGCGCCCACGAGGAGAAAGGTCAGAGAAGAAGAGAAAGGGAAGTCCTTTCCCTACATCCTCTCCTTCCCTTTTTTTTATGTAGAAAGAGATCAGAACTCTCTCTCTCTCTCTCTCTCTCTCTAACTGACGAGCAATAAAATAAGGCACCTTCCCCCCTCTCTCTCTCTCTCTCTCTCTCTCTCGCTGTGACGCCTTTCTATCTCTATTGCCTTACCGTCTGTCAGCCTCTCTCTCACTTCTCTCTCTCTCTAGATATATATATATATCTCTGTAATGTTATGGAACTGATCGGATTGACTGCTGGGAGGTCGGAAGTGGCCCCTTGGGTTGGCTAATCTGAGTCACGGTTTGACGGGGCGAGGATGCAGAAGAGAGAGAGGGTAGAGTAGGGGGAAGTAGAGATAGCGAGAGAGAGAGAGAGAGATCCAAAGTAATGTATATCTAGAGAGAGCGGGCGTATGGGGGGGAAGGTGATTTGGTGACTACGAAAGAAAATATCTACGACTACCGGACGGACTGGGTCCAGCCGATGGGAATCGACCACGTATCCTCCATTGACTTCTGTCAACAGCCCCAAGGGTCAGAGACGGGGGCTGGCTGTCCAAACCAAGCCCCCTACAGGATCATAAAGCCCCCTACATATATAGCTAACTAACCAATCAATTGGTCAATTAAATCAGGGTATGATCCTTTCTGCCCATCCGCAGCCCCCAAGCGCCTCATTCTTCACCAGAAATTCGCCGCTTTAGGGTGTTTGACCAGCGACCGAGGTGGCACCCAGAGTTGACTTTTGCAATGAGAACACCCCAGCAGTTCTCAGGAACTACTGACGCGTGGATGCTTGCTGCCCAGATGATGGGGGGAAAAAAGGCAAAAAACCCAGAAAAAGGAAGCATTTGGGTGGATAAAAATGACATCTTGGCCTAGTTTAGGCGCAGAAATATCGTCCTTTTCTCAATCACTGGTCTTCTGGGGCCCACCGATTTTTGCAGAAAATCTGATCAGGCATGAGGGCGCGGAGAGCTCATCAGGACCATCAGAAATGGAAATAAATGATGAATTGATCGGTTGACTAATCGAAAGCATGTCCATAATCTCTTCGACTGTATCAAAAAAATGAGTCATATTTTTTGAGGTAGAACAGGATAAGAAGATCTTCGCAGGCTATAATTACCACACGCTGCTTCTGGTCTTGCTCTCGATGAATGGCTGGATCGATGGTTCCCGCCCAAGATAGTCTCGGATGATCTCGAGGGGATCTCTGGATCCTCCGGGAGAAAACACCTGTGAAAGGAAGAAAAAAAAAAGAAAAAAAAAAGAGAAAAAAAAAGAGCAAAGAACATGTCACCGGGAAGTGCAGTCGTTTTCCAGTATTAAGGAATTTAAAAAAAAAATGCATGAAGATCGCCATGTGATGGAAAAAAGAGGAGAAGTTTGCTAAGGCACTTTATCAAGTCCAATAATATATATAATATTTCTGATGCAGATGTCTACTTAGGCGGGCTCTGCCCCGATCATGCTATAATGATTGCATAAATAGGAAAATACAAAGCCAGAAATAGAAATAAGAGATTCCGATTCCGGAATGTAGGATCGAACAATGCACCAAGCTAAATGCAGGGGATGAATTACAGAACTGATTGTCAGCATCAAAGATGAATTATAGCTTTTGATCTTTTGACCCTAACTATGAACCCCTGGCCTCCAGGAGCATATGACTAGAGAAGGAAAAGAGATGGGAGCATATGACTAGAAGAATGGCACACCTTGTTCCTGAATTCAAGACCTGCGTGCTGGTTTAGAAGATCATCCTGGAACTTTGATGCATATATTTCCGCGGCAAAGACCTGAATAACGCCGAGAAAAATTCAATCAGAGTGCATTGAGAAAATATGTTTCCTTTTGCGGAAAACACAGACCTCGCTCCATATGTAGCTGTAGCATGTGGCTTCATAACCAATAGCGAAGCGAGGAAAGCACGAGGCAGGGTTGGTTCCCTCCAACAGTGGGATTCCGAGCAAGACCTGCGAGTGAAGCAGAAAACGCATTGCTGTGAGCTCAAATCAGCACACGGCAGCAAGGTGGATCGAGGCTGTTTACCTTTGGATGAAGATGCTTCAGTAGTTCCTCTATATCAATGTTCTCCCCTGAGTGTATAATCTGATCAACGAGGCCTGGCAGCACAAGAACATAACGATCTCAGAAAAGTCGACCATTTTCTGTCAACGGGTAAGCCAGCATATTTGTCTTCGTTAGAACATCTGTGCACTCTATCTTACCAATATATATATATTGTTATAAATGAGAGAGATAGAGCGAGAAAGAGAGAGAGAGAGAGAGAGAGAGAGAGAGAGAGAGAGAGACCCAAAAGACTCGACATGACAAACCCTAATAGTCAGCCTCTGGTATTTATACCTGAGTCTCGAGGAACCTAGATGGGCCGATATGGCCCAGACCCAATGGCAAATACAGGATTCAACTGATTCCAAGTGCATATCTATCCATTCAAATGTAATTCTTTCATGGTAAGGTCGTACAGCTATAATTATTGCAATTACGAAAAATAATTTGTGAAAGAGACAGGCAAATGTATCCATCTATCTAAAACATGTCGTAAATTTGAGGAGAAAAAAGTCGAAGGGGATTCCTCATCTGACATCTGACCGATAACCTGAACCCAGATATGAAAGAGGGAAAAAAAAATGGTGTCTGCATCCTGAATTCATAGATGTTGATAATTTCAATGTCTTCACTGTTTTCCTAATCATGGCGTCTCCATTACACAGAAAAATAGCAACGTGGTCACCAAGAAACAGAAAATTCTTATTCTCATGAAAACCAAATATGATTAGATTGATCGGGATTCAAGGTAAGTATAAAATGAAACTTCTACTAGAGTCACTACTCCAAAAGTGAACCAATTAGAATAGTAAATAAGGTTCACCGCTTCCATCATTTCCCAGACATCCATCCTGTTTCCCTACTAGAAGGCAACCTCATTCCCTGACATCAGAATAGAAATAACTTCCCTTGCCATTGTACGCCAAACATTCTCTTGCCATTGATTTGCTATCCAGGATAACATGTAAAAGTGATCTGAAAATATGTTTCCAGCTTTTGTGAATCGTTCATGCCAGACCACTAAACATGATTACTGCACTCGAACAAGATTAAAAGGCAGGACCTTGAAACAAATGCAAAGATGAGAACTATCTGGTGAGAACAATAAACACCATGAATTTTTTGAGCTACAAGCTCAAAAATCGAAGACAGTTCCCCAGAAAGAGCTTTCCAGGACACTAGTCAGATGGACGAAGATGAAAACGAGTACTCTATTACAGCTTTACTTTTTGAATTAGAGGCCAAACCTCCATCGCAAGAAATTTAATTACCATTTTATCTGAAAATATTTGTGGGTTATGGTTATGTCCGGAGTTATCTATCAGTACAGTTCAGAAGCCTGAATGTCCTCTACCTCAACTAATGTTCAAAGACATTTATGACGTGGGTCAACAATTGACAATTCATTATTATGTAAACCCCCAAACATGACTATCTTGCATTTATATCATAGCTAAAAATGGTAATAGATAAAATTCAATATAAAAATGAATTTAAATAAAAAAGTATTATCAACTAAAAGCTAAACAAGTAAGACTGAAGTACGACAGTTATACAACTCTACAATAGTTATAAGAGAAATTCTAAGTGCAAAATATCCGCATTGGATCGGTATGTTATAGTTTGAAATTAACGAAAGGAAATCATGAAAGCTTACAGAGAAGAACTTCTTGCTTTGCTTTAAGGCCTGAAAATGAATCCCTTCTCCTCTTTAGTGAGCTGCATAATTCATCCTTGATGGGTTTAGTAATATCCTGCAAAATCGAAAACTCTGTATTTCAACACATAAACACCAACAATGATTTGCATGGTACATCTTCATGGTCATCACAAGCAACCATATATCTTCCAGCTCACTCAAGAAAGGCTTTGGGTTTGCTACTTTTCCTTTTTTTTTTCTGAATAAGAACTGCAGTTTTTATAGTATCAGTTTGACACGTCAAATACAACGGTAAATAACTGAAAGTTTTAGGAATTTTAACTCAATCACGTGTTCCATCTCAAAACGACTCACTTCCATCTTCAACGTCATTCTGCCTTGTTTTTTCCATTTTTCTTCTTGTCTTTTTTAGATGGCTTGCAGAAATCTTTTTCAGTCTTCAGACTATTTAGATTCCCCTTCATCTCATTTTTGTAGAAAATATTCATAAGGTTACTAAGGTACACAGTCTCGAGAAACAAAGTTTCCTCACAACTTCACACATCCCATGGTGATTATACTAATAAGAGTAAGCCAGAGTTCTCCTGAGAATGAGAATTATGCCAAGTTTAGAATAAATCTAAAAGTAATGATCATGGGTTCTCGGGTCTAATTATTCCTTAACCCCTATCAACACATGATATCAAATGAGGCAGTTTTTGAATTTGTTTATAAGAATTAACAGACTAACACATACTAACACTTGAACTGGACAGTAAATCTAGTGTGGATATCCACATCTCAAAAATTTACAAGAACTCTCACATATGACAACAAGAATTTAGAAAACCAAAGAAAAGATAAATATAAAAACAAAATACCCATTGTATAAAGCAGTTACCTGATAAAAGCCAGACATCTGCTTTAGAGGGATGCTTTCATAACACCTAAACCACAAAATTTTATGTCTATACGTTATTAGAGGAAATAGATGGAGAATATACATTTTGAAGGAATACTGTATTAATAGTTTATACCAATTTTCTAGCATCTGGCTTGGAATCTCAATAAAGTCAGCTTCCATACGGAGACCAGAGAATCGGGAAAAGGTAGCCCGATTGCAAATGTGATGGATCTGGAAAGCGATAGCATATCATGGCATGAAAAAAAGAATCAAAATAATATGATAGTATACAAGCACCATAACCTTGACAAGTACAAGAGAAACCAATTACCCCAAAAGTGCCATATTCAAAAAATCAATTACCCAATTAAGTTTAGTTTTGGATCTTGCTAAAATTTATACAAACTAAAACAAAAATGCAAGATTAAAATCCTACCAAATCATCATGACAAAGGCATAGGGACCGTTAGAGTCAAAAATTCATCCCAAAATTTCCACCAAAGATTCATACCATGTTTTACCATTCGCAATCAATCAACTAAGAGAAAAGATAGACAAACAGTGAACAGCACACAAACATCTGGTGCCAAAAGATGACATGAATCATTGAGTAAACCAAACATAGGATCCACGTTTCAACTCTTTTAGTCATTTTTATTATGTCTAGATGTAGACGAAATCCGCATTACCCAAATGACATTAAGGCAAGTCCGTCCATCAGTATTTTTTTTATACCTTACCATCCTGCGATGGTGGTTAGAAAGCTCAAGCATCCTGAACTTCCAAGTTTTTACCCTCATTAAAGTTCCAAATAAAGACTTACTTTGTAAAAGATATATCTCACTAACGACCAGTCAGAAAACAGTAAAACAAAAAAACTGGAGGGACAATGACGCGGGAACATTGATGTGACTAATTTTTAGAGAAAAGAGTAGATATTATTTAAATGATGTTTGACCAACCAAATAAGCATTCTCCTTTAGTCACAATAGAGTTATGTTAGTAGTTAGTGTCATTAATACGAAGCATGGACATATGACGTGCCAAGGGTGGGCTAAAATATGGGGCATGAAGGTAGGGGTGATAGGAACTCAGATACAATTATAACTAGCAACAATAGATCTTTGATAGCAAGTTAGATGAGAGGTCCAAGACAGGATTGAGAATCATGATAACTTGAACCCACAGAGACAGGTAGCCAACGATCTTAGAACAAACAATTATGCTCCTCTTGATGATGAAGAGATCCCCACACAGTGAACGGATGCAAGGGACGGAACACGGACAAAATGACCTTCCACTTTACACTTGGGGAACCTGACACCAGAGAAGGGCCTTCACGACCTTCTTGGAGAAAAGAGAAAAGAGCAAATATTTTCATTCGAAAGACAATCCCTTGGCATCAAGGTCAGACTCCTAGTTAGAGGTGTCTGAGGACTTTGAAGGAGCACTCTTTGATCTGCCAAAAGCTCACAGAGAAGGGCCTTTACGACCTTCTTGGAGAAATCCCAAAAGCTCCCAAATTTAAAAGGTGGAATTTCTGCCCTTAAGTGTTCCTAAAAGCGGGAACATTGGTTGGGATAGTCTAAGGTCTTAGAATCGACATTTAATACTTTTAGAAACAAAAAAAATGGACAAAATGGTCGAATATAAACTAGGACTTAGAGAGGTACGAAAACCCGCAAAAAAATCCCTATTGCATTATCCCCAAGTCCTTAAGACGTCATTTCTCCCAATCACAGTGAAATTGGTCCAGCCATGTGCTTCCTTCAACTGCAGGCCCATATTTCCCATGCATGATTGATAGCAATGTCCTCATCAGATAAAGCTGATTGTCCACCTCGTGTGGTATCATCGCTCTACGAGTACCACACTTCATTCTAACTGTCATTTACACAAACTTCAACCCTACATCGGCAAAAGTCTTTAAAATTAGCGCATATAGTCAGAGAAAAAGGACCTGATCAATCTGCCTGTGTACCCACAATGTGAGAGTGTGGCTTTTGCTTAGTTTCTATTTCCATCATACTTCCGACAAGCAGCTAAACAGGTTATCTGATGAGGAATAGAGAACGAGGTCAATCTTTCGCACATTTTCACAAAGAAGATCTACAGCCTTCAATGTATCAGCTCTCGCAACTCACTGCTTCATGAAGACACCAGTAAATTGTCCCTGACCAAGCTCAAAATATGTTCAATTATCAACTAGATCTAATCCACCTATAAGATGAAACAGAATGGCATAGTCAAATTATTCTTCATCTGTGCAAAGGCCTTCCTATATTTGGTGAATGGCAGAGTAAATTAATGATGAAGTATGATAATAATCATTGATTTATCAAAGTATTGAAAATAATTGGTTATTAAAAAATGATAAATAATTATTTCACAAAATTTAATCTAAATCACGTCACTCCTACTTTTGTTCATAAAGGCAACTACAGGAAATTAAACATTTCATTGAAGTCAACCTCATTAGAGCTTTTTTTCATTTTAAGCAATACTTCGTTATCTACAGGAGAGCAAATTCTTAAAATGTATCCAAAAGGCAACAATGTAAAATAAAATCCCCTTCTGAATAAAGAACTCACCACATGGCTAAACTCATGGAAAAAATTGACAACTTCAGTGAACCGCAAGAGTATGGGGTTACCATTAACTTGCTTCGGAAACTGAGATATAATTAGTGCGACTGGTGTCTACACAAGAGAGAAAAATTAAAGATATCAGTTGAAAGTAGCCCACACAACAATAATAGACGATGTCAATTTTTACATCAAAATTAGTGAGATATCTAATTTAAGTTGGCAATGAAAAAGGTCTGTGTCAGATGTGGAGAGTGAGAAAAACAAGTAGCGGTAAGCATATATTCCGTACTTGCCCACTGTCCATACTTGTTTGAATCTAACAGAGATTGAAACTAAGAATGTGGAAAATGATATGGAACAGATAACGAGTAATCAGGATTATACCAAAACAATGGACTGGCAGATAAAGGAAAAAATGCAAAGTCCCATCTTCTTGAATAACGCATGATAATTATCATTTCGTCCTTAACCTAGGATTTCAAATTTTGACCATTGTGATAGTCAGGGAGGGTTTCACTATTTGACGAAGGTTGACTTGTACCTTTATGTTAGGAAAATGCAGGCATACTCCACATCATATTAGCAGACTTTACTCATCTAAGAGAAGCGGATAGAATAAATCTGCAAGGCGAAGTGCTGTTGAAGAAGTTCATTGTTGCCAGAATAATTGAGGAAATCAATGTTTGGCATCAATGCATTGGATGCCCATCAGTTAGCGGTCAACTAATTAGTAATTTCATCAAAAGATTGGAGAAAGAAGAACATAAAAAGGAAGAACCTGTTACTTTCCGAAGATATGAAATAAAGAAAGATATAAAACCTTTGAAAACATTTTTGCACGGTAAAAAAATGTCCAGGCTTGACACAACCAAAGAAAAGGGATAACTGAGTTCCAGACACAGGAATCGACAAGGGAAGCATATTAGCTTCAGTAAAGGAAGTACATCATTGTACCCTGTACCAAATATAAGAAAAATTAAACGTTAATACTCTCAATCAGTAGTCATTCTAGAGAATCTTAATGACGGTCTACTTTGCATGAAGCCAAAAAAAAATGATTCTGAGAAGATATTTATGAAGGACTGTGTTACGAAGCCAAGCGTCATCCACACAAGATGACCTAGACCCCCACATTGAGGGGGGACCACCATAGAATAATGTAATAAGGCCTATAATTATAGAAGAGGCCCGAAATAAGAAGGGGGGGAAAAACAGAGTAGAGTGGGAGATCTGTCCCTGGGGAGGTCCAATTCGGGCTCTCCTGTTCTTGAGGATCAATTTGACCTCAGGAATTCTTCCTATTGTCTGCGAACCTTCTACTGTTTTTTCATTGTTAATTCTTCTACCTAGTTCTTCAATACAAGAGAAGTGTTAATTCTGTGAGTGGAGCCACTTCTAAGGTAGGACCATGGTGTACATTCGCCCAAATCTTGGGAGGGTTGTAACAGACTGTGATAAGCCCCTCATCATGAGATAAGAAGGAAGAAGCTCCCAACTTCTATGGGTTCAACCGCTGCATGTGAAAGCTAGTAAGCATCCACATGCAAAGGGGAGGGCTGAGGGTTATAAATAAGGGAACTCAGTTGTAGGGAGGGAAGAAAAAGACAATCGGTCGTAGATGTTTCCAGAGATCCTCCGCCTGCTTGTGGTAGAACAGATTCGGTCTCCACGACTCAAACCCTTTTCCCTTAATCCCTGTTTCCGTTATCCTCAAAAAGAATCATATTCTTTTCTAGATCAAAGTTCTTACCAGGCTGTGCTGGGGGATATTTAGAGAGCTAGAGGTGAAAGATAGACAATCCAAGTCAAGGGCTGAAACATCTGAGACAGAATAAATTCGATCATTGCCATATCCAATTATTCTGGTGAGCCAAAAATGACGAGCTTCACCATCTTGGGACTACGAACAAGACTCTAGTGAAGGAGAATGGGAGAAGATCATGAAAGTCAACAGGATAAGGACACCAGCAGGAGGGGAAAGAGATGAACCACAGCTGCCAAAGCCAAGTAGACCAGAAGCCCTTTGACAGCTCATCAGAAAATAATACCACTGAAGTGATAACCTATTGTGGAAAGTCATATAGATGGGAGTTTACTGTGTCAAGAGAATGATAGCTGAGACCAAGAAAGAACATTGACATCCAAAGAGATTGAAAATTCTTCAAGATGTATGCATTGAGACAGAGGGAAATAGACAGAGTGGAGCAACTTTCCCGTCTCCGCGGATAGAGAGGAGCAGGAAACCAGCTCGACTTTCGTCGACCTTTCCCTCCCCTTATATAGGGAGAGAACCATACATAATCTTTCCCAATATCCTCTTTGGCTATAAGTTTTCATGATGACCATCATCACGGTGTGAGTTCCAATACATAGTGCATCATGATTTAGAAATCGTAACAGCTACAAGTTCCTGTGATGACTATCATCCATGTGATTTTTCATACATGGTGTATCATGATTCATAGTGTCTATTTTTATCTATAGTTTGTCTGTAAGCATGTCTACTGTAATGTGTCTTCATTCTACTCGGCCTAAAACACTATTGGTTATGAAATTAAAAATGATACAGTTTTGATGCATTGACTATCCCTCATCGTAGAACCACTTTTCTTAATGACAAGTGGATTCTCTTCCCAAAAAAATCAATATGCTACAATTTTCATGCTTCTATTTAAGTCAGTTATTAATCTCCTATTACATTAGTGGATAACGATTATGTAGCTTTTATTGACTACTGCGTCTAATACCTGGCTGACTTTGAAAAAAAATGTAAATATAATCTTTCCATGGAAATCATGAAAACTTTTAGCAATGATAATGCATTCATAAAATCCTAATATAAAACAGAGCCAGAAAGTCAATAGAGGCTGTGGAAGCTATGAATGGAGGGGACAATGAAAACAACAAAAACGTTGTCCCAGCATCAAGATACAATGCTCTGCACGTAACATCCTAAATAAAAATTTACACAATAAGCATGAAGAGCATAAAAACAATAATTTTTATAATTAATGTGTTCAGGAAGTCAGTCACCTGACGTGTACCGTTAGATGACAAACACCCATTCTGCAGAGCTAAAACACACGTTTGTGAGTATTTCCCTTCTCTGAAGTTAAGAAAAACGAATATGATTCAATTTTGTGAAAAACCAAGGATTCTGGGGGGATATAGAAGATGACTATTTGAGGAAGAATCATACCTAGAAAATATATCAAGGAAGAAATAGCCCAACAGCTCATTGGAACTAAAATCTATGACTGAAAACAGGCGAACAGTGTCATGCCAAGCATCGACCTCACGGACTTCCTCGAATTTAAGACCTGCAACCATCCAAAATTGAACTCCACTTAAGAATGATTCTTGAGAAATGACAATATAAAACATTTACTATCTGTTGTACACTGAACTATACAAAATGAGCAAAACTAAACCACTGAAAGATTGCAATATACATCAGAAAGTTGACATTACTGAATAAATCCTGAAATATTTTGAAAATTCCAGACAGAACCACGCTGACAGGAAAGAATTGTTTGACAGTTCCCAGATCTGCATCAATCTTTTGTTCCTCAGCCCTTCTCATGTAATATCGAAGATCTTCAGCTCCGAAGGGTGAATCTCCTTCCTCTTTTTTCTATATATCCGTTATGAATAAACAGTTAGAGATCAGACTACTGAGAGACATTCTATATAGAACACTAAGTAATGCACAACCTTCAAATCCTTGAGCACATTAAGTTCCCTCGTTGCCAGGTTAGTTAAATGGGCTGAGATGTCCTCTAGAAATTCAAAAACCTGAGAATTCATTGAAAATCACAGTTGATGTTCAGCAAGAGGACTATATACTTTGATAGGAAAAAATAGCCAAGTTCATTGCAATTGTTGATTCCCTAAATGATCAATGTAGCACTGTGGAACAAAGGAGAATATGAATTAAATACGGCCAGTTCCACAAATTCAACATACACATGCTGAAAAATCAAAGGTACGGATGAAGTCAAATAAGCAACATAGCAGAATCTCATACCCTTGTGGACTCCCCTGCCATTCTTGGCTCAATAGCATAGTCTGCATAGGAAGAGTATCCAAGCAAACGAGCAAATCTGTGGCGCAACTGGACCTGATAATGCAACAAACAGGTAAATACCAGTGTAAAATAAGTTTTTGGGATATGGAAACAACATCAGAAGGTCACAGATAGGAGTGCAACTTTTCCACTACATTTTCTAAAGTTCAACATATTAGATTTTTATTATTTCCAATTCAGATTTTTTACACATGGTCGCTTGCTAATGATGACAATCATCACCATATAAGTTCCCATACATGGTAAATCATGATTTAGAAATTCTAACAGCATACAAGTTGCCATGATGGCCATTATCACAGTGTGAGTTCTCATACACGGTTCATCATGATTTGAATATCCTAACACAAAATAAACGGTTTCAAAGGTCATCTGGGATAGCAGAGGAAACAAGATCGAGACAAACAAATCGTAGATGATGATACACATGCCGTTAATGAAGATGAACATGCTCCTGATGAAGATGAAGATGTTGTTGAGGAAGATCAACACTCTATTGATGAAGATATCGACCAACACAATGTAGGACGAAGGTGGATACATTGACCACCGAATTGGAGGGCTGAACAAAGATGGTTAAAGAGAGGCTTATTTTCCTCTTAAAAACCACTGACGGCAAACCTAGATACACTGATCTCTGGACTAGAGGGTTGAATGCAGATGGAAATGCCACCAACAGACCTGAATGTGCTGCTAATGGACCTGGATACACTGCTGGCTGGCAGGAGCAAAACCTTTTTCACATTAGTCATTAAGGTGTCAATTTATGATATGAAAATAAATCATGAAGGATAATCGTTATCAAATACCACGATATTGAATGAAAAGTTTGTAATAACTTGGTATAGTGGTAGCAAAATGAACTTTAGACCCCTACTGAAATCCTTCAGCGACGAAATAAGCAACACACGGATTTTGAGATCTAGGAACAGTCTACAGTGAACTTAGACCCCTACTGGAATCCTTCAGTGATGAAATAAACAACACACGGATTTTGAAATATATTACCAAAATAAGATAATCACACAACACGGCATTAGAAAAATTTTAAGGTAAACCTTTCCACAGTGGTCAATTAGGTGTCAATTTGAGATATGACAATAAATCATGAAGGATAATCATTATCAAATACCAGGATATTGAATGAAAATTTTGTCATAACTTGATAGAGTGGTAGCGAAATGAATTTTAAGCCTATACTGGAATCCCTCAGTGACGAAATAAACAAAACACGGTTTTTGAGATCTGAGGACAGTCAACAATGGCAAGTTTGTTTAATGAATCAAACCACTGTTAACGTTGGCCTCAACTTCAGACAAGGAAATGTGCATGATTACCATACAATCCCCAAGGGCCCACCAACTTGTCCTGACTTAGTGACAGAGTAGTCCCTATCAATACTATTATAGCTATCGCTGTCCATTGCTATGTACTATTCTCATGTACTAGATTGTAAACAGTATTTATTGCACACTTGTTATCACAAAAAAGAATCAGTTGAGTTTCTTCTTCAAGGTCAAGGTCTCCAATTAAGACCCTAACCCATGACGAGTCTATCAGCCCATGAGCCATTGCTCTATATTCAACTTCAAGCTAGATATGTCACAGAAGATTTATTTCTTGCCTCTCTATGAATCTAAACTGATTCCTAAGAAAATGCAATTACTCCTGACAGACCTCTAGTCATCTCACGATCTAGCCCAAAAAATATCAGTGTAACTCTCGACTTATGAGAGATATATCCTGGAGAAAAAGATTACCTTTCAGGGCATGGCCTCAAGTACCTTGAGATATGGTTAGCAACTAGTAAATGAGTGGTCCAATGACTATGCAAGTATTTACCAGCAATGCTACTGACATAACATCTGTTAAACATGTCAACCTGTGTTACCCGATTTAATAAGAAAGGAAGTTAATTTTGGGAAAAAGAATTATTCTCTTTCCTGGTCTTACATTCGTCCCGTTTTGCTCTCTCTCACTCTCTTCCTCTCCATTAAAGTGTTGAACTCTGTCCTTCTGTTCTTCTTGTGGTGCTTATCCAGATTAGACGAGAATTGATTGTTCATTCTTCCAATCTCAAGATCACAGTCGCCAGCATTTGAGTTTTACTTAAGACAACTATAAGCAGAAGAAAACCGATTGAGATCTCAGCAAAACCGATTGAGGACTTCTCGCATTGAGATCTCAGTAAAACCGATTGAGGACTTCTCAAATCCTAACAGTTGGGAAGCCCTCGAGCCATCATCATTGTCAACGTCACTGGTGCCAATCGTGTGCTTAGCTATTTGTTTCTCTTTAGAAACAAGAAGAAAAGTCTGGTCATTGGCAAATTTAATATAAAAATCTCTTCTCATGGGAATTCCTCAATCTTGCTCTGATCCCTGATGCAAACCAAACAAGGATAAATAGCCGGAAAAAAATTCCGTATATCATTAATCTATAGAACGATTGCTAGTCATATACAATTACCCTGGTCCAAAAAGGAAGGAAACCTAGGTTGAATCCCACGATTTATGGGATACTCGACAAAACTAGGAAACTGACCAGCCTAACCAGCCAAGGAAACTGACCAAAAACCCAACCAACCTACGAAACTGACGAGCATAAACTTACTCTTGATTACACGTTTTATTTCCACAATCCCTTGAAGTGATATCCACGGAGAGAGAATGAGGAAGAACTCTTGACAAGAATGTTGCAAGAACTGCCTTTAGTTTCATCAAGTTTCATGATAAGTCCTATTCTTCACATCCTACAATGCCTTAATCACATCATCTCCTTTTCCCCATCTTGAGTAAAAAAGGAAGAGCCCCATGAATATTGCTACTAAAGACCACAAACCTGATGGGGAGACTATTTTTCCTATGGCCTGCTTCCTCAAACGTGATAGGGATGAACGATTATAAAAGGTCTACCAGCCCAAAAGTGGGTGGCAGCAAAGAGCAGAAGATCATTATTTTTTTCTACTCTGGAGACTCCCTCATTTTTTCTTGTTCTACCATGACCGCGGCTCCCATCCTTTCCCTATTCGTCTTCCTTCCTGATCACCAACCAGCATCAGGCAGCTTCCAAGCTCAAGAGAGGCGTAAAAACCCCTGCCACGCCTTGAACCATTGGAATAAAGATTGATGATTTTGGCTGAATTTTTATTGATTAATTTGGTGTTCAAGCATCAATCAGGTTGGAATTCCAAAGGAATCAGATTCTGATATTTCATTAAAACAAAAATTGACGAACTTTTGGATAGAACTGGACAACTGTGAAGACCGCGTATCTAAATACTAAACTTTTCACCAAATATCTTGTTATATTTAAAAGTCGAAGTTAAAAATGACCAAATAGAATCAAAGAAAGAAATGTCGGATAATACGACTTATTCTCTAAATGTCATAACAAGTAAATGAACAAAATGGAGCTCTATTGAATGATACTTACCAACTTTTCCAAGATGCTCAGATTCTTTTTTCCACATCTCTGTCCATGAGCGACAGCAACACTCTTCCTGGTGGATCCTACCTACAGATGAGGTCTAGGAAATCAAAATCGTAGGAAAAGTATAAATCAAAATAAAACTTTGAAATGTTGTTGCACTCAATCAAAAGGGTATAAACAAATAAGAACATGGAAATCCTAAAAGATAAACATCTTGCAGCTGTTATGATGAAAATAGTAGCCAAGCACTACCAAAGAATATTCATTTAAAAAATATGACAGAACCTATTAATTAGAATGGTTTATGTAATGATATTCTGAACGCTGGTGATGATTCTGATTCTAATGACAAGATGAGAGAAAACCAAGGAGACAACATGAATCACTGTAATGTTCTGCCTTCTAGGGAATCCTAAACCCTCTTTATATCGACTTTATAAAAGAGGGAAAGTGAATCAGTACAAAAGGATCAAGAAATGAGAGAGGACCAAGCAAGAACGGACCAACGGATGGATGAGTTGTAATGTTCTGCCCTCCAGAAAATCTCAGAACTTCTTTGTAAAAACTTTACTAGATACAAAAGAGGGAAAGTGATTCTGTACAAAAGGAGGCAACAACAGATATAATTGGATCCGAATTATAGGATACAAGTTTATCTAAATGGGGAAAACTAAAAAAGGAAACAAATATTGCATAAGGCCGGGAACAAATAGTCACTCAATATTGAGAACCGTAAATCTCCATTCTATCCCATATTTTATGGGATTTGTTTGTTATCCAATAGATTCAACATAGTAAAGGTACACTTCAGCAATATTTAGAGATGAAGATTCCATAAATATTGAATAGATCTGGTTTCATTGCCTACGTAGACGCCAGTACAGTCATTAATGCATCAATGAAGTCAGTCCGAAACGTCAGAGCAATGATGGACTCTTCTCAACGACCTTGCTCACAATCAACTTGTAGGCAGTCTCATCAACCTCAGTATTATTAGGCCACATATAACATAAGACAAATATGAGCCATTATAGGCCGATAGACCTAATTGTTCTCCATCATATTACGCTATCTTAAGGGTACCTCATCATGGCCTTTAAAAGGACATAGTTATCCTAACATTAAAAGGGCATCAGTTGAAGTTGGTGTGTTCTTCTAGGGCCAATTCTGATCGCATGGAAATCTCATATGAAAGAACACTGGCTTAGACAGTGTACCAGATTGACCCAAAGTATTTAATATCAATTACTCTCAAGGATATGTCCTTTTTTTTTTATAAATGAACAATTTTGATCCCATGGCACTACTCGCAGTAACCATGTCCTCACACCAAGAGCACCATGTATTACTGAAGTAAAGCGTCAACATTTCCTTAAGATTTATCTCGCTCTTCTAATTTCTGAATATCTTCCTCATGGTTGCTTTTCCTATTCTTCATTTCTTCCGTCAATAGAGATTATTTCCTGATATTTACTTTTCAGTAATTCCCTGAAATTTATTCGTGTTGATCTGTGGATACAGTGAAATCACTAGTTTTTTTATGCAAAAGTATTTCAAATATGAAAGAAAGGAGAACTTGCTCAGTGATATCTAATATACAGAAATTGGGTGCATACCTTACAATGCTCCAGTATTGGAGAAACATGATGACTTCTGAGGGTAATCTTCATTTTACCATTTTCATAGACCTCTAAACTCTATAAAAACAGACATTGAAACTCATTCAGATGCATGGAACCACAAAGAAAATAACAGAACAAATAGAGTCGAAGCTCAAACCAGGTGGCATATAAATGAATGCTAGAACTTACACAAACAGAAAGGAAGTCGTAACAATGATATTGCATAGTTAGTTTACAGCATCGATGAATCATCAGAACCATTAATAATATGAAATGATCACTATATGAGAAACTAACAATTAGGAAAGAATAATTCTATTTGGATTCAACAGAATAATTGCTTAAATGACCGTAACATAAATCATGCTAATGGTACAATCAATACTCAACAAAAAAGAGAACCAGCAAAAATAATGATTTTCTAATGATCGACGACAAGCAAACTTATTGACACATGGAATGAATATCAGTACATTAGCTATCTGCATAGGACGAAAAAAAATTACTTTCCTACAGACTAAGGATAACACTGCAAAGCACTGTAATGTCATCCGATCAACAAACGAAGCAGCTTACTAACTGAAAAGTGAAACCCATTGCTGCAACTAGCAGAAAGAAAGATACCTGGGCATTACAAGCACTAAATAAAGTTTACATAGAGTAGCATGCTTATACCTTGATAAACTCTGGAGGCATTCCAGCAAGCTCTGACTCACTGAAGAGAAGAAAACTATCATCCACTGTAAGATTTTTAATAAACAACAAACTAAGATCATCAATTTCAGATTTTAAACGATCCAGTTCTTTTCTTTTATCAGAGTCAAGGTTCACTCCACTGCGCTCAAAATCTCTAATCTGCATTAGAAATGAACGTACAAAATAAGAAATGTGCCATCATTAGCATCTCTATTGTTTGTCAATTGTGAAATGAATCATAAACACAAAAAATAAGAGCTATACCAACAGAAAAAAGAATGGAGAATTTTACCAAAAATAGATAAAAGAGTCATATAGAATTAAATCAGGTAAAAGTAAATTTGTAGTACTTTGGTACCTTCACCACTCAGCAAATGAAAAAATGAAGGAAAATGAAATGTGATAATACATTGCAATATATATCGCTAATAACCAAGCCAATTGAGATAGAGCGTCATTCAATTAAGAAGCTTGATCCCAGAGAATCATGCATTCCCAATGTTCGCCCAGGAAATCAAACTACTGATTGCTTTAGTAAAAGCGTCATAAAATAGATTTTTTTTTTTTGTGCCGGACATGTAAAGTTCAACATATTTTTGTCGAGAGGTCTTTACAAATAAACCCTGTATTTTCATGTTGCCAGATATGCCCTTAAGTGTTTCCATCTATGTCTAGAACTCTCAAGGGTCTGGTATAAATACTAGACTCCGTCCCTCTTGTAAAACTGATTCTTATTTTCATTCAATAAAATTTTCTTCCTCTCCAATGGTGTTTTGTAGTCTCCAGCACACCAAATCAAGGACTGTACTATTCTACATGGTATCAGAGCAAGGTTAGGGTTTCGAATCCCTTTCTCTTAACATTCTGTGTTCATCTGCAAAGGACATTCCACCTCTGTTGGAGCTGTTGGTATTGCGCCCATCTGACAAGGGACGTGTCGTCTCTGCAGTTTCTCCATAGAGCGAAAGTAGGTGTGATCACTCTAGTTCGCTTCTGCACTTATTGATTCTGCTATTACGGTCTTTGTACCGTTCTTTGAATATCTATGTTCAAGATTTGGTCACGAAATCAGTTTTCGTGAAGTCGACTGCAATTTCCTTGAAATAGAAACTATAGGAGATGTTCTTTCATCTTCTGGGTGTGATTCAACCTCCACGAGATAGGTTAATCTTGTTCCTTGAGGAACAAGATTATTGGTAGAGTTCCTACAATACCTTTAGAGTTCAAACTAGTTGAATATAATCTGATACAATGGTCAGAATATACTTGTGAAGTATTGACTAGAAGAGGCATGGTACACCACTTGATAGAGGGAAAATCAGATCCAATGTCAAGAGAATTTCAGAGATGGAGAGAAGAGGGTGCCTTGATTAAAACTTGGTTGTGGGGAACAATGATTCCCCAAATTAGTCATGATTTTTTCATCTTAGCCACGGTCAAGGACTTATGGAAGACAGTTCACACCAAATTCTCACAGAAAAATAATGAGCCTCACATACATGAACTTGAGACAAAATCAATGTCCACGATGCAAGGGAGTAAATTAGTAGAGTATGCAAAAGAGCTAAAGAATTTATGATTGGAACTCGACTATTACCTTAGTCTTGACATTGAAAACCTGCTGAAATTACTCCATTACGAAATTTTATAGATAGAAGGAGAGTGTTTAAATTCTTGGCTGGACATAATTCTGTGTTTGATCAGGTTAGACAACAAATATTGAGCTGTGAGAAGAAAGCTGATTTAAATGAAGCTATTTTGATTATCTTAAATGAGGAAAGTCGTCGAAAATTGATAATGTCAGTTCCCAAAACTGACAATTCTGTATTTATGATTAAACAAGGTGAAAATATGAAGCAGGCCGCTGATCAACCCAAACCACCTCAACATGGTCAAGAGAAGAACCAGAAAACTGACTTTAGAAACAACCTATGGTGTACGTATTTCAGAAAACCATGTCACACTAGAGATAGATGTTACAAGTTACATGGCAAACCACCACATTTTATTACTGAAAAATATGGCAGCCAAGTATATTTTTCAGTAAATTTACCTATCAATCAGCCATCAGATTTCAAACAAAATCAACACCCATCTTATCTCAAATAAATGATATAAAGCGATTTTGAGCTGAATTAGAACAATTGAGTTGACGGTGACACAGCACTCATCAGTCCAACAGGGTAAACTCTATCACTCTTTCAAAATTAGAGCTTCTTCTAAAAATATTTCCAACTCTTGGGTAGCAGACTTAGGGGCAATGGACCACATGACTAATTCTTCACACCATTTCACTAATTACAACCTTTGTCCTAGTGACAGAAAAGTCACAAATGCAGCCGGATCTTTTCTAACCATTGTAGGTATAAGAAACTTTCGACTTGAACACCTTGACATTCTTCCTAATATTCTTCATGTTCCCAAACTGTTTATAAACCTTATTTCTGTTAAGAAACTTGTGAAGGATTCCCCTTACCGTGCCTTCTTTAATGAAGATATTTGTGTAATATTTGGTAAGGTACATCATTGGAGGATTGGAGTTGCTAAAGAATATGATGAACTCTATCTTCTAAAAGGACTGAGCTAAACATACATAGTGGAAGGGGATCAATCCATAAAATCTCTAACAGCTGCCAATAAGATTCATCTACTTCATCAAAGGATGGGTCATCCCTCTTTTAATACCTTAAAAAGATTGTTTTTCCTTCTTTGTTTCAAAGAGTGTCTTTAGACACTCTCAAATGTAATGTGTGAATTTTCTAAACACACACGTGCTTCATTTCACTCTCAAAGAGAAAAGAATAAAATTCCTTTCTTCTAAATTCACAGTGACATTTAGGGATCGTGTCCCATCAATGATATTCATGGTAATAAATGGTTTGATACTTTCATTGATGACTGCACAAGATGTATGTAGGTATTTCTTCTAAAATAAAAATATAATGTGTGTGATGTTCTTAAATTCTTTTGTACCATGATAAAAAATTAATTTGGTATAAGTATTAAAAAATGCTAAAGAATATTTTAGTCAAAGTTTAAATTCATTCTTTAAAATAGAGGGAATTATACACGAATCTTCTTGTGTATATACTCGACAACAAAATGGTCTGACCAAAAGAAAAAATCTACATATTGAGGTAACTAAATCTATTTTATTTCAACATCATGTGCCAAATATTTTTTGGGGAGAGGGTATCCTCACAACCACATACCTCATAAATCATATGCCTTTTAAAATCTTAGACTTCCATAGTCCTATAGATTCCCTAGTCCATTTTTTCCCACACCACCAAATTAACACTAAATTAAAACCAAGAATATTTGGGTGTGTTTTATTTGTTCACAATCACACTCAGAATAAAGGAAAACTCGCACCAAGATCACTTAAATGTATCTTTCTTAATTATATTGTTAATCAAAAAGGTTAAAAAGGTTAAAAATGTTACCACCCTCTATCTATGAAATTTTTTACTTCTATGGACGTGACAATTCATGAATTAGTATCTTACTTCAATTAGTCGTCATCCAATGAACAACCCATATTGCCTACAGATCATCCATGAATCCTCTCCATCATCTGCAAGTCAACTGTTTATTCCTAGTTTAGCCCTTGAAATATCTCATTCTGCCACAAAACCGCTTCCTGAAAATCTGAGGTTCAGAAAAGTATATTCTAGGAAAGGTCCCATTCATGATTCACAGAATAACCAAGATTCTGATGAGGCCTTAGAAAATGTCCAAATATCTACTTCTTCGTCACTAGATGATCAGTCAAACCTACAATGTGACTCACTCCTAATTGCCTTGCGAAAACCCATCAGACAATGTACTAGAAATCCCTTATCTCCAACAGTCAATTTTCTATCCTACCATCATTTTTCTCCTCCTTATAAGTCATTCCTTGCATCCTTAGATTGTTCCTAAGAATATCTCTGAAGCTCTATCTAATTTGAAGTGGAAGCCATGGATGGTGAAATGAGGGCTCTTGAGAAGAATGAGACTTGGGATTTAGTAGGATAACCACCGAATAAGAAAAAGGTTGGGTGCAAGTGAGTGTATACTGTGAAATATAATTTGATGGTTCAATTGAGCAGTAAAAGTCAGGCTAGTGGCTAAAGGTTACACACAAGTCTACAGAATTTATTATCAAGAGACTTTTTCCCTAGTGGCAAAAATGAATACTGTCCATTTTTATTGTTTCTTGCTGCAATTTTCAATTGGAATATTCAAAAATATAACATCGAAAATGCATTTTTACATTGTGATCGTCACCATGAATCATGTTGTGATTCATGGTGACGATCATAACTTGCAGCCATATTTTTACATTGTGATTCTGTAACTCTCGGCCTAAGAGAATCATTTCAACGAATTGTCCCAATTGATATAGATTCTTACCATCGAATCTCATTTTTTCTAGCATACCAAGAAGAACTTGATAAGGTTCTCCCTCTCGCTAGCTGAAACTGGCACACTGGCTGAAGTATTTGAGGATTCTCCACTAGAAGCCATGTGATGTTTCCTAAAATTTCTTCTTCAAGAAATACGAACTGCTTCAAAAAAATAGGGAATAGATGCCAATTACTGCAAGAACACGAATTATAACAATCACAAGAGATTCTAGGCCACTGTTGAAGTTGTGAAATTTTCTTCCACTGATCTCTCAATCTTGAGAGGAGAAATAGGAACTAACATGGCTCTAATACCATGTCAAATCTTTGGCTCCAGCATTTGGGTAAACCAACACAGCCGCCAAGAGCAACAGAAAATATGCACAGGAAAGAAAGGACAGTTTCATTCCTAGTCATGCATTTTCAGCCATATTTTTGAATACTTAAACAGTCCCCACGTGCCTGGTTTGGACATTTACAGCCGCCATGAAGACATTGCAATATTGCCAAAGTAATGTTAGTCATACATTATTCTTTAAACACTCTCCTTCAGGGGGAGTCACAGTACTCTTGGTCTACGATGATGATATTATCATCACAGGGAATGATGATGTAGAAGCACAAAACTTTAGTAGTTTGGCTTCAGCATTTGATGTCAAGACATTGGGATGCCTAAGATATTTTTTAGGCATCGAAGTGGCTCATTCTACTAGAGGAATTTTTATCTCTCAAAGAAAATATATAATAAATTTGTTGGCTGAAATAGAAAAATCTACATGTAAATCAACTACTACACCAATTTATCGAAATCACAAATTGTGTATGGCAAAGGAAGAAGTTCAGGTTGATTGTGAGATGTATCGACAGCTCAGTGGCGATTTACTCTATCTAACACGTACTCGACCAGATATCTCATATGCAGTGAGTGTCTTGAGTCAATTTATGCATCAGCCGAAAGAGATCCATTTATATACAACACATAAAGTGCTACATCAATTAAAAGGCGCACCAAGACAAAAGAGTCCTCTTTAAACGCAGTGGGAAGGTAAATGTTGAAATGTTTACAGATGCTGATCATGTAGGGTCAATGATTGACTGAAAATTAACTTCTGGTCATCTCACATCTTGTTACTTGGAAAAGTGAAAAATAGAAAGTGGTAGCCCATTCAAGTGCTGAGGCAGAACTCAAAGCACTTGCCCAAAGGGTTTGTGAGCTTCTCTGAGTGAAAAATTTACTTGATGAACTGCATATTCCTCTATCGGGTCCTATGAAAATTTACTGTGATAATAAGTCAACAATCAATTGTGTAGATAATTCAGTACAGCATGATCATACCAAACATGTGGAGATTGATCGACATTTTATTAAAGAAAAGCTTGAGGCAAATTTGATTTGTGTACCATACATTTGAACAAAAAATTAGTTAGCATATATGCTCACCAAAGGCGTTTAGGGCACACAGGTACAAGAGATTCTCCCCAAGCTGGGAATGGATGATACCCATTCACCAGTTTGAGGGGGAGTATTGTCAAGAGGACTTCACAAATAAACCCTATATTTTCATGTTGGTAGATATGCTCTTAAGTGTTTCGTGATCTCCAACACACCAAATTGAGGACTATACTATTCTACACATATCTATGTTTCATTTGAGTTGGAGTGTTGAGGAATAGTTATTATGTTGTTGGGCATACTTGGCCCAACATCTAGGTAGATATTGGAATCTGTAGTCGAGGTAACATAATCGAACATACTTTAACACTTGAGAAGAGCACGGGTGTGAGAAAAATTATTCTCTCCATCTCTCCCCTACAGTTTCAAGGTAGAAAAATTATCCTCTCCCTCTTCTAAAAAGTATTCTACACATGTTCTTGCTAGACACATTTTCTTGGTAATTCTCCATGTGGACACATAAAATTGGGCAAAGAACAAATCTATCATCATCATGAAACTAATGCAAAACGTCAACACACGCACATTAGACTGGACGTTTTTGTGAGACAGAAACATAATCACACATTAAGAGAATAAAGTTGAATTGACAAGATATGCATCTATGATCTTAATTCACCATAAAAATATAATTTTCAAGGATAGATCAAACTATAGAGTTTAAACTGAACAATAACTAACTTGAAAACACCGAAGAATATGGTAGCATTGAAAGCTCTAGACACTCAAACAAAAGTACAAGCACAAATCACACAAGAAATAAATATTCAAACAGAATGGAATCATAAATACAGATCACTACGTGAAGCTCTCATATCACAATAGATATACCTTTGAAAGTTTAAAAATATAGTTTTACTTTTAACATCATTCGTTTATTTTAAAGCATTAACACATCACATCGATGATTTATTTAAATAAAAATTATATTGCTTTGATAATCCGACTTTTATGAAACAGGGGATAAACATAAACATATTCAAGTGATCAAAGCTTCAGAGATGCTATTTTTAGATCACCTAGCATGTTGGAAGCAAATGTGAATTGAACCTCGGAGATGCTAACATAACTAAGATCTATGCAATCACGTCAGTGTCAGATGTTGATAGGACTAATGTTAATATGAAAAGGTGACTGTTCAATACCACATGCTCAACAAAACGCTGTGCTTCAGGAGTGATCCATTCCCCTCTAGCCGCAAAAGCCTTGACAACATGATACACATCTTCACGTTTTCTGATCACCTTGCATGAAAGAAAGGAATGATGCACTGATCATAAAGTTAAACGCCAAACACAATTATTATATAGTCTGAATAAATGAGAAGTGATTTCATGGAAACCAAGGCATTATAAAACTACTGATAGCTAGCAAAATGCAGCTGTGATTTTTGTGTAGTCTTATAATACCAAGCTTCCAACTGGAACTAAATTATCAACATAAGATCCAATCAGATATGCTTGTTCTTCCGAATCAGCTATTATGGCCGAGCTGATCTGAGCCAGTAAATGCCCAGTGAGGACTAGGATTAAGCAATTCCACTTCATCGATCCACAAAAATAAAGAATGGGATTGCCTTGGGCCATTTACAATCAACAACAAGAGATCGTGCATCTGGGAAGTAAGCCAGAACAGAGTTTCGAGCTGTATATTTAATCATTGGAACCCATTCCTACAAAGAGTGAGGTTATTGTGGGAACGGACCATTTGTTAGACCAGTTCCCCGTTGGACCGGCCCAGTTCACTGTTGGTACTACGAGTCTGGCATATAAACCAGACCCGAGACAGACTTAATGTGATCGAATCTATTTTCCTCCACTGGACACCCTCCGAGGGTTTCTCCATTCACGACAGTTATTGTCGTTGATGAAAAGAGAATGGTAAAGGATACAACAGGAACAAATTCAAAATCACAATAAATTATTCAATGAGCTTGAAACGTGAATGAAAGAACACAAATTCATCATGGTCTACCCATAAATCAATTATTAATCAAAGATTGGCAAACTAATATTGAGTACAAAGAACACTATGACCTCCCCCAGCAAACAACAAAAGCAATGAAGATCCATAGAACAATATTCTTTAAAGACAATGACAAAAGACAGTCCACTAACAACATGAAAAAACATAGAAAGAAATGAAACCTGCATGTCTGGAAATGAGAATCCAACTTTCTCTCTGCCTCAGCACTTGCTTGGCGCATATCATCAGAAACAGCAACCATTTTCAAGAAAATACATGATTGCACTAAAGGAAAAAGATCGGCCTCGAGACGTACTAAAGGAGAGATGGCATTTGTGAATGTCACCTGCACATGTTAGTTAAAAAATAAAGTTAATTTAATCCATATGTATGAATTTAAACACAATGCATTGGACGTATATTCATAGTAACGAACTAGCGATTCGAGTTCTGTTTTACTTTTTTTTTTCTAATTTAGATATAATCAAGCACAATTTTATCTGGTGTATGAGATTAAAAACAGTCATGATTTTGGTAACTCAATGAGCATCCATTGTGAAGGAGAAGAGAAAATTATAAAAAAAGATAAAATGATTTTACCATAAAATCAAGGGGAGACTTATCTAGAAAACACTTTTCCGTTATCTGATTTTCGTTTTCCGACTAGAATTCACCTTATCCTCTCTCCCTTCACCCCATTATCACTACATCTCTCTATTAATTTTTCTTGTTGCTGTGCTGTTTGCATACATTAGATTTCATGTTTACTGCAACTGCGATTCCTAAAAGAGTAATGGATCGTGAGCCTCACTGAAATTACTCAGCTATTTCGATGATAGGTTCTTTCAGCATGGGAATGGAAGCAGACCATAGGATGGCAAAATATCAACTTGGCTGGAATAGGCAAACAAAAAGACATTGGTGTCATCAATATCAAAACCTTCAATGTGGCACCGCTCAGTATTTGGCTGTGCAAATTGGGAGCAAAGGAATTAAGTACACAACCTTCTCTTCTCCCTATTAGTATTAAGTGTCTCTTTCAAAGGAATATTAGACCCATGGACGTGAAAATAAGAAAGAAGACAATAATTTTAACTTCAGAGAGTTACATTTCACGGAAAATCTATGCCAGAAATACCAGAGTAGATGCCCCCTCCAATGGGAGATGTGGCTTCTCAAGTGAAACTGAGGAATCTAATCTGGGTTGTCATGTAAGGAATCACCCACATGTGATCGACTTGCTCTTTTTTACACACAAAGTCAAGTATTTTTGCACCTAGTGTGGTGAATAGTCATTGGATCGTGTATCCCATGGGGGTTCAGATTCAGTGTGGATGGCAGCTATTGCATTACAAAACTGGCATATGATGGAATATTTTGAAGTAATGGAGGAGGTACAGACACAGCAGCATCAAGATTGGGTAGCTAAAGACAACTGCAAGACATGGTGACCTATTTTACAAGAGACATTTTGGGTCATTTGAAAAGAGATGAACGATCAAATACTTTGAAGACAAATCAGGGCAACAAAAAAACTGATTAATATCATGTGTAAGAGAACTACTGAGAGGGCTGTCAGATTTTGAAATAGGTAATTACAACACTGTGTTTTGACAAGGTTTGGGGTGTAGCGCATTTTCACCATCTCCAGGTAAACCACAGAGAAGATTGCATAGAGGGCTTTCTCTAGGAAGTCTATTGGAGATATGCTTGGACATCATATTTTCTATTGAACAACTAATACGTAAGTTGTTCTATGACAGTCAAAAATACCACTCAACATAACTTGGTTCAGAAAATTCAGGCATTATTTTAAAAATGAGGCTACCCTTGGATACTGACTTATCCATTAAGTGTCAAATAGAAGTCCAAATGAGCTCTAATTTCGTACACAATTATTAAAGAAAGAGCAAGACAGTCATTTGATAGCCAACTTTCTTAATATCAGTACAGCGTGATCTACAAAAAAGCTAAGGATAGAAACCCGAACATTGCGAAAGTAATTTCAAAGTACATAGGACTCCACAAAGAAAAAAATAAGAGCTCTACAAAAACAAATGTACTGTGATCTGAGGGGTGCAAATTTTACAAAACTGCTAAACCAAAACCAAAAGATTATCAGATATCATAATATATCCGAGACAATTACGCTCAATATGAAAATAAAGTTAAAGAAACATGTAAAAGACTCATTCAACGCTATACATCTGTAACTGGTTGTATTATCTACGGCTTGTTCGTTTTCTTCTTAGACTTTGACTTTCCTAATTTATACAGATATTGGGTTGCACAACCCACTACATCATTAGCCAAATACAAAGAGATGAACAAAAAAAAGTTAATGATTATAAAGTAATTCAAACAAACGTAACCAATTTGAACATAAAGGCAATTCCCCCATGGAAGTTACATTTTCTTTGCTCAACAAAGGAATCCAATAGTCCAACAAAAGTTGTAATAACACCATGGATATTTTCATAAAGTCATTTGGACTAGTAGGAAATATTATTGCCACTATACCCGCGTGTGAATTGTTTATGAATATTTTTAATTAAAATAGTTCTGTAAAAATTCGAAAGAATATAAAATGTACATACAGACCGTAATTTCTACTATAACTTTATCTGAAATTAGTTTTTTTTCCAAGGTGCCATACCTTATTGCCATCTCCTTGCTCATCTAAATAATGCATAGCTGTAGTAAATATGAAATAAATATGAATGTTAAAAAGCAGCTTTTTTCTGTCAGAATAGTAAACTCTCTAATTGACTTACTTCAACAATCTTGTTAAATTGAACTCTTACTTATTTTCCTATTTTCTAGTTCGATTTTTTATATTTATTATTCGCAAAATTATTCTGCACATTAAACTTTATTGAACAGCCTACATGCTAGTAAGTTGCCAACAAGAATCGAACAAATCCCAAAGCTAAAGTGTAGCAATCGTTAGGCATGCAGATTCACCGAGCTTTAGAAATATTGGAGCTTCTACTGATACAAGAAGAAAAGAGTTGGCTCAAAACATAGACATGGGAAACACAAAGATATCACTCAATATTATCTATGCCTTATTAGATTTCATGTTCCTCCCTTAAAAATAGTAATATAGCATATTCAAGAGAATCAAAATCAATTGGTAGAATAAATTCAAATCTGTTAATGTCTAACATATATGTAAATCGGCATTCCATAGAGCCTTGACAGAGAAATGAAGATGGAATAGAGAAAAAAATACTGCTTGGAACTAAGAGCTTAGTCTTGTAATTGACAAAAATAATTGATGAGATAAGAAAACTCATCCATGCAACCTACTTTCTCAAGTGGAATTGAAGCTATCAAATCATGTGCTTGTTTTGACTTCGAGATAATATGGTCCGCCAATTTATTAATCTGAGATGCAGAGAGACTAATGTGGACAGTAAAACCTGGAAGATCTGCATAAATAAAGAAAAAGCAATATTAAAATCCCTTTCCAATAAAGAAAAGACAGTCAAAAAAAAGCATTGTCAAAGACATCCAGTAATGATGAATAACAATTTTATTTGATGGTAATTACAGTATGACCTTTAAGGTAATGAGAAATGATTAAAATGAAAAGACCATGTCCTTCTGCAGAGGAAATAGTCATCAATATACCCTTTTCTTCTATGACTATGAATTTATAAAAAAACTAGAAAAAGCCTCCTTTCCAACATGGTTCATGTACACATTTTTTTGTAAAAGAATCATCTAAACCTAAGTGAAGTCATCCGTATCCAACAAAACATGATTTTGCCTGCAGTATCGCCCAATGGAATGCGCTTAAACTGTTAATATTTTCACAAAAAAATTAAACCGACTCAAATGAAATGTATATGTGTCGTCATCTTTTGAATTAAATTTTACAATAGTACAAACTCTTATAATGCCCTCACAGCTATTCGAATTACCTACTACAACCTTACCGTAAAATAATAAAGAATCAAGTAGTAGACGTCATCCATGATCTTGAAAATTCATTCATCTTATAATGTCTTTCATTTACCATCATCAATAAAAATTCCAATTCTCTCATCATATGGTCCGTAGAATATTAATTGTTTAACCCTGCTGTATGCAAGCTTTTCAAGATGGCCAAGGTAGTTATAAAACTCCTTATTCCTTGGTCTACATGCTTGGCAAAAAAACGTATGAACTAAATATTAACTAAATGAAGTATGAATGTATCCATATTCTCATAAATTTTCAATAATATATGTTCACAATAAAGATAACATGACTTAAAATTAAAAAGAAAATAAATATTGATTGATAAATTTAAAAAATCATTTATAAATACTGTATCATAATAAAATGATCAGATATATAAGATATAATACAGCATCTAACATGCATGTAATATATGCAACTTAAAAATGATGTTTCTGTACGCAAGTAAACAAGCCCACAACTTGAGCGTTCTTTCATGAGAACCTGCACAACCTGACATGATTTTTTATCCATGAAGCCAGATTACATTCGTGCAAACACGAAATTTTAGTCATGAAGTGACCATTCAATCAGCAAGTCTTTTAGTAGTGCGATCTTAGAAGTCACAGGCATAGAGGTTTATTATAAAGAGTGTCAAGAGAAAATGACATATTTTATTCATCGACTTAAAGGTCACTAGATCCAAAGTAGGCTGTCCAATGGCAATGAACACATATTGTAGTTTATTTTTCAATCCTATTATATTTGAAAATAACACATCCTAAAGTCTAACTCATCCTCAGGAAACGCATCCAGAAGATGTCACTATCTCAATATCCAGAGCACTGATACACGAGCATGATTTCCCTGTTTGTGATGCTTACCAGTCAAACATATCCTCCCTGGCTACATGAGGAAATGTATACACCACCACACAGGTTTACCATGGCTCGTACAGGAAAGAGAGCAAATCACTCATAACAAGGGAAGCTACAAATACACTTCCCTAATAAATTCAAATGTGACGCAGCAAACAGCGACTAGGCATGATCTTGAGGGAGGATGGCCTCGTGTTGATCTCTCTCTTCTGAAAGTACTTCATTGCAATGAGCTGATGGCACATAATTCTTAGGAAATGTTTACCTCGTACATACTATGTACGAGACGTGTTTAATACTCGTCTGACACTTCCAAAGGCAGTGAGGGGCAGAAAACTAGAGAAGAACATTGCATGGACTGTTAAAAGGAGAGGAAACTTTGTCTTCCTCCAAGGGTTGCCAACTTCCTGTATTTTTAGTTGTCATGACTTTGCTTCATTTCGCATAACCCCTGAGGCTATTGATGTCCCTGTTCGAAGTGAGTGTACAATGCATCTTATTTTACACCCAAAATCAATTTGAGTGCATCATAAACCCTAGCTCATCCTTAGAAACCACATCTAATGAGACCATAACCCTCGGGATGCCTATGGACTAGAGTTAATTATGAAATATGGAGCCAATTCCTCCATTTTTTGTAATGTCTCAGCATTGATGTCCCAATTGTTTTTCGATCAACAGACGGACTACACAATCTTCCCAAAGAAAAAAAATATATATCCACAACTTTTCCGCCGTAAGATTAAGCAAGATTAACTTCTAGGTTAAGTACCTTGTTTTCCCTCCATGTTAAGCTGGCTTCTGATTGATCAGAGTGCTTCATCACAAGAGTTTTTTTTTCTCTTGACTAATCCACCGGCATTTTTTTATGTTGTTAAAAGTTGGCCATTTAGATAGGGACAGAAAACATCGAACTGCCTGTTGCACACTTACTTTACGTCAAATGCTTATGTTCGTACGCATTATTGAGCATGAGAAGACATGAAATTCACAAAAGAATCACAATGGTTCCATTACATCTAATGTTATAGAATAGCTTCGACAATACTCTTCGGGAAAAAACAACAAAATACGACGACTCAACAAAAAATGCTACAAAAATGGCGCTATAGTGGCATGGTCGAAAAGAGAAGAAAAGCTCCGGGGAAAGAAAAAAAGAGACACCTGTGGCCTTTTTCCTTTTACTTTTGTTGCTCCTGTCTCGACGGGCATTGAGGGCGGAGATGATGAAGTTCAGGCCTACGACGACAAGCGCGGCGACGCCCGTATATGCGACCACCCGCCTCCCTCTCCTCCCTCTCTCCGTCCTCCCCTCGTCCATTACCGAACCAGTATGGGCACCGGGGGTGGAGAGGAGGGAAGGATGGGGATTCGATTTGAAAGAATGGCCACCACCCAGCCGTTGAGGTCAAAAAGGGGCGCCCCCCCCGCCACCCGCCCCCCTCCAGTCCCGCCAGAACGAATTTCCTAGGAATTATTTTTTATGGCAAAAATACCAATCTATACGTGTATATATATCATTTGAAGACTTTTTAGCTCTATATACCATCCAGATTATTGCTATGGACTAAAATAGATTTGCACTCCCAATAAGCGTTTATGTAAGGACTTTGTTATAATTTACACCCTTCTTTCCTCCGAGCAAAATTCTGTCAAATATATACATATAATATTAGAAATATGATACTTATTATTATCTGTTTAATATGTGGAGTTGCAGCGTAAATTCCTTCAATTACTATCTTTTACTTATTATCTTTAGATTTATTTCAGAGTAAATCTGTGATTATTAATTTTCTAGATTATTATCTTTTAGTTTTAGTCCAGAGTAAATGCCTTCAATTACTTATAAACCCCTACACACACATATCTCGCATTTTTGCTTTGAACAACCAAACCATTTTGCATTATACTTTTTATTTTGCCAAAATTGTCAGTTTGGAAAAAAAACTCAAAAAATAGTAAAATCCACTACCACATTCATGAAAGACATTTATCAAAAAATATTTAATCAGAAATTAATATTAGAACAAAAAATGTTTATTGACATGCTTATCTAATATGCCAAATTATGTATCATTATATTTAAGTAATATGGGGAAAAATCAGGTCAAATTTTCCCTTTATGTGAAATTGATGTTCTAAGTTGATATTCTAATAAATGAAATTATGGATATTAATTAATGTCCTGGAAGATATTAATGAAAATTTAGAGTGCATGCCTCAAAATATTTTTATTTTATTTCTTCTTTCTTATCATCCCTCTCTATCTCATTCCCTCTATCTTACCTTGCCTTCAACATTTTACTCTCTTTTCTCTTCCATGTCACCTCTATTATCCATCTTATTTCATCATTACATAATTTCATATACTTTTATTTCATAATATGTAAAACCATACAATAATAATTATTTTATTGAGACGACAAGGTGCACAAAAAATAAAAACAATAACTTTATGTATAGTGTGGTGTGAGATCATCTGAAGCACAAGTCAACGATCTAGATTGGCATCTATTTATGGTAGGAAACTCTAATCCCTATGAACCCAAATCCTCTTCATCTCAGCTAGATGGTATCTTCCACGAATGCTCTTTCTTAATTCTTATTTATATATTTTTATTTCCCATGAATTTATTTTTAAATAATATATATTTATTTTTTTATTTTTTTATTGCTCTTGGCACTTCAAATATAAGTGGATCGTTTATATGTGTATGATAATTGGAAAAAATCTTATTAGGCTTCAATTCTCAAATAGTTTATTTTTAATTGTCCTTATTTAGAGAGCTGTTATTTCTCATGAAGGGAGGTGTCTAGGTAACGTAGGGAAAATCATGAAATATTTTTTAATTAGGTGGAAGAAAAATAAATTTAATTAATTTTATGGAATAATATGTAATAAAATTGATGAAAACGACTAAAATCTATACAAAAATGTGTAGATTTTTACGTCATTTAAAATGATATGGATGGAGTAATGTTAAAATATTGATAAATTGATGAAATAATTTTAAATGAAGAGGATGAAATAGGCAATCAATAAATTAGTGAAGTTTATACGAAATGCTGATTTATTATTGAATAAAGGGAGATGACGAGGGAAGTGCAATAATGCAGTCCACCCGAGGAGGCGGCAGCACCATTTGCGTCTAAAACCAGGGAAGATACTCCGTCGAGCCAGGAGCGGCGCCGCCTGGAATTCCGCGGTGGATCGCCGGCGGGGCGACCCTTTCTCTGTAGGACGCCCTGGAGTAGAGCTGCGAGCTCCGTAGAATAACAGAAAGGTGTAATTCTTGTCCCATCCGTTGCTTCCCCCTGTCGTCGACCACGTTTGTCTATCAGATGTGGGAGAAGTAATCGTAGCAAGAAGGCTGGCGATTCCGAGGATACGTCGTAGAGCTAATGTCGTCTTGGACAAGTCAGGGTTGGAGGGTTGCTGCATTAGGAAGGATTTGTTTATTCCTCCGCCTGAAACTTCTCCTTTTTGTAGGTGGTGGCCGGACGGAACTGCCTTCCACCGCCCCCTTCCGTTGGCAGCCCAGAGGATGGCTTGGAAACGGCGAAGGATACTCCTGCACAGCGGCGAAGCCATGGATTCTGATAATGATAAGGTTTGCCTTTAAAAAAAAAAAAAAAAAAATTCTTCCCTCGTCTCTCCTGGAGTTGCTGGCTTTGAAGTTCATGCTGTTGTTGGATACTTCTTTAGAAAGCTTTTTTTTCTGTAAACGTGATCATGCGTTTGACTCTTGGGGGCAGAGACAGCGGGAAGAAGAGGAATTATATTTTTTCCCATTGGAGATAAGAGTGAAGGAAATAGAATGAATGCGATAGCAGTGACAGAGGAAGAAAAAATGGTGAAGGAAAAATGCTGTTCACCTCTTCTATTGCTTCTGGCTGTTGTCGCCAGCCTCTCACAGAGGCTGTCTGCTGCAGTCTCTCGCATGTCTGCGCACCAGCTGCAGTTTCTGTGGGCAGTGTGCTTCCCGTTCTAATTATCCTCCGCATGCGGATGAAACACTGTTTGTTCCAGCCTCAGAACATTGATTGAAAGGATCCACCGATGGTACTTTGTCTCCGCTGAAACAGCCTTTTGTGATCCTACCTATGCCTGTTTCTCTCCAGCTGCCATTCTTCAGCCGCTTTCTAATCAGCTCGCTATACTCCTACACGCACCCCTATTTTCTCTTCATCACTACCTGACCGTCGTTTCATTGTTACTAAGCAGAAACAGACTGACCGCTGCAGCTTCAGACCTTTTGAGAGCAAGTCTTGACCTTTTAATCAGACTGAACATATTGGTTTTGTCTCTACGTCAGTGTTTTGATGACATAAAACCCCACAAAACCACTGCAGACAGAGCCATTTGTTCTGTTTTCTCTGAGTCAGTGCCATCCAATATGGAACTGCACTTTTCTTACTTCGTCAGGAACTGGAGTATATGTTTTCGAATTTGTGTTTAATATTTTCCTATGACACTTTTCGATAACTTATTAGCCGTGCCTATTGCATAACATGCAAGAAATCCGTGGGTGAAAATGTTTCAGGCTAGACTTTTAGCTGTGGCTCAAGAATTTGGCCGGGAAATACGTGTATTCACGAGCCCTGCAGCTTCTGCATCAGAAGAACCTTCCGCTGCTTCTACCTCGCACCATGGTGATCACTGTCTCTGATTAATGAACACTTCTTTTATCATCTGGTCGACTTGTCCCTGAATTATGCTCCTTTTTCCTCTGAAGTGAATAGAGCAACAGAGTCATTAAATTTGAGAAACGAAGCCTATGTGTTATAAAAAGTAGACACTCTGTGCAAAAACTGTAGTCTACGCCTTGATGGTGTCAGAGATGTTTGTGATCGGATGCACCCACCCAAAATGAAAGGTTCCTGCGGTTCTCCCCTACAGAAGATGCTAACCCATTCTCGTTAATTTTTTGAGCTTGCGAATCATCTCTATCAGAATATTGCAAAATGCTGGTGCATTATCTTTATGGAGGTTGCTCATGTTTTCATTCAAATGTTCATGGACAGAAGAGGAGGAGGACGATGATATCTATGACTTCACTCCTGATGATTATTACCGGATCATGTCAATCAAAAAGGAAGGTAATTATTATGTTCAAGTGAAAGAATGACAGCATTGGAAATTTATCTTGAGCTTCTTTGTTTTATATTTAGCCTTTGTGTTTATGACTTTGAGCTTGTGCAGATTAGTTTCTGGAAGTTACTGTGCAATTTTTGTTTTGGTCGTGTGCAGATTTATTTCTGAAGACCCACAAAATTCGTGAAGCAGAGGCTGCAGCCCGTAGAGCAAAAATAGCCAAGGTATATTGGGTATATCTATGAAACCTGTCCACATCTATGTTCTTCTCTTCGTTATTGTCAGTTGGAAAGCTTATGATTTCTATCTTTGTTATGGTTGGAATGTGATGTTTTTCTATCACTTGGATGATAAAGAGACAATGTTTTTTGGTTATTTAGTTTCACTTCTGAAAGTCTGGCCTAGGAGGAGTTGGTGTCAATAGACCATCTGGTTATGAGCGTTTCAACGTTGGAATTGAAACTCGTTCGAGTTTCGTTTGGCATGAAAGCACCAAGCTTGGCATTGAATTTTGATGAGTATTGGCTACAGTGAGGAGCCTGGTTTTGTTTTGGGCACGTCAAGGGACCTAGGATGGACTCTTGTCTATCAAAAGATGCTATAATAGATAAGGAGGAAGATGAAGAATATCAAAGGTTAGTATTATGGCATCTATGCACATCTAGTACATGCTTAAGCATCATCGTGTGGCCTGTAGGATGGGCAAATGCAAAACATATGTTCTTGTGAGATCACAAGAAACTGTAGCAACTAAGTTGCCTTTTTTGATAAAGTTTGTTAGATTTTTTAGAAATTTGAATGCAGCATGTGTGTCATGCTAATTACTCTGAAATAAGCAAAATATTAAAGTTGAAAGATTAAGAGAATTATTTTGCGTTCTATTTGTCACGGGGAAGTAGGCTGGAGTGGAACAGGTATGTGTATTACATGAAATGTGGCTTAAAAAGGCACGTGAATATACTACAGTGTAGGTGGAAGCAGATGGGATTGCTGGTTTAGCAGTGAATACTCTAAGTTGGGCAACAAGCAACTTATTGTTTCGGAGGAGATTCAATCATCATAAGACTATTTCGTCCAGTCTAGAAAAAGAATGTAGACTCTCAGAGCTCTTTTTATGGAATGTTCCGAAAGAGAATCAACGATTTGGTTTTTTAAGACAATGGTTTGCGTTCGCATGTTAAAGGTGGGCATTGTATGCTGTCCTGGAGACCATGCTATCTTTATAGATCAATTTATATCGGTAATGCACTCACTGTCATTTTAAAATATTGTTTGACTTTTTCGGGAAAAATATTTATCTGCCCATGTTTTAAATGCTTCTTTGGGTATAGTTCTCATTTCATTGTACAGCCATTAGGCCATTTATTAAATGTAGCCTTTGATTTTACACCATATCATGTTTCGACAATATTTATAAACTGGAAGCCATTTGAAAGTACTTAGGCCTAGATAACCTAAGTGTAGCATCTCCATCATCATATGACGGAAAAAATAATTTTCATTTGTACAGATTGTTTTGAATGCTTGTTCCTTGTTTGATTTCGCCATTTTTCTTGGATGTTTCAGTAAGTTTTTGACTTATTTTACTTAGTGTAGGCGATTATTAGGGTTCGGTTCCCTGATAATTTCGTCCTGGAGGCAAAGTTCCATCCCTCAGAGACCATACAAAGCTTAACTGATCTCCTCATCAGAGTATTGGCGAGGCCAGATCTTCCCTTCTATCTATGTGAGTCATGCCTGACAAAACTCCATCGTAAATACAATCCCTTGTCTGTTTTCGTGGGAATCTGCGTTTCTTAACATGAAATGGGCTGGACAGGACTGATGCTTTCGCATATAATCCTTTTGTTTTGTTTTCAGAAAAGAGAAATAAAATATACAATATAGGTGGGTTACTAAAAAAAAACGCTGGTCTGGGATGCATTTGCCAATGGTTTCTATTTGATGAGATAAATGGGTAGAGCTTGAGCAGCTATTTTGATAGAGGCAAGACGTTTTTTTCCTGAGCTTTGCCCATGCTTTTGGCTAAAAAAAGGAATTATTTTATCTACCTCGGGAAGAAATCAACAGAACACCAGCTGTCTCAAAAAATAAACAGAAGCCGTGGGATTCCAGGTTTTGATGATGGGATACCACTTAACTCCATTACTGAGGGTTTTAATGAGGGCAATTGCGAACCAATTGAAAACATGAACATATTTTCTTCTCTTTTCAGTATTTAATGAACTTATGGTGCCATCTGTCTTAAAAGAAAAGTGTTTGTCGAACCTTAGGCATGAACAGCTGCATTTCTCCGGCTCTCTTAGGAAGACAACCCTACTATTAGAGAAAACTTCTCTTGTGAAGGTCGGTCCTACGAGCGAAAAGTATTAAAGGTGCCATAAACACCGTTCTTTTGTCCCCATGAAGCCAGAATAGGCCATGGACTGCTTTCTTCGCTTATTAAATCTATACCCAACTGAGCCCTGTTCTATTTCAGACTATGGATATCCATCTTTGATACTTAGTTCATCCAAAAGGGTTGAAATTTGACGTCATTTCAGTAGAAAAAAGGGTATGCCGCCACTCATCTGGCTGTAGTCGGGAGGGTTCCATCCCTTCCGGGGCTACGTGGACATATTTTAGGTGCACACTGGATATCAGGTTAAAAAATGGATGTTGGAGGGATCCATTTGAATATCACTGGTCTCAGATAACGCAACCTCAAAAAATCTTTGAGACACCCAGAAGATGGATGGGATCTAAGTACCTTTCTGACATATTCGGAATTAATGCATGTTTTTCTGAGGAATTTCAGACCACTGATCACATAATTCAAAAGGTTGAAGGTCTCAGTGGTTGTCTTTACTAGGTCTCATACTAAATAACTAATATCTGTGGACCAGACTATTTAGGTTGGGCGGATCCGTTACTGCTGATGTTGAGTTTATTCCAAATTTAATTGGCTACACACATCGGTATGATATTTATTGTAACATGTTTTCCTTTTCATTTTCTCCTGTGTTCTTGATCTCTGACAACTACTGACCAAGAAGATGAAGATAATGGAAGATATTTTTTTGTGAGATGGGGGTATAATTTTCTGACTAAGAAAATAAAAAATGCTTCACCCAATTTTTTAAATATTTTTTTTTTCATGGACATCATTTTCGTGTTTGATTGCTTCTGTTCATGTGGATTATCTATTTCATTGCTACAGGGGACCGCTTTTGGCGTTTTGGGTTCTGTTCTTCCTTTGGTCATGCGACAAGTTCTTAAGAGTTTTTGCGTCTTTGCAGCTGTTGGTGGGATTGGCATCCTTTATGATTATTTATTGAAATGACCCTCCTGCAAATCGTTTTCTGATTCAGATACCACTCCCCCTAAACAACGAATTAGAGACTTCTCCAAGGATTTTTATTCGGTCGGCTTTGTGCCTGGAGCAATTGTGTACTTCTCACATGATCTTCCAAGAGGTTGCTCCTCTCTCTCTCTCTCTCTAACTATTTGTATGTATGAAGATGCTCAGCCTATCGCTTAGTGGGTTCGCATTGAATTGATATAATTTTCTCTGCCCATCACTTCGTATTGGTATTTTTGCTGCTGGTGTTCTTAATGATGTGAACTTCCGAACTATCCTCGTAGTTATGAAGGCAGAAAATATTTTCCTTGAATAAGTTGAAGAACATCGAGAACACTTTCCAGAGGCCGAAGGCGGAGGCGGAGACCTGGGGCCCTTCCTCCGCGAGGACATCCTCTCTCTGAATGGCATCGATCCCGCTCCCCAGACTGTCGACATCATTCAATCTGTCGCCGGGCCTGCCCCCCCAGAGCTCACCGCTGACCTCTCCACCGAGCTGAAGCCCTCCGAGAAGAAGCTGGGTAAGCCCAAGTGGCTCAAAATGTAACTGTAGTAGAGCTCTCTGCTGACCATGCCAGATGGAGGAACGAGAGGAGAGAGGATGGGGGAATTTGTGTACAAAAGTAGAAGATCTTGGTCGGCTCTGCAGCCCCCCCCCCCTCTCTCTCTCTCTCTCTCTCTCTCTTCTTGTGTGGGCATTTGTTCTTCTTCTAGAAGCTTTTATCAGCTCCAATGTGTTTTTCTTTCCTCATCAGTAGGCATACACCATCTTGAAGCTCCGCCCTGTTGAAAACCACTTGTCTGATTCAATTGGAAGCAGTGTGCAGGGTTCCCTCGTTTGAACTAGTAATTGGACAAATTTAGTAAATAAATTGTTATAGGATGAATGTATTTTTTCATTTTAGATTTCGTTGACAATATGATTCATGATCGTGTCCAATCCAATCTTGGCATGCATGTGGGTCCCAAGGGCCTGTAATGAATGAGTTTCATGGGGCCCCAGTACGTCGGTCTTATCCGGGGAGAAGATTCCAGTTTTAGAAGGTCGCCGTTGGCGGGCCCTGCGGCGCACAAGACATCGCCGCCGCAAATTCAGTAGGCGACAGAAAGGTTCGTTTGCTCCCCGTTGACAATCACACCCAGAAGGAAGGAGAGAGAGAGAGAGAGAGAGAGAGAGAGAGAGAGAGAGAGAGGGAGATGGCCGGGAACATCTCCGGAGGGATGACGTGGGCAGATCTGTGGGACAGCACCCCCGACAAGCCGTTGCCGGCGTCGGTGGCGGAGGATACGATGAAGGGAGAGGACGGCTGCAAGCGGAAGCAGCAGGGGGGGAAGAAGGCCAAAGCCGGACCTTTGCAGTGGGTTAAAGCCCTTTGCCAGAAGAAATCCCACAAGTGATCCCTCCTTCTCTCTCTCTCTCTCTCTCTCTCTAATGCCGATGATGGACTTCTTCACGTAGAGGGGCCCCTTGACTTCCCAATTCGTAATTTGTACCTTCTTCCCAAGTCTAATTCTTTCTTTGGCACTGCTAACATGTTCTTATAACTTGCATGCATATCACCACATGCCCTTCATTAGCAAGCTTTACCATGGAAACTTGTGGGCATGATACACCACTTGCCCTGGACTCATAGTCGGTGAGAATGGCACCACTTGACATGCATTATAAGACTATCTCCACTTCTTTTCCTACCTTCTCTTATGATCTCAAAATTTATGTCAGTTAAGAATTCTCATTGAAGTTGTTTACAATTAGTATTGGAGCACAGATGACTCTTTGTGTTGTTCTTTACTATCCATGGGGAGTCACATTTTCCTGTTGATACATTTCTCATGGGGTCACTATGTTCATGACCATGAATGGACAAAAATCTCATCACAAGGACAAGATTTGTACTTGTTTGATCTTTATGACAAGTATTGATTACGTTTTATTTCCATATGTGAAAATATGGGTAATATCATAAACTTTGATGGTGACACCAAAATGTGTTCACTATTCCTTCACATGCTATTCTTATGGGCATGAGATTAGTCTTTGCATCTTGAGCATGTATGCTTGGTAACATGACAGTTTAAAACCTGAACAAGATATGGATAGAATGTCCAAATTTACGAAATTTTCAAGAATTTTTGTGGACCATCTTTTGACATGGTGGTACATATAATAGAGAATAAAGATCTTAACAGTGGGCAATAGTGGACCTAATCAATTATGGCAGGATATATGATAGATGACACCCATTAAACCTTACTAAGCATAAAGGGGGGATGATCGAATCTGAGCAGTTGCGGATGGGAGGTCTTATGGAGGACAATGTAAAAGCTAAACAAAATCTCTAGTATCTACTTGAAACCATACTAGAGGAAAATTTTGAACGATTTAAAGTCACATTGGGTATCGTGGCTACAGAATGAGCATATTTCTGGATCGGAGAGAATCGGTCAAGGTTCTAGACTTGTTTCAAAACCAAACACTATCTTGGGATGAGTTTGCTAATGGAGTCCAAGTGACTCATATGAATAGGATGGGGAAGCCTTCCCCTCGCAGTGTTATACCGAATAAGTTGAAAGAAGAAGACTATTTCTATGCCAATCCATAGGAATGTCTCTGTAATCCCTAGTAAGTGATTATTGAGTTGGGCTAGGCAAGATTTCATATTATACATTAATATTTATTATTAAATTTACTAAAAAATAAAGTTACACATGGTGATATGATAAACCATTGACAAACTAAGTATGTCTCTATTTTTTTTTATACTAAGTGTATTAAATGGAGAATGAGTGTTGTGAACGAGGTGTTGGACTGCTTATGATGTTGCATGACATGGAGGTTAGCCATCTTTATGAGCTTGAACCTCTAACCTAGAGTTTGGGAAACACCTCCCTCTAATTTAATACCTTACTTTCCCTTTGCAAGTGATCCTCTTGCCATATGCAACCCAATGGGGTCCCATTTTGGTCAAAAGAATTAAGAAGGGGAGTAACTTGGCATCTAGAAATAATGGAATAAAAGAGGAAAATTCAAATGTGTACTACAAATTTGAAAGCACCATCATCTTCCTTTAAATATTTTAATATATATATATATATAATGAATACGATCTTTTATGGTTTCATTATTAATTTAATTTATAGAACATCATGTTATTAATTTCTCAAATTAAAGAATGTGATTTTCAATGTAATGTCATATAGACTTTTGCAGAAATTAGTCTATGACGTTGTATATGATTTATGTAACCTGAATTATTTCAAGATCTCAAGATAACATATGAGCTAGAATAATTAGAATAATAGGTTCTCTTATTTTAAACATTAAAGTCACTTTTTTTAAGCAATAAAGATAAGGACTTCAGTGGATATGAAAAATGAGAAAATAACAAAAAAGCTTATAAGTTACACGATTTTTGGTAGACAATCATAAACATATTTAAATGATTAAAAAATACCAATTTTTGTAATAACTTTTGTGCATCTTTGGCATGAGTTTGAAAATAAATGTTTTATAATCAAAATCCAAGGTGAATTAAGGAAATATGATAAGAGTTGATATTACAAAGTTATAACACAATCTGAAAATAAAAGTTCTTATTTGTACAGAAGTATGATACTACATGAAATTATTGATCATTGAAAAATCTATAAACTATGGAATTTCAGCATACATTTCGTTGAAGCAAAAGAATTAAAAAACTCTCTATTTTTTATGTGTTAAGGGGATTTTTTTTTGGAAGTATCAGTTGGGCCTATGAAGTTATTAAAAACCACTTAAATGTGAGATGATAGAGGCTTTAAAAGTTCAATTAGCAAATATCTTGACACCTTCTTTATCAAGCTTATAAAGGTCATAGAGGCTTTATAAAGTTCAAATAATGAAAATCTTGACGCCTTCTCTATCAAGGTTATAAGGGTCATAAAGCTCTCAAGTTCCTCATCTAAGCTTGTTTGCATCTTTTCATCATATATGAGGTTTTTGAAGTTTGTTGATTTTGTCTTCATTATTTTGTACAATCTTGCCAATGAACATAACTTTCTTGTTGTTCTAAACATTGAAGTCATTGTATGATGTTGTCAACTTTAAATTTTTTATATATGACAATTACTTAAGGATAGGGTTTGATAATGATAATTTAGAAGATTTTAAAGTCATGAACTAATGAATGCACACTTTAATGTTGATAATCAAAAAAATATTTAAAAATATGGTGATGATTACAAGCACGATTTATGTGTTTTAAAAGTTTTAGACCTAAGAGACGATAGAATGTGGCCAACATCTTGCTAACACCTCTATGAATTCATAACATTCTCTAGATTATTCTGGATAAATAGTTGGTAGCTAAGATCAGCCCACATGCTATGTTTCAGAAGACCTCCTACCCCACCCTAACCATTGAAAGATTACATTATGTAGAATGGTGAGAACAGTTGTGATCCTTATACTAATAATAATAATAAAAAAAACTATGAATAGTAAGATTTTAACATTGGGTTCTTGATCATTGTAAAGCTTTTTTTGGTAATTTATGGACAACATAGAATCTCCATGACAATAAGTAAATCCTAATGCCAAATAAATCGTATATTTTCCTAGATAATCATCTAATCTAATTATAGTCAATATTGATGTGACATTTATTTTTTATGAAAAATATATATTGGGTTTTTAATGACAAATGTCGGCTAAGAACTTGCCAGCGATGTGAAGTTATTAACAATGAAAAAAAGGAGAGCACTTTTGATGTTTTCCCCCATCTCATGGACAGATGTTCTATGCGAAATAAATAAATTATTGGTAAAAATGTAAAAATAATTATGAAAAGTACTATTTAAAATCTTTTTTTAAAAAATAAGGGTAAATACTTTTTTGCACTTCACGAACTCCTTCGTGGCGTATTTAAATATTTTTTAAATAAGGGTAACTAATTTACGTAGTAAAGATACCGATTTAAAATTATTAAAGTTTATATAAATATCAGTCAGAAATTCCTCATTTAGAAAATCCCCCTTGGACTAAATAGGGGCTTGCGTACAGAGACCCACCAGCATTCTTCGACACCTGAAAGATGGCCCTTTTGAAGGTAGATATAAGCAGCCAGTTGGATCCCAGGGCTGCTCTTACGCTGAACTCCTTTCCCTTACATTTCCTCTCCCCAGTCTTTGGAGGTTCTCGGAGGTGGAACTGCGCCCTCCCCAGCCCAGAAATCCTCAAGCACCGGGAATTGCCATTCTCTATCTTTCTTACTTTCTGTGTTTCTCCTCCTCTTCTCCTGGTGCGACAGTCGCGCAGAAGTACACAGCAGAGCAGACTTCCATCTGAGGCTCTCCCGGCTCCCTTAAATCGGGGTCATGGGTTTCCTCCCCTTTCATCCTCTCCCCTCTCTACCTTCCTCCCACTCTCTCTGTGACATTGCGCTCTGAGTCTCGCCCTCCCTTTCGCCATCCGAGATATGGGCTGTTGCCTCCTCTCTTGCCGCGTCGATTCCCAAAATTGCAGGTCTTTCAGATGTCGATGCTCACTATAGACCAATTTCTCTCCCCCCTTAGACAAGAGGAAGACGAGGAGGCAGTGACTGCTAGAGGGGCGAGGAGTACGGCCATGTATTTGCCCGACAAGCCACGGTCGGTGGACTACTACAAGGAAGAAGGGCGGAGTATTATGATGGAGGTGGTCGGCAACAACCCAGTTCCGCAGCAGCAGCAGCAACCGCAGATGATTCCAGCTGAGAGCAGCGGAGAGGACCACGAGATGAAGGCCCCGAAGAAGCGGGCCGAGACGTGGATCCAGGATGAGACTCGTAGCCTCGTCGCTCTACGCCGGGAGATGGACGGGCTCTTCAACACCTCCAAGTCCAACAAGCATCTGTGGGAGCAGATTTCGGCCAAGATGAGGGAGAAGGGCTTCGACCGCTCCCCTACTATGTGCACCGACAAGTGGAGGAATCTGCTCAAGGAGTTTAAGAAGGCGAAGCAGCAGGTCAGGGCTGGAGGTGGGGCCTCGAAGATGTCCTGCTACAAGGAAATCGATGAGCTGCTGAAGGACAGGAACAAGAACGATGGCGGCGGTGGGGTGGGTCATTACAAGAGTCCCACGCCCTCTGCCAAGGTTGATTCCTACCTGCAATTCTCCGAAAAAGGTACCCCAGAGAGGTCCACGGGACATTGAATACAGGTTTTGGTGTTTCCTAGGTAGAATGAGGTTCCTGAATCATGGCTTTTATTTCATAAGGTCTTAAGCTTTTGAAACTATGAGTAATGTTTGAAGGCGTTGAATTGTGCCCAGTGAGGGTGCTTATTCTCAGTGAGCTGTCTTTTATTATTCAATCAGTACATTAATTGACTCCATTATCCTAACTTTTGTTTCTAGCGTACCGTAAACCACGAAAATCCAATTCATTTCTCTTTTCATCAGTTTTTTTTTTCCAGGTTCATATCATTATGCATCTAAATATATAGAGTGGACTAGTAGGAACGGATTTGGGACCGTGTGGATGATAATGGTTATCTGTAGTGGATATGCTATGTTTGCTGGTTTCTGACCTTCATGTACTCCTTCAGTAGGTTTCCATGCATCCCTTTCTCTCTTGAACGACCATACAATATGAATCAATCTTCATGTTCATTGTATCTTGAACGGTCGCTATTTTTGATGTGTTTTTTCTAGTTTTTCTCTCTTCTCTGTTATTAACTCTCACGAGACTTTGGTGTGTTCTGTCGAATTAGGTCTTGAAGACACCGGCATGCCATTTGGGTCTGTTGAAGGTACCAACTTTCTGGTTTGATAATGCCCTCTTTAGTATTAACTTTCTTTGGGACATAAATTTTGATTCAGTGATGCCCTTTTTGTACGAATTCTCTTGGGTTCTAAGGCTCATTTTTTTAAGGAAATACCAGCAATTTCTTCTATACCCGATTTTTTTTGTCCAACTTTACTCTTAAACTGCCTCATATTTTCAGTTTCTTGAATAATCCTAATATGCAATAAGATTCTTTGAATTGAATGTATACTGTTCATAATCTTCATTCAGTTATTGTATTATTCCGTGATTGGCGTAAACTGCATGATGTTGAAGTATGCTGGAACTGCATGATGTTTATTTTCACGCGTAAAAAAGTAGGTTTGGGTATCAAATTTGGCCATTGTACCAATTGCGCACATCTTTTGATTTCCTTGTATGATTTTCATCCTGTAGAAACTAATGATGTTGCTTGCAACTAGTGAAACCTTCACTCAAATATGGATTTCGTTCTCTGTTAACTCAAATGGCATTTACCAGTGGTTACAGGATACGGTCTCTTGAATCCCCAGAGTATTCTTTTCTCACATGTCAGATCCTCCGAGTATGGGATCTTTATTTTTTTTTCCAACGTCCTTTCCCACTAGAAGAAAGAAACATGAATATAATCCATGTGCTGTTGACTGATTGACCACTCTTTTTGCAGCCCAGCACGTTCAAGGGTTCTCCGATATCATGGTTCCCTGGCTTCTGTGAAAAGAGTCACCATATCTTTGATAATATGTAGGCACGAAAATTGGGTTAATAAACGGGGAGATTGTAGCCCAAGATACTGCCGATCCTCTCTTTGGTACCTGGCTGCACTAACACAGTATCATCATCTCCTGGCTTACTAACTCTATTTGGGGTGAATTCCCGGAAACAATTTCGAGGAGGAAGACTGGTACAGATGAGTGGCTGTTACTGGGAAAGACGCTTAGAGGAAAACAAGGTGCTATCTATGTCTTCTAAACCAGTGATAGTCACTGGCTCAAGAAATGGGAATCTGTCTATGTCAAGAGAGAAGATTTTGGCCGTCACTCCATGTATGATTGCAATTTTGTGGAAAGATCATAGGAAGTTTTTTGAAGCACATTATGAGCAGCCTCGTGCTTCAAATTACCGGGTGTGGACTAAAAGGGTGAGAACACAAGCCCACAGATGCAATGTGGATCAGCTCGGGTGTACTGCAAAGTGCTGGGTGGAGAAGGAAGCGAGTGGCCACATATACACGTCTGTCGAAATTAATGAACAGGGGAGTCTGCTACTTTCATCACCTTTGTTTTATCAAGGTGAGGAATTGGATTAACTAGGAGAAATTAAGTCTGTAAAGGCATAAAATGACTGCAGAAAAAGAATCACCATGTTTAGGGCTTTTACCAGTTCTATTGAAAGAAAGATCTCTTGAATTTTAAAAATGGGAAGTAAGACGGGGCAAATAAGAGGAAACGTCAGGTCGGCTCTGGCTAACAGTGGCACTTGTTTCTTCTCTGCTGGAGGAGGTTTTATGAGCTCTACCATGCATGCTCTTCTAAAACAGCCCTCAATGACGTCGCATATATACTAAAGATTATTTCACATTTGTACCATCCTCGTCCAATCTATCAGGCACCCCTATTTTGGTGTTTAGTGAAAATTTCTTTGAGTTTCTGCTGGGTCCTCGATATTTGTGCCATTTGATTATGTGACTATCATCCCTTAATTGTTATCTTTCAGCCCCTTTATCTAAAGATCGGACAAAATGGCTGCTGACTATGGTTGAAAGTCTCTGTTGTTGTAAAGGGAAATTTAAAGTCAATAGATAATCCCATCTTCAGTCCCTTAAATTATTACCTTATCTCCATATCTTATTTCTTTTACTAACATGGGTACATAATGAACATTTCTTGTGACCGTTCCTAGTCACTGAGCCTTATTTCCTATGGCTTGAAGATGAGGCAATTGATCGAGACTGGCTTTGGATAGGGATTACTCCATTGCTTTAAGACAAGAATGAATGCATCTATGCATTCTTGCTCTAGCGGAGATTTAGGTTGCCAGATTGACGAGACCCATCTATTGCATTCACATCTTGGACTTACTTTTTTACTCCTTTGGGAGTCTTTCAGTCATCCCTATTCGGTTGACTGAGTCATTAGTACCCTGAGTTCCCAATGTTGGATAACAGACTAAATTTAAAGCCGGTCTCTACGGGGACTTTGGACAAAATTTGTTAAATGCATAAGATAGTAATCGACTATTACTAACTGGTAGTTGTGAGACAAATCTTAACCATGGCATCCTTTTAAGACTTTAGCTCGAGTTTGTCTAATGTTATGGTGATCCACCATGGAAATAGTTAAATTATCTGTTCGAGAAATAGCTCGAGTTTGACTAATGCGATGATGATCCACCATAGAAATAGTCAAATTATCTGTTCAGGTTTTGAATGGTGTCAAATTTCCTGAGGAATGAATTTGTCTATTGGCAGTTCCTTGGATGGAGTCCAACCTGATCCCTCTCAAAATTGAAACGGAAATGAAAATAAAAATTTGAATGATAATCTGACAACCTTCCTTGAATCGACAAGGTTTATGAATGTTCTGAGATTTTTTTGCTCTCTGTTTCACCATAGAGGAGAGAGGAAGGAAATCTTCACTGCTTCACTGGTTAAGATCCGCCGTCACTTTCCACCACTCATTTTCACCACCGGTCTTCCCTTCCCAAGGAATAGGGGTTGGGATGCTCCAAGACTTAATAATGCATCTTAAATTATCAATATAAATGTTCAACTAGGAATTTATATTTTTTTAGTTCTTGCCACTGTACTGGACTGAAGAACACACCTTGAATCTGTCAGTTGTGATGGCTTCGGTTCTCCTTTGTGACACTCGCTTCTGTGGATGCTTGGGAGGCAAATTCGACCAATTTGCCTTGCTAGAAGGGAGGGAAGCTCTGTTATGTTATCACTCGCTGGAGCACCTTGTGCTCTGAAACCAAACTATTACTTGCTGCAACATATGAATAGTGACACGTCCAGAAGAACATCAACTGGTACTGATCTGGCATGTTGGTTCATGATAAGGATATGATCTCCACTGATTGCAACTCGGTGGGATGATGTGAATTTTAGTGAAGAACAGATAAGTGACCTAATTAGTCACAATGTGATGGTGTATCATCACATCCGGGTCATCAAATTCCCAACCAGTTTTCTTTTCTATTTTTTTTTTTTGGGTTCATAACACAACGCTGTTCGAGAAATGCTTGAATGACACAACATTTTGTATCCTATTCTCATCTGGTAGTTGACTTCTGTGCATGACATGAAAGCCATGCTGCCTTCTGTGCGCCATGAAGGTTTCTAACACTCTGAAATATCAGCTTTGCACGCTTTCTTGATGCTTTTTGAACTGGCCCCTTTTAATCTTCTCAAAGGGACGTAGGCAGAAGTATCAGAACTGTTCAACTTTACTATTTTCCTGGAGTTATCTCAGTTTATTTTATTTACCAGGCGCATTGTGTGTCCCTGTTGTGTAGAACCATAGTTTGGTATATATATATATATATATATATATATATATTAATGTCTATTTTATGGCATTCAGCTCGATCGGCGCTCAACATGGATAGGCACTCTGACAATGACGGGCTTCCTCTTGCCATAACGGTGGCTGATGCAGTCGGAGCCAACGGTGTCCCACCTTGGAACTGGAGAGATGCTAGTGGGCTCGGTGAAGACCCTCCCTCCTTGGAAACTTCCGTAGCTTAATCTCTTCCATGGCCAATCCTTGCGAGGCCATCTCTCATCTTAGCCAGCTGCGCGGGCTGAGACGATTCACTGGGTGCATCAAAGCAGCCGCCTTTTTATGTTTATTTTGCGTATAATCGAAGCTTCTGATCTCCCTGTCTCGATTCACAGGTGGGCAAAATAATGCCTCGTATAGTGGGCGGGTGATTCTGGTCAAGCTGGGGGACTACACGAGGAAGATCGGCATCGATGCCAGCGCTGAGGCCATCAAGGAGGCCATAAAGTCTGCATTTGGGCTCCGGACAAGAAGGGCCTTCTGGCTCGAGGACGAAGACGAGGTTGTCCGAAGCCTCGACAGGGACATGCCACTGGGGACCTACAATCTTCGTCTCGACGAAGGTAAAGTCTGCTTCATTTTCTTCGTTTTTCTAAAAAAAATCTCTTCTTTTGGGCTCATTTCCGCTTTCTTATTATCTTTATATAATCCCATCTTTGTTGGGTTTTCCTTTCTATTCCATTTCATTTCCTCGTATGGCCTGAAATCGTCTGAAATCATATGAACCCAACTACTCGTATGCCCAAGAACCAGCTGATCCTGAAGAACATCTGATTACCATATTTGGTCGCATTGGGGGGGCACATGTGTATGGTTTTTATCTGCCCTTGATTGCTATTTTTGACCAAATCAATCCCCTCAGGTCTGACGATCAAGGTCTGCGTCTACGACGAGACCGACCGGCTGCAAGTCCACACGGAGGAGAAGACCCTGTACACAGAGGAAGACTTCCACGAGTTCCTCAGCCGCCGCGGCTGGACCGGGCTCAGGGAGTACGGTGGCTTCAGGACCGTTGACAGTCTGGTGGAGCTCCGCCAGGACATCGTCTACCAGGGCGTGAGGCTTCTCAGTGAGTGAGGAGCTCCGGCGGCGCCACCCGCCAGGATGATCAATACAGGGGCCGAGTAGTCAACCAATCACCCATTCATGATGGCTTCAAGAAGATAGATGGCCGTGTATAGACAGACTCCCCCATGGGAAGAGCTTCCTTGGAGAATTGGATGTGGGCCCGACTGGTCAACGCATGTAAATATGATGCACTTTTAAGGTCCTTAGCCAGTTATTTTTGGAAGATCTATGCTTTGGAGAATGTTTTTCTTTTATATTTATAAATATAGTATCATGCTTATGTTCAGAAGCGTTGACCAACCTGACTCACTGACATGTGAGGCAGGGGGCCGCCCAATCACCCATTCATGATGGATTCAAGAAGACAGATGGGAAGAGCTTCCTTGGAGAATTAGATGTGGACCCGACTAGTCAACGCATGTAAATATGATGCATTTTAAGGTCCTTAGCCAGTTATTTTTGGAAGATCTATGCTGTGTTGAATATATATATATATATATATTTATAATATGGTATCATGGTTATATTCAGAAGCATTGACCAACCTGGATCACCAATATCTGAGCCAGAGGGGGGAGGGGATAGAATCTGACTGAATCTCGATAATGTTCGGTCCAAAATCCCCGTTGACAGGGAATTAAAATATTGAGCCAGATAAATTTGAGGATTATATTTTAAAAAATGAGAATATACAATATATATTATATTATATTATATTGAAATGTTGGCATCTCACTACAGACTGGAAGCACGCTATCCGTGAATGCCATCTTACTATCGGCAAATCTCGCAGGGGTGGGGTATCATTTGTCTAGATGCTTCCGATGCCAGGTAGGCATTTCCTTTTTTATAGTATTTTTTAAATAATAATGTGGTAAGATAACGGCCATTTAGTTTTTAAAGTAGTGAGGCAACTTTTTTTCTGAAAAAAAGTTACCGAAAAAGGAAACTACCTAAGCGAGTGGGTCACCCCGACCCTTCCCCTCTCCCAACTGACCCTCCCCCGCTCTCTCTCTCTCTCTCTCTATCTCGCTCAGCGTCTATCCGCCCGGCAGTGGGGGCTATATATAGAGAACCACTCTTTATCATAACCCCCCTGTGTACTCTCGTCTCCGATCAGACCTCTCTTCCTCACTCTACCTCAGTCTACCCCGTGCTACCGGCGAATACCATGGGTACTGTTCTTCGTCCTGCTTGCTGCTTCTGCTTCTGTCCCTTTTCTTCTTGGTCTGTCTCCTCGTCTTCGTTTATGTGGATTATCCATCCCTTGACATTTGCTGCTTTTTCCTTTCTTTGTGGCTTTCTACGCAGCCACAGGGAAGAAGGTTAAGAACGGCATCAATGGTGAGTGCATCGGTGTCCATCTTTCGGAGGGATGATTTCTCCCTTGTCTAGTTCCGATCATGCGGGGTCTCCGTTTGATTTGCTTGGTCTCGTCAGTGCTCTGGTCATTTATTCATATCTGGTAGGCTTTCATTCTATGTGCGACGAAGGGCTTACTCTCCGTTCTTAGGCTTTGGTCGTATTGGTCGCCTTGTGGCGAGGGTCGCTCTGCAAAGCGCGGACGTCGAGTTTGTCGCCATTAACGACCCACCCTTTCATCACCACGGACTACATGGTATGCTGTACAGATCTTTCCTTCCCTTCTAGCTCCTCTGCTATACTTTGTGTGATCGAGGATCTGTTGATCTCAAGCTGTTACGTTCGATTTGGTATTTTTAGTTCGAAGATGAACTTTCAGATGAATGAACGTAACATTTCTGACTTTTTTCCCCATATTTGTACGGATAATCGTGATGCTTTTGCATGGTTTTTTTTACATGTTTATTCATTTTTATTTGTCCTTCTTTGCAGACGTACATGTTTAAGTATGATTCCGTTCATGGGACGTGGAAGCATCACGAGCTGAAGGTTAAGGATTCAAAGACCCTTCTCTTCGGTGAGATGTCGATCACCGTTTTTGGGATCAGGTAACCTTCTGGTTTTCTGCTTTACGTTTCACTTCGTCGTTTTACCGGGCGTGTTTATCACTTCGTCGTTTTGTTGCTCTTTTTATGCAGAAACCCCGAAGAGATTCCATGGGCTGAGGCTGGTGCTGATTATGTTATTGAATCAACTGGTGAGTTGACTGACAAGGATAAGGCTGCTGCTCACTTGAAGGTCTGTTCGTATCTTTTGCTATTACTAGGAACGAATGTCTGTTGTGATTTTATTTTCTCGCACGAGTAATTATGTTTCATGTAATATGTCTTATTGCCCTCGTCCTTTGGATCATGATAACGAATTTATCTTATTGACGTTATGGTTGTATGATATATCACGGAGGGTAGCAGTCGTTTAGTGTATATATATGATTATTTTTTCTTTTCTGTCTTGTTGTGTCCCCTTCTAATTTCTCCACGAAGACATTATTGTGAATCAAAGTAACCTAGTGGCTAATATGCAAGATTTCGATTGAGTGTTTATCTGTTATTTTTCTATGGTTTTGAATTGGTGTAATATTAACTCTTTTTTTTTTTTTGTAAAGCCTTACTGCTCGGATATGGTGTGAAACGTTGACCACGGGCGTTTTTGTTAACAGGGTGGTGCCAAGAAGGTCATCATCTCGGCTTCCAGCAAAGATGCTCCCATGTTTGTGGTTGGTGTCAATGAGAACGAGTATAGGCCTGATATGGATATCGTTTCCAATGCCAGCTGCACAACTAACTGCCTGGCTCCTCTTGCCAAGGTGAAAGTGTTCTATATCTTTACGGCTAAATTCGTGTTGTTTTTTTCAATTCCATTTGGACGGGTGTTGACTTTGGTCCTTTTTCCTGTTGGCAGGTTATTAATGACAGATTTGGCATTGTCGAGGGTTTGATGACCTCGGTGCACGCAGTCACCGGTGAATATCGATTAATGTTACCCTACTGCTTTTGGTTGGCGTAAGATCCTTGGTGTCTCATCCGTTCATTCTCTATTTTTACAGCTACCCAGAAGACAGTTGACGGTCCTTCTGCCATGGACTGGAGAGGTGGAAGAGCCGCATCGTTGAATATCATTCCCAGCATAACTAAATCTGCAAAGGTGACTAAATCTTTAATTTGTTAACAGGCTGATCTGGGCTACTGTATTTTCAGGGTGTTTATCTCCCAATGCTGTTGTTTTCGAGAGCTTGACCCGTTTGAATAATCTCTCAAATGAAGACTGCACGCCATTCAAAGGGTTTTGAACTGTGGCGAAGAACAGTTGTAACTCTTCTCCTCTTCTTCTATTCCACAGGCTTTCGGGAAGGTGCTTCCCTCCTTGAACGGGAAACTCACCGGTATGGCATTCCGAGTTCCAACTGCCGATGTATCAGTTTTGGATCTCACCGTCCGCCTTGAGAAGGCCGCAACCTACGACCAGATCAAGGCCGCTATCAAGTAAGCCCCCATCCATTGTGCCCGTCACCATCCTTCTTCGTATAGGCATCCATTGTGTTCGGTTTTTATCAGAGAGATCATTGTACTCTGTTTTCTTCTCTTCTAGGGAGGAGTCGGAGGGCAAACTCAAGGGTATCTTAGGGTACGTCGATGAGGATCTCGTCTCCACCGACTTCATCGGTGACAGGAGGTATCATCGGAAAAAGAAAAAAGCTTTACTATTACCCTTCTGTAATTCATTGTATTCACGCTGAATTATTCCATGCGTACCAAAAAAACGTAGGTCGAGCATCTTTGACGCCAAGGCGGGCATTGCCTTGAACGACAACTTCGTCAAGCTCGTGTCCTGGTACGACAACGAGTGGGGCTACAGGTACATCTCTGAACACCGCACCCAGAAGCAAAACCCTAAACGCTTCCCCTCCTCTCCTCCTCTCCTCCCCTTCGAAATGCATCCTGCTGCCGCATGTATCTATATATACATATATAGAATGCCGTTTGATTTGAGGTGGGTGGTGGACGTATGTTTACCGTCTGGAGGGGGGGCTATTTCTCTATTCGTTGGCGCGCGTGCAGCTCGCGCGTGGTGGACTTATTGCGCCATATCGCTGCCACCCAGTGAAGCAGAAGAAGAGGGGTGTGGTTTACTACCCCCAACCGCCAATAAAACGCCGCCAGGAGCTTCTCTTATTTTTTCTCCCTCACTGCTCGCCGATGGGCACGCGGTGGGTACGCTTTGTCTTCGCCCCCTTGTGTTTTCATCATTCATTTATCAAGCTAGCTCTGCCGAAATCTTTTGTTGGAATAATCATCATTGTCATCATTATCGTCACAGTATGGTCAACGGTGAGAGTCAACTCTATCAAAATTGAAGAAAATCGACGGTCTCAGTGGACCAATGGTGAGATCAGACGCCATGGCAACCTGGATGTGATGCTAATCCCATGGGCCAACAATATATTAAATATGATAATAAGATATATCGAATATGTTTTGGCCGTCTGGGCCTCCAACATGACTTGGCTTCACCGTTTCTTGTTTTATCTTTCCGAGGTCCCTTTCGGAGCCGAAACACTTTCTGGGCTTCTCTCCCGTTTTCTTGTGAATCTATTCTGCATCAGGTTTCTTTCTATTTATTTACATGGTTACTATTTTTACACACTAACTATGAAACCTTTTCAAAATTTTCATTAATTTTATGTAAAAAAATCCAAATTGAGTGATCATTTGGACAATATTCGTTAAATTCTTAAGATAGCAATCGACTATTAGTCACAGTTTGATGTTGTATCATCACACCCAGATCAAATTCCCTAACCAGGTTTCATTTTCGTCATAACCCAAAGCTGTTCACATATTTGGTAATTGACTTCTGCGCATGACATGAAAGCCATGCTGCCTTCTGTATGCGATGAAGGTCACAACAACACTTTGCATGCTTTCTTGATGCTTTCTGAACCGGCCCCTTTTAATCTTCTCAACTCTGCTTCTTCCCTGGAGCTATCTCAGTTTATATTATTTTAATGTCTTCCTTGGAGTCAACGCATGTAAATATGATGCATTTTAAGGTCTTTAGCCTGTTATTTTTGGAAGATCTAAGCTGTGGAGATTTTTTTACATATATTTATAATATAGTATTATGGTTATATTCGGAAGCGTTGACCAACCTGAGTCACTGATATATGAGGCAGGGAGCCGCCCAATCAACCATTCGTGATGGATTCAAGAATATAGATGGCTGTGTGTAGGCAGACCCCTCATGGGAAGAGCTTGCTTGGAGTCAACGCATGTAAATACGATGAAATTTAAGGTCCTTAGCCAATTATGTTTGGAAGATCTATGCCGTGGAGAATATTTATTTTTGTACTTATAATATACTATCATGCTTATGTTCAGAAGCGTTGACCAACCTGAATCACTGATATGTGAGCCATACGGGGGGAGGGGATAGAACCCGACTGAATCTGCATCACGTTTGGTTCCATATCCCCGTTGACGGGGACTTAAATATTATTTTTATCTGATGCGTCCCATCAATTTGTCGATTTAAAAAAATAATAATAATGTGAAATATAAGATCTCGATGAGTTCAATGATTGCATAAAAATAGTAGTAGTGCTCGAGAAATCGCAGCCGCCCGCTCTCCGCAGGCGTGAAACGTATAAACGGACAGATTCGGGTGGTTGGCTCTTTTTGTAAATAATACTAAATCTGGGGTTTTTTAGATTTAGTTTTTGTTTTTTGGCATCGCACGCCAGGCGCCGCGTGACAGACGGCAGGCACGTCATCCGTGACTGCTTCTCTTCGATCGGAAATCTCAAAGGGGTGGGGTACGTGGCACACTCAGAGGAGGGGACAGGACGACGTCGTCGTGACGTCATTTTTCTAGATGCTTCCGATGCCAGATAGGCATTTCATTTTTTTATAGTATTTTTGAAACAATAAAGAGGTAAGATAACGGGCATTTAGTTTTTAAAGTAATTGGGGCAACTTTTTTCGAAAAAAAAGTTTCCAAAAAAGGACACCACCTAAGCAAGTGGGTCGCCCCGACCCTTCCTCTCTCCCAACTGACCTTCCTGCTCTCTCTCCATCACTCTATCCACCCGGCGGCGGCTATATAACGGGGGCCTCTCTGTACCATCTCTCTTCTGTGTACTCTCCTCTCCGATCAGATCTCTCTTCCTCTCTCTACCTCTGTCTATCTCGTGCTACCGGCGAATACCATGGGTACTGTTCTCCGTCCTGCTTGCTGCTGCTTCTGTTCTTTTCCTTCCTGGCCTGTCTTCTCGTCTTCTTTTGTGTGGATTATCCCTTAACATTTGTTGTTTTTTCCTTTATATGTGGTTTCTGCGCAGCCACCGGGAAGAAGGTGAAGATCGGCATCAATGGTGAGTGCATCGGTGTCCATCTTTGTGAAGGATGATTTCTTCGTTTTCTTTTTCCGATCATGCAGTGTCTTCGTGTGATTTGCTTGATCTCGTCAGTGCTTTGGTCATTTATTTTAGATCTGGTAGGCTTTCGTTCTCTGTGCGATGAAATGCTTACTCTCGTATTGGGGTGACTTTGTTCGTTTTTAGGCTTTGGCCGTATTGGCCGCCTTGTGGCTAGGGTCGCTCTGCAAAGCGACGACGTCGAGCTTGTCGCCGTTAACGACCCTTTCATCACCACGGACTACATGGTATGCTAACAAAATCCTTTTGTCCCTTCTAGATCATCTGCTATACTTTGTGTGATTGAGGATCTGTTGATCTCAAGCTATTACGTTCGATTTTCTATTTTAGCTTGAAGATGAACTTTCAGATAAATGAACGTAACATTTCTGTCTTTTTTCCCGTTTATCCGTATTGGTATTGTCTCCTAGACATTGGCGGGGTCTTTCATGACCGCGCGTGCATGACTGAGTACTGTCCCCCGCCCATATTTGTACGGATAAGTGTTACACTTTTGCCTGTTTTTTTTTCTCCGTCAGAGGTTTATATGCCAGTTCATGGTTTGTTCGGTTGTAAATGATCGCATCGGCTTTTACCGCGTGAAGTCATTATTTGTTGCTGGGAAAAATGTCATCAGTTTTTCCCCTAATGCATGGCTCCATGTTAACTTTGCACACATCTGATTATATTCGATTTTTCCGCAAAATTTCATCATTGTTTATCAGTTATTCACTGATTCTCTCATGACAGACTGTTTTTCATTTTTATTCGTCCTTCTTTGCAGACGTACATGTTTAAGTACGATTCCGTTCATGGGTCATGGAAGCATCATGAACTGAAGGTTCAGGATTCAAAGACCCTTCTCTTCGGTGAGAAATCGGTCACTGTTTTTGGGATCAGGTAACCTTTTGGTTTTGTACTTTATGTTTCACTTAATCGTTTTACCGGGCACGTTTATCACTGGTGTCAGCCTGATGTGTTTTTCACCTAATTTTGTTGCTCTATTTATGCAGAAACCCCGAAGAGATTCCGTGGGCTGAGGCTGGTGCTGATTATGTTATTGAATCAACTGGTGTGTTCACTGACAAGGATAAGGCTGCTGCTCACTTGAAGGTCTGTTCGTATCTTTTGCCATTACTTGGAATACATGTCTGTTCGTAATTGTGTTTAATGTGGTGTCTTATGGCTCTGATCCTTTTGATCATTGAGAAATGTACGTTACATTAACGACATAATTTATCTTATTGATGGTATGTTTTATGACGTTATTGTGCATTTATGTCACGGAGGGTAGTAGTCGTTTGTGTTGGCTGGTACATTTAAGGAACTATGTTTTAAAAATTTTATTGGAGGGATTCTACTTATGATTATATTTTTTCTGTCTTGTTGTGTCCCTACCTAATTTCTTCTTGAGGACACTACTATGAAACAGAGTAACCTAGTGGCTAATATGCAAGATTTCGATTGGGTGTGTATCTAGTTTCTCGCTCTGATATGTTAATTCATTAACTGTAAATGTTATTCGCTTTTATGTGTTTTTCTTTGGTATTGAATTGGTGTGATATTACCTCCTTTTTTTTTTCCTTGTAAAGCCTTACGGCTCGGATATGGTGGGAAACGTTGACCACGGGCGTTTTTGTTAACAGGGTGGTGCCAAGAAGGTCATCATCTCGGCTCCCAGCAAAGATGCTCCCATGTTTGTGGTTGGTGTCAATGAGAACGAGTACAAGCCTGATATTGATATCGTTTCCAATGCCAGCTGCACAACTAACTGCCTGGCTCCTCTTGCCAAGGTGAAAGTGTTCTATATCTTTACAGCTAAATTCGTGTTGTTTTTTTCTATTCCATTTGGACGGGTGTTGACTTTGGTCCTTTTTCCTGTTGGCAGGTTATTAATGACAGATTTGGCATTGTCGAGGGTTTGATGACCACGGTGCACGCAATGACTGGTGAATATCGATTAATGTTACCCTACTGCTTTTGGTTGGCGTAAGATCCTTGGTGTCTCATCCGTTCGTATTCTATTTTTACAGCTACCCAGAAGACAGTGGACGGTCCTTCTGCCAAGGACTGGAGAGGTGGAAGAGCCGCATCGTTCAACATCATTCCGAGCAGCACTGGAGCCGCAAAGGTGACCGAATCTTTAATTTGGTAGTGGGCTGATTTGGGCTACTACCTTTTTTTTTAGGGTGTGCCCATCTAATCTCCAAATGTTGTTTGTTTCAAAGGGTTTTGTTCATGTATATCCTTGTTTTGAAGTGCGGCGACGAACAGTTGTAACTCTGTTCCTCTTCTCCTATTCCACAGGCTGTCGGGAAGGTGCTTCCCGTCTTGAACGGGAAACTCACCGGTATGGCATTCCGAGTTCCAACTGCGGACGTATCAGTGGTGGATCTCACCGTCCGCCTTGAGAAGGCCGCAACCTACGATCAGATCAAGGCCGCTATCAAGTAAGCCCGCATCCATTGTGCCCGCCACCATCCTTCTTCGTATGGGCATCCATTGTGTTCGGTTTTTATCAGAGAGATCATTGTACTCTGTTTTCTTCTCTTCTAGGGAGGAGTCGGAGGGCAAACTCAAGGGTATCTTAGGGTACGCCGATGAGGATCTCGTCTCCACCGACTTCATCGGTGACAGGAGGTATCATCGGAAAAAGAAAAAGACTTTACTATGACCCTTCCGTAATTCGTTGTATTTACGCTGAATTATTCCATGGGTACCAAAAAAACGTAGGTCGAGCATCTTTGACGCCAAGGCGGGCATTGCCTTGAACGACAACTTCGTCAAGCTCGTGTCCTGGTACGACAACGAATGGGGCTACAGGTACATCTCGGAACACCACACCCAGAAGCAAAACCCTAAACGCTTCCCCTCCTCTCCTCCTCTCCTCCCCTTCGAAATGCATCGACAGCTTCCTAACGATAACCATATCGATCTCATTCACATTTTATTATATGACTGGGGCCGTGCGTGCTCTTCTGAAGATGCGCGTGTTCATGTCTATTTCCCACTCGCCGCCATGAATGTTGAAGACGACTTAGATGATGTGTATCGTTAAAGAAGTCAACGGCAAAGAGATGCTTATTACTGCTATCTTTCCATTCCTGTTATTATTATTACTTTATATATATATATATATATAACATTGTTTCTTGTATTCTATTTGTGTGGGCATCTTGCTATCCTCATCGTAGATAATCATTCTCGTTAATTAATACCTGCTACTGCCGCTGCTGCATGTATATATGATTGGTTTTGGGTTTTGGGTTTTGATTTGAGGTAAGTGGTGGATGTTTTTGTTTTTCTTAATTATTAATTATTTAACTGACGACTGAAAACTATTTCTCTATTCGTTCGCGTGCGTGCAGCTGCCGCGTGGTTGACTTGGTGCGCCACATGGCATCCACCCACTAAAGCGGAAGAAGAAGGGAGTAGCGTACGCACCCGCACCCTGTTGGGGTGTGGGGGAGGGGGGATGTAACGGCGATCCCTCTCAACGTCTTTATATTTCCATCGCAGCCAGCCAATAAAACGCCGCCGGGAGCTTCTCTTTTTCCCTCGCTGCTCGCCGATGTGCACGCGGCGGGTACGTTTTGTCTTCGTTCCCTGCACTGCACCTCTTGTTCCTGTTGACTTGTGTTTTTATCTTCCATTTATTTTGCTAGCTCTGCCGAAATTTTCTATCGGGATAATCATCATCATGTCATGGTCACAGTAGTATGCCAGCTGTGAGAGGGTCTACTCTATGAAAACTTAAGAAAGTCAACGATCTTTGTGAGATCAGACACCATGGCACATTGGATGTGATTCGAATCCCATGGGCCGACAATATTCCGTGGATCCACCCTCCCATATATTAATTATGATAATAATACATCTGACACGTAATGTTTTGCAGTTATTTATTAATCCTGGAAAAAATAAATCATATTTTCTCTTGTCACCTTGTGAATCTATTTTGTATCAGGTTTCTTTCTATTTATTTACATAGGTAATAGTTTTATACGGTAATAATGAAACCTTTTCAAAATTTTCATTAACTTGTCGAGATTTATTGTTATCTAAGCTACCATGGTAAATAATTTTGAAGATTACATAACATGATGCAATTGGAAGGGAGAATAAAATGCTTTTAGACTAACATGGCAACGAGTATGGTTTTTAAGAGCAACTCATCTAAATCCTAATGGGCAATATTTCTTTACATTACTTGATAGATTCTAAGTAGACCCACAATGATTATGTATTATTTAAAGAAAAACACCATATGTGATATATAATAACAAGAACTATTTAACAAACCATTATAACCCTTTGGCTGTAAGTATTACACTTTAGGCATATAAAAGGATAATTATGTAGGTTTTATATCTCACATAAGAAAGATGAAAAATACGTTCTGGAATGCATTAATGTGATATTTGCTTAGGAGAGTAAAATGAACCTAGATATAAAGAAGATGATTCTGAAATATTTTATGAAAATTTTTCATAGATAAAACAGCTCAAATTCATGCAATAAATGAGAAATTCACAGGGAAATTTTCAGTTAAAAATCAAAAATAAGATTTAATAAACAAACCTATATTTGGAGAAAGATCAATGACTTCAATAATAAGACCACATAAACTTGTTGAGTTTTTATTCTTGATTGAACCAAGGAAAGTAGAAGAGTTATATATTGTTTAATTCTTGCAATATAAAAAATGAAAGAGAAACTATAACTTTCAGTTCAAAAATATCAGTCTTAAAACCCCTCGATGACACAATGTTTTAAACTAATCTATTTATTGAATGAAGTTGCATTTGAAAATGATGTGTTTAGTATGTCAAACTTGCATACAATAACTTTTGATTCTTGTGTTGTAATCAGAAAATAACATCAATTACCTTTAAAAGTTGAAATTTTATCAAATGGATGTAGAAAGTGTTTGTCTATATTTTATCAAAATAAGGAGCCAATGTAGCAGAATTGTCTATTCAACAAAGCAAAAAGTGAAGACTAGTCCATTCTTTAACCTTATGGTGCTGAAATTATATTTGATGCATCATCAAATCACTTTTTATTATATTTAATGAAAAAAGTTTGAAATGAGTTTTATGGAAATACCTTTCTTCCTTGGGTAACAAATAAGTCAACATAAGGATAAAATATTCACTAATTAAGTGAAAATTACTCTGAACATGTGAAGAAATCTAAGATGGAATTTTAAATTCCTGAAGAAAAAAATAATTCATGGTAGATTTGATAAATTTGTCAATGAAAAGTAACATTCCAAGTTGAAAGAATACTGATAGAGTTAGATAGTAATCACTTTTGTACATATAGAGAGTCAACTTTTTATGTTTTTCGTGGGATACCAAAGACACCATCATGAAATTTACTTAAAATAAAATATTTTTCAAATAACTAAGTCACCAGTGTTATATAGATAAGCGTCTTTAGACAATTGCATATTTGAATGCCAAATATGTCAATTCAACCAATAATGGAAAAAAGCTATAAAGTAATGCATTGGCTTTTGGATCTCTTTTAACTTTGATGTTGATGGAATACACTATGAAAATTAATGCTTAGCATCTCATGTGATTTTCTAACTTACTACAAGACCCATTATGTCTCCTTTCATTAGGAAGGGAGACAAATTTGCTTAAAAAAATAAATTCTGCATTTATAGTAGGAAAGACACCTTGTGAGATCATAAAAGTATTTTTGTATTGATTAAATTATCTTTTAATTTGGTCTATTTTGAATATATTTTATTTATTTTTGGTTCACTATCAATTTGATAAACTGTCAATTTAGTTCTTTGATCCACTTGACTTACTACAGTCTTTTAAACCACACCATAGGTTTCACTAACTCTCATTGGCACATATAAACATAGAACCTTTAATTAACATCACACTATATTCATTGGTTCAAATCAACCAAATATTTACTCAAATGTACTTATTCTAGATTCATGGGTATAGGAGGCCAACTAAATATAATATTGAGTTAATCTCTTCAAGATTTACATATTTTTATTATCCCAAGTATTATAAGTACTCAAAATAAACCTTTTCTTTTCAATATAAGAAGCCTTCAATTCAAGAAGAAGTCATTATGGGCTTGAGCAAGGTTGATCTTCTTGTTCTTTGGGTGGTCAAAGATGAAGATCCTACTTTGACTATATGGAGTAGGAATGTTAGTATTGCAAGCATCTCTCCTCTTAATTCTCTTTCCCTTTCTTACTGAAAGATAATTTTGGAAAAAAAATGTCTTCTTTTATAGGCTTATTTCACCAAAAATTATTAATCTGAGATAAATCAAATATTTTTTATGAATCAATATGATGGAAAATTGGAAGGTAAAATCTCAAATTATAATGTCTTGGTCAGAAAGTATAAAGAAGAAGACAACTATCCAACAATAATAGACTAAAGAGTGTTCTCCTCATAGAGGACCAAAAGTAGAAACCCTCTCCACTCTTTGTAACACTACCCAATTTTTCTCTAGAAAGTTTGACCTTTTCTCACTTTACAATCCCATTTAGGCTCCTCACCCCTTCACATAATGATATTCTTCCCCTTCAATGCTTAATGGCTATAGATGTGGGCCATGGGTCTAATGATATACTTTGGTGGTCATAGGCCTTTTGTTTGCCTAGAAGCTGGTCACAATAGTGTCATCAATTGCCAAGAGCTAACTTACAAAGGATAATCTTACAAAGAATAAAAAATGTTGTTCTATATTTTTCTAATATAGAGAGGTAGAAGACAAACTTTGTACATGTAAAATTTAAACAATGATGGTTCTCATATGTTATTCTATTTTTTAATGTTAAAAAATATTATTGATAAATGAAAATAGATATCTAACATTTTATATTACACACATCTTAAATTTTTTGATTGTATATTAGTTGATGACTTACATATAGGAATGCTTGTTCTAAGAGCTTCACCTATTTTATCAGAAAAAAAAGTTTAAAACTAATAATATAAATGCACAAAAGAAATATAGTACAATTCCAAAAAGAAAAAAATATTTAGAACCCCCAATACAAGAATAATAGAGTTGACCAAGGTATTAACCCACAAGTAGCCACTGAAATTAGTGTTAATAATTGACATCATGTACTAGAAACTTAGTCAACATGAATTCAAAAGGGCAATCCATAACTATTTTTTGGTATTTGATAGATATTTTCTCAAGAACTTCTCAATCTTCTTTTAAAAATTAGAAGTTAACTCATTAGGAGCTGTGAGGTGAGAAAATTCACAACTACCCTAAAAATCAAGTACTCAAATTTCTTCATTGGAGCATGTTTTGCACAAAGCCTTCCCACATTGTCAATCACTCATCCCAAATTGATAAAAGCTTCCTACATAATTAATTCCATGGTCTAGAATTATTCAATAATATTTGAAGTTATTAAGTTCTGCTTGATGTATGGACAAGTTTAACATTGAGCAAAGGTTGACTTATAAGGACCTTTCATGCAACATATTTAAAAACCTAACGAGCGGTTTACTATAACTTTGTCAAATTTCGATAGTGTATTTGTTTGGGAGCTAAAGGAAACCCTTGATAACTGAAGTGTCCTTTACTCAGATATAATTTCTATTATGAAACTCCTATTGGGACATGAGTATCACATCTATTATACAACAACTTAGTGGATATTTATAGTAATGCTATTTTCTAAAAAAGATTCTATTATTGACTTTATGCATGTCTAAACTTTCAAAGAGATGTTTTGAATGGAAAAAAATTGTCACTATTAGGACCTCATGTGTCATTGTGCGTTTGAACATTAGACATGATTTTATTTATAGGAAAAGTAACATAAATAGGAAAAACTTGGGGTGCACTTGTGATCATCTTTAATCAGCTAGGGCCTTCAGAGTTGATGCCACTTGGACATGTCTTCTTCCAGTATCTACTCATGAAATCCTGAACTTTCCATTACTTTATGCATGTCATAACTTGTAGTGTTTTTCTCCCCTCTGTGCATGTCCTTATCACGCGCACAAAAAATCTCAATTTGTGGCCTTCCGTTATTTACTTGAAATATTGTGTTGGGTGACCTTCTAGAGGTTCAGCATTTGGATCACTCGTCCTCATAGAGGTTCCTCTATTTCTTGCTCCCCTAAGTGGAAATTCATGGAGAGAGAAGAGTGCCATGAGAAAATAGCTCCATTCAGGTCCAGGTACAGAGCTTGGATTGGTCAACTAGAAGAGCCAAGGGTGGGTAGCGACGGTCGGGCAACTAGAGGAGGAGGAGGAGGAGGAAGAAGAAGAAGAAGAAGAAGAAGAAGAAGAAGAAGAAGAAGAAGAAGGAACGCTGCTCTTCGCCAAGCGTGATGTTGCCTCATCTTCTTCTCCCGTCACTGACTGCCCACGACTCGGAAGCACAGGAGCCAAGCTTAACGCTTAGAGAGCAATCTTAATTCTTTCTACGAGTTTCCGTGCACTTTTCTGATGAAAGACAAACTGCTCGGACGCTGGCTAAATATAGTATGTGATAAATGGGGAGCTTGGCGGATATTTTTCCCAATGAGTGCAGCTCGATCAGGGTCGGATATACGCAACCAGATTATGATCGAAGGAAGATGACATGTTTTGGGGAATTTTATCTGGTGGAAATCTCAACTCCTTGATAAAAACGTGGGCAATTTGGATGATCACATCATAAAAATATTATTATTATTATTATTATTATTACGTTCTCTGAGCTTGTCACGGATTTATTTCTATTCATCCATAGCAAGTTATGATATATGTTCGGCTAAGATCGCATATTTTTGTTGGATAATCGATAAACGGCCACTTCAAGCCAGGGGGAAGAAGATTTCGGATCTTATGATTTGCCCTTTAGCTGGGAAGATCTTCATACGTCGCAAAAGTCAGAGTAGGCACGGAGTCAAAGCGTCGAGGGAGAAGAAACCCTGGGGACTCCGACGAACCCACATGCCGAGAGTCAGAAATTCTCGAAGAAGCAGGACCTCTGATGCTTTGCCGGAGGGAGAGAGAGAGAGAGAGATAGAGAGAGAGAGAGAGAGAGAGAGAGAGAGGTGTATGGATAAATGTTGTGGATGTACGGAGTTTCTCTCTCTCTCTCTCTCTCTCTCTCTTCGTCATCTTCCTTCTTTATTAGGTTTGTCAATGACTAATATCTCATTCTCTAACCGATCCACCATCCACAGAGTTGTTAAGAAACTTACACATTAAGAATATGAAGAGAGAGAGAGAGAGAGAGAGAGAGATTCAAGGCGAACGTCATTTTACGATACATACGAGAGAACGTTGAGTTTAAGGACCCGATGACGTGGGCATGGTGGGGGCAGACTTATTTGACTTGCGAGGTATAGACCATGCGGATCCCACTATCCACGAGAACAGGCCGATCCAGGCGTCGTTCACATTAACGGTGAGTCAACGAGTCTGAACCGAACCAGGTGTCGGCGGACGGGCGGTGGGGCTCGGCGGAACGCCGGACATCGGCGACGGCGGTCGAACCCACGTGGCTGGGACGACCAGCCAGTTCATCATGGAGTCGAGGATCAACGTTGGCCGACGACCGTCTGGCGCGATGGCGGGTAAGAAAGAAAAAGGTCGAGGTGGTTCGGAAGATTTCCAAAAGCAGTAAAGCAGTTCGCTGGGTTACAGAAAGGTACGATGTTCGACTTTCTTCGGGGAACGGGGAAGTCAAACTTGTCACCCTGAAAAAGGTTGGGCTTCGCAATGCGTTCAATCCTTTAAAGCCGCTCCCCGAAGCTCCCGATCTTCAGATTCTAGCTCGTCCCTCTGTCCTCTTATCTCTCTCTCTCTCTCTCTCTCTCGGGATATCTATCTCTTCAAGGAGAGAGATCGAGTTGTCCTTCCCCTGCTCAGCCGAACTCCGATCAGTTTCTACCTTCCTGCGCTGCCATGGGAACGCAATGTCCTTCTCCTCCGGAGGACTATGCCCACAACAGCAACAACGTATGCAGAGCTTCTCCCTCAATCTCCCTCTCTCTCTATCTCTCTCTCCCCCTCCTACTTTGGCCAGGCTCGGGTCACCTCTGGCCTGAGCTCATCTCCGGCCGGCGCGGCCCATTAAGATGGCAGCTACCCCCAAGTTCAAGCCTTTATCTTATCTTGAAATAGAAAGATTCAGGGGTAAAACGGTAACTTGTATCCAAAGAGAGAGGGAAAGAGAGAGTGAGAAGAGATGAAGAGAGAGGAACAGGAGGAGAGATCTTCTCCATAATTATCCTTCTGTTTCTTCTCCCAGAGAGCATCTTAGATTCATCTGCGTTTTCTTCTTCTGGTGTTCTGCTTTCATTACTCTTGTTATCCTCGTGTGTTAGAGAAAGAGGCGGTCCTTCGTCGCCTTCTTTTTCATATTCTCCTCTGGTGAGCATTTGTCCTGACCGTTTTGATTGTTCCAGGCGGCGGCGGCGGCGGAGAAGTCGATCGACGATTGGCTCCCGATCACGTCATCCCGGAACGCCAAGTGGTGGTACTCGGCCTTCCACAATGTCACCGCCATGGTCGGCGCCGGCGTCTCTCTCTCTCTCTCTCTCTTATCCCCTCCTCGCCATCTCCTTCAATGGGATTACAGACCCATTCTTCCTCTCCAGGGGGCCGGGCATCGCCGTTCTGGTTCTGTCGTGGGTCATCACGCTGTACACGCTCTGGCAGATGGTCGAGATGCATGAGATGGTCCCGGGGAAGAGGTTCGACAGGTACTGTCCAAGGACCACTCAGACTCAATGGAGGTGGAGCAGGGCCAAGTTCCTAACCTAGCACTTCCGTAAACCCTAACAGGTACCACGAGCTGGGGCAGCACGCCTTTGGGGAGAAGCTCGGGCTATGGATCGTCGTCCCGCAGCAGCTGGTGGTGGAGGTCGGCGTGAACATCGTCTACATGGTCACCGGCGGTAAGTCCCTGAAGAAGTTCCACGACAGCGTCTGCCCCGACTGCAAGAGCATCAAGACGACCTACTTCATCATGATTTTCGCCTCCGTGCACTTCGTCCTCTCCCAGCTCCCCAACCTCAACTCCATCTCTGGCGTCTCCCTTGCTGCGGCTGTCATGTCTCTCAGGTCATCTCATCTAACTCCTCCCTCCTCCCTCCTCTCTATCTCTCTCTCTTTCTCTCTCAACCAACAGGCAGCAGGAAATCCACCTCTGTCTCTCTCTCTCTCACTCACTCAGTCTTGCTCTGTGTGCAGCTACTCGACGATAGCATGGGGGGCTGCGGTGGACAGGGGGAGGAAGGAGGGGGTGGAGTACGGGTACAAGGCGAAGAGTACAGCGGGGACGGTATTCGGCTTCTTCAGCGCGCTGGGGGACGTAGCGTTCGCCTACGCGGGGCACAACGTGGTGCTGGAGATCCAGGCGACGATCCCCTCCACGCCGGAGAAGCCCTCGAAGAAGCCGATGTGGAAGGGCGTCGTCGTCGCCTACATCGTCGTCGCCGTCTGCTACTTCCCCGTCGCCCTCGTCGGGTACTGGGCCTTCGGCAACTCCGTCGATGACAACATCCTCATCACCCTCTCCAAGCCCCGCTGGCTCATCGCCGCCGCCAACATGATGGTCGTCATCCATGTCATCGGCAGCTACCAGGTATAGAACACACCTCTGTTTCTGTCTCTGTTTCTGTCTGTCTCTTTCTTTGTCTCTCTCTATCTCTTTCTTTCTCTCTCTTACCTCCCCTACTCCGCAACGATCGGTTCTCTGTGTGTGTCTGCAACAAGATTTACGCCATGCCGGTGTTCGACATGATGGAGACGGTCCTTGTGAAGAAGCTCCGTTTCCGCCCCGGTCTCCCCTTACGCCTGATCGCCCGCAGCATCTACGTTGGTGAGCTTTGAACTTCTTCTTCTTCTTCCTCTGGCTTCTCCACCAGTGTATCTTAAATACGGCTTGGTGGGGTTTCAGCGTTCACCATGTTCGTCGCCATAACCTTCCCGTTCTTCGGAGGACTGCTCGGCTTCTTCGGGGGATTCGCCTTCGCCCCCACCACCTACTTTGTAAGCGGCGATAACACAAACACCTCAACTCTCCTCCCATCTCCGACCAATCTAAGCCCCTTCTTCTTCTTCCGCAGCTCCCCTGCATCATGTGGCTGGCCATTTACAAGCCCAAGAGGTTCAGCCTCTCTTGGATCGCCAACTGGGTAAACCCCTCTCTCTCTCTCTCTCTCTCTCTCTCTCTCTCTCTATCTCTGTTTCTCTCTCTACCTACACCTGATTATTCTTGTTGTGGTCTCCAGATTTGTATCATACTCGGAGTGCTTCTCATGATCTTATCCCCCATCGGTGGCCTGCGACAGATCATCATCCAGGCCAAGACATACCAGTTTTATTCATGAACTTCTCTCTCTGTCTCTGTCTCTGTCTCTGTCTCTGTAGCTCGGTGTACACAGAAAGAAGAGGAATATAGAAGAGCTACACACAGATGTCAGACATCAGAATGGGTTGTTCTAGCCGAAATCAGAATCTTTGGTATCTATAACGTTCTTGTGAGAAGCTCCTCCCACTTTCTCGGCGTTTCTCTCTTCTGAATTAGAGTTCCACACAAGGATGAGCAGCAGCCGACTCTTAAGGTAGGGGTATTTCGGAGCATAAATGGGCAATTGAGGGTTGGCATGCAATAATAATATAATATGCGCTTTAATACCTGAGCACAGAAGGACTCGTGGTCAAGGTGTAGATAAGCAGGAATTAAAACCCGATCTCGTCATAATTTTCTTATTGGAGGTTCTTTTTAAAATAATACCGGGCCCACAACCCCCACATCGTCACGCGTCGCCCGACAGCTTATTTCTCTCTCCTCCGGACCCGGGCTGACCATTACCCATTGACCTTCGTCGTAAGTGTGGTGGGCCTCCGGATCGGGCAGGTGACGGCGTGTTCGGAGCCCCGCCGTCCGATAGCGTCGATCTGACAGGAGGGGGAGATCGGACGGATGCGGAGTGAGGGGACTGAGGGTCTCTATAACGAGGGCTCGAGGGGGCGGATTGGTCTCTGGGTCTCCCTTTCTCTCCACTCCTCTCTCCGCCGTGACCTCGTTCGGGGTTAGAGAGAGAAGGAAGAGAGAGAGAGGAGGGGGATGAGGAACGGTGGAGGGAGGAGGTGGAGGAGATTCGAATCGCTAGGGTTTTCGGCGGGAGCTGGCGGCTGCAGCAGATCTTCCAGGTCTCGCTTCGCCGTTCTTGGGGGCCATTGTCGTTCCCCCCTTTCTCTCCGTTCTGTGTTTCTCTCTCTCTCTGTGTCTCTCCGCCCTCTCCTCACCCCTCCAACCCAGCTTGCTCTCTGGGTTCTCGTTGCTCTCCGCTTCTTCTGGGGATTTGGTTCGCTTGGTTCGCTCCTGGATGCCTTGTCGTTTGTGAATTTTCGGTGTCTTGTTCCTGCTCGGATCATTGGGTTGGTTCTGTTTTCCCCCCTCCCCCTTCCTCTGACGTCTCCGAAATTTTGAGATTTCTCGCCTCTGTCCTCTTGGAATGGCCGGGTCGGGGCAGGAGGTGGAAATGAGGGGGTTGAGGCGGCTAATAATTTCTATTTCTAACTTCTTCTGGCTGAAACTGCAGGCTAGGGTTTCTGCGTTGCGGACGGGCATTACAGAATCGCGGCAGGCTAGGGTTTTGATGCGGTCGCGCGGATTTGAGAAACACACTCGAGGTGTGTTTGAGCTTTGTTCTGCTGGTGTAAGCCCTTCGGCAGTGTGGGAAGATTCTGATCTTTGGGTCATCTACCTGGATCTTAGAGGACAGTGTTAACAACCTGACGTTCGAATCTCAGCTGAAGGTGATAAGAGGTCTCATCGATTTCGAGTTCGGTGGCCAGCAACACTGCCCACGGCAGAGTTCGTCCTCTGGATCAAATCATCTTTCAGAGTTGAAAATAAATCTCTACTGGTGGCCGGGTGATCGAAATCCGCTTTGAGGTACCAAGAATCAGTAGTATGTGTTTGACGTGCGCTCCATCCCCGAAGCGGACGTATGGCACCCGCGTTTCCCCTTCATTACACTGAGCAGAGACTGCACTCCGGTGATCCCTCCATTAGAGCGATGGGCAAGGCGCGGCGGCTCTCAAGAAGCTACTCATCCACATTCGTAGCGGACTACGGGCATGCAATTGAGAGAGTGGGCGAGTCGGAAGGGCTTGCTAGCTCGGGACGTGTTGCCTCTGAGGACTCTTCCGCCCCGAAAAGGAAGTGTATAAGCTTGAACATGGATCGATGTGAGGGCTTCAATGTACCCACACAAGTTATTTCCGTCTCCAAGATGTCTGCTTCGGAGAGGAAGGAAGTAGAACTCAGGCTAAGAGCTCAACTTGAGCAGGTTCAGTCACTTCAGAAGAAAATAGAATCAGATGCAGCTAGTGCAGTTGCCGTCTCTTCAACGGCTGATGGCTCTTCGAAGAAGGGACCTGTGGCCGGGGGAAATGCTCATCAATTGAAGCGTGGGCATTCCGGGCGATTTGAACGCACAGCATGTGCCCCATCATCTCCTGTGTCTTCTGGCGGTGGTGGAGCATTCATGAAGCACTGTGTGCAGCTTCTCAATCGTTTGTTGCAGCACCCTTATGCGTGGGTCTTCAAGGAGCCTGTTGATGCAGATAAGCTGAACATTCCGGATTACTACACGATTATTAAGCAACCAATGGATTTGGGAACCGTCAAGAGCAAGTTAACGTTGGGTTCTTATGTCACACCGTTGGATTTTGCTACGGATATAAGGCTCACATTTACGAACGCAAAAACGTATAATCCACCTGGGAATGATGTTCATCTTATGGCAGATGCAATGAGTGTGAAATTCGAATCGAAATGGAAACTCATTGAAAAGAAGTTTCCTGCAGATGGGACTAACGTTTCAAGGGAAACGAAAGCATTGAAACCCTTTGCGCAGACAAAGAAAAGGAAAGGCCCATCTGCGAACCATGCATCAGTTGTACCAGTTAGTGGAGAGAGAGCGAAAAAAGAGATCCAGAGTATGAAGGAAAAGATGACTTCTGATGAGAAGCATAAGCTAAGTAGTAGGTTAGAATCTTTTATTTCCGTGCTTCCAGACCAGATTATAGAATTTCTGAAGAAGAACAGCGGTCATCAGATGGATGCTACGGATGATGAAATAGAGATTGATATTGATGCACTTGGTGACGAAACATTATTTGAGCTGAAAAGGCTTCTGGACGAGTTCTTACCAGAGGATGGGGCTAAGCAAGACGTGAATGTGCAGCACGGTGAGATGGAGGTATACTCCCTTCTCCCTCTTGATCGTGCTAACGGGTCAAGGCTATCCTTTATGTGATTAAAAAATTATTCTGAACCTTTGGTGCAGGTTATGAATGAATCAGGCCTCAGCAATTCATCAATGCAGCCCGTTAAAGGTTCTTTTGTTTCTCCTTTGTCGTTTTCATCTAAATCCTATCCATGGTGATTAGGTATTCATCATCTTTTTTCTTTTAAATCTTCAGGAAATGAACCTCTTGTTGATGAGGAGATAGATATTGTTGGAAATGATATCCGCATCTCAAGCTACCCTCCGTCGGGGACAGATAAAGATACACTACAGATAAAAAGCAAATGCAGTAGCTCGAGCAACTCCAGCAGTGATTCTGAATCTTCGAGTGGTTTGTATTTTTTCTCAGCTTTGTCCTTATCCTCGTTATGTTTTCCCAGGGACATCTTCTTTTCACCTGTTGTCACCTTATCCATTTCCTTGTGTTCTTGGTTGCGGGATGAGGAGGTTATTGCATTGGCTGCATTCATGAACTTGCGGCTTGAGCCCAACTTAGTTTCCTATGACCATGCAGTTTGACTTTTGGCACGTGTCAGGATTTATGCATAAACTCTAATGTCTAATCTAGTACCTACCACACTGGAATAAATGTGTTAATGCTGTCAAACCCTAATTTGGCATTTACAATGAGGGGTACTTTTTTCTTTCTTTCTTTCTGAGAACTATTATACTATACAAAAAAAATCATTTTTGGTTGAAATGTACAGAGCAAGGTATTTTGATAATTAATATTCCAATCGCGATCCTGTGCATGCACTTGTTGTTCAGGCCGATTGTGGTTAATGCATGTGAAGGTGGGCAGTGAGTGAAATTGCTCAAGTTAGTGTTTCCTGCTTGTCTGTTGTACTGTCGGTGTTATTTGTTCTAGGGGGTTATTGGGGTCTCCTCTTGCTTGGACGCTTTTTGTCTCTTCTGTTTCAATGAAATTTTCTTCCATCTTCATGAAAGATTGGTAAGGAATGACCATCGTAATCAAATTTTTTGGGGGAAAAAATAGAGATCTTTTTTGTTCATTGAGTATTAATTGAGCTGAGAGATTTTGGGTATCATTTGGTAGGATATTCTAACTTCTCGCAGTGATGCGATAATTTGTGTGCTGTTTTTCTTGGATTCTGATAAAAAATGGCTTTTACTTGTAGAGGCTTTGCCTATCTTAGGCTTTATTTTTGCATGAATTTACTCTCTGATCTATAAAATTCTAGAGAATACTGCATTTTTTTACGTTCATTTTATAATGGTGAAATCTGAACTCTTAAGTAATTAAATTATCAGATAGGTATTTACGAATACGAGGCTGAATCCAGAACCATTTTTTAAAGAGATAGATTAACTATGATCTTGATGTCAGACGTCACAATTTTTTGGTACTTTTGACAAAATATTTCAGTTTTCGTGTGGTTCCTAAAATTATACATATGAAATAATAAATATGAGATGAATTAACGAATCAAATCACCTCCTAATTAAAAATAGTTGCATAGTATACTCAGCTGGACACGATCATCCTAAACTATGCCACCAAAGGCAGTAAAACCAGTATTCATTAAAATAAGAAGATCCTATACCATACATAGCAGATGAGAGTAATTCTCCTAACTTCATGGATCATCCTGGGGACTCTATGAATGACGATGCTTATCGCCAATATTCCGACCTTAGTTTCTCAAGATGGTAGATATGACGAGAGCTTGATGTCATTAACCTTAAAAGCTTGACCTGACGTATTCCCTTTTATTTTTGGCAAGTTGGACAGTTTAAACAGAATGTTAACCTTATGTTGATATTTTGTCTCGGATCCATGCCTTCTTCTAAAACTTCCTTCAGAATTATCTTTGCACGTGATCAGCATTTAAGATGTTGGACCTTGTGTAAGCTCTCCCATTTTTCACTGGCTGAACAGTTTAGGAAGGATGTTAAGGACATCGTTGCATTTTAGCTTTAATAATATAAAGTTATGCTTTGAGTTCAAAATCTGTTCAGAGACATAAAATGATGCTAGATTACTAATTTGTCTATCTAGCTCTGTAATTAGGGTTTGTACCGATGGCAAAAATATGCTGGGCAAGTTGCTATGCTCTTATGCCACCCTGTTATACTTTGTTAACCATTCATGGATTAAGCACCATTTAGATTACTATTTTGTTTTAAAGTTTTTAAATTTGGCGAAAATATCTACAAGGAGACAAATAATAAAAATAACCCTGGTGCTTATCTTTAAGCAAATACTTTGTTACCATCTTGATTCTCTTTGTCATGAAATGAATACGAAGAGATCTCTCCACACTTCTGACGCCACAGATCATCTCTTTTTTTTCTTTGTGATCCTTTTTGTCATTGAATCGTTTCTTCTGCCTGCCTGCAATCCACAGATTCGGAGTCGGACAGTTCGTCGGAGAGTGAGTTGGATGCCGCGAAGATGTCAACCCCCATGGACGGCGTGAAGGTATAGATAGTAATCTTTGGGTAAACAGCAGTCTGTCAGGACAGAGTCTCATCATCTCGGTTTCCTGCCTCCAGGACATGGTGGCATCAGAAGCAGCCTTCGAGCAAGAGAAGAGCGATGTGATGAATCCGGCCGATGGAAGCAGTGAGTCCTCCGATCTTCAGAACGCCGCCTCTCAAGGGATTTCATTATAAGAATATTAGATTACTTTATTTAGTCGTTTTTAATATTGGGCTTGATTTCAAATCCAAAAAACCAGATAATTCGGGCTTAATTCGAGTTTTGTTTTCCCTCTCTAAGTTTTTTTTTTTTGGCCAGGATCTGCTGGTGGCGGCTGGTCGGGGAACACCGAACAGGACGGGTCCTCGCATCATCACCATGAGCAGCATCCCAAGGCGAGCTCTGCGGAGGGCGAAGAGGGTAAGCGTGGTGTGGGTTTGTCTGAGGGTCTGATTTGAGGGGTTTGAACAGTCTGAGGCGATATACCTTCTTCTTCCCCATTTTGGCAAAAAAAAATTTCTCCAGGGGAGAACGCTCCGTCTGAGCGGCAGGTCTCCCCGGGGAAGCGGTACAGGGCGGCTCTGTTGCGGAGTCGCTTCGCCGACACCATCCTCAAGGCCCGCGAGAAGGCTCTCCTCGACAAGGTCTGCTCTCTCTCGCTCATGACATTATCTATATATATATATATATATATATATATATATAGAGAGAGAGAGAGAGAGAGAGAGAGAGAGAAAGAGATGGAAATATTTCATGGGTGTGTACCATGTTGTGATCAGGGCGAGAGGGGCGATCCTGAGAAGCGGCAGCGTGAGAGGGAGGAACTTGAGAGGCAGCAGCGGGAAGGTATGCGCTTTCTCTCTCTCTCTCTATCTTTCCCTCTCTGTGTATGTAAAGTGCAATTCTGAGGTGATGTTATATATATATAATATATATATATGTATGTGGAGCAGAGAAAGCCCGGCTGCAGGCGGAAGCAAAGGCAGCAGAGGACGCGCGGCGGCAGGCCGAAGCTGAGGCGGCAGCGGAGGCCAAGCGGAAGCGGGAGCTCGACAGAGAGGCGGCGCGGCAGGCGCTGCTGAAGGTTTTTGCTGCCCCTTTCTGCGTGTGGCTCGTTCTGCAAATTCCTTTCCTCTGCAGTGCTCCCTTGAAGCTATCTTGAGTCAACTCCGGTTGCAGATTGAGAAGACGGTGGAGATCGACGAGAACAGCCGGTCCCTCAAGGACCTGGAGATGCTCCGGGCGGCGCCGCCAGAGGACCTGCCGGCGTTTGTGGACGACGAGGACAGCCCCGACCACCAATCCCAGGACGGGGCAGGCTGCTTCAAGCTCGGAGGGAGCAATCCTTTAGAGCAGCTGGGGCTCTACATGAAGATCGACGACGAAGAAGACGACGAACCAGAGCCCCCCACCACTGACGCCGCCACCACCGCCGCCGCCGACAGCCCGCCGGAGGACGTGGAGGAAGGGGAGATTGACTGACCGGAATCGTCTATTCCTCCGCAAAGACTCCTTACGCCCTCCTCACCCATCAATCAAGTATATATATAGATCTCTCTCTCTCTCTCTCTCTCTCTCGCTCGCTCTCTCTTCAGCATTAGGTTCGTTCCATATCCGTGTTTGGTACGAAAGGTGGCGGGCCGATCTCGGAGGTCAACGGAGGAAGAAGTTCGTGCTCAGTGTTCGATGGGTTGTTCTTCAGAGGACTTGGGATCTTCAGAGGCTCTCAGTTTTGATGGGAGGGACGACTTCCGTCCGTCGGTCAGCGCCTCTCTCTCTCTCGTCTCTCTTCGTGTCTCTCCGCCGCCTTGAGAGCTGGGTCGGGGAGGAGGCGGCTGGTGGGGCGGCGGAGATTGGGTACCTCAATTCATTCTTCCTCCCCCTGTAAGATGGCCGTTCGTCTTGTTTCTTTCTTGTCTGCTGCTCTTCAGCAAGTGGTGTAGGGGTGACTGTGAAGAAGTAATAAGATGACCGTCTTGTTCTTGCGCGTTGAAACGGTATGCCCACTTTCACGACCGCCACCGCCGCCGCCGCTGTGGCAGACAGCGTCTAACAAGGTCAACGTTTACCTGTTGTGGATAGTTCTGATTGGTCTTCCGACAAAAAAGGGCGTTTCTTTGTATGGGCTGAAGGTATAGTAAGGAGATGAACCCGCGGTAGGATGACCGTCTGGTTCTTCGCCCATTGAAAAAACGGCGTGCCAAGTTGCTCAACCGCTGCCGCCGCTGTGGCAAACTCTCTGGCATGGTCAACGTTTGCGCATTGTGGAAAGTTCTGATTGGTCTTCCGACAATAAGGGAAGCTCCTTTTGTTGGGCTCAAGGTCTTAGTTGGGAGAGATGAACCCATTTTTTTAGCTCAAAGCGATGAGATGACCGTCTGGTTCTTGCCCGTTGAAAAATCGTCGCGCCCGCTTGCTCGACCGCCGCCGCAGCTCTGGCAAACGCCGTCCCGCAAGGTCAACGTTTATCCGTTGTGGAAAGTTCTAATTGGTCTTCCGACAATAAAGGGAGCTCACTTTTTTGGGCTCAAGTTATTGTGGGGGGAGGGGGGGAGATGAACCCATTTGGGACCGAACGAACCGGTCAGACTTGGTACCCGATCCGCCCGCGTAGAATCCGATAAGGGGAGGGTCGAACAGATCCTGCGGGCCGATGAGATCGGACAGTCCATATCGGATCTCGGTTCCCCTTAAATTTTCCCGTCGACTTCACGGCTAGGGTTTTTTAAGTCGAGCGTCTGCAGCCGCCAGACTCCCTCTGCGATTTGTCTCAGCCGCGTGAGGTGATCCCTCTCTGGCCCTGTGCTGCGGGACTTCTCTGCCGTTCTGTCCATCAATCATGGTAGGCTGTGCATCTGGTTCTTTGTTTTTTTTCCTTTTTTCTTTTTGCATCTCTGTTTTTCGCCGAATCAGCGACTAGCGAAAGGATTTTTTCCGTGTACGGTGTTAGTTTGATTAGTTTTTCATTGGGATTCTTCTGTTGGGATGTTGTGCAGGTGCTCCCAAACGACATCGACCTGCTCAACCCGCCGCCAGAGCTCGAGAAGCGTCGGCACAAGTTCAAGCGGCTCGTCCAGTCTCCCAACTCCTTCTTCATGGTACGATGAGGGGACTCATGATGTGTACTACGCTTATATTATTTGCTTCCTTTCGGACATTCCTACAGCGTCTAATCTTTTCTTGCTCTTTCCATGTACGCCTCCTACGAAAAATCAAAGGACGTGAAGTGCCAGGGATGCTTCAACATGTGAGTTCTTCTTCTATTGCTACTCGTTTTAGCAGTCGCGCATAGAGAACCAAATCCTGTGTTATGGTTGAACACTGGATCTAATCCACTCATCCCTAATTGGTTGTGTGTTGGGAGACACTGTTCTTGAATTCTCTTTCACTTTTACGGAATAGATCTTTCGAATTCCGATTTTGACAACTCTCTTCTTAGCATTTCGTTCATCACCGTGCTTTATGGTATTGCAGAACGACCGTTTTCAGTCACTCGCAGACAGTGGTGGTGTGCGGCGGCTGCCAGACCATCCTCTGCCAGCCGACTGGAGGCAAAGCCAGACTCACCGAGGGTTGCTCCTTTAGGAAGAAGGGAGATTAGATGGGTGCCCCTCCGTGTGTGAGATACTCTCCCAACTTCTCGCCGTGGCTAGATAAGATCCAAAGATGAGAAAAAAAGAGGCGTCCATTCATAAGAAATGTGGAACGAGCTGTCCGCGCAGTTGTTCTTAGTTAGGTTGAATTCGTTGCCTTCCTTTCTATTTTTGCTATGCAAATGTGTGGATTTTGATAGTTGTGTTGTCGTATAGAGCTCTTAAAGGGCTTTTCCCCTCTCAGTAAATGCACTTTGGTGTTCTCACATGTGACAGGAGTTGCTTGAAGTAATTTTCCCTTTGGTTCTTGTGTATGTGGCCATCTGCTATCAGCTGACGATTTCATTTTTTCTAATCGCTACACTTATTAAATGAGCATGTTTTCATGTCTGAGCAATCAACAAGGAGCATTTTCGCATCAAACCCATCAGCAAGAATTGGGTAAGCATCAATGTGTATACCGTGATTTTCTCAGATGGATGGGATGACATGGAAACGGGTCATGCCCTCCCTCATTCTTATTAGCTTCACTTTTCAAAGCTGCTGCGTGTTCCAATGTCATTGAAACTTTGTACGATGCAGTAGGCTTCTGTCTGTTGTGCTTTTAATTTCCCCTTGAAGCTCATCTATTTCTTTTTTTTTTCTGAGGCATGAATTATATACTCGATTAAACTTTATCTATTCCCTGGTCGATCCAAGGCTCTGTAACACGTATCAACACCTTTCTTGAAGCCTTCATATGAACCTTGGGTCCTCTGCCATTTGCCCTCCTGCTTTCCAACCTTCCATTGCATCAGCATCACCGTTGCCTCAAGTGGACGTCTGACCAGTAACCCTCTGCTTCTGGATTTTCCTCTGGACCTGGTGGTTCTTTGTGCTATATATTGTTCTTTTTCCGAATCAGTTCTCTCTGAAGGTCCCTGATTTATCGTCCATCTGAATGCTTGCAATAGTTCTTCTGCTTTATACCTAATTTTTTCCGGAGGTTTTCTTGAATGCCGCCTCACCTTCTGATTTATTAAGATGAGAGCAATGCGGTGAAGTATCCTTTCAAAGCCAGGACTGAGATCCACTGCCTCACCGTCAAACTATTCTCAGCCTTTCATACGTGCCCACTTTCTTCCCATTTTTTTGGAAAATGGAAGATCTTTCTTCCTCCTCAAGGATTGAGATCCACTGCCGCATCATCATAATTCTATGCTTTTGCCTTCTTTTGCCTCTGATCCGTTCCCACTCTCACATATTTCTTTGGAAAATCATTAGATTAGTGCATAACCTCGATCATGGTAGCCGAAATGTGATGATCTCTTGTGGGTTTTCAGTTTTATGATCTGTAAGTATGGTGGGCGTGGCTCCAATGTACCTGCTCTTCTTGGCTGCGGGTAGATAGGTTAATGGTGACAAATTTGGAGTTTACCCCCACATCTTCTGAGTGATTCGCTGTTGTACCCTCGGTCAATCCTAAATCCGGCGCCGTTCCTTGGCGTCCGTGTAGAGCGAGTGCCGTTTCTTCCTAGGCATTGTTTTGGTCAATTCCCGGTGTGCTTCAAGTGGACTGTGACGGGCATGGAATATTCCGCTTCTGCCGGCGTGAACAGACCACACGGTCGTGGAATATTCCGCAACGCCCGTTAACTCTAACGATGACGCAAGAAACAGCGACGCGGGCGTGAATAATCCCGCTTCTGCCGGTGTGAATCAGCCGTCACGGCCGCTTTTGTCGTTGGGGATTTCCGACGGTCGTTGGGAAAATTTCGGGGGGCTTACGAATATTTTTCCAATGGATTTATTTTAATAAAACTCTGTTTAAATTATATATTCTCCCGAGACCGGAGACCAGGGCTCCCATTCGCCGATAAGAGAGAGAAAGAGGAGGAGAGAGAGAGAGAGAGAGAGAGAGGGAGGAGGGGAGGGTGGGGGGGCAGATCGTTCTCCGCTAAATCATCTCTTCTTCCTGTGGTCTTCCTGTCCCTCCTCTCCCTCCCCCCAACTCCTACCGGAGGCCAAGGCTTCGTGGATCCCCTGTGTTCAGCTGCGGTGGTCGTTCTGTCCCTCCGATCTGTTCCAGCGGCGGGTTCCGCTCCGGAAGCGCACTGCGACGCGTGCTGGCGGTGGATCTGTCGGATTAGCGAGTGGAGGTGGTCGGATCCGGGGCCAACATCGGATCGTTCCGAGATTCCTCGAGATCGGGGCTGCTTGACGTGGGCGGGCGGCTGTTCTACCAGGTCGGGGACTCCTGATCGGTTGAACTGTGTTGTAGATCCTCCTCTGCATGTTGTTACTTCGGAGATCGTGTTGATGTGCCGTGACGATAAATACTTGGCTATCTATAAAATGAATGTTTGGGTTTCATTCGGTGCCTCTTCGCTTTGCATGCGATCTGAAATTAGACCAATGATGGCTAGAGCCCGGTCAGTTCGTTTTTCGTTTTCCTTTCTGATTCAGTCGGTCCGTTGCTTTCCCTCTTAGTACAAAGATATTTTGTATCTATTTATTCTGGTTAGCTAGAATCCTTGCATTTCTTCCTCCCATAATCGCATTTCAAGTTAAGGAATCGTGTTCCGAATGGTTCGTTTCATTGAATCTTGAACTTTCTTCGATTTTCTTCTTTCTGTATGTCATTGGAAGGGGATTTTATGGGTTTCCGCTTGCATACTTGTAGCTGCTTCCATGTAATTAAATTTTCTTGTTTAGATCTTTAGTTTTGGGTTTTCGGTCCATATTATGGCATCCAAACTTGTTGACGTGGAGGCATTTATCTAATTTTTTTTTCTGTTTTCTATTCCATCTTTCATTGATTCAGCTATTATTGGTTCAGCTATTTGTTTCTCTCCTGGAACAGATTTTTCTGGTCCAAATTTTTTTCCTTAGCTTGGAACACAGGTTTTGGTTTTTAGATCAGTAGGTCTAATATCACGTTTGGGAGCTGGCTTGAAGCGTCGCTGTTGTTTCCTCCCTTTACGCTGTTGAATGGCATGTTGGGTTTCAAATATTTTCCATCACATCTCTAAAAGTCCTCACAATCCTTGGACAAACCGCCCTCTTTTTTTGGCAGCGTAGTTGTTATAATATTTGTCTAGTTTATTTTTTTTTCTCTACCTGTCTTTTCAAGAAACAGTCTCTACCTGTCCTTTTAAGAATTTTATATGTGTGCATGAACGTGGCATGGTCTATTAAAAACGTTCAGATTCCTTGGCCTTACTCTCCGCGAATGCTAGTACTAATTTTCTAATCCTCACTTCCCAATTTGTGAATAATGCAACTTTAATGACGGATTTGAAGCATGCAGAACAGGAAACCATCCCTAGGTCACTTGTCTGAGACGTATGATTTGCTCCTCTTTCGTTTACTTGCCCAGGTAGTGAATGGGATGGCTCGTAGCCACTCTAGTACTCATCTCGCAACATACATTTCTATTGTGTTTATTTAATATGATCCATGATCCCTGAATATTAAGGCTTTGACAATTTATTATTGGTTCATGTTTCTTTTATCAGTAGAATGTCATCTAATTTACAAAAAATAAAAAATAAAATAAAAACGACAGATTGCTGGTCACCCCTTTTGGAGTCCCTGCTGGTGATTGACAGATCTTGTGCTTCTTTTCTGTATTAGGCGTGCATCCAAATGGAGTACTTCCCAGCTGGTTTTGGCACCTTTGGGCAGTTGTACCCTGAGAGCGTTCCTCGCAACATATCAAGCATCGGGCACCTTCTCAACCGTTATGTTCATAAGACGGAGGAAGTCGTATGTCCCGAGCCACGCCGAATAATTGGGAAGCCGATTGTCCCGGAGAGCCTCAACAGAATATGCTCTAAACCGAGGAGGTGAGGACCCACTTGAACCCTCTCAAGATGTAAATCTACGTCAACTGCAGCTTCATTTCGTTGACTCTTTGTCACTAGATGCGTTCTTGGAGAGTCAATATCCATTCAAATGCCTAACATGCTCAACATGCCATGTTTAACGAATTAATATACCCGTATGGGTATGATTATTCAGAAGTCTATGCCAATATATGAAGTTACAGCTGACTTTCGTGATATTGAGCCATGTTCAACATGCCTGGGCAGCAAATTCTTCAGAGACTAATGAAGATCTTCTCTCTTCTGTCTGTTGCAGCTTATTGGCCCAGCAGAGGGGGGAGGCTCCGGAGATCTTGGACATCATCTTGAGCAGTAGCGTACGTAGTCACTGCGTCTCTGTCAGCCATTTCTCTGCACGCCCTGTTCCTTCTCTTCTATCCAAGCTCACCCCTTCTCTGGACCCTCAGGACGACGCAGATGGTGATCTCGGCTCGCCCCGTCAGCTGGGTTTCCTCTGCGGCTCGCCTCCTCTCCGAACCAGCAACCCTCTGATCCTCGATGCAAAATTTGAGGAGGTGGCAGCCCCCGATGCTCTCCCCCATGGTTGCAGGCCCCTGGCAGTGGCGGCAAGGATGGATAGAGCAGTCCTGCCTCTCTCCCCCCTGGGAAATTCCCACGGAGCAAAGCCACCGATGGGAGTGGCAGGCCAAGGAGGTCCCCAGCCGAAGGCGGTGAATGCGGAGAGGGAATTGCCGCCGCCCAGCTTGGGTGGCGGTGATTCCCGGCTGGAGGTGGTGAAGGTAGAGAGACCCTCTCCATCCTGCAAGGGAAAGCCCAGAGTCCGGATTGAAGGATTTGCTCCGGCGAGCTCTGAGTCGGGCTGTGTGGTTACGGCCCTGGCGTGATCGTGGTATGCCGCTGCTGTGTAAGTATAATTCTGTGGTGGCGCCGCCACCGTTTCAGTCGATCGTCTGAAGGAAGATTGGTGGCGTTGTTGTTGTAGTATATAATCCCCCTCCCCCCCAAAGCATAGGGGTTCTTAGGCAGAATGAGCTAGTGCCCCCCCTCCCCCCTTCGCCCATCTCTGAGTCAAGATGTGAGATGGAGTCTTCCGTTGGAAAATGTGCTCAAGGATGTAAATTGTACAGGAGAAGGCCATTTTTGTACAAAAAATAGATGCTTTGTGCATATTGTATCATATTATGTCGTCATCTTCTTCCCTCCCTACCTCTCTCTCTCTCTCTCTCTCTCTGGGAAAGGCCGGATTATGTGTTTGATAGAGTAATTAGGATCATGAAACTATAATGACGCCATACAACTAACTGTAAATAGTGTGGATTGATGACGTCATATTACTATAAATGGAGCCCTCTGCTTGGTGATCCATGAAAATCGGATGGTTCGTCGGATAAGATCAGAACCAGAGAATTTTGTTTTCACTTGCAAATAAACAAATAAGGAAACTTCTATTCAAAGACTACGGGCAACATCATAATCTGACTGGTCTTGGAGTGAGTTGAGATGTCAACGGCTTGAACAAGTCCACACCTCTCAGTGGTCTTAATTTTGTTTCTTGGAACTGCATTGAGGGGGTCTATTTAGGCGGAGAGAACACATCAGAGGGGGTGTCCAGTCCATTTCTTTAAGTAGGTGATGCTGCGCCCTGGCCTTTGTGAAATATGCCCAACCACAAGTTAGGTATGGATGTTTAACTTAGGGTCAATAAATAATGTATGGACGCTAGCAAGAATAGTTTATTCCATATAAAAAATATTAAATGACACAAATATTTCTAGGAGTTGCTGATTATTTTATGATAATTGAAATCACAGAGAATTTGGGCAACGTTAATTAGTCGTTATCAAGAGTTGACTTCTTTCAGCTTCGTTTTTGATAGAAAATTAGTCATTATCAATAGTTTTCCAGTCATTTGGGGAGTTGTTGCTAACGCATAATTTGATCATTAAACTTGAGCTTTAAAGCATTTTCTTTAATTATTCGGAACAAAAAAGAAAAAATGGTGAGTCAATTCGAGATCTTGTCATTATAGAATATTGCCTTTGCATTCAAGTATAGTAACAAATCTATCTACTTCATATTTAAGGGTTAGCTAATAGCTTCAAATGGAAATATTAAGAAACCTTTTCATCTTCTTAGAACTATATTTATGTTATTATTATTAATTATTATTAATGTATTGACCACATGGCTAAAATATTTGATTCAACCTACACCAAGTCAACGTTTCCCACACGTTGACTTGGCATTGCCTCTCTTGATTACTCTATTGGGTATCATTTATTTTCTTCAATTTCTTTGTTACTGATCCATGGGAAGTTGGTGCTCTTGCCTGTCTATTTGACGTCAACTTTATTACTCTCCGATTTTGAGTCATATGGGTCTCTTATCATGCATAGAATCATCATCCGATCCTTTGAGAATTCTATCATTAACAAGGTCATAAGACGTTAATGATGAAACGTTGCTTGTGTCTAGGGTTGTGTAGTTCTTCTGATTTGCTTCATAGATTGAGGATTCGGGGTTCAGCAACTATCATTGCCCATATTCGACCTAACCATAGCCAGGCGATGAAGGGGAGAGAGAGAGAGAGAGAGAGAGAGAGAGAGAGAGAGAGAGAGAGAGAGAGAGACAGAGAGAAGGTCTCATTCCTCGTCAGACACCGGCTTCACCCTGGCCCCCAGGCGCGTGACCGCTCGGAGGGTCTCCACGCGGAAGGAAAGGCCGCATCTTTCTCGTTGTATCTCTCTCACAGCGTTGGCATTGATCCTTGCGTCGAGCTCACTCTCTCAACCCATCACCCCCCCCACTCGCCCATGATGGTTCCTTCTCCATGCTTCCCTCTCCCTCTCTCTCTCTCTCTCTCTCTCTCTCTCTCTCTACACAGACTACATGATGAGATCTTAGTGTTGTCGATGCCTTGCTCATTGCTTTTGCGTAGAGAGAGAGAGAGAGATAGAGAGAGAGAGAAGAAAGGCCGAGTCTAGATAAGAAGACTTACACGGCAGGAAAGGTCTTACAAAGTGAATCGAGGAATCAGACCGTGAGGAAATTTCATGAGCTTCGAGCTAAGGATATTACTGTCATCCAAAAGGAGGGAAAGGAGGAGAGAAATATGAGACCATTCATCCTGCATGTCTTCTTCTTCTTCTTCCTCCATGGGTGCGTCCTGCAGGGAGCGGCAGCGCTGTCGACGAGCTCGCGGTGGATCGTCGACGACGACGGATCAAGGGTGAAGATGGCCTGCGTGAACTGGGCGGCGCATCTGGAGGGTGTGGTGGCGGAGGGGCTCTCCAGGCGGCCGCTGGACAGCATCTCGAAGAAGATATCCTCGCTAGGGTTCAACTGCGTGAGGCTCACCTGGCCTCTCTTCCTCGCCACCAACGACTCCCTCGCCTCCCTCACCGTCCGAGAATCCTTCCTCCGCCTCGCCCTCCACGACTCCATAGTCGGTGTCGAGGCCAACAACCCAGAGCTCATCGACGCGCCCCTCATTCAAGCTTTCCAGGTGGGTTTCCGGCGATGGTGGAGCACGGTGAGGTCGCCGCCGCTGTGAGCACTGATCAGTGGCACCTCCAGCAGGCTGCGGTGGCAAGCTTGGGCCGCAACAACATCATGGTCATCCTCGACAACCACACCAGCAAGCCGGGCTGGTGCTGCAGCGCCTCCGACGGCAGCGGGTTCTTTGGGGACCTGTACTTCGACCCGGAGGAATGGCTCAGGGGGCTCGCCCGCATGGCGACGCTCTTCAGCACCACCCCCGCCGTGGTCGCCATGAGCCTGCGCAACGAGCTCCGCGGCCCCCGCCAGAACGTCACCCAGTGGTACACCTTCATGACCAGGGGCGCCGAGGCCGTCCACGCCGCCAACCCCAACGCACTGGTCATCCTCTCCGGCCTCTCCTTCAGCACCGACCTCAGCTTCCTCCGCCGGCGACAGCTCGACGACCTGCCCTTCGCCAGGCGGAAGCTGGTCTTCGAGTTCCACTGGTACGCCTTCTCCGACGGGCAGGCCTGGGCCCGCGGCAACCCCAATCAGGTCTGCGCCACCGTCGCCGGAGGCGTGATGCGCCGCGCCGGGTTCCTCCTCGAGCAGGGCTGGCCGCTGTTGATGAGCGAGTTCGGTGCCGACCAGCGGGGGACCAACGTGAACGACCGGCGGTACTTGAGCTGTGCTCTGGCGGCGGCGGCCCATCTTGACCTGGATTGGGCACTTTGGGCTCTGCAGGGAAGCTACTACATCCGGGAAGGGACGGCGGGGGTGGAGGAGGTGTATGGCTTGCTGAGCTCGGACTGGTGTAGCATCCGCAACGCCACTTTCCTCCAGAGGATCTCTGCCCTCCAGTCACCCTTCCTAGGTCACCACCACAACTCTTCCAGCTTGCTTCGCCATTTCTTTATCTCGTCGAAATCCACACACCCAGATCATTTTCAGACAAGAACATCATCACCCTTCAACGAAATCTTCGACAGAAGGCATCATCCTTTGGTAGTTTAGTTTCCACCATAGGCTATTTGTCAGGTCTTTCGCGAGATGTTCGTCTTACCAGGGCTGTCAATCAGCCGGATAAATCTGGCATGGGGCTGTTGATGCAGGTCCCGGGCTGCCAAGCTCGCCGCCATACCAGATCATCTTCCACCCGGCGTCGGGGCTCTGCCTGCTGGGCAGTTCTCGGGCCGGATCGGTGCGGTTGGGGCGGTGCACTGAGACGGAGGCGTGGAGCCACACGGCGGAGGGGACCCTGGCGCTGAGGGACACGTCGTCGTGCCTCCGAGCGGAAGGAGCGGGCAAGCAGGCGAGGATCAGCACGCAGTGCGGTGGCGCCGCCTCCCGGTGGGCGGCGATCTCCGACTCGAAGATGCACCTGGCGTCGCAGGTGCCCGGCGACGGCGGTGGAACGGTGTGCTTGGACGTCGGAGCCGACGGCACCACGGCGATTACCAACCCCTGCGAGTGCCTGACTGGCGGCGGTGGGGCTTGCGAGCCGGAGAGACAGTGGTTCAGGATCGTCAGCAGTGCCCGGCCGATCGCCGCCAAGAGCTCCGCCGCTGCTGGCGACTGGGGTTATCTCAAGCGGGTGGAGGCGTTCGACGTCCTATCTAGCTGAGGATGATCGGCTCGGAGGAGAAGTCGTCATGACAGTCTTTTAGATTGAAACAAAGTTTTCTCGAGTGTTTCTCAAGCTTAAGGGATCCTTTTTGCTTTTGCCTGTCCGTCCGCCATAGCTCTCTCTCTCTCTCTCCCCTCTGGTGCTCTATCTCTCTATGGTCATATAAGATTTATTGCCATGCATCCCACCTTAATCACTGTTAAGGTATCATTATTGCATGATCCTCATGAAACTCTTCAAACCGATCGTCCTTCTCGCATTTTTCTTTTCAATGCTTATAACACGATATGTTTTTCCTGGGCCACTTCAGGAAAATCCAGGACGCCAAATGCCTCATTGTGAATTTTCAAGTAATTTTATTGAGAGTTATTTAGATATCCTAGAATGATGCTTTGTGACATCTTCGAGGGCTCAAGATCGAGTTTTTACTGAAAATCCTTCCATTGGTGAGAGGAACCTCAACTGCCGGTTTGAAGAGGGAGAGAGAGACAGAGATGGGGGAATCTTATTTGGGTGATTCTTCTTTACTGAAAATTATTCATCGTGAGAGGAACCTCAATTGCCCGTTTGAAGAGAGAGAGAGAAAGAAGAGAGATAGAAATAGAGATACAGAGAGAGAGAGAAGAGAGAGATAGAGATAGAGATGCAGAGAGAGACACAGAGAGGAGAGAGAGAGAGAGAGAGAGAGAGAGAGAGAAAGAGAGAGAGAACAGAGGCTAATGACCCAGATAGAGTTGAGACACTGGTCATGTATGTTATCAGTACAAACCGTATCCTGTTTAGTTCAAAAACTATGGGTACCACTGAGAACTCTTCTTCGTTATCCAATGGGAGCTTTAAGAGGGAGAGAGAGCAAGAGAGAGAGAGAGGGAGAGAGAGAGAGAGAGAGAGAGAGAGAGAGAGAGAGAGAGAGAGAACAGGTGCGGATGACCCAGATAGAATTGAGACGCTGGCCATGGATGTTATCAGTAGAAGGCATAACCATGTTTCTTTCAAGAACAATTTTTTGGAGCTTTAAAAGAAACTACAAATAATTGGTTCTTCAGTTGTGTATCAATGAAATTCACCTATTGAACAGCCGTGTTCAAAAAATAGACAGAGGAACCGCTTCCAAAGATGGGAGGACAGCAAATGCTTAAGCACAACCTTGCTGCCCTCTTCTTCATCATCATCATCAACCTAATGAATGATCAGACCGAGCTAGAAACAGCTCCAAGCCAGCCAGCCAGCCAGCCAGCCAGCCAGCCAGCCAACTGACGCCTTATTGGCAGCCTTTCTGAATCGGCTCTGCTCTACTCTTCTTCACACTGCTTCAAGTAGGCATTGACGGCAGGGTCGTAGGCCGCAGCCATCCGAAGATACCTCGCTGCTTCTGACTTCTCCCCGTCGTTGTAGAGAGTACTGAAACATAAGAACACTCTCCAGGTTACACCACTAACTTGTGTTCTACGATGAACAGCCTGTAAAAGAAAAATCATTCAAGGAATTTTTATTTATTTATTTATATTTATTTCCAAGGCTGCACCTTCCTAGGAGCACCAGCGCTGTGTAGTAGGAGGCTTTGTCAGTGGGCTTCTCTGGCTCCTTCATCTGCGCTATTCTCCTCAAATGGTCAATCCCCTCCTCCTTCTTCCCCTGTTTGATGTTAATGGCGTTGAAGCAGCAAAAATAGCAAGTATTTACTGAAAATAGTCTGGCCTGCTGGGATACTTTGTACCCACTTACCTGATTGATTCGGGAGAACCCGGCCCCAAAAGATGCAAGAATTATGTTGTCAACCTCGTGCTCCCCGCTCTGCTGGCGCAAGAATCATCGATAATGGGGAATGAAAGAGACGCTGTGTGGTATCCGGAGGGGAGGTTAGGATCACTGAACCTTGGAAAGGGCGAGTTCAAAGTACTCTGCAGCCTCCTCCAGTGATCCTCTGGAGCAGTATATCTGTCCCAAGGCGATGAAAGCTTTTACCAGGTCGGGGTCTCTCTCGGTTGCAAGCCTGCATGGGAACATCTCCGGACTCTGAATAAATTACCCATAAGAGAGAGAGAGAGAGAGGGAGAGAGAGAGAGAAAGAGAGATGGGATACCGCAGCAGGGGAAGAGCTTCATCTTGAGATTGCTCGTTCATGAGGTTGAGGGCAAGCTACAAAACATGTCAAATACATATATGCCTGAGGGAACATCATCATCATCACCGAGGAAAATACAGGCCAAGAAATGAAAGGTGGAGTTTTTAGTTTTAGGTTTTTTACTCACCTCGAGAAGTTTCTGGGGGGGGAGTGTCTCCAGGGGAACTTGATCATCTGTTGGGAGCTTTTTCTCAGGTGGGCGGTTTTCTTTGGGGATTGCTGGGGAAGTCGTCTCAGGTAACCCCACCATCTTCCGAACATTTGGATGTCTGAAACAGAGTTGCTGCAAAACAAGTTTTGCCCACTGCGTTAAGATGTTTGGCCGAAGGAATTCCTCCACTCTTCCAGCTGAGGAAACAAAGGCAGCCGCACAAATATCGCAGGTAAAGATTTAAGCACTGGTTCTACACAGCCCTGGCAACAGCAATAGAAAAGGCCTTCCTGAAGAAAGGCAGCAAACCACAGCAGGAAAGGGAGCGTTTTACCCATTTAGAATACATAAAAAACTTGGGCTGATTATTTCCTACAGCCAAGCCAGGCAATGAGAAATCAGAAGCGATTTGGATAGGCTCAAGCAAGTTGGGGAAGCCCAATAGAAACTTGAAAAATTCTTAAGCACGCATCAAAATTGCGTGGGTCTAAAACAAGCCTAATGTTCAAGTCACTCTACAGTTTAGTGACATCGTCTTGGCTGGATTTCACTGAATTTTCTCTTGTAGAAAAGAAGCAGATAACATGACATTCAGAAAATAATAAGAAAAAAAAAAGAAGGAAAAAGAGCCATTTGGGTAGGGAGTTGTCTTGAGGTAGGGTTTTCCGTCCTTTTTTGTTTCCATTACCCAAAATTTCAAAAATGTTCATTTCAACACACTCCATAGCATGCAAAAACAAACGAAGCTGGAAAGGAAAACGAATGAGAAGAAAAGATGGGACAGAAAATGGAATAGCTACAGCTAGGCCAGGTTTGAGTCTTAGTGATCTGATGGATTTTGAAACCAGTATTCACACCAATCTTTCGATAAACAATAATAAAGCCGAAGAAAATTTCTGCTGAAAACAAGTTCTTGTCAAGGTGATGTTAAAAGAAAGGTGACACAGACCTGAACCAAAGTCAAAGAACTGTTGGTCACCCAGTAGACTAGGGATCCCTGCAAAAGGAATTTACATCAATCGTGATTCCAGAGATATAGAAAATTTGGAGATAATGGAAACCCAGAGAAGCAAAGGACGTAAACCATGAACATATGCATATAAAGACTTTTTCTGAACTAAGGATGGGACTTTCACGCTTGAAAAACCAAATAAGTAGTATGGAGCACATTCCAAAAAATCTATTAAAAAAATTCATGGTTCGAAGGACTGATAATTAAATCATCAGCCACTACAGAATCAAGCTCGGAATGCAATCAATTTGTTACTATAAGATCATTATCCAAGGAGACCGAAATAATCAATGGAAGCACATACATGCATATCTCAAACCCTTTATACTTGATTCACCAACATCCTTAGTGAAGAAGGCCAGACAAACAATGGTAGACATGAGTGGATATCGAACTAGAAAAGGTAGCTCACGTCAATAATGAGTGCATCGTACAATAGTTTTGTGTTTGTTACTATAAAAGGCCCACTCTACGCATTGTTAGCTGGTTCTGAGTTGGATTGCCTAACGACGTTATCATAGCATTAAAACAGCGTTGCTTTTAAGCTGTACAAACCATATATGCGGCTAATGGCTTCTAGGCTGATGGCACCCCTTATATTGTTTATGTGACAAAGGCCTGGATAGATACTCTAGCAAAGGAGGCTGAGGACATCCTTTATATTGTTTATTGATATGACAGCGGCAAGAGCATATCATATTAACGAAGTGATTTACTCGTCGATGCAAAAGCGTCGTTTATTTAATTCATCCGAAAATGACATTTTCACAAGCCATGAACCGCGCTCATTGACTTGCACGACTAAACTCAACAATCTTACGAACGAAGGAAAGAAAAGCAGCAGACTCATCATCTGGGATAACAACCACTAATTAGGCATTTGAAAAAATAATGGTACTAACCTGTGGAATGTTAAAAGCAATTAGCAGAAGCGGGAAAGTCAGAATGTCCAAATATAACTTGTAATACTGCAATAAAGATTGCACACAAATAAGTCAACAGTGATTGAACCGCAAAACCAACAGAAGGAAACAAGTAGAAACCCAATTGTACTATGCTGACGAGTGAGTCATAATAGAATGAGAGAAAGAAGGCCGTTTGTTTTGGCTATCAACGTAGTAGGATCCTCATATAAGACGGATCCTCCAATATATCCATGGGCAACATGCTTGGCAACAAGACATATTTTAGGAATAAAGATGACAAAAGGAGGATTTTTTCATTAAATTAAAACGGTGGATGCTCTTCAAGAGATAGTTGAAGTATGAAAAAAATTGGACTTCAGGTCTCTCCTAACACCATCAAATTTCTGGAAAGGATGCGAGTTTGCAAACATGTAGTTGAGGTAAAAGATAAAATTATAAATTAAAAGGGAAGAATTTCTGCCTATCTATTTGTTGTTTTCAGGAATTATAAATAACTCACTTTTGCTAATAAGCCAAAGATTCCAGACATTTTTGCAAGCTTTATTGTCTGAAAAGAAATCTGCATCCATTGAAAACGAAATTAAACATACATATCCAAGGACACAGAGAATAAAAACTCTCTGGCAATGGGCGTGGAGCGCAAGACGTCAAATATAAATGAAAAAAAGCGCACAAAAGGAGTGGAACATCTAATAACAGTGCAAGACAATGATGTGAAAGAAAAGTATGCCTGAAATCCCTCGTAATTCCAATTTGAGGTGGACTTATTCCTAATCAAAGAAAATCACAGAGCATAACAATCACCAGTGTCAAATGCGTAATGATTCATTTAGACAGGTTACACGTTCTGAGATATTGATGCTTATGGGTACATTTGCTGTTAAATGACAAAAAAAACCATAAAATGTCCTCAAAATGTCAAATAGCTAAGAACTCTTAAAAAATGGAGCTGAACAAATAAATCTGTAGAAAGTTATGAATTGGACATACTATATGAAGATAATTACATAGATATGGTTACTACTGAACTAAGAACGTTACTAACATCATCATGAAAATCATAGAATGAAATGGGAAGGAAATATACATGTTCATGGATTTTCAAAAGTCTCACTTGCACCAGCTATGCATTAAACCAAGCTGTTGGAAGCGATACTATTATCCCCAAATGAGATATTCGAATCTTTTCTCATTAGAGTTAGTTATTTAACGAATAATAAATGCAATTGGATATGCAACGATAAAAGGTAAATCAGAAATTATTACTTTAAATGAACCAGAAAGTTGCAAAGAGGATAAGCATCCAAATCTCAAATCCAGTGTAATGGTGATGCTCGTAGAGAGACTGAAATTGTTTAGTAAAAGTAGAGGCGTCAGACAACAACCTTCCAAATAAAGACCTTCACCCATTCCCCACCGCAACTGTAAGATGTAAGATATCACCCATACCCCTGGAGATATAAGTTTTGTTGGTCAATATGGCCAACTGAGGTCCAAAATCCTTCGGATCCTAATTTCTACTGCTCCTAACCAATGCCAAGCTGGAAAACCTAAACGTTGACGATGTCAAGTCATAACAATCATGCTATGTCACTATCATTGCCTCCATGCCAAAAAGCGATCTTGAACTACTTCCTTCTCTATCATAGAGTTATATGCTCCTTTTCAACCTAAAGTATTGTTCAGTATATTTATGCAATATTCTAAGAGCTGTTTGTTATAGCTTAGTCCTTCTTTGGTCTTCTCTGTGATTTTTCAAAGAAAATACAGTTTATAAAGAGCGACAATTTCTGAACGAAAAGTCTGTGTATTTTTCTGTTGGCTACTTCCAGCTGGGCGTGAAGCCTTAAGTCACCATGTCACTACTGTGTGCCCTTATCACTTCCTCTCCAAGATGTCCCACAGCATGCCTCTCTTCACCAGTGTCTTTCTATTTGTCTCTCTTGATCCCTCCATCAGTCCCATTGAAAGCTAGAGCGCATGTGTGGCGTTTCCAAAGCACACCGTAGTCAGGAACCTACCCTGAATTGATCTCACAAAGATGTGACCGCCCAGCCTTTGGCTACAGCCCATTGAGGCGCACTGAAGCTGTCCCTGTTCAGCCAACACATCAATGTTGGCCAGCCATGAAAGTTCATGCTGGCAGAGTCTTCCCAGCCATTGCATGGGGCACCAGTTCTACCAATTATACTCCACCTAAGTGACCTCATGTGAGCTCTGGATTCAACTATCAGTGGTTTGTCATACCTCATATAACTTGCCAAGGAGTATGAATCCATCAGGTTTCTCTAGTGCTGTCCAACATCACTAACATGACGAGGAATTCTAAACAGAAATAATAGATTGACAACTTGGATGACGTATACTTACAGAAACGAACCAAGAGTCCACCTTACCCATTTCATTAATGGCAATCATACACAGCAATACCTGATAAGAATCATTGTGCTTTCTTTATCATTATTTTAGGTCTTAACAATGCCAAACTTAACCTTTTGTCTATTAAACGTGTTTTTCTATGTTGCACATCCACCCAAGAAGAGTATAATGTGGCGACATTATGATGGGAAGGAGATGGTTATTGATGAAATAATGTCAATCTATAAATTTATAGAGATTGGAAAAACGCTGAGCAAATGAACGTCTAGATAGGAAGAAAATACATCTCACTTGTATATTACCTGAACATTTAGAAAATGTAGGCCACCAATTAATATTGGGAAAATGCAACCTAAAGCACCTTCAGGAGATGCTGTCAAGTTTTGGAACCAGAGTATACCCCCCTGAAACACATTTGCGTCAGAAAATTCTCGCTTAATCATGATCAGTTTGTAAATAATGAAAATGGAGAATAACCTATCATGCTAGTTAGTGACAATTCTTAGCCTTAAGCAAGTCAAGTAAAAAGGGAAGGAAGGCAAGCCACTTCAAGCATGAAGATAACAAAATGTGGATCAGAATATTTTCCGTTATCAGAACAGAAGGAATGGCAGATCCAAAAGGACATTCTTACTGATATTTTGGCGAAAATTATAAGAGACACGTTTGCTGCCGTAGAGTAGACCTTTTTCCTTAGGCATGTCCAAGAGATGGAAAATAAAGAATATGTTTTACATATACACTGAGTTTATCAGCTTTTTAAGAAATTATAGAATGAAAGATATCGCTGTACACGACCCAAAAAGTATCCCACGAGAACAATCTGCTTCTACTCCATTATTTGGCAGTCATATGCATAGCTCAATCAGCACACAAAAACTTGAGGTCGCTGATTAAATAAAATGATCTGCCATCATAACATGAAATAAACATGATATTTAATCAGAGATTTGATTTACACAAGCATGTAAATCAAAAAGCTGCACTTTGGGCTTCAAAAAGTATATTTTATTTCATTATGATGTTTGATTTTATCTTCAAGAAGTTCAAACTTGATTAATAAATATGAAGGAGAGACAGAATATTTTGTCCGGTTCGCAGGCATTAAATACAAAACATTCCAGAAAAACGCATTTACCTTTCTAGCCAAATAAATAACCAACAGACGTTTATCAAAAAAATTATCACAGACGAATTGCACAGCAAAAAGGTTAGATAACCAAAAAACGTTTATAAAAAAATCGATTAACCTGGTAACTAGAAAACAGAAAATTTATCCAGAGGTCTAGATAATTATGTATCCTTTAAATAAAAAGAAAGAATATGATGCATCAACAATGAAGAAGATGGACTGAAAGAAGCCCAAAAAGATATAAAACCTGTAAACTTTTCTAAAATGTTCAGGACCCTTACGCAGTCAAATCCAGGGTGATTGTCCAAAGACATCCTTCGAATGCTAAACATCCATACAAAGAAGCAAGGGATCTGTGTAGAAAATAGAGTGAGAAGCCCAAGCCAGAAGAGCAAGTCCATACAAGTAAATTTTAAAAAAAGGGTGAACTGGTAACATGAAAAAATGTTCTGGTATGTCTCAAGTACATAAAAGGTTTTTTTTTAAAAAGATATTGCTTTATTGAAACAAGCAAGAGTATCTTATTTCAGTGACTGATGACACAGGTGTATAAAAGAGAAGTCACACAAAATCAGTATGTAAAAGATAACTAATTCCATATGAGTGTATGCAATGTTAATCGCTTATGTAAAATTTCAGCATGGTGCTCACACTATATTGATCCAGCTAGTAACTTCGCCCAGTTAGATTGTACTAGAACGAGGATTTCCTCAAATCAAGTAGGGTTAACAGTGCACTGGAGCTGTGGGTGTGATGATCCTTGTTCCTACCAAAGCTAATTATCGCTATGCAAGTAATCATCGAAATCTGTTCCTTCCCCCGCTGCATCAACAGCAGCAGAATCAAGAGAAGTATCCTACCACTGTCATGAATGGTGCCACTATGTATGACAGAAAGAATGGAAAGAGGAATGTACAGGAAAATAATACAAAAGAAACAAAAGAGAATGCTAAACAACCTCATTCCCAGTCTTCGATTAAATAGCAACAAAAATATAATCTCATGACTCCTTCAATATGCTAAATAAAAATGCAATGCCCAGAACTTTCCAAAGATCCTCATGTTCAACCCAGATCCTGAGAAAAGAAAAACTTGAACAGAAGACCCCATTTTAGAAAATGGATGATGACCTATACTAAATAACATTCTTGGTAACTCTGCATTAGTTGTCTGCTATGCTGATCATGAACCAGTCATAGAACATCTACAAGGTATCCTGGATTACTTGAGCCGACTTACCTTCGCACATAGGCTAGTAGACATTGTCCAAGGCAGACAAACTGGTCCGTTTGAGCCTAATTTTTCAATCACTATGTGAAAGTAGGAAATTGGTCCAACTTATACTAGTACCAACCATATATTATTCGGTAAACATGACTTGAAAAATACCCAAACATACCGAAGTCTGTAAAAACTGAGCCATATTTTCTACCCTCATGCTCGGGCCAGGCCATCCCGATGGCATCCAAGCCATAAAAAATAGAATACAAGTCCAGTAAGGTATTGCCATACTCAGAAATAAAGAAGCAATTGAAGCTTACCACAATATACTTCCTTCCGGGCCAGTTTGAAGGGATAGTTATCCCTTCAAACAGACTCGGATAACTAAAGATATCGATAAATGAGTATACCCAATATAGCCCTCCTTGATCAGACAATCAGTCCTGACATGGCGTTCGCATGTGCATGTTCTAACAGGGGATTGGAGCTCTAACGTCAACAAAGACAAGTACATTATGTTGAGTGTTTCCATCTTTTTTTCCTCTGTTTGGTTTTATTTAACGTTTTCTACTTGCGTCCATATATAAAATCAAGACTCGAGAGACAGGTTTCTAGTTATCTCCATTCTCTCTATTTGTAGCATGACATTAAAACCCTCTCTTCCCTGCAGTTTACTGGCTAACTCAAGATCAACAATTTCACTCTCTCTCTCTCTCTCTCTCTCTCTCTGCACCACATGTCCGCTTCTTTCTATGAAATTCTCCCGATCTAGTCATTTTCCCTTCAGCTTCCCCCTTATCACGCTTCCATAGTGGAAAGATTTTAGCCACTGCCTCAGCTGGAACCATCAAGAACTCTATTGCCATCTTCTGTTGGTGTTATTGTTGTCATCATCAAACATTATTGCTGACAACCCAAACGGATTTTTGTCGCTATGACCACATACATGAGGCCAATGTCCTCATACGGCATCATTTCTAAGGTATTCTTCAGCCATCATAATGTCGTCCACAAGATATTCCCAAAAGAGATACTCAGCTCACTAAAGTGAACACTTATGTTCTCTGGGTTGCTACTCCATGCTCTAACCTACACACACTGTAAGGTTAGAGGTTTATGCTAATTGTCCTATTACTTAAGGTATAGACATACCTCCTGACTAACGGCCTTGTCATAATACTGCCCTCAAACTTCTTGAATAGATATCACGAGTTTCACAGCTCAACTCTTTGATCATTATTATCATCTCGAAGGTCATCTTCAAGATGCCTTCTTGATGCTTATAAGTCACCAAGAAATTCATCCAGAACGCTTCTTTCCTGATATCACTAGCATTGAGTTTTCTCCTTCAAACATCCCAGCCATGTCCGATACCACTATCAACATGGCACAGTGGCTGCCCAACAGATTTCTAGTTAATCAGCTTCAACAAGCCCTTCTGTCCATTGGTTCCTCCTCTAAACCCTTTATTATGATTACCAACACCGTATTAGCTCTACTAGTTTGTAATCTCTTGTTCCCAATAATTTGCAAATGACACAATTGACTATAGCTCACTTCGTGTCCCTCGATGTAATATGATTCCTCAACAGCCTGACCGTTTCTCCTGCACTTTATGTTTCAAACCTTTCCATGAACATAATTCATCTAGTAGCCTTGTTGATGCTAGATATACAATGTCCGTAATTTGTTTTAACTAGGATCCACATTCAGGCTCACAAGTATTATCCACTAAAGTTAGACACCTCGTCTCCCAAGGGATCCTTCCTTAACAGCCCTACACTAACAACTTGCAACAAAATTGAGTGATCTCCGTCACATAGAACATCTAATTGGCAGTGGTCTAAAACCTTGTTCATAGGCTTGTTCCAATGAGCTTATATCCCTTATAGAATCTAATATCCTTGATTCATATCCAAGTTTCTATTCATCTAACATGAAATGCAAAATTTGTTTACTTCGTGACATCATTTTTTTACCGCATGTAATCAAGAATATTCCTTCATTAGGAGGATGTAATTAGTACTGACTTTAATCAATGGGGCGGAGTCAAATTTCCAATGTCCCAAATCAAGGGCCATAATAATGGGCAATAGTAATAAATTATCTCCAATCTACCAAAAATGAACATGGTTCAAAATAAAAATCAAATGTGAAAGAGAAGAAAAAAAATAACGTTACAACACCTATCTATCATGAACATACCACATAGAAAAAGAGATTGTTGATACATCTACCAGCATTACCTTTCCATCAAAAAATTCATTCCTCCTATTTCTTGTGCCGAGCAACCTCCCAATCCAATCACCACGTCTCAAACCACTCAACAGTACAAAGAGTTCACTGGCAAACTCCAGTATCTGATATCTTGTCAATTTGAGGGAGGGTGTTAAGAAAGGATAGTATTTTCCCTATCCCGCCTTTCCTTTTTTTCTATTTTTCCTCTTTGCTTTTTTTTGGGCACTAGTACTTATACATATAAATTACAACCCTACATGGAGCCTATTCTCTAGTTTACTCTATTCTTTCCTTTCCAAACTTTCAATGATCATTCTTGACTGGAAAAAAGAATGCCTTAGTAAACTATGAGTGTAGTGTATCTTATACATTGCTGCTTATACGTTAGTAAATTAAAGTTTAAATACAAAACGCATACGCTTGATGAATAATGGGAATATGATATACCTACCTGTGAATAATGCCTTTATTAGGTTAATAGATAAGCTTTATACCATGACTGCATCTGATCACATAAAAAGATCCCAAGGGCATCAAAACTATGGTCCTAAGTAGGAACTTGTTTGGACAAGTAGTAACTGAAGAAGCCTATGTAGATCGACAATAATGATAATTGAACTTATTCTATTCCATAGGGAGATTGAACGGATCTTTCAGTGTAATTGGCTGCTTTATCTGAGTACCATTGGTGACTTTATAGTAGACACTGTGGCGCTGAAACCAAGCAGGTCAATGGATTACTCAACTCTTCGGAGCTACTTGTGCTTCAAACTTCAAGCCAAATAGCCATACATGCTAACCATATAATATAAGATATATCTGCTTTTATAATGATTATAATCAGACAACTTGCATAACTAAAGACTCTAGAAGAACCTGCTGCTTTCATATAGTTTTGCTTTGAAAGTCACAGCTGAATTGGTATGATCCAACTCAGAGTTTCACTTTTATCTCAGAAGATGATAAGTTGACCAACCTTGATTATTGAAATAAGTACACTTCACAAAGAGACATCAGAAATGACATCCTTACTGCCAACTGAAGCTGCATCTGATCTCAGGGGATTAGAATCAACAATTATGTACAACAGTGCAGCAAGTAACACTTCCCTAGACAGCTATGACGAGTATGGAAAATCAAAACCCATTCATCATCTCATTATTCAAGGATGACACTTCTGCATTTATTCCAAGAAATATTCACATGTATATTTTTATCTTGTGCATGACGAAACCTCCCCTTTGACTGACCCCATTGTATCCAGAATGTTTCTGAAATTCCTCTCTTTTATTTTAGTTTCATGTTTGGTTTTGATATACACAATCCCGGTGTAATGCGTATTCTTATGATTCAACTGTGAATTCTGCATTTATTTTCACCACATTTTACTACACTGATATGTCTACTATGAATCAATTCATGCGCACCTTACATAGACTTAGTGCATTTGCATCTTTTTAGTCTAATGTGAAGTTGGGTTCGGATATATGTAGTATTTTCCATGGCTGTGCATCACCAGTAACATGTCTGATGAGAGCATTATATCACTCCCATCCTACCGTGCTGATCAAAAGTAGCATAAACTTCAATGACATTTTAATACATTACATCTTGTGCCCTGCAAGTTATGCTTCAAGCCAATGTTGGCTGATTCTAACTGTTTCAAAACATACAAGGCCCAAAATCTAACATACACCAATGAAACGAGTGGGTTTGAAGTCAAAGGGCAATAATCATTCAGAACTGTTTCAAACATGTGCTATTTTACTTGCAAGCAATCAGGCAGTTTCTTCACTATCTTACATGTACTGAACTTGAGATTAATAAATGGAACAACAACCCTTAAAGATAATTACATAGTGCCTAGTCACATATAGAAATCATCTATGGGATTCGATACGAGATAAAACATGCCTGAGAAAAAGAAGCAAAAGTCATAAAGAATTAACCTTTACCTGTACAGAAACATACACAAAATTCCATAGATATGAGGGGCAGCCAAGCTCCAACCTTTTTTTCCGAAAGAGCATAAATTGTTCAGTAAAACTTTTTCCTGAAAAAGGTGGTGGCAGGGGAGGAGGCACTTTGAGAAAGGGGTGAAAGGTCAGAAATGGTTCTCTGAATATCTCAAAGCCTATTAAACAAACAACAATCTAATAAAACTGCAAATGACATCAAAATTTAAAGACAAAAAATACTTCGCATAAAGGTTAGGTTGATAAGTTCATTTTCGAAGCCTACATCGAAAGACATTTATGTTCCCTCCTGTTTACATTCTTTTTTTATACAACGATATTTATATAAATTAATAACGTGATGAAATCAAATATAAGACAGAAAAGACAATTAGCGTTTTAGTAAAGAAAGAATATGAGCTAAATGATCAACCAAATATGTATCAATCCAGGCCAAAAGTAAAATACATCCATCTCTCTCATTTTTTTATTTGAAATAATTTGTACACTAATCCCTAATCCCAAGTCAGATCGAACCATACCAAGTCAATTAAGTCATCCAAAGTGTTTCAGATCACCATGTCCGAATCACTGAATAAAATAAGCTTAACTGATCAGATATCATAAAGTCGAAATATTTTTCTCATCTTGCCATATAACTTCTTTCAGAAAAAAATTCCTAGAGAGAGAAAGTTAAGTCAGGGATGTGCAGGATACTGGGGGGAGTGAGAGACAGATGCTCAAAGTAGAGAGTAAGAAAGGGATACGTGGAATCTTGTTGGGGAGGTGCGTGAAGGGAGAGAGAAAAAATGCTCAAGGTGGTGAGCAATTGGGGATGTGTGGAATCTTGTGAGGGAAGAAGGAGAAAGAGAGAGAGAGAGAGCATGGGGAGACATGGAGTCTGGGAGAAGAGAGGGAGGGGGAGGGGGAGTAAGAGGGTGGGAACATGGGATAACCATGCTTGCTTAACTTTTGACTAGATGCAGCTTCTTCTAAATCTAAATGAAGTCAGCCTACTATAGTCGCTCAGGATGAAAGCAATAAGCCTTACCTTCCTGAATTTTCCTAGGACTGAAAGTCAACAGAAAAAAATCATTGGAACTTTAATAAGATGCTGATTTTTTGAAAGGACCTAAAACCAATTAATTAATTATTAAAAAAATCCATCAAAGCGTCAAATATGAGAGCTGTTCAAAGACCCTTAAACATAACTGTCATACACGAAGATGGTATAATATATACCATAAATGCAACCACACCCAATTAAAAAACTCCAGCAGTTAAGAAACTTTTTGTTTTAGAAATGCAATTTTTCCACTCTACTCAACCACCCAAGTGGACTGCATAAAGGATAAATTACTATATTACTAAAGCGCATGATTTCTTTTTTCCATGAGGAGCGTAAACAACACCTCTTCAAAGTTGGTTTAATGTTGCCATTGAATATCGGTGCATGGAATAATGTCAGAAAAATCTCGCATATAAAAGAACATCCATGGAACAAATATCCAATGATGTGCCATTTTCTCGACATAGGTGGCAAAAGGTTTAAATTCTCATCCATAAACATACCCACATGTTCTCGTCATCAGACTACCCCAGAATACCCTTCAAACAAAATTCTTATTTTTAGTGGCAATGGCGTCATTCAAGTATGATCTACCACCAAGTATCTAAACCCTTGGTCTGTGATAAGTACAGGAGTCTACTGCGATGGAAGCACATAAACAGACCCCCATTCCCCAACACAAAGAACGAGGTAAATGTAACAAAAGCCTTAATCAACTCAATTCATCTCCCATCAGGACCCATCTAGTGCAACACTTGAAAAAGGCATGACTATTAACTTATGTACACAAAAGCTTGTTAGCTCCTATAAGACGATTTTTCACCACAATCCAAGTCCGTTTTCAAGAAATTGTCAGCCTTACAAAGAAAGATGTACAAGTAATCTGAAGTGAAGACCAACACAAACTAGAACCATTAATTCTAACACCATCAAAAAGATATCAAGAAATATCTCAACGAAAAAATTAAAGAATCAAAACATGTGACTTGCCTTCGATTATTTCATATTAATTCTTCATGACGTAACATGAAGTGTCCATTTGTTGTAATAAAATTAGAAAATAACATAAGAATGGTTCCAAATAAATACATACAGAGACAATAAATGACCTTCCAGTTGCATGGGATGCCATTTTATCGACTAATATATTACAGAAAAATGTGGCATGGGTAGGCTCTAAAGAGCTTAAGGAATCCAATTACTGCTGATTAGAGATGACATGAGATCAAACAGGGCGAAATAGAATATCCATTGCCAAATAATTAATAACAGATTAGTATATTTTAAAATGGAATAGAAAAACACATTCTCACATTTAGGAAACAACTCCGACAACTTTCGCATCTTCTTGAATTGTAATAACAGCACAGGAAGTATTGACACTCTAAGGGCAAAGGTAGAGGAAGCAATTGTTATCCACCTGAAATGTGATGTAAACTTCTGTAAAATTGCAGCTTTTAGCACTGAACGAACAACTTTGTACATGGAGATCACTCATTGAATCGAAATTCTGAATAAATTGGGCCATTAATATCACTGAACAAGAGCCGATCATTTCGACCCACATAAACGCTAGATGAAGTATGGATCACAACAACTAGATGCCTTTGTCTATTATCCTTATAGTAAAAAAAGTGACTAATTAAAAATGAAGCCAGCTCATGGACAGATACTGAAAGAATTTACTGAAAACTTAAAAGTGTAGGGGCAGTTTGATAACCAGTTTGGATTAACTAGTTTAACTTCTCCTCCGATTTGGATTCCAGTTTATCCGACTTTAAGTTTGATAACAATCTATCTCTCTCCCTGCCATAGTTTAAATTAGATTTCAGTTTAATAACAGCAAGGATAAGTTAAACAGGCTGAGTTTCTCGCTATTTGGTGCTTAGTCCAATAAGTTAAGCAACCTTAGCTGAGTTTATCCTTAACTGGGCTTCATGTGGCTCTCTCAGCCATTTCAGGTTATCAAACTCGGAAGGCTGGGTTATCTCAGATAAATTTGAATAATCCAGCCTACTCCAGTTCTAACAGTTTATCAAACCGCTGCTGGAAGAATGGGTAAATGAAAATGATACTCTTTTAATCTAAAAGCTATAAAGAAGGGAAATAAAGACCTTTTCTTTCTAAGGTATCAGTATCTCTACTTAACCACAAGAAAAACTATTACAATGAATATGCCACGAATGCGCCAAAAAAATTATTAAATAATTCAGTAGCATGGACCAACAAACATGTGCCGCCCTTCGAGTACAGAAGGCAGAATCTCTTGTAGAATTCTAGAGATATGACCCATTATCAGTTGAAGGAGAATGCTAGAGTACATATATCTCTTGTAGACATATGATGTGGTTGTGAGGAACCTGGACAAGAAGAGGTGACGGAACAGAGTAGAGTACATCTCTCATGCTCTACTAAGCAGAAAATCCTAAACTGAAACAAGATCATGAAGTATCAATTAGAACAACCACGCTGTATAGTTATAACGTTCATAAACAACAAAATGGATCCATGCGAAAAGAGAATTATAAGGTGTAAATGTAGAAGAAAAGGAAAATTTGTAAATTTACCTTTGATATGGAAGTGGGGAGTGGGGCCAAATTTTATGCATGAAGGAGACAGTAGCATGAAAACATGAACAGAGGAAACGAACAAAACACAAGTCTACAATGTTTCAATAGTAAAAGAGACTGAGAACGGGAGGAGAAGAAAATGATACACAAATATCAGAGCACAGTCATCAGAGTGTAGGAAATCTGTTACCCAATATCTTTCTGAGAAAATAAGGTTAAAAATAGTTTCAGCGAGGAACAGTACTATCTTATCCTAATCCAAACAAGTCGGGACAAGAATATCAATACCCTAGTACTGAAGACAGAATATATGGCAATCATGAATGGAGGCTGCAGTTGGTGGCAGTCAACACCGATCCTCCACGCTCTCAAAAATGTAACAATTTAGCACTACCACCTAAGCCCACTAATTTACATATGAAATTTATTCAACCTACTCAGATATATAATATTTGGCAATCAATTCGGACCATGTTTTAACACGTTCCATTATTAAATTAATTGAATCAAAGATGTTAATCAGCATTGGTCTCATCTTTTCTACAGATTCTTCATGCTAAGAATTTCATTTTTCAGATTCCTAAGCACCCAACTATTTGATTCCAATTAGCTCAATAGTTTTTGGACTGGGAAATCATCAATCCAGTAAATCTGACTCAACATCCGTCTAAGCCAAAGTCCTTACTCTTCACTTCCCAGTCGCTTCTTCAAATAATTTTTTGGCAATACTTTTAAAAAAAATCTGCAAGCCTACATTACCATTCCACGTCAGAAGGTAACACACTTTTAATATGTTCCATTAAAGACACAAAGTAGACCACTCTTGCGCAGCCCAAGCCCGGTTTTCGAGAGATTACCAGGGAAGACCTGTGAACTCATGGTACCCATCCAGCAGCGAGATGACTCCCCGCACAGGAGCGTACCAGAGACTGTCCTCGCCTCCCTCGGTGCAGAGCTCGTGCAAATCCGATCCTTCAATGGAGACAGCCCCCTTTCTCACCTCACCATCCTCATGGCCACCGCCACCGCCGGTCAGTCCGTCCAACGACGAAAGTTGTCTACAGGTTCCAAGGAACGGGCTGCGGAGGCGCAGGGAGTCGTGAGAACTACCGTAGCGGGAGAAGGCGCCGCCGCGCAGTGGGAAGGGCCCGGTGTTCTGGAAGCGACCGAACAGCGCCGACGCCGATGGGTCGGGTCTGAGGCGGCGGAGGCTGGCAAGAAGACGGGTCGCTCCCATCGAGCGCACAGAGCGGGAAGAGGAATTCCGACAGCCCCGAGCATTTCTCAGGTGCCCCGTCCTTCAGACAGAATACACAGAGGAGCCCGAGGGGCCGGGCCCTTGATAGCCCGGACCCGGGTAGCCCACTACTCTACTACTCCACCACTCCTCTCCTCACCTCTATGCCGACTAGCCCAAAGCAGTGCTTTACTACCTCCCTTGAATCTGCGAGCTAGCTATTGGGCACGACTCAGCGAATTGAGTTAGAACACGAAGCAAGGTAACTCAGAAAGTAGCTGCCATATTGAGTTTTAGACTCCACATGATTTAGGACCGGATCATGTTTAGATCACGTGGTGAGATCTTACTGATGATGGTACAGGCAGATTCTGTCTTCCTGCAAGAAAGAAAGTTCTTCGGTCATCAATTCCTGAATAGTTTTCACCATTTTTTCCACGTTGAAGAAAAATCAAATAATGATATGATGCCCCCCACTACATGAATCAATCAATGCCATAAGCATTTTGAGGCAAAAATTCTAGGTTTATTTGGATGTTTAAGACTGAGAAAAAGATAACTCCTTTCCGGGGGGCCATCACATGTCATTTAAGGTTAAAAGCCAACTACTGAACTTGATAGATTTTCTGGGGTATGCTTGTAGATGCAATGAGCGTAGACTAGCAAGAGCAAGTTTATACGTGATCTACAAAGCAAAACAATGACTAGTATACCCATTAAGGGAGCATGAAAATATTGGTAATGAGAGAAAGAACAACCAAAATTTTGAAGAATTCTTTTTAGTATGATCGATTAAGGATCTCTTCTTAGGAATTTATATGACATGATCAATGAAGTGTAATATGTCAAAGTTTTAAAGCATTTGAAAATAAGCCATCAGATCATATCAATCATGATCCTTAAGTAACATAGCTATTATAAGCTATTTTCGTTTTTTGAAAAAGTGGTCTTTGAGACCATATCCTAGTTTTTTTAGCATAATGGTTTTTCTATGAACGGGGACACCATTTTGAAGTCTTAATAATATTATAACAAAAGTCACACAAGAGTCTCAAGTTTTGCATTGATCATGGCATTTGTGAAATTGGGCATTCATTCAATTTTTATTTCCAACATTAATTTTTCAACAACCGCAAATTTTATGCAGCTGCATAGTTCAGATCACATAATTTGTTTAGTGTTATATGATGGAAAAAAATGATCAAAATTCGAAACTATAAGATTATAGTATGTTATTCAAAGTTTAGTAAAAAAATCAAAAGATGAAAGTAGCAATGTCCATCAAGCATAGAAATGTTGGGATCAAATGGTGACTTAGCCAATTTAAGAGTTGGATTTCATTAAATTATTGGTTTCAGTCTTGAGAGAAATTAGTTTCAAATAACATGGCCGACATTGCCATCTCCTAAGATTTAATCTTACTCTAATGATTCAGAAACTCTCTCTCTCTCTCTCTCTCTCTCTCTCTCTCTTGATGAATGCATTGGTTTAAAGGCTTTTACTTCTATTTTTCAATTATAAGTCAACTCCTAGAAAGAATCATGCATAATTTCTCACACCACTGGGATTTGTGTAGAGGTATTTTTGGATTCCTCTCTCTTCCATTTTTTTAGGATTTTCTTGACTTGTATAGAGAAATGAACTACGATTTCCTCACTAATAATTTGGAATGATTAGAAATTTACAAAAATGTTGAGTTAGTATTATCATTTCTTCCTTTTACAGCAAGATTCTTCTTTCTTTGTTCTTTTTCTTTAGATACTTCAATTTCATAACTCAACAAAGATCCCATTAATTTATCTAATGTTATTTTTCTTAAAACTTTGGCTTCCTCAATGACTATTTCTTTTTGGGTTTCCAAGATAAGGCTAAAGATTGAATTTTTCTACATAGTACTCAATTTGTGTAGGTTTCATCCGAATAGTTGAGATTGTTTATGATTTCCATGAATGTGGTGAACATGTCTTTGGTGGACAATGATGGACTCATTGTCCATCATGGTGAATAGTTCTTTGGTTGTTTCACATTCTTTAATCCTTTAAAATTCATTATCGTTCACAACACAATTTAATATATTAATGATTCTAGTGTTGAGACTTCTCAAGTATCTTTTCAAGTCTTTCCTTACATGGGACGTTCTCAATTACACCCCAAACATATAGATTATAAGATTTAATGAAAATCTTCATTTTAGCATTCTAATAAGATTAATTTTATTTATTTAATAGAAAATGTTGATTAGTCAATTAACCCTCAAATTTTTGACTTTCTAAAGTACTAGTCATGTGATCTACTTGTTATGATAAATGAGATCTTTAACAAAGATTTATTTTGATACTAATTATTCGTCCCCAAATATCTATAAAATATAATATAAGGATGGATGTTAAATCTATTATACACGTCCTATATGATTCTTTTTTTTAAGTACGATTTTTAAATTCTGAATAAAATTATATATGATAACATGCCTTACATAATTATCAATGAGATTATTATTTTTTTCTTTAGGCTTAAACTCAAAGACTAGAACATTTCACTTTTGACAAGTACAGTATTTTATAATAGTTAGGTCAACACACACCTGAATCCATTGTCCAAATACTCTCTCTTGAGGTTCCACTATTGACTTACAATATAAGATTCAGTGAGTCTACATCACCACACTGAATTTCAAGACTCTACGAGTCTGACTTTATAGATTTGAAGGATTTCCCTAAGCTTGAAGTGATTTTTCTACATGGTCTCTAATCTCTTGTGAGCATTCCTTAGCAGTGCAAGAAGGTGCATTTCATCCATGTCTCTTGATTTCGGCCAGCTGAAGGCTTCTCTTCTTTTGCAGGCCACACAGTTTTCTCCTCCAAGATCTTTGGAGGAATAACCAATCACTTGGCTGAAAGAGAAGGGACAAACAAGAGAGAGGAATACTATTGCAGGTATTGATATCTTCTCTCTCTTCAATACCCCACCTAAGATTACTTTCAAATATTGAAATCATATACAATTATAATTCACTCCAATCAACTTATGAAAGTAATCTAAAAAGTTACATAGCATACTGAAGCTAATCTATTACTTTCCTTGCAATTTTAACATTTCTTAGTTAAATTTTTCTCATAAATAGGAAATAAGAATAAAATTTTTAACATTTTCTTCATTTTATCTCACATGAGAATATGTTATTTACCTAAGCTGGCAAGAGTACACTTTAATTTTTCACACCATGTAGTGACTCTAGCCTTTGAAACTAATTTAACTTGCTTTTAATCATATTTTTTTATTAACTAATCCAAAAAATTCTCTATTTGAAAATGACCAAAAACACTTAATAATTTGATTTTTATGAAAACTTGTCTATAGTCATCATCATTAAATTTACTTCTTGAACTTGGAGAAATAGACATTGAAAAATCATCAATGCCATTATCATTTGATTCAAATGTTTGTCTACACATCAAATCATTTTATTTTTCAATATGATGATGTTCTAATGAATTATGTGAGATAAAATTTACTTCAATATCTCATTTACCTCTAGAAACATATAATACTAGTGTTTTCAAGAATTAAGAAATTATGTTTGAGATGAGGGAGATACCTAAAGAATGTCATCTTCATTAATCTACATTTTTTACCTCAAAAATGTTGAGAGTTGAATCTAGAACTAAGTGTCTTGCTCTAACATCAGTTGACGTGATACTGATATGAGAGACAACAAGATTTGGCCATGAATCTACAAAGCACAAACCTTGATGAAGAATCCAATTCTAAACTCACATAGTTGTAGACTTTGACCCTTGAATCTATGAAGGGGCAACCTTGAATCATCTAAACAAAAAAAGATAACTTGAATTCACAAACAATGTTTAAATATACAAGCAAAGGACAATAACTTCAAATGAGGGAAAACTCGTAATACTTCCTAGATGCCTTGAAATTGCTATACATGGACTTTAAACAGGGCTAAAAAGAGGTTGGATACCCCAGAAACAACATACTCTAAAATATAATCAAAAACATATTTTGACACCACCAATAGAAAAATAAAAACTAAAAAATATAAAAAATATAAAAAATGATTATACCCAACAAATTGGGATTGGCTCAATGATCTCATATTTTGTTTGAGCCTGATTTTAGCCTTTTTGAATTGTACAACCCATTTTTAAAATAATTGGGCCTCTAGTTTCTGGCTTCTTTGGTTTTTCTAGTACTAGGCTAGATTATTGATGGTTGTGTAGATGAACATGTGATTCACCACAATTTTTTTGTGCACCAAGTAGAGGAAGGCCTTAAGGTACTCTTAACAAGGGGGGCGGGGTGGCCAGTGTTACTAATATATCTTGATCGTTGCGTGCAAAACATATCAAATTTGAACATTTAATTTTGATTTCAAAAGAGGAAACCAAACTTGAAATTTACTGAATCTAGGTCCATCCACAAAATAACCATTGATTTCTATGCCAACTATATTTTGAAAACTCATTGAAGAAGATAGAAAAGGTGAGGGACAAAAGTGTGAAAAAAAATAGAAAATCAGCTTCTTTACTTCCTGGTTTTCATGGCTACTTCAAACCATAGACTATAGTTGTGTGAACTTTCAAACTTCAAGCTAAAACAAATGTCCCCTTGACAGATGCCTGTTGAATCCATTTTGGCTTACAAAATATTAAGCAAAAACCAACACCAAAGGAGCGAGAGAAGAGAGAAGAGAAAAAACACATGATAGTATGAAACTATAAGAGAGGAGAGAGAAACACCCATCAATGGATTTAACTTCAGCGGCAGTAGATCAAGAAAATACAAAATAATCAAAATTTGATGACTTTAAAAATTAATCAAACTTAGGGGGTTGCAAGTGGATTGCCTCATCATGAACTTGGAATAAACATTATCTGTCTTTCACACATGGACTTTACAAGTGGGTTGCTGAAACAAAATATGAGCATGTAAACAACAAGGTCAATGAGCGGGATGACAATCTAATACTAGCGTGTGCCTTCACCCACATGATCAGATTAGTAGAAAATGAAAGTAAAACGAAATCCAGACATAAACCTAGTTCGCAAGCTCTCCCTTTCAACTATTCTGCTCATCTCTATCTACCAATCAACTTAATAGTTATTCCATCTCAATTAAAAGATAATATGCAAATTTAAGTAAGAGTTCATGAAATATATTATAAAATCTGTTTAATATTTATATTCATTTTTTCTTATATTTTGACATTGGTTGTGGCAATATTAAATTAACATTCTTCCCTAGTTAACATACAAAAATTATCCATCATGTGCCTCTTAGACAACTTCACATGAATCTCAAGGGAGCCAACTAATATGAGGAAGAGCTCATACATGATGGGATCAAGCTCCCAAGAGTCTCATTGGGTTCTCTACCCCTGACTGTTACCTAGTCTCTAAGATTCATAAAGTTTCATGAATTCATTTTTATAAATTATATTAATTATCTATCATTGACTTTGTGGCGTTGACATTTTTTGGATCTATGCGATGGATATTTTTTCGTTTAAGGCCTCTAACAACTCACTAGTCAGTAAATAGGACTCAGCCTTCCAAAAACCACATAGGGCCCATGGCTTGAGAACTCTTACCTCATAATCACCATCTATGGATTATTCCAGACGGTTGTTTGGATCCTGACAAGGGAATTCCATCTTCCCTTCAAAGGTGGATGTGTTCTGAGCCCACCTACGTGTCGCTGAGTTGCGTCTGGATATTATTTTTAATACGTAAAAATGATTAAAAAGAGATTAAAACTGTGCTTTGGTCTTATTTGGGCCGTAAACCTGATCTGCAAGCCAGAGTCAACCTGCAGCACTTGAATAAAACGAAGTTGTCTAGTAAATAAGGTAAAGAATAAAAGTCAAAGGGCCTTCCTAGAACTCCTTCCTAGGGTAAATACCCTTTTCGTATAATAATTTTGGTTTGAAACAAAGGTGCCTCACGAAGAGGGTAGCAATTACAAGAGTACGCCCCTACAGGCCAGCATCGGTCACTGCTTGGCCCCCGGCCATGCATTGTGTTAAACTAGTCTAGGTCAACCCGCATGGGGTCCACTTATGTATGGCTATGGAAAAAGATTTCCGATTCATGAAATGAGATTCCTACTTCGGTGAATATGAATTTTGGGTCTATTGAACATGTTTGGCTACGATTCGATTCGAAATAGAGCCGAACAATGATTTCAGATTTTGAGGAAGATTCTGATTCCGGCCACAAGAGAATATGTCACTAGGTGGGGGTGCCGGTGCGGACTATCCCGACGGCGGCGGCGGAGGCCGCGGAAAGAAGAACACTTCTGGCGGCAGTCAATTTAATTGCATGTAAAACCCTCGTAAGGAATTTAATTGCTTGCGGCCTCTTTCCAATATGGCCCGCATTTGACCATATTTCACATAAGGATTAAAATTATCGCGTGAGGATAACTTAATTGTCAATATTTCAGCTGGCATATATGAAATCAACCTCTGCAACCTGGCGTCGTTGAACAGGACTACTCACATCTAGGACAATGAAGGCAATAATGGAGGCAGCTGTGACAGAGACAGAGATAGAGAGAGAGAAGAGAGAGGGAGAGAGAGAGAGGGAGAGAGAGAGAGAGAGAGAGACTCAGCAAGGAAGGAAAAGAGATCGGCCGGTTTAATTCGGCCCTTAGTCTTCCTATCAAAAGGAGAAGGGTTGGGGGTGGATAGTGGATGAGAATGGAGAGAGAAGTGAGAAGAGAGAGGGAGAGAGGAGAGCGAGAGGGAGAGAGAGTCAGCAAGAAAGGAGAAGAGATCGCCGGTTTAAATTGTCCCCTCGTCTTCCTATCAAAGGAGAAGGGTTTGGGGGGATAGTGGAGGAGACGGTAACCTCCAATGGATATGCCGGGGTTCCCGCACGAGCTGGGAGCTTTCTCTGCGTCGTCCGTTTCTTCTCTCTTCTTTCTCCTCTCGACTTTACTCTTCCTGTCGGCCGCCTGTTACCTGAGAGGACCTCCGAAGAATAAGGAGGACCTCCGCCTGCCGCCGTCCCCGCCCAAACTCCCCCTCATCGGTAACCTCCACCAACTCAGCGCCCTGCCTCACCGCCCCCTCCGAGAGCTCTCCCGCAAGTACGGCCCCCTCATGCTCCTCCACCTCGGGCAGTCGCCCACCCTTGTTGTCTCCTCCGTGGAGGCGGCGGGGGAGGTGCTCAAGACCCAAGACATCGCCTTCGCCACCAGGCCCTTCTCCGCCGCCGCCGCTGTCCTCTTCTACGGCTGTCGCAACATGACCTTCGCCCCCTACGGCAAGCACTGGCGGCGGGTTAGGACGGCCGTCGTCGTCCACCTCCTCAACCTCAAGAAGGTCCAGTCCCTCCGCCGGACACGGGAGGAGGAGATCGCCCTCATGATCCGGAAGATCTCGTCGTCTCCTTCTCTGGCGACGGTGGACCTGAGCGGGATCCTCCACGCCTTCTCCAACGGCCTCATGTGCAGAGTCGTCACCGGGAATTGCCCGGAGAGGGAAGTTTGGTCGGAGAGGTTCCGGGAGGCGATCGACGAATCCACGGCGCTGCTCAGTCGCCCGAGACTGGAGGAGCTCTTTCCGAGCTTGGCGTGGGTGACAAGGCTTCCTGGAGCAGACTCAAGGTTGAAGAAGGTGGCGAAGAAGTTAGATGTCCTCCTCGACGAAATCATGACGGACCACGAGAGGCGGGCGGGAAGGAGAGATCAGGCGGAGGAGGTCGACTTCCTCGACCACCTTCTCTCTGCCGACACGGCAAGCGACTATGCCTTTTCCAGAGAAGATTTGAAGGCCATCTGCCTCGTGAGCTGCCACCATGGATTATCCTCTCTCTCTGTCTGACAGACGTGGGTTTTAGGTCATCTTCACCATCGTCTTTCCTTCCAGGAACTCATCGGCGTCGGGTCGGACACCTCGTACGTGGTGCTAGATTGGGCGATGGCGGAGCTGATGAGGAACCCAGCGATGATGGAGAGGACCCAGAGAGAAGTGAGGGAGGTCGCCGGGGGGAGGCCCGCCCCCACGGAGGACGACGTCGCTCGGATGCCCCACCTGCGGGCGATGGTGAAGGAGGTCTTACGGCTTCACATGCCGGCGCCGCTCCTCCTCCCGCGGGAGTCCATGGAGGCCACACGCGTACTTGGCTACGACGTCCCCGCCGGGACGAGGGTCTTCATCAATGCCTGGGCGATGGCGAGGGATCCGCAGTGGTGGGAGGCGCCGGAGGAGTTCCGGCCGGAGAGGTTTCTCCGGGAGGAGCCGCCGCCGGCGGACCTCCGGGGGAGCGATTTCCAGTTCCTTCCGTTCGGGACCGGGAGGAGGATGTGCCCGGGGATGAACTTCGCGCTCTGCGTGGTGGAGCTGGCCCTCGCCGGTCTCCTCTACCACTTCGACTGGTCTCTGCCCGCCGGCACGGCGCCGGAGGACCTCGACATGGCCGAGTCCCCACGAATCGTCGTCCACCGGAAGATGCCCCTCGGCCTTGTTGCGATTCCTCGCTCTCCGAGCTCGGCTGTGGTCGCCTGATACGTTTATACACTTCCCCTCCATCCTCTCTCTTCTCTACTCTCTGTCTCTCTCCATCTGTCTACCACTCTCTCTCTCTCTCTCCCCCTCTCTCTCTCGTAGTACGTCCACTTCGGGAAACGTTCCTTGGAGATATCGCTAGCTAATTTGGAGGATAAATTCCTCCATCCAATCTGCCCGATCGTTATTATTCGGCCCCCCAACCAAATTTCTCCGATCATCTTGGGATGCATCTCGGTGCCAAGGCTCTTGGAAGCAGTGGTGCCGCCGCCGCGAGCAAACATATTTCGAGGATGACCCCTGAAGAACGAGACACAATAAAAACAGATAGAGAGGATTATTTTGTGATTGTGCAATTTTTCTGAGGCCTTAACGATCATTAATGTTCTCTTTTCTAAGGAGAATATTGACCTCTAGAAGTTTCTATTATCGGTTGATGATTTTCAATACCGGTTTTATGTTGTGAAGAAATCGAGACGAGTAGAGACAAGTGTGGACATGAGGGACGAGTTTCCACGATCTATTCGGAGTCAGGTACAAGCAACGGAGCAAACTAGTGGCCGGTGGAGAAGAGCTCGCTGGATACATTGACTAGACGAGGCCCTCGCTGGTTGAAGGGCAATGAGACGAGGCCCTCCCCACTAGGTGGAGGACGAACGAGACGAGAGAGAGAGAGAGAGAGAGAGAGAAGAGAGGGAAAAACCCATTTGATTAGATTAGGTAGGGTTTTTACAGTCACAAAAATACAAAAATAGCTTATAATTTGGTACATATCATCTAACACTCTCTCTCAAGTTAAGAATGGATGTCAACTACATTCAACTTGCTCATGTCGGATTCAAACGATATGGATGATAATCTTTTGTAAAGGCATCGGCCAATTGGTCCTCTAATCATGTATAGATGAGGCATAACTTTTTCAAATTGATCTCGTCTCAAATGAAATGTCAATCAATTTGAATAGTTTGGCTTATCATATCGTATAAGGTTGTCAACAATATTTATCGTAATTTTTTTGTCGCAGAATAATTTGAGTGGTAGTTCAGCAGTCAACCCAAGATCATGCATAAAAAGTTTCAGCCACAATAACTTGGTTAATCCATGTGTCATTGCACAATATTCAGCTTCGTCACTCAATCATGTCACAACTATTAATTTTTCACTTCACCACATGACAAGGAATAAAATGTGTATAGACTTTAGTTTTCCCACATGTGCAAATGGTTCTTCAAAGTCTACTCCATATATCTGTGTGAATCTTTTACCAACCAAACAAGCCTTAACTTTGCCATTAGACTCTTGTTTGCTAGTAAACCCACTTGGAGTTACAAGTAACTTGGTAGTTGATAAGTCAATTAATTCCCATGTTTACTTTTTTTCTTAAGTTCTCATCTCTTCTTCCATTGACATGACCCATTTAGAATCTTTCAATGTAGTTGTATAAGATTTGAGTAGTGTCAATGAGTCTAATGAACATAAAAAAGAGTGACAAGTAGGAGAAATCCTTGAATAGTTTATGTATTTAGAAATGGAGTCTTGAGTGCAAGAGTGAACTCCTTTATGGAAGGCAATAGGTAGGTCAATATTCAATTAATCTTTATGATTAAACACTGGATAAATTATTTCATATTGTAAGGGTGGTAACTCTATAATCTAATCATAACCTATAAGGCTTTCACTATGGGTAATATTTTCCATCTGTGGTAGATTTTGCAAGGAGGATTATGATGTATCTACCGTGTGAAGTAGGTGAGAATTGAGTTGACTAATAAGAATAGAGATAATTGATGTACTAGGTGGAATGCATGATACATCATGAGGAGCTTCCCCTTGAGTTGTGAATTGGTAATAGGTATCTGACTAATGGAATGTGACTTCCCTCATGATGTATTTCTATATATGTGTAGGATCAAAACATTTATATCACTTCTGTGTAGGTGAAGAGTTGAAAAAAACACCTCTAATTGCTGTAAGGTTTAACTTACTATTATTTGTCCCAAAACTATAGATAAAGCAAACACACCCAAACGTCTTAGGAGGAAGAGAAAATAATAGTCAATAATTTATGAGTAAAATTTCTAAGTGTGGTCAACTACATCTTATTGATTAGGTATTGTCGCCATTAATATTGCTTTTGTGCAAAAGAAATTAAGTATTTTACTTTAGAATAAGAGGGCTTAAGTGGTTTCTAAGAGGTGACCATTTTTATGTTTTGCTACCCCATTTTGTTGAGGAGTGTAAGGATAAAAAGATTCATGAATAATTCTCTTTTCTTTCATAAAAATATTAAGATTTTGAGTAAAATATTCTTTTATATTGTTTGAGTGAAAGGTTTTTACTTATTTTCCAAATTGAGTAGCAATCATATTACAAAAGACCAATCATGGTACTTCATCTTTAGACTAGATCAAATTTAACCATGTTGACTATGTAAAGTTATCTATAAATCTAATAAAGTACTAAATCCATCTGAGGGAATTGGAGATGGAACACATACATCAGAGTAAATGAGATAAAAAAAGAAAATAGTCTTGATACATGAAGAGTGAAATGACACTCAAGCTTATTTTGCAAGGTCAGAAACATGACAACGTAGAGAGTTTATGTCAACCAACTTGAACATTGTCAGCAACATAGTTTTGATAGTTTTAAAAGATGAATGGCTGAAAAAAAATGCTAGAAGTAAAGATCTTGTAGTCTTGGGTTTGCTCCTTGAACTCGTGATTGTAGCATTATCCCTCCTTGAGATTGGAGTAGATAGATACCATTACTCTCACATCCACTCCCAATCATATATCTTGTCTTCAAGTCCTAAAGCACATAATGATCCAGATAAAATGTATATAATAATTATGGTGTTTTGTAATGGAACTTATAGAGAGTAAGTTCATATGAAGATTTGGCACATGAAATGCCAAAAGTAGAGTTATGTGACTATTTTAATTTGATAGACCCCTTGCCACCAATAGTGGCTTGACTTCAATCAATTATAGTTACCTTATCTCTACCTGATATAGGATGATATAATATAATGTTGAGAGGAGTATCAATCATGTGTGCCAATTCTTTGGAACAATTACCCAAGTATTATTTGACGGTTAAGTTGTGACACTTAGTGTGGTGCTTGGATCTAGTGAATGTGGTAGACTTGAAGCTTAATTTTGATTTTTGATTTACATCTCCCTCAGTATGTCATGAAGTCTTGTAAATCTTGTGATATTTCTTGATGTTGAGATGTGTTCAAACTCGATGAACCACTAAGATATAACATAGTATGTAGGATTGCACAGGCTTGAGATATCATTTTATTTTATAAAAAAAATGATTATGCCGAACAAACTGGGACTGACTCAATGATCTCATATTTTATTTGAGCCCTCTTTTAGCCTACTGAACTTTAGTGCTCATTTTTAAAATAATGGAGCCTCTAATTTAGGGTTTCTTTGACTTTTCTAGTGTTGAGCTACATCATTGATGTGCAGATGAACATGTGATTCACCACAAATTTTAAGTACGCCAAGTAGAGGATGGTCTTTAGGTACTCTTAATAGGGTATTCTGAGTCGAAGGGATCAAGTAACCAGAAAACATGGACTGGTCGGTGTTACTAATATATCTTGATCATTGTGTGAGAAACACATCAAATTTAAATATTTAATTTTGGTTTCAGAATTAGGAAATCAAACTCAAAATTGAGTGAATCCAGATCCATCCGCAGAGATGACTACCAATTTCAACATTAACTCTATTCTGAACACTCATCGAGAAGACAGAAAAGAAGAGGAAAAAAAGTGAGAAAAAAATAGAAAATCAGCTTCTTTACTTCCTCGGTCTCCATGGCTGCTTCAAACCATAGCCAACAGCTATATGCACTTTATAACTTTCAGCCAAAACCAACGTCCACTTGAGAGCAAAAACAAACACCAAAGGAGCGGGAAAAGAGGAGAAGAGCAAGGGAGTAGAGGAAGAACACATAACACGGCAAAACAAATAGCAGGGGAGAGAGAAGAGATGCCCACCGACTAATTTCACTCCGCCGGTCATCGAACAGGAAAATGCTTCACGATGGAACCTAGGAAAGCCTCAATGACCTCTACAAAGTAATCAGACTCAGGTGGCTGCATGTCAACGAACATTCACAGAAAATGTTCGAATCACAAACAAAATATCGCCTGAGAATGAAATAGTAATAAAAAGTATCCCCGTCTCTCACCCAGGGACGAAAAGAAAGTTCCTGGAACAAAATATGAGCACGAAAGTAACAAGGAAGGTCAACGTGTGGGAAGACGATCTAATCCCACTGTGTGCCTCTCACCCACACAATCAAACTTGTAAAAAATGAAAATAAAACACGATTCAAATAAATAAAAATATTTAGTTCTCAAGCTCCCCCTTTTCACTGCTCGGTTCATCTCCACTTGTCGCTTGGAGAGAGAGCTCGACTGCTGGAAGTCAAAGTTCCACACTGCACTGCTAGGCTCCATCTACTGTCATTGGGCTCCGGCTCCCGCCATATGGAACGAACCTCACGCCGCCGCAAACTGGAGAGAGTGTTTTCCCAGGTCTCTCCCTCTCACTTAACCCTTGACAATGGGCCTTGATACTTGGGATGCATCATTAGCCCATTCCCATCTCGCAACACCCACAATCAATCCACCCTCCATAAGTCCAGGAGACATTCTATTTTTTTCCTAATTCTACCTTAATAGCGTTTATATGTCAATTAAAAGTATTCCTCGAGGATATACACCTTGGACAATCATATAAGAATAAAGATTAGAAAATCAAACAAAAAATTATCACGAATAATATGCAGCTTTAAGTAAGAATTTATGAAATATACCATGGAATCTATTTAATATTTTTCATTCAATTTTTCTTATATTTGACATTGGTTGATGCAATATTTATTATCATTCTTCCCTGATGAACAAACAAAATGCAGTAACATGCACTTCTTGGTCAACGGCAGTCAGTTTAATTGCATGTAAAACCCTCGTAAGGAATTTAATTGCGTGCGGACTCTTTCCAACCTCTGCAGCTTGACCATATTACCCAAGGATAAAATTAACCTCTGCAGGAGGATAATTTGATTGTCAATATTTCAACTGGGATATATGAAATCAGCCTCTGCAGCTTGGCGTCGTTGAACAGGACTACTCACATCTAGGACAATGAAGGCAATAATGGAAGCAGCTGTGACAGAGACACAGAGATAGAGACTGAAGAGAGAAAAAAAGAGAGACAGAGAGACAGAGAGAGATTCAGCAAGAAATGAGAAGAGATCGGCCGGTTTAAAAATTGCCCCTTCGTCTTCCTGTCAAAGGAGAATGGTTGGAAGGGGATAGTGGAGGAGAAGGTAGCCTCCAATGGATATGCTAGGGTTGCCGCAGGAGCTGGAGCTTTCTCTGCGTCGTCCGTTTCTTCTCTCGTCTTACTCCTCTCGACTTTCCTCTTCCTGTCGGCCGCCTGTTACCTGCGAGGACCTCCGAAGAATAAGGAGGACCTCCGCCTGTCACCGTCCCCGCCCAAACTCCCCCTCATCGGTAACCTCCACCAGCTCAGCGCCCTGCCTCACCGCCCCCTCCGAGAGCTCTCCCGCAAGTACGGCCCTCTCATGCTCCTCCACCTCGGGCAGAGCCCCACCCTTGTTGTCTCCTCCGTGGAGGCGGCGGGGGAGGTGCTCAAGGCCCAGGACCTCGCCTTCACCACCAGGCCCTTCTCCGCCGCCGCCGCTGCCCTTATCAACGGCTGCCGCAACGTGTCGTTCGCCCCATACGGCGAGCACTGGCGGCGGGATCGGAAGGCCGTCATCGTCCACCTCCTCAACCTCAAGAAGGTCCATGCCCTCCGCCGGACACGGGAGGAGGAGATCGCCCTCATGATCCGGAAGATCTCGTCGTCTCCTTCTCTGGCGACGGTGGACCTGAGCGGGATCGTCTACGACTTCTTCAACGGCCTCGTCCGCAGAGTCGTCGCCGGGAGCTGCCCGGCGAGGGAGGTGAGGACGCAAAGGTTCCGAGAGGCGATCGACGAATCCACGGTGATGCTCAGCGGCCCGAGACTGGAGGAGCTCTTTCCGAGCTTGGCGCGGGTGACAAGGCTTCCTGGAGCAGACTCGAAGTTGAAGAAGGTGGCGAAGAAGTTAGATGTCCTCCTCGACGAGATCATGACGGACCACGAGAGGCGTGCAGTAAGGAGAGAGCAGGGGGAGGAGGTCTATTTCCTCGGCCACCTCCGCTCCGCTGACACCGCCGGCGACTATGCCTTCTCCAGAGAAGACTTGAAGGCCATCTGCCTCGTGAGCCGCCGCCATGAATTATCCTCTCTCTCTGTCTGACAGACGTGGGTTTTAGGTCATCTTCACCATCGTCTTTGCTTCCAGGACCTCATCGCCGCCGGGTCGGGCACCTCGTACGTGGTGCTGGACTGCCCGCCCCCACGGAGGACGACGTCGCTCGGATACCCCACCTGCGGGCGATGGTGAAGGCGGTCTTACGGCTTCACATGCCGCCGCCGCACCTCCCGCGGGAGTCCATGGAGGTCACACGCGTACTGGGCTACAATGAATGATGTCTGATAATCAATAGTTGAAACACCTTGATATGTATGTAGGTCAGCCAGCAAGCTGGTTGTGAATGCTCTTCAATCCATCACTGGAAAGTTGATGGTCCATTGACCTCACCAAACAAGTGGGAATACACACAGTCCAATCATTCCTATGCATTGACGAAAGGGAAGATGAGACTCCACTCTTCCTTCCAACTTCCCCCACCACATCCAGTCACCTCCTTCACCTCCCTCGGTCAACACTCTCTCTCGGGATGGCCATAGATGGATGCTCTTGACTCAGTCTTCCTCCTCTTCCTCCGTTCCTCTCCTTCTGCCTCTCAGGCTGCCAACTGGCCCTCCTGCACAATCTTCGTCAACGATAAATAAGCACAGATGTACTGTTCCTCTGAGGGGGGGTTACAAAGCAATCAACGTCATTCCCAGAAATAATCAAAACCAACGAATAAATGAATTGATTGTATCATCAGTCAGTAATAAATTCAACTGAACTATATGTTCTTAGACTTGACGATACGGAAAGAGCTACATCTAAACATTTTTGAAGGAAAAAATATCATATTTTCTAAGTTTAGTTCATTTACATGGATCTAACTATCCATTTTATACGGCCAGATGTGGTCAGGAAGGAGGATTAATGGTGGGCAACGGTGGCAATGACCTCAAACGTTTCATGCTCTTCTCTTGTTCTTTCCTTTTCTCCCTTGTCTCTGAACGCCTACTACGCCCTTCTCTTCCTCTTCTTCCTCTCCGCATCTTTCGTCCCTGCTGTTTCCTTGACCCACGCCATCTTCAGCCGAGAGGACAAACCCTGAAGGTGTCGGCTTCTCTACCAGCACTAGTGATGGATAGCCAGGATCTATATACGAGGTGGACGGAAGTAAGCTTGGTCTGAACAGTATCTTTCAACAAATGTGATCAGGACCAGGGAACTGAAATCTAGTCTCAAGGGGAGACCAAAATAAACGTCTTAGATCGGAAAAAGAAAGAAAGAAAGGACCCAACCTTGTGCTTCTGCGTTTGCTGATGTGATTTCTAAATCATTGGAATTAGGAGGAAAAAAAGAAGTCCTTGAATTAGTATTCCTCACCAAAATGAATGGAGAGATCAGTCGGATAAGAGAGGAATATGTCGCAGGTACTGACTATTGCAGTCATATCTCCCTCTCGCTGGTGGCGGCGGCGTTTTTGCCCAGATGAGGTGTGCCGCCGCACCTCCGTAGACCTGCATCAGAGTGGAGTGAATCTGACTAAATGAATGGAAGAAAAGGGGTCGCTGCAGTCCATTCTTTGGGGGAGAGTCACTAGGATGATGGACTGAAGCAAGCTACTGCCGTCTCTCGCCCTCCGCAGCGAGCCATCTCTCTGCCTTTTCCTCTCCTTTCCTTTCTCTATCCTCCGTCAATATCGGGCTGCTTGATGAAGGGGCCGGCACTCTGTTGCGGATGGTGACAGTCGAAAACCATGTTATCTCTTGCCGTATTTCGCTACCTTCGGGGGCGAAAGCAGCACATAGGACACAAAGGGCGTGCAGAGAAACTTGTTCTATGAGATTCGGCTTGTTCTGACCCATGTCCGCAGTCTAACCAGAAGGAAATAAACGCCATTTCTTGACGATGATAATTTGCAAAGGCTTCATCTTGCGTGGGCTGTTAGCGTTTGAACTCCTGGGCTTCATCTTGTTCTCGGCTGTTTTCTTCGACCAGATAACCCACGCTAGAACCCTATTATAAATCCTCACCTTGCGTCCCTCAAAACCCTACGCTTCCCCGCTCGAGAACCCCGAAACTGTCCGTCCCAAGTCCCCTGAATCCGTCACTGTCACTTCCTCTTCTTCTTTCCTTGCCCACCCTCCCGAGAGGCATATGCGGCCCGCTGCGTCATGGCGGGGCTCCTCCGCAACTGTTACCCGAGGCGGGCTCTCCTTGCGACGCAGGTTCTCGTCCTCATGCAAAACCCTTTTCCGCCTGTATATTCTTGGTATCCATATATATGGCTGCTCTATCAGAGCCATTCCATCCTTTGATTTAGGAGGCGACCGTCGGTAATCTCCTCTCGGATTTACCATAATCTTGAAAGATCTGGTATTCCCTCTGGTAGAAAGGCGCAGAGAGAGATCTCGGGAGGTGTGGATGCAAGATTTGGTGGAGTAATTAGCCTCTGTTTCTCTTCTCTCGGCCCTCCTGTTGTGCCTGCCTGAAAGGACCCCATCATCCATCCTAACCAACCCCTTCTGCTCAAAGTTTTCCACCATTTCCTAGATTTGCTGTTAGATCGGATCTGTGAAGTGGAGGTTGCTGGATTCGAGTGCTGAGTAATCTCTGGGGGAATTTACGTGCTTTGCTTTCTACTTCTGTGGTCCTTGGTAAGGAGCCTGCTATCCCTGCCCTTCTCCCCTTCACAGGCTGTAAGCTTTCCACATTGGGGAGCAGAAGCGACGTTCTCTCTGTTCCGTGCTGCTCTGTCAATCCTCCTGTCCCTACAAATAGTGATCTCTGTGAGACAAACGTCGAAATTAAGGCTGTTTGTCTCTGTTTCTGCATCAAAATTCCGAATCCGAAACGAATGTAGCTCTCATTTCTTGATCACAATGAACGCCTAGAACCGTTGTTCTACTCATTTCTTGATCATCGCATGCCTTCTGCAACCATAGTTTGATGATGAGCTTTTCATCCTTAAACTGTGAGAAATTAGGGCATGATATGTTGCTGTATCATCCAACTGTAAGAACTCAATAAGTTTTGATTTGATCATATGATTCGAAGAGAAAAAAAGGAAAATATTCTATAATTATAATTAAGTCACCATTATTATTTGTTTTCGTTGGACACAACAAGAATTTTCATTATGAAATGATATCAGAAGGTTTTGATATCGTTGTGGAAATTCCTTTTTCTCTGCGATTAGTATCTTCTTTCAAAGAAAAAAAGGAAATAGAGCTTTGGAGGTCACAACTGGAGGACTGAATCATGCCTCTGTTGGCAGAACCTGTTAACAGAGCCAGAATTGAGGATAGTTGTATTTCTCATTGATGTGAATAATAACTTCAGGGCCAGCAGGATGATCCTCTATGGGGTTTATCTCGCACACTAGGAGATCACCAAGCTTCATATGTGTTGGCAATGATCAGATAAATTGAAGATGAACCATTTGACTGATTAGACTGCAAAATCGCTGTTACAAGACAATCGCCAAGATGACTGTTGGAGGATTGAAGAGGGCAATGGACAGCTTTGATAGAAACCAATCGGCTGTTCTTGGGAATGGAAGATCATGATATAGCATCTGTCTGCCTATGAGCTTTTCTACCATCAAAAGCTAGGAGTTTCTGATAGAATCTTATTATGTTTTTATATTTAGCCAGACGATTAGAGCTCAAAATCGGTTAATTGGGTGATGATGGGTTTCTGATAGAATCTTATTATATTTTTATATTTAGCCAGACGATTAGAGCTCAAAATCGGTTAATTGGGTGATGATGGGTTTTTCTGCGGACCCATCCTTCTCACTGGGGGAGTAGGGTGGCTATTTAATGAGCTCTAAGGGTCCTTGCCTCAACATTCCCTTCTAAATATTCATTCAATCTTTAGAAGGACTAAGGGCTGCATTTGAAGGAAAGATCATAAGAGAGGACTTTTGGCTTGGAGACCTACACTTTTCCCCTAACACTTGTTTTGATTATGGATTCAGAGTTTGCTAGAGCAGCATAGCGTACTGCAGCAGAATGCTCTTCCTTCAAAGATTAAAATCTTTTTCTCCAAGTTCACAGAATGCTGGCACCATCTCGGCCTACCTCCCTCCAGGCCTGTACTGGGATTTTTCAGTGGCTTGAAAAATAACTCTCCAAATTATTTATTGTGCATTTGTCCACTACTGATTGAACAAATTAGTGATGATTATATGATTCATTACTTGATTATATGAGGCATTAGTCCTTTCTCCTTACCATGCCTTCTTTAAGTAACAGACACTCGATTTGGATACTGGTCGTTTTTACAACCCTACAATAGGACTGGTAGCAGCTGCTTCATTTATTCATACCGTCATCATTTCTGTGAACAGTCTCTGTTCACATCAGTCTAACGGATACTCTGCCATTCAGGTCTGTGCTTACGGGTTGTCACTGTCCCTTCCACCTCACAGCTTCTCAAAGGGTACGTGTAAATAATAATAAAATATATATATATATATATATATATTTAGATATATATAGACAGGAGAGAATATAGGCATGCATTACGTGAATCTTTGCCTTCAAGTCTACGTATAACAGAAATTTTGACGTTTTCTTTGTCTTGTTGCTTCAATATTTTTTTCTTTATGTTGATGAGGTTGTTGCCTTTTTCTTTTTTTTTATAGGGAGAAGGAGAAAGTGTTCGGATGGAAGTGACTCCGGGGAGGAGAGTTTGCCAATGAAAGACCTGGCTCTTCAGAAAGCCCTAGAGCAGATCACTGCTACATTTGGAAAAGGAGCAATAATGTGGCTCGGTCGCAGTCCTGCCCGGCAGGAAATTCCTGTTGTTTCAACAGGATCTTTCGGACTGGACGTTGCTCTAGGAATCGGTGGTCTTCCCAGGGTGAAATTTTCTGCTTACTGTTCCCTTTCTTCATGCCCCTAGATCCATTAGCTGCGAACTTCAGAATTTAAATTATCTTTCATTCCCCTTTATACTGAAGTTAGCAACCATGAAGATAAACACACCCAATTCTACTCTGTAGGAATGTTTTTGTATATGGGTTGTTTCCAATCTGAGGCTATTGGGATGTTTTGTGGACGTGGTCAATCTCCCTACCGCAATTTTAGGTGGGTGAATTGGATTGGAATCTGCTGTACCAATCCATTTTCAGCTCATCCTTGTCATATTTCATTATTTTCCAAGAATTTGAATGAATGCTCAGAAGTTATCCATCTGATGCTGCCCTTCTGGTGTGCAATACTGATATTTCGTAACTTAGCCATCTGATGTCGGTCTTCTGGTGTGTGTGATGATTCCTTCCTGCTCCACTTCAATGAGCGGTCAGTCCATGTGGTCTGTCTCAGGGACGTGTTGTGGAAATTTATGGGCCAGAGGCTTCTGGGAAGACTACTCTTGCTCTCCACGTGATAGCCGAAGCGCAGAAAAATGGAGGTGACTGTGATTATTTTTTCCCTGCTTTCCCTCCACATCCCCCATCCCATCATCACCATAACTTGTTGACGTGGCATCAGTGCAAGAATTTTGTGGGCCCGCATCTGTTAAGTGTGGGGGAGTAGAAGAAGACAGAGTAGAGGGAGTGTCATGTCGGCTAACCATAGAGAGATCACAATGGAAAGGGCTCTTTGATTATGGATGGGAGCTCGTTTTCTCTCTGTCACATTGTAGCTCTTTTATTCGCTGATATTCACTGGATTATGCTGATCCCGTTATACTGTTCCTTTTCTTTGAGGAAAAATACCACTCTTTGTATGGTGGGACTCGTTCTTGTTTCTGGCAGCAGTAAACACTAAAATTTGAACGATAATCTCTCTTCCGGTGTGCAATACCGCTGATTATTGTGCTTTTTTCTAAAATCATTCCTCCGTTGACTTACGGTGGTAGTTGGTTCTTGGGTGTTCACTTTAATCTCCATATAAGAAATCACTAAAGATTGATTATCGTAATTTTTTTTCCCCAAAATCATGTTTCTGTTGCTTTATATGGCCATCTATACTACTTCATGCTTTTCAGAATTGCTGCTGCAAGTTTTTCTTTTTGCCTTCTCCATGTAGGTTATTGCGCATTTGTAGATGCAGAGCATGCCCTTGATCCCTCCCTGGCTGAAGCAATCGGCGTGCAAACAGACAGCTTGCTCCTCTCCCAGCCCGACTGTGGTGAGCAGGCACTCAGCATTGTGGACACGCTTGTTCGAAGCGGATCGGTTGACGTTATTGTGGTTGACAGTGTAAGTGGAATTCCAATTTGAGATCTTTTCCGCTGCCTTCAAGTGCTTCAATTCCACGGATTCGCAGGCTTCGAGAGAACCCAAAAAGATGGTCTGCATCTTCTACTTCTGGCCCCCATGAGAGCTGATAGATTAAGGTTGCATTCATAGAAAATATTCAAAGAATATTGCAGGCAAATAAATATTCAAAGATAATAGCGGGGATATAAATATTTTAAGAAGTTGTGTGCGTATAAATATTGAAAGAATATTGTATGGATATGAGTTTCAGGGTCAAAGTGATGCCAGATGAAGATCACTGTTTAGTAGATGTATTTCTTGACATGGAATGATGTTGCCGTGTGGATCAGAGATGCTCTCCGGAGCCTTGTAGAATGTATGAATTAGATTGAATATTTGAGGGTCCAATCAATTTGTCTAGGTAGCAGCGCTTGTTCCCAAGGCTGAGCTCGATGGGGAGATGGGGGATTCCCACGTGGCACTTCAAGCGCGGCTGATGAGCCAGGCTCTGCGCAGGCTGAGCCATTCCTTGTCTCTGTCGCAGACTCTCTTGGTGTTCATCAATCAGGCAAGCTAGCTTTTCTTTTCTTTTTTTTCTTATTTATTCGATGGATTTTTATGGCTGTACTTGTTATGGCTCTTCCTCGAGGTGTTGACTTCACAATAATGGGTTCCTCTTTTTTCTTTTTTACTCTTCTTGTTTTGCATTGAATGATTTCGCTTGCTCTATGTGGGTGGCGTTGACTACGTTGTGTGTGAAAAGTATAAGCTTTTGGGACCTCTTTTCCTCTTGCAGGTTCGGATGAAAGTCAACGTGTTCAGCGGAGGATTCGGGGCGCCGACCGAGGTCACCTCCGGCGGCAACGCCCTGAAGTTTTATGCATCCGTCCGCTTGAACATCAGAAGGATCGGCCTCGTCAGACGAGGGGAAGAGGTGATAATCGATAGCCTCTGATTCATCCGATCTGCATTGCCGAGGAATGCGTCTCTGATTGACCCGCATCCATCAAGATTAGATAAAAATGGCAATGTGGGTTGAAGAAGGTGATGGTATAAACCGGGGTGCCCACATCTGGTGCGGCGAGTCCTTGCTGGGGATTCTGACTGATTTACTTGCCTTGCTGCGCCAGACGACGGGCTGCGAGGTGCTGGTGAAGGTGGTGAAGAACAAGCACGCGCCGCCGTTCAAGACAGCGCAGTTTGAGCTGAAATTCGGCAGGGGAATCTGCCGCCAATCCGAGATCATAGAGCTCGCCTGCAAGCACCGGCTCATCGCCAGAGCCGGCGGCACAAACTACAGTCTGGATGGCCGATGCTTCCGGGGGAGAGACGCCATTAAGCGGCACCTCGCCGCCAACGACGGCGTCCGAAGAGAGCTCGAGGCCAAACTCAGGGAGAGGATAATCCAGCCGCCAGGCACGAGCCGCTGCGATGAATCCGACTCCGACGATCCCTCGGGGGAAGGGTCGTAGAACTCCGTAGATTGCATGTCCTCTGCATGGCAGTGCATGTACTTGATGCTCATATATGGTTCAATCTATATACATAAAGATTAGGCCAAGTATAACCCAAAATTATGAATATTTAAGTCATTAGTAGGATGCTAAGGGGGGTTTGGGTGGTTGACAAATACCCATTGACTGTGATTAATCGCTAATAAATATTTGAAATTGTAGATGTTTTTCAGATTGATTGACGTAGGATGCGAAAATCATCACCAATAAAATAAAAATAAAAAGTATTTTATTATCAAATTTTTTTGCTCCCTGTTTATATAGATTATAATTTCATTCATTTTTATTTTATTAAACTTTAAGACATTAATCAATATCCCTGGAGATCAGAAGAAAAATGGAAGTAGTCGATCTTTTCAAAATCCTATTTCCTTTCTGATATAAGCTAATTATCCTGTTTTTTATGTTTTATCCGCATAATATATTTATTCGCGGGAATATATATTGACTTTATTGAGGTTTTCTCGAATTAAATGGAAATTTGTGGGCTCCCATCACTTCGAGGACCTTCGAATTTGTAACATCAAAATGGGGGAGCTTAGGGTATAGTTTGCAAAGATTTAGGCTTTTTAGGGTTTAGCTGTTAAATTATTCGTCTTTCGGGATCGCCAACAGTGTCCGAGGGCGTGGGAGCAAGGAGCGCGACGGGGCGGCGATGGCGGGTCCTCCGCCTCCCTTCGCTCTTCAAGGGTTTCATCAATGGTCGCAGCCGCCGCCAGCAGAAGCCCCGCTGCCACCGCCTCACCAGCAAGAACGGTTTCACGGGTTCCCCTCATCCCCAGCGGGGCCACCGGAATCCCAGGTCGCCGCGTCGCCGCCACCTTCGGCTCCGGGGCTCGTGACGCTCCTGGTGCGGCATCTCCCCGAGGCCATGCCTCAGGAAGTGCTATCTCGGCTCTTCTCGTACTATGGCGCTACTTCGGTCCGCCCATGCGTCGGCGGCAGGTTGATCCCATCATTCTCTCGGATCATCTCAATTGTGTTCATTAAATTTCCGACGCACCGCATTAGACAGTCGCTTTAGATTCATTTTTTTCCATCATGCGTTTTAGTTTCTGTGAATTACATTCCAGACCATCTCCATCTCTATCTCTTCTTATTGTTATGACATATTTTCTCTAATCATTTTTTTTCCTTCAGGTTGAGGAACTGTGCGTTCGTAGACTTTGCCAACGAAGCCTTGGCTTCGCAAGCGCAGTCACAACTCAACAGGTGCTGTCTCAGTCACGGACTACTTGAAGTGATCCTAGAAAGCGACCTTTTAATCATAATCTTGGTTCCAAATAGAAACTCATATACTGAATTTATGTGCAAATACGAGCTCTAATTTTATCAGAAATACGCAGTCAATAATGAATTATTTTGAATCCTATGATCCAAATCCTTTATTGATATTTATCTAGTTTTCCATCTTTTTAGTGTTCTATTGTTTTTTTTTTCCTCAGTGAGATCGAATGCATCACATGAAAAAATATTTTTTGTTAATGGTAACTACCGAAACAAGATATGATATCTAATTCCTTAACCCATGCCTTTCCCCGTTTTGCAAATTCCCCAGATTGAGATTTCTTGGGAAAATGTTATCTGTGGAGAGAGCAGGCAAAGTTATGGGCGATAATAATAAGCCCCAGCAAGGTGAAGCACCACCTTTAAGGTCCTCATCCATTCAGAAGGATCAGCCTGTGACGGGAAAGCTCACAAAAGATGCTGACATGAGCTCAATGCCGATTGCTGAACCCATTGCTCCAAGGCTTGGCGTGGACTATCCATTTCCACCGTACCTCGAGTATGTCTCCTCTTGTTCTATCTCTTTATGGGTCAACTATGCCGCTTGAAGCAGACCTCTCGTTGTCTGAAGTTCTTACATGAAGGATTTCTCATTCTTTAATGCTTAGAGGAACACTGCTTAACTTATTACCTCAATTAATGTTATATTTTTTTTATTTTTTTATTTCCTGATAATTAGATGTTTAATCAGATGAAGTGAATTTCTAAAATATGATCTACTCCTGGGTATTCTGATCCATTTCAGTTGCCTGTAGTTTGTTGCTTTCAAGTTGTAATGAATTGATTAGAAAGCGAAGTTTCCTGTACCATGATACCAAAAAGAAATTATTTCCTAAGTTGACCGGATTGTCTCCTTTGTTTTGCAATAGTTCCGTTCAGCTAATCTTCGGTTTTAGGTTGATAACTAATTGTGTGACCCATTGGTGCTCTTCATGAACTCCTTTTAATATTTCCAAGTCAGTCCAAATCCTCAGGAGGAAGATAGCATTTGATGTGGACAAGTGACTCTTGTTTTAGCATTTATTGATCTTCAAGCACACTGTTGTATACATGCTCAATATGCTATTTTTTTTTTTCTTCCCGTGCAGGTATGAGTATCCCCCTCCAGATGGAAACATATTGGCCAATATTGTCAATGCATTAATTGCTGTTCCTCGCTTTTATACACAGGTGTTGCGTACTGTGCTTTCCTACTCTCTCTTTTAGTAGTGTATAATCTTATCTTATGCTTCGAATACTCTTCCTTTGTCAACGTAATCCAGCTTTATATCAGCGTTCATGTTGACTTTCTCGTTGCGGACTTGAAATACGTAGTTTGTTCTGACTGGCAGGTTTTACATTTGATGAACAAGATGAACATCCCCGCCCCCTTCAGAATGGCGTTGCCCACGCCGCCTATTCCTCCAGCGGCACCTCCTCCGCCCCCCCCGCCCCCTCCTATCTCAGAGCCTCATTTGGCGTATCTATCCAATGATGAATCCGAGCTCGAGTCAGAAGAAGAAGTACTGCTTCACTTTTGGCGACATATTTACCTGTTTATACCTATTCCAGGCGATTATTGTTTCCTTCTTGCTTTCTTCAGGATGCTTCTGGTGCAGTTCGGAGGGCTAAGCGGGTCAAGCGGGAGGCCATTGTCGGTCCTGCAGTCGACCGAGGGGTCTCACATGAAGACGTCGGCCTGAAGCCTGGCAACTTAGTTCCAAAGGAAGTTCCAATGATAAAAAAGAAAAACCCCGTCCTGCAGGTTTTCAATGCCCCATCATAGTCCATTTAATGAAAACTGTTCTCGATCTCATATCCTAATGCATTCATCTTTGATCTATGTTAGTTTAAGATTGCTCCCAAGACAATACGAAATGAGAATAGAGGTGGTGATGACACTCTGTTAGTAACTCCAGATCCTGAGGAGCAGCACTTGGAGCCGAAGTCTTATGCAGCAGCTGAGGAAATCGAGAGGGGGAAGCTGCCTCCGGAGGAGCTGCTATCTCTTCCCATGTTTAAGGTGAGTGAATCTGGTTTCCATTGACTGCAGCGTCATTGCATTGATCGGTGCATTGAAAGGATGGGTTAATGGAGAGATTGACCTAGGATAAAAGATGGAGAAATCAGGTGAAGAGAGGAAGGGGAGAGGCCCAGAAGAACCCTACGCTATTGCTTGACCATAATATATGGAATCCTGGCTTTCCTTCTGTCTCATATTACTACGAAGAAAATGCACTTTAACGGATACATGTATTTTTGGAATCGTCGATATTGTGCAGAATTACACTCCTGGGAACCCTGCTGCTGTTTTGTACATCAAGAATCTGGCTAAAGATGTCGTTGTTGACGATTTCTATTTCATATTTGGTAAGTTTGACTTGCTGAAGCAAGACCTATCATTCATTTCTTAAATTGGTTAAATCTCCGCCGATTTTCTATGCGTCTACATGGTTTTTCAGGATCACTTTTCAGTGGGGTTGAAGAAACCAAGTCGGCGCTTAACATCAAGTTGATGCAGGTAACACCTGTTCTTGGTGGTGTTTTGGGGTGTTTGACTTTCCTGCTCACGTCATCCCTGTGATTTTGCCATCCCAAATTGTGATTGCCCTCACCATATCCTCGGAGGATGGCTGACCTATCCAGTTGGTTTAGCAGACATCAGTTTATGACTTTGAGGTTTGCTGTTTGATGGGCGTTGACTTTCAGGAGGGGCGAATGAGGGGCCAGGCTTTCGTCACATTCCCATCCACGGACCTAGCGCAGCATGCTCTGGTAAGTATTCCCCCGGGGTCCCACACCAGGTCCCCTTGCTCAAAATCCCACATCACTGGGCCTGGGCCTCAAATGGTTAGGCAAGCTTCCGGCCCGGCCCGCTGGCGCCGCCATCCATGCCAATTGTCATTAACCCATAACTTGAATAGTAATCAATCTATGGTGCTTGGTTGCAGAATCTGGTCAACGGGTTTGTGTTCAAAGGTAAACCCATGGTCATTCAGTTCGGCCGCAACCCCTCTGCCGCCAAACCCAGCTAGGAAGGAGCCCACCAAAACAATCTCTGTGGGTCTCTCTTGACACAGAGCTGGCCGCCACCATCTTTCATGAAGGCTGTCGGAGCTCTGGAATCCCACCGCCACCGCCACCGCCACTGCCGCTGCAACCCCTCTACTGCCAAGGCCAGCGCGATTCCATAGCAGCAATCTCTGTGGGTCTCTCATGACCCAGAGCTGGCCGCCACCATCTTCATGGAGGCTGTCGGAGCTCTGGAGTCCCACCGCCACCGCCACTGCCACCGCCACCGCAACCCCTCTACTGCCAAGCACAGTTAGGAGAGTCCATAGCAGCAATCTCTGTGGGTCTCTCTTGATCTGGCCTGGACTCCACTGTCTTCACGAAGGCTGTTGGAGCTCTGGAATCCCTCTCTCTCTCTCTCTCTTTCTCTTTCTCTCTCTGGAATCTCTCAGATGGCTGCTCTGTAAGGACTGTCTGGTTTCTATGTACATTCTCCATTGGGTCCCTTGGGTGGCTCTCCTTTACTGGATTAGAAGGCTGTCGCAGAGTTGGATGGCCAAAAAGCCTGGCCTTCGGAGGATGTTTTGACCGACCGGGTTGACCGAGACTATATATTTCGTACAAATCCTGCGGCCCTTCGTCTCTCTCCCTCCATCTATGCGGCGGAACCCTGCGCCTTACTTCCGCCAGTCTCTGCCGCGAGCCTTCTCCGTCCTCTCTCCTCCGCCGCCTGAACTTCCTCCTCCGCCGCGACCGCACCAGCCATGCCTGCCAGATCCCGGCGCCTGCACTGCCCTCCTGAGGTCCTGCGGTACCGTCCGCGCTTTGAGCTCCGCGCACGCTGCGCTTCTCCGCGCGCAGATTCTCCCCGGAAACCTCGTCATCGCCACCGCCCTTCTCTCCCGGTACGCCGCCCTCGGACGCGCCAGCTCTGCCATCGCCATCTTCTCTTCGTGCGCCTCCTCCGCGGACGCCTTCCTGTGGAACACCTTCATCAGGTGCCTCGCTGATGGCGGTGGCCACTGGGAGGCCGTTGCCGCCTATCGCTCCATGGGGGCCGAGCATGGAATCCGACCAGACAAGTTCACCTACCCTGCCGTCCTCAAGGCCTGCGCCCACCTCCGCGACTTGGAGCTGGGGAAAGCCCTGCACCGAGACGCAGAGGAGTTCGGTGTAGATCGGGATCTCTTTGTTGGCAACTCCCTCATTGCAATGTACGGGAAATGCCACTGCTCGGAGCTCGCGCGGGAGGTGTTCGACGGGATGCCCGATAGGAATTTAGTCAGCTTTACCGCCATGATTGGAGCGTATGCGCAGAATGGTCGCTATGACGAGGGGCTTTCCCTGTTCAGACAGTTGCTCCGAGAGAAGATGATTGGGCCCAACAGGGCGACATTCTTGAACGTGATGTCCTGTGTCTGTGGAGCCGATAACGCCCACTGGCTGTACGGCCTCGCTGTGGAGAAAGGTCTTGCTTCGGACATATCTGTTCAGAATGCGGCTTTACGTATGTTCTCCAACTGCGGCAGAGTCGATACTGCCAGGAGACTGTTTAACAGCATGCCTGATAGAGATTTGGTATCATGGAGCTCGATGATTGAGGCCTGTGTCCAGGCCGATCTCTCTGTGGAGGGTCTGGAGCTCTTTAAGAATTTGAAGCAGCAGGGGACAGCTCTGGACTACGTGACCCTTCTCAGTGTCATCCGTGCCTGTGCAAGCTTTGTCTCCATCCGCCGTGCCCATTTCATCCATGGGATTACCCTCAGAAGCCTTCCAGAGCTTAACGTTGTGCTTGAGACGGCCTTATTAGAGCTGTACGTGAAGTGTGGTAGCATCCGATCTGCACGCAGAGTCTTTGACCAAATGAGGGACAAGAATTTGATCTCATGGAGTACGATGATCTCTGGTTATGGAATGCTCGGCCATGGGAGGGAGGCACTGAAGCTTTTCGAGGAAATGAAGAAGGTGGTGACACCAGATCATATTACTTATGTGTCAGTGCTCTCAGCTTGCAGCCATGCTGGGCTGGTTGACGAAGGCTGGCAATGCTTCAATTCCATGAGTGAAGAATCTGGTGTCGTCCCTAAGGCAGAGCACTATGCATGCATGGTTGACCTCATGGGGCGGGCTGGCTGTCTGAAGGAAGCTCTCAGGTTCATCAAGCGAATGCCAGTGGCTCCAGATGCCGCCGTCTGGGGATCAATGCTTGGCGCTTGTAGAATCCATTCCAATGTGGAGCTCGCCGAGCTCGTGGTGAAGTCTCTCTTCGAACTAGACCCAAAGAATTCAGGACGCTATGTGTTATTGTCGAATATATACATGTCTGCTGGCAAAAAGGAAGATGCCGATCATGTCAGAGCTCTGATGAAGAGGAGAGGAGTCAAGAAGATATCAGGCCATACGATCATAGAAGTGAGAGACAGAGTCTACAAGTTCTTGGCTGGGGACCGATCAAATCCTCAGTCAGACTTGATCTATGAAGAGCTCGGGAAGTTGATGAAGAGGATCCGCAAGGAAGGCTATGTGCCTGATACGAATTTTGTGCTGCACGACGTGGAGGAGGAGACAAAGGAGCAGCTTCTGTATGCACACAGTGAGAAGCTGGCCATCACCTTTGCACTCCTCAATTCGAAGCCAGGGAGTGAGATTAGGATGCACAAGAATCTGAGAGTCTGTGGGGACTGCCATACTGCAACCAAGTTCATCTCCAAAGTCACGAAGAGAGAGATTTTGGTGAGGGATTCCCATAGATTCCATCATTTCAAGTGTGGGGAGTGCTCTTGTGGGGATTACTGGTGAAGACAGAGGAGGAGCTTTCACGTACAGTGCTGTGAAGCATTCATATATTGCGTTGACTCTTGATTTGTTGAAGAAGGAGCCAATTGGCCACTATTCAGGGTAAAAAAATCCCTGAATTAGCATTTGTAATTCCAAAGTGACTACTGGGTTGATAATTTTATGAATTTTGTTTTAATCTTGCATGAGTACGAAGAACATAAGACTCAATTTTCATGGTTGTTGATGGATTTTTATGACACATCTTATTGGTTAAAAAAAGATGAATGATGTAATTCAGATGGCAAACTTATTCTTTAAAGAATTTGATCGGTTGCGTGGTATTAAATATGAATTAATTACTTCTAATCATCATTTCAAAATGACATGTACACACTATTGATGAGGTTTGATACGTTCTTAAAATTCTGAAATATTAGACACCCAAAAAAATAGATGGTCCAATGAAGGTAGTAAACAAGACATTTGAAATTTAATTTGGCATAATTAAGAAGATAAATCAAGATAATATGCTTATGTTCTGACTTAAGAAGAATTTTCATATAAGTCGATGGTTAATCACGTCATTAAAAAATTACTTTTCATTGTTTGATATTTTCTCATAAAAATAGAATCAACTAAATTTATTAGATTGATTGTTTCCATTTCATCACATGAATCCTATTTTTAATTTTTCTTGAGATTGATTGTTATAAATCTGTTTCCTATGGATAATTTTGTAAATGTGTTTTTGATTTCAATGTGTTTTCTTCATAATCCACCTTAGATTACGCCAACATCTTGGTAAGATTTTCATCTTTTGATCTATTTTCCCATGAAGCATTGCCATGATTATGTTCAAAGAAGACGCATAAAAATAAGATACCCCATTCTCTCTCTCTCTCTCTCTCTCTCGCTCTCTCTCTCATGTGTTCTGAATGGACTTGAACCAGCAACTCATAGAGCGAGTTGCAGCCTCGACATTCTTTTCACTAACCATCGAGCAAGCTGATGTGCATGTATGGGTGGATTGATAAGATCGCCATCCCATGTGGCTGAAACATGAGGACATCCATCCCATCATCCATCATGGTTTGTTCTTATAACCCTAGGAGTTATTTAATGGGTACGTTTACTACTGCTAATTCAGGTATTAGTTTCTTTTGACAAAAACCCGTCGTTGGAAATTATCAACCGCGAATAGAAACTTTTGGGGGTTCATACGCTCCTTTGAAAGGAGAACATTAATGATTTTTAAGCCCGTGGATATTGCACAATTACAAAAGAACCCTTTTCCATCTGGTTTTGCAGTGTATCGTTCTTCTGAGGTCATCCTCGAAATATGGTTAGCTGGCGGTAGGCGCCGGGATGCATTCCAAGACGATCGCGAGCGAGAGAAACAGAGATGGAAGCGATAGAGAGAGAGATATATACGGCGAGCGAGAGAGAGAAAGAGTGGTAGATAGATGAAGAGAAAGAGAGTGGTAGACAGATGGAGAGAGAGAGAGCTAGAGAAGAGAGAGCATGGAGGGGAGGTGTATAAACGTATCAGGCAAGCACAGCAGAACTGGGAGAGTGGGGAACGGCAACAAGCCGGAGGGGCGCCTTCCGGCGGATGGCGATTCCGGGAGCCACGGCCATGTCGAGGTCCTCCGGCGCCGTGTCGGCGGGTAGAGACCAGTCGAAGTGGTAGAGGAGGCCCGCGAGGGCCAGCTCCACCATGCAGAGCGCGAAGTTAATCCCCGGGCACATCCTCCTCGCCGCCCCGAACGGAAGGAACTGGAAATCGCTCCCCCGGAGATCCTCTCTGGCCGGAACTCCTCCGGCGCCTCCCACCACTGCGGGTCCGTCGCCATCGCCCAGGCGTTGATGAAGACCCTCGTCCCGGCGGGGACGTCGTAGCCCAGTACACGTGTGTCCTCCATGGACTCCCGCGGGAGGAGGAGCGGCGCCGGTATGTGAAGCCGGAAGACCTCCTTCACCACCGCCCGCAGGTAGCGCATCCGGGCCACGTCGTCCTCCGTGGGGGTGGGCCTGACGCCGGCGACCTCCCTCACTTCCTTCTGTGTCCTCTCCATCAGCGCCGGGTTCTTCATCAGCTCCGCCATCGCCTACTCCAGCACCACGTACGAGGTGTCCGACCCGGCGGTGATGAGGTCCTGAAAGCAAAGACCAAGGTGAAGATGACCAAAACCCACGTCAGAGAGAGAGAGAGAGAGAGGATAATTCATGGCGGCGGCTCACGAGGCTGATGGCCTTCAAGTCATCCCTGGAGAAGGCATAGTCCCCGGCGGTGTCGGCAGAGAGGAGGTGGTCGAGGAAGTCGACCTCCTCCGCCTGCTCTCTCCTTCCCGCCCGCCTTTCGTGCTCCGTCATGATCTCGTCGAGGAGGACATCAAACTTCATCGCCAGCTCCATCAACCTCGAGTCTGCTCCAGGAAGCCTTCTCACCCACGCCAAGCTGGGGAAGAGCTCCTCCAGTCTCGGGCCGCTGATCATCACCGTGGATTCGTCGATCGCCTCTTGGAACCTCTGCGTCCTCACCTCCCTCGCCGGGCAGCTCCCGGCGACGACTCTGCAGATGAGGCCGTTGGAGAAGGCGTAGAGGATTCCGCTCAGGTCCACCGTCGCCAGAGGAGGAGACGACGAGATCTTCCGGATCATCAGCGCAATCTCCTCCTCCCGCGTCCGGCGGAGGGACTGGACCTTCTTGAGGTTGAGGAGGTGGACGACGACGGCTTTCCGACCCCGCCGCCAGTGCTCGTCGTATGGGGCGAACGACACATTGCGGCAGCCGTTGATGAGGGCAGCGGCGGCGGTGGAGAAGGGCCTGGTGACGAAGGCGATGTCCTGGGTCTTGAGCACCTTCCGCGCCGCCTCCACGGAGGAGACAACGAGGGTGGGGGACTGCCCGAGGTGGAGGAGCATGAGGGGGCCGTACTTGCGGGAGAGCTCACGGAGGGGGCGGTGAGGCAGGGCGCTGAGCTGGTGGAGATTGCCGATGAGGGGGAGTTTGGGCGGGGACGGCGGGAGGCGGAGGCCCTCCTTGTTCTTCGGAGGTCCTCGCAGGTAACAGGCGGCCGACAGGAAGAGGAAAGTCGAGAGGAGTAAGACGAGAGAAGAAACAGACGACGCAGAGAAAGCTCTCATCTCCTGCGGTAATCCCGGCATATCCATCGGATGCTACCTTCTCCTCCACTGTCCCCCCCAGCCCTTCTCCTGTCATAGGAAGACGTAGGCGATTTAAACCGGCCGCTCTCTCCTTTCTTGTTGACTCTCTGTCTCTGTCTCTGTCTCTGTCTCTCCCTCTCTCTCTTCTCCCTCTCTCTGTCTCTTTTCTCTCTCTCTATCTCTCTGTCTCTGTTTCATCTACATCCATTACCATCTTTGTCCTAGGTGTGAGGAGTCCTGTTCAACGACGCCAAGCTGGAAAGGTTGACTTCGTATATATGCCAGCTGAAATATTGACAATTAAATTATCCTCCCGCCATAATTTGAATCCTTATGTGATATGGTCAAATTTGGGCATCGTTGGAAAGAGGCCGCACGCAACTAAACTCCTCACGAGGGTTTTACATGCAATTAAATTGACTGCCGCCTGAAGTGTTCTTCTTTCCACGGCCGGCGTCGGCGTCGCAGGGCTAGTCCACACCGACACGCCACCAAGCGGCACATTCTCCTGTGGTCAGAATCAGAATCTTCCGCAAAATCTAGAATCCTTGTTCGGCTCGATTTCGAAATGTAGCCAATTAGCTAAATAAACACTAAAATTCACCAAAGTAGGAATCTCATTGTATGAATCAGAATTTTTTTCAATAAAATGCGCTCATCAGCGACCTCTCCTCCATTTTCTCCACTTGAGTTGACTGAAAATATCTTTTTGATGCTGGATAACATCTTTTCTCCGGACGGCTGTCAGAAATGGGGACCATGCGGGTTGACCTGGTCCAGTCAACACAATGCATGGCCGGGGGCCAAGTAGTGACCGATGCTGGCCTGTAGGTGCCCACTCTTGTAAGTGATACCCTCTTGATGAGGCACCTTTTTTAAAAAAATATTCATTAAATATCTCCTTGTGTAGGTAAGAAAAGGACATTTACCCAAGGAAGTCGTTCTAGGAAGGCCCTACGACTTTTAGACTTTTCCTTATTTACTATACGTTTTCGTTTTACTTAAGTGCTGCAGGTTTGACTCTGGCTGGCAGATCAGGTCTACAGCCCAAGTAAGACCAAAGCCCAATGCTAATCCCGTTTTAATCCATTTTAAGTATTAAAAATAAAATCCAGACGCAACTCAGCGACAGGTTGGTGGGCTGACAACACATCCACCGATGGAGGGGAAGATGGAATTCCCTTCTCCACCGTTGGAATAATCCGTAGATTGTGATTATGGGGTATGTCAATGGAAGGTAATTAATATAAATTATATAAAAGATCATGATATTTTATAATATTAGGGACTAGATAACAGTCAGGTGGAGATAACCCATTGAGACTCTTATGAGCTTGATCACATCACGTATGAGCTCTTCCTCAGATTAGTCAGATCCCTCGAGATTGATGTGAAGTTGGCGAAGGGGTACATGTTAATGCATAATTTTTGTATGTTAACCAAGAAAGAATGGTAACTAATATTTCATCAAATAATGTCAAATATAAGAAAAATTGAATGTTTTTATTACACATATTCTATAGTATATTTCATGAATTCTTACTTAAACCTGCAGATTATTCGTCAGAAATTTCCATTTGATTTTCTAATCCTTATTCTAATATGATTGTCCAAGGCGTATGCCGTTGAGAAATATTTTTAAATTGACAGGTAAATGTTATTAAGGCAGAATTAGGAAAAAAATAGAATTTCCCCTGGATTTATGGAGGGTGAATTTACTGTGGTGTTGTGAGATGGTAATGAGCTGATGATATCGGCCCCAAGATACAAGGCCCATTGTCAAGGGTTAATTGAGTGGGAGAGAGGAGAAAAGTACCATAGAGCGCGCGGGAGGCGGATCCTCATTGGTGGGGATGAGGTGGGAGAGGGCTCTTGTTTGCGGCGACGTGAGGTTCGTTCCCAACAGCGGGAGGTAGAGCCCAATGGCAGTAGACGGAGCCTAGCAGCACAGTGTGGAACTTCACTTCAAGTAGTCGAGCTCTCTCTCAAGTGACAGGCGGAGATGAGCGGTGCAATGGAAAGGGGGAGGTTGGGAACTAAATTTTTGTTTGAATCATGTTTTATTTTCATTTTTTAATAGTTTGATTGTGTGGGTGAGAGGCACATAGTGGGACCATATTATCTTCTCACTCGTTTACCTTCCTTGTTACTTTCGTGCTCAAATTTTGTTTCAGCAAATTTCTTTTCGTCCCTGGGTGACAGATGGGAATAATTTTTATTACGATTTCATGCTTAGGCAATCTGTCTGTGATTCGAACATTTTCTGTGAATGTTAATTGACATGCAACCACCTGACTCTAATTAGTTTGTCAAGTCATTGAAGTCTAATTCCTAGGTTCTACCGCCGGCGAAGTGAAATCAGTCGATGGGTGTTTCTTCTCTCTCACTTCCTATAGTTTCTTCCTGTAACGTGTTATTCCTCTTCTCTCTTGCTCTCCTCCTCTTCTCTCGCTCCTTTGGTGCTGGTTTTTGTTCGATATCTTTGCAGGCCCTAATGGATTGGACAGGCTCTCAACTGGACGTTGGTTTAGCTGGAAGTTTTAAAGTGCATATAGCTGTTGCCTATGGTTTGAAGCAGTCATGGACACCGGGAAGTAAAGAAGCTGATTTTCTTCTCTTTTTTTTCTTTCTTTTGTTCCTCACCTTTTCTATCTCGATGAGTGTTCAGAACAGAGTTGATGTTGAAATTGAGAGTCATTTCCATGGATTGACCTGGATTCGCTGAATTTTGAGTCTTATTTCTTGTTTTGAAACCAGAATTAAATATTGAAATTTGTTGTGTTTTGCACACAATGATCAGGATATATCAGTACACTGACCAATCCATATTTTCTGGCTACTCGATCTCTGATTCAAAACACCCTTCTTAAGAGTAAATAAAGACCACCCTCCACTTGGTGCACGAATTTTTTTGGTGAATTGCATGTTCATCTGCACAACCATCAATGATGTAGCCCAATGCTAAAAAAACCAAATAAACCCATAACTAGAGGCCCAATCATTTTAAAAGGGGCTGTGAAATTCAAATGGCTAAAAGTGGGTTCAAATAAAACACAAGGTCATTGAGTCAGTCCAAATTTTTTGGGCATAATCAATTTTTTTTCCTTTTTTGTTTGTTTATAGTTTTTATTTTTCTTGCGATGCCAAAAATATATTTTGATTATATTTTAAAGTTTGTTTTCTTTTGGGATATCCAACCTCCTTTTAGGTCTATATAAAAGTTCATATATTGTAATTTCAAGGCATCTAAGAAGTATTAAGAGTTTTCCCACATTTAAAGTTATTTTCCTGCACTTGTGGATTTAAGAACCCTTTGTGAATTCAAGGAATTCTTTTTTATTTTTTTGATTAAACGTTGCCCCTTTATAGATTCAAGGGTCGAATTCTACAGTTACGTCAGTTCAAAACTAGGTTTCTTCATCAAGATTCGTGCTTCTTAGATTCATGAACAGATCTTGCTATCTCCCATATTAGCATTATATTAAATGATGTTAGAGCAAGATATCTAGTTCTATATTCATCTCTCAATATCTTTAGGTAAAAACACATGGATTAATGAAGCTGACATTATTGAGATATGTCCCCAATCGTGAACATAATTTATGAATTTTTGCAAACACTTGTATTACGAGCTTTTGGAGGTAAATGACATAGTAAAATAAAATTTATCTCACATAACTACATTAGAACATCATCATCGTATTAAAAAATAAAATTATTTGACTGGTAGAAGTTTTTTGAATTAAATGATAATGGCCTTGATAACTGTTCTATGCTTATTTCTCAAAGTTCAAGAAGTAGATTTAATGATAATAACTATAGATATTTTCACATGAAAATCAATTTACTAAGTTTCAATTGTCATTTGTGAATAGAGGATTTTTTAGATTAATTAAAAAAAGTTCAATATTTTTCAAATTCATAAAGATTTATGATTAAAAGAAAGTTAAATTAGTTGCAACAGGTAGAGCTGCTGCATGGTACAAACAATTAAAGTGTACTCTTGCCAGCTTTGGTAAAGAACATATTCTTATGTAGGATAAAACGGAAAAAATGTTCAAACTTTGGATTTTAATTCTCTCAAATAAATTTGTGAAAATAATCTAAAAAGTTATGTAGCACGCTCAAACCAATCTATTACTTTTCTTGTAATTTTAACCTTGCTTATATAAAATATTCTCAAGGTGCAACTTTTTCTATCCTATTTATGAAAATATTTTATACAAGCAAGGTTAAAATTACAAGAAAAGTAATAGATTGGTTTGAGTGTGCTATAGAACTTTTTAGGTTATTTTCATAAGTTTATATGAGAGAATTAAAATTGTATATGATTTGAAAATTTGAAAGTAGCCTTATTTAGGGTATTGAATATAAAGTAGCATTGCAGTCATTTTATAAGTTAAATGACATTGTTATGACTTCAAAACTTGTGAAGTCATTGTTGGAAAAAAGTCTAGATATCAAAATTTGAATAATATCTCACATTTTGACTAGATAGGTTGATACTAGCTATTGTTACTTTTGTCCAAACCACTAGAAGATGAACAACAATTCTTGCATCGAAGTCAAGTCAGGCAACAATGACAATCAAATCAGGTTCTTCACCAAGAAATCCTTATACTTAATAGCATTTCAAAATATTACAAATTGGGTGAAGAAGCAAAAGTCCAATGTTCACTCAAGTGTAATTTAGTTCATTTAATGAACACAATAAAAGAAAATAATGAAGAATTAAAAGATCAAAGAGAATTTCAAGAAAACTCCCTTGAATTTAACAGCGAAGGCATACTTTCTCATTCATTGTTGATAAGAAGGAGGATGTATTAACTAAGAAAAAATGTCATGAACTATGAATAATAAGGTATGTGATATTATCATTGATAGAGTAGCAATGAAAGTACTATTTCTTCCAATATGATACATAAATTAAGGTTGAAAAGAAACTACACCAGGACCCAAAAAAAAAAAAATAGTTTTGAACATCTTTGTGGTGAAATCTTTTATTAGAAAAATATATTGTAAAAAGGTAAAGGGTGGTGTAGTTGATATAGATACATGCCACATTATTTTGAGAAGATCTTACCACTGTAATAAGGACATTATGCATCACGACAAAGACAATATTTATATCTTTTATCAAAATGGTCAAAAAATTATCTTAGGCCTATCGAAAGATAGTGTTCTCACAAATAGTAAAAAACAAAAAAACAGAGATGTTCTTAGGGCTGCTGTTAATGTGTGAAAACACCGGAAGGGGGTTGCTGCCGCATGAGAACTCGTATTTATCAACTTGGAAGCTGAACCCGCTAAGCGGAGCCGCCTTAGAAGAGTGGTGGCGGAAAATGAGGCTCTTGCAAAGGGATTTTCTGAGGGTCTTCCCTCGCTTCATCATCCGGTTCAAGTCCATGAAAAGCTTCCTCTTGGTGATGACCCCCTTCCTGATCATGAAGAAGGCGATCTTTACGTAGTTCCATAGCTTGCTGCCGAAGGCTAACGGATGAAGTTCCATTGCCAGCGGATCTGAAAGTCTGAAAGTGTAGCGGAAGAGGGAGCAAAGGGGAGAGAGAGCAAGATGAAGAAAGAAAGAGATGATAAGAAAACAACTTTAATGTATATCTTTTCGTCTCTTCGAGGACTGAAAACTCGCTGGGGGGGTGAGGGTGTGGATCCCTCTGATGAGAAGAGGACAGTCGAGGAAGGTCGAAAGATGGGTTATTTATAATGGGTAGCTTTGGAATAAGAAGAAGCTATGACGCCTTCCTCCAAAATCCACAACAGCTGCAATATATTCCTCGTCGTCTTCGACAAGAAATAGCAGGCAAGAGCAGAGATTTTCATGTGATTATTGATAATACGGGGGTGAAGATTTTTCATGTGATTGATGGTAATACGACATTTGATGAAGCATTCATGGTATATGCGGGCTGAAAAAGACGCATAAGTTCGCAACCGAACGAATGAAAGTTCAGAGCAGCTAATCTTCTGCCGGGTGGACAGAAAGTCGATGTTTCTTCCAAGAAGGTGAAGCTATGAAGTCCTGTTATAGTGGGATACGGCACCTTTCTTTTCCTTGCTTTCTTCCTCTTCCTAAGGATGGATGAGTTACATTAATATACTGCGTGGGTGCGTGGGACAGCGAAGGGCGGGGCTGGGGGGTGTCTTCCAGGTTGATGCGGCCTTTCGACGTGAGGGCGCCCACGATTTGTGGGGGGGAGGGGGAGAGAGAGAAATAGAAAGGAGCAAGAGAGGGGGAGAAAGAGAGAGAGAGAGAGAGTCATCTTTCGCATCAGGCTTGAACTGTTCGAATAACTGAAAGAATGGTGAAAGGAGGCCACCACCGCTGTGCGCGGTTTAAGTGGAAGATTTGGCCTCTTTGGCCTTTTTCTACATCATGAATACTATATATAAACGCACACTCTCTTTCTTCTTTTCTTGTAAAAAAGAATTAGGGTTCCTGATGTGTTACTATTCTCCGCCGCACTTTTTCTTCGTGCCTCGCTTGTCCTCTGTGGGCTTCCCAGAGGCCACCGGACAACCACATTATTTACGTGTCGTCTCCCAGTAAAGACCGCGGTGTTTTATTAGTTTTTTCGGCGCTTTTGGGTTGGCAGTCTCCCTTTTCTAATACTACGCATACCTTTGTAGAAGAAGTAGGATTTTGCCCATAAAATAAACACGCAGATTGACGAGATTATCTGAGAGGATGACCAACTTTTTCCAAATGCGTGAACTGCATGAACTGTGGCCAACCTCTAAATTTCCAGATAGATAGATAGATAGATAGATAGATGGATAGAGAGAGAGGGAGAGAGGGAGAGAGAGAGAGAGAGAGAGAGAGAGAGAGAGAGAGAGAGAGGGAGGGAAGAGAGAGAAAGAGAGAGTTTCATATGATCTATTTATATATGTAGACATGGTTGTACACGACTACCCATATAGAGAGAAAGGTTCATATTCTCAGATAAAAATTGGGTCATTGAGTGTAATGAGCGAAACATATTAATTATAGAGCACAAAGACTTTAAAACTTAACTAATTATCCAATGACAATTCGGTGTCTGTAAGCACCTTAATGCGTGCGGATCAAATGGGTTAGGTCTTATGCTGAGAAGCTGAAACACATGACCACCATCTTCTTCACTATGACCCAAACATAGGTTTTCTTCTAATTTTCTCCTGATTTAAACATCTATCTAGTTTATTTTGAAAAGAGCAATATCTTATAAATAGGGAGATGTGAGCATCCCAAATCAGTTCTCTGTTTCTCTCTCTATCACACTTTCTCTCTGATGTTGTAAATATTTTCTTCCATATTTCTTGCTAATCTCATCAGAGTTGGGGTTTCAGGGGCTGATCGGGACAAGATGGCCCTCCTGCTAGGTCTCAGCACTAGCTCATTTAACACAATCTTTTAGATCACATTATTGCACGATCAAGGCGTAACACGCGAGGCGTCGGCAGCGAGGATTGAATATGGCTCCTACAGACCTTTACACCAAACTAGAGCCGAAATCTACATCGATAACGGACCAGAAACCTTGTGATCGGCTCATTAACAAAGGTTACTGTTGATGACAATCATGATTAATGGAGATAAACTATTCTACAACGGTATAAATTTTATATTTATATAACATTTCAATGCTATATACTTCCCTTTTGGGTTTATTCCTCCCTCCCCCAAGCGAAATGCTTAAATGATTGGCAAGCCCCTCTTTTCTTCTATCCCTCTTCTATTTTTCTGCCAAACTTTTTTTCCATCCTTCAGCTGAGGTTCATCAAGATGGTCAACTTAACTTAATCACGATGAAAATCCCTGTAAAGATAGTAAAATGAAGAACTAAACCATAGTTAACCCTCCTCTGAGAAAAAGGTCCTGCGGATGCAGCCCGGCCCTCAGTTCCCCTTCCATAGAAGGTCTCCCGACTCTTTCTCGTAGTCCCAAGCTCCAACAGTGCTGGTCAATCCGACGTTCCACTCACCCTCATTTCCTCAAGCGACATCTACCAACCTTTTCTCCCAGCCCTTCATCAGGAAGTTTTCTTGTCGTCTCATAATTTATAACTCAGAGAAGTGGATGATTACAATCGTGTTGCACGTTTTCGAAGAAGAATGCAACTTGAGGAATAAAGTATGTGTTGAGAACTTTACGTCGAGTAATAGATGATGGATGAAAGTAGGACTCGTCCGTCATTCAAGGATTATAAACGAAAATGTCCTTTATTCTTTTAACTCATAAAAACGTAAAGATCATTCAAGCATTTAGTTTCCAACTTTGGACAAAATAGCAACTTTGGCCCTTTTTCAGTGCTGGAGGTCCCCCATGCGTGAGGAATAGCCTAAGAGAAGAAGACGCAGCCAAGAACCTGATAAATGCTGTAAGTGGGTGCACGAGGTCTTTAGATCTCTGTGAACACCCATTTCTCGCTATCGCGCTGGAGATCATCACGAGAATTTTAGAATTTCCATGGTGGAGGCGTCTGATTATTTGAAGGCTTCGTAAGGTCGACCGAATTGTTAACAGCTCCATACCATTCAACCCTTTAGCGTTTGACGATGAAATCTGTAATAGAGATTTTTCTTCTGATGTCTTCGAGAGGGAGAGCTTAATTTGAAGGCGGAGAACTCGATGGCAATCAACCTGAGGACGATATGAACTCCCTGTTCATTCAGGGTCATTATAGAAGTAGGCATCACACTGAGCTTCTGCTGAACAGATTGTAAAGAGGAGATTCACGTAGATTCGGTGAAGAATTGTCAATTCAAGGCGAAAGAGCACGGCAGTGTATCCTCTTTCTTTACGAAGAAAAAGCCTCCCGGTGGACAAACATGTCCGTAAGAAATGTCTATCTTGAGGTCAGGTTTCTTTGACAACTAAAAAGGGAATCCTCACACCTCTCCCTTCGCTTTTTATAAAAAATATCGGGCCATTTCTCTCTCTCTCCCTCCCCCGCCCCTCCCCCCTCTCACCCGTTTGATCGCTGCGTGTGTGGAAGTAGCAGTCCAAGGGATTCCTCTCCTAAAGCACGCCCAATTGTAAAAAGGCGGGGGCTGGTGAAAAACACTTCGTTTCTTTCATGTGGGGTGATGAAAGTGTCGACAGGGTCCCATGTGCTAAACTCTCTCTCTCTCTCTCTCTCTCTCTCTCTCTCTCTCTCCCCCCTTTCCCCGACTTTCATATCTGTGTTCTTTCCCAGTCAACACGATCCCTGTGATGGGTTGATAGAACCTACGATATGAAACATGACGATGCTACGACTCAGTCGACCTTACCTTATAGCTGGCTTGGCGAGAGTAATGATGTAGACGGTTGATGAGGGGTAGAACATTAGACTGGGGGCGAGAGTCGCAGTCACAAACATGACAGAAAAGAGATGGCTGAATCTTGGAGAAGCCTCCGACTCGATAGTCTTCGATAAATGTCCGATACTACGACTCATTTCAACTTTGGCCAGAAATATCCCATGATTTGATCATTGGCCCGGAAGCAACTGAGGTTGAACCGAGCTGTACTGCATTTACACGCGCGCACACGTGTGAGGAGAAGGATAACAATCAAGTATAATAATGGAAAGGAGATTGAGAGCCGGTGCTCTCGGCCATCTGTACTGCAGGGAATCCAAAGTAGGGAAAATTTCCCACAAAAACACAGGTGAAGGAGTGGAAAAGCAGAGGAGAGTCCACCTTGTGAAATACCTAAAGGAAAATGCTCTCGCTCTATAACGTTGCGACAAGTGTCCATTAACATCCGACCCCCACCACTTTGTTCTTCCTCTACGTGTGTTATATAATTGCCTTTGCACCTTTAAGCTTTCACTTTCCATAGGTTCCTTAGTGTCCACTCTTCCTTCTGTGTGCGTGAAAGAGAGAGAGAGAGAGAGAGAGAGAGAGGGAGGGGAGGAGGGCGGGAGGGAGGGAGCCATCTTCACGCCTGTCTCCTCCTGCCCTTCAAACCATACATTCAAGCCCAGCATGCATGTATTTGCTTCTCGCCCACTATCTATATAAACCCGTCAATCACCCCTCTCATCTGTGCATGTCAAAATAAACGTCTACCATCTCAAACACACGCCTTCACGCTCACCTTCTCCGCAGATCATTAACAGATGAGCGCCATCCCCTACCCACGATCTTTTTCTTGATTGCCATATACCTCTCTCTCTGCCTCCGTTTCTTCCTACCTACACCTCGTATAGATCCCACCCTTAGTTTCCGAGATGAGGAACAAGGCCTCTGTTTTCCTCAAGCAGATGCTCTCTCTTCTGGTCTCCATCGGCAAGGCCAAGGCACTGGCCGCCAAATGCAAGACAAGCACAGCCAAAACCAGGCTCCTCGTCCTCGGCCTCTTCCGCAACAAGAAGGTGCTCCTCAGCTCCCTCGCCCACAAGATTCACATCCTCATCGGTCATGAGAAAAACGACGGGCTCCCTACTGTGGAAAATGAGGGTTCAATGGCGATCCCTCACTCTGAGGGACCAGCTACGACTCAGGAAGCCGTAGCGGAGGAGGAAGAAGAAGAGGACGATGGGTATCCTGATCTGAGGCACTCGCTCTTCGATGGGGATGACGAGTTCGGTGGTGACGATGGCACGGGGTCCGTTATCGATTTGGTAAAGAACGCCCGAGGGGAGGACCAGGGGGAGTTCGTCCTCGAGGATGAGATCGACCACGTGGCCGACATGTTCATCAGGAGGTTCCACAGGCAGATCATGCTGCAGAAGATGGAGTCATTCAAGAGGTACCAGGAGATGCTCGAGAGGAGCGTCTAAGAAGAAAGCGTTTAGATGTTTATACAGTCTCTTCGTCGCCCAGTGTCATCGCCATGAGCAGCTGACCTGACCCATCCTCGATGGGAGATTTCCGGGATCTTCGACAGATCTCTGTTAAACAAAGTCTTCTCGTACATTTGTGTTTGTTTCATCTGAAATAATACATACGTTCGATAGTTTCATTAAAAGAATTCGGAAGGAAAACAAGGAGACGCAATGCCAGCGAACTACTATCAAAATACGTGATGAGAGAGAGAGAGAGAGAGAGAGAGAGAGAGAGTAAATAAGAAACTGAAAACCCACATGACAGAGAAATCGATATGCGATTAAACATGGCACGGGCATTATGGAGGAAGGAGTTAAGACCCAGTTAAGAAAATTCTTCGTTTCGACCGTCTGCGGCGCCTGCTCTAGTGAAAACTGATCAAGAAAGTGGGAGGAGTAGAGTTAAGAGGGCTTGAATCAGCTTATTCAAGTCACTGGCCAATTCAAGTATCCTAAAGGACGCCTGAAATATCTAATCGTCATTTGGGTCGTGTGGGTTACCTGTTTGATCCGGAAGAAAGTTCAAGGCAAGATGTGATAAAGGATCTTCCATTTATGAACAGCTCTGAGGAACACATTTCATATTGTTTATATCAACGATTTATGAGAGCTGAGAGCTTCCGAGAATACCCCACATTCTCAAGATCTGGATTTGCCTTTTTTAAAATCAGATTCGGAAGACGTCCATTCCATCTGGATCCGCTGATTGTGAAATCTGGATCTGAGGTGGAAGCTCGAAAGTACGGGTTCACAATCATTTGGTGCAATTCCAAACACCTGAAGACTATGTAACTCAGAGGCATAGATGAGAAGGGAAGATCAAAATCTAAGAAAAGGCTGTAGAAATTTGCCCGTACTTGTCCCACGGACAGTTTCTCGGCTCTAAGCAAACCCACTTTGAAAAAAATACGAGAAATTGAGAGAAATAAATTTTCTTGATGTGTGAAATTTAACATTATTATTATTATCCTCATTACCATCAGAATTCTTATTATTTTTAGAATTATTACGATTAGTGTGCACCGTTAACCACTCAGAAATGAACCCACGTCGGATCTGATTGAGGGGATAGATGTACCGTCTTTAAATCTCCAAGGATTTGAGCGTAGCTGGGTCTAGGAAGTTGATATGCCTCACTGAGACGATAGTGAATAAAGGAGCGGCTGCGCTCAGAAGAACCTTTATTCTAGAATTACGGTCTCCCGTACCATCTCGACAGGCGAAGAATCTGCTTTTCCGCACATCGCATTCCTAGGGGTGTCAATGGGCCCTGCTCGAACCTTAGCTCCCTTTTGGTGCTTATCATTAGGGCCTGAGCCAGGCCCAAGACTCCCACACCCATCCTGATGCCATGACTTATTCACCCACCCGTGGATTCATAATCGTCAACCTTTGGGAACATATGATCCCTAATACTGACTACTGAGATTTAAGAAACAAAATGGAAGCAAGAACTTGAGGTAACGTCGTTGACCACACCGGCTCACCCTCATCTGGTCCACGGCATCGTTCTTGTTCTCAAACTGGTACTTGGGGTCCATGAGCTTCGTCAGGACACGCTCTTCCCGTCTGTGTCAACCAGCTGGAGCATCTCCATCTCCTTCTCAAGGTTCATGGCCACGGCGGATTACCACTTCAGCTCATCTGCCTGATCCCTGTCCTCCCCGATGCCTCTCGCCAGATCCTGGCAGATACTCTCGAGAAGTCCTTTCGACTTCCTCTCCCCCGAGTTCTTCAACCTCTTCCCTGACCCTCTGGCTTACGGTCCTGCCTCTTCACGTTCCTCAATCTGTGAACAACAAGACAATGGCGTTGACCACAGGGCCATCGGTGGGTTTCTATAATCATCGGTTATCACCCGGGCCCGGCGGCTCATCCTGGAAATCGGGCGGAAGGAAGCGGAAAGGAGCAAGCTTGCCGTGGAGGAGGTAGAGTCGTTCGTCTCGGAGGACGCTGACTTCCTGTCGATAAATTTCTAAGGCGATGAGCAGCGGCGCTTGCGGAAGAGGCAGGCTTCGGTAGCTATGACACCATGGGGCCTCTGATCGGCCCTCGCCATTTCTCTGACGAAACTCCTCTGCAATCTCAACCCCGGACCAGACAATGAGAAAAAATTCGAACTCTGAAAGGTACCTTTTATGAAAGAGAAAGGGGAAAGGAGAAGAAATTGCGGAAACCCGGGGAAAACCCTCGTCGGCTGCACTGAACGGAAGCTCGCCTAGAAGGAAGAGTCGACAACCCTTTCCTCTTCCTCGGTTTCTCGATTAGCGAAGGTAGGGAGGAGGCCCTGAGCACGTTCCAAGGACCAGCTGGAACTTAGGTACTTTCAACGAGGCATCGTCCACTTAGAGAAAAGTGGGCTACAAGGATAAACTTCCTTCAAGATAAGCAACCCAATCTATTTATTTATGCAACAATGTGTGTGTGTGTGTGTGAGAGAGAGAGAGAGGCGTGTGGTTGGGCATGTTGGAAGGAAAATGAACTTGATGTTTCTAGAGCACATACATTTGGTTAAGTCTGTTTATTTGGTTAAGAGGCACAAGCCCATAAAAAGAGGCAATGCTAGGAGTTGTGCCAAGCTTTAAGCTTTCACAACTCATTGACACCTACTTCGGACTTCAAGAAGCAGCATAGCTATTATTTTCCACATATCGAAATCATAGAGGATGATTACTTATAACGGATATTTTTGAACTATGGATGAAATCTCCATTATCCATGACATTCATACAAAAAAGTTTGAGACAGACTGGAGATATTACAATTTAAGTAAGAAGAAGTGTAGATGACCAAAAATATTTTATATTTATGTTTTTTGAGATGCTCACGAAAGACATTTTATATGTACCAAAAGAAGTCTGACAAGGTATTTCAATCATTGGTAAACATTCCCATAAAGTTTTTATAATGTTGATAATTATGTCAAAAATAATGGAAATAGCATAATGAGATTTTTTATGGTATTTTTTAGTGCTATTCAGTTGAGATAGGTACATTATTTTCAAATTATACATGCATCATAGATTGAAACTATAAGAAAAACCCATGTTTTTTATAGAAATTTTAAGAATGCTAACTTCAATTTTTTCTGGTGTATGTCAAAGAATTTAAAAGATATGCACACAATGAATATTTTTTATTTGATACTAGTGGCCAGAGTTGGCAAGCCCAACCCAGCACATGAATGGGCTCACTAGTTCAAGCATAGCCTAATTTATGTGTTCAGGCCTATTAGGAGCCCTGTCGGTATTACGAAGCCAATACCAAGAGGTGAAGTATGTATTCTCTGCAAATTGACATGTAGGCCTCCCGCTTCGTCAAATTGAGTGAGAGAGGGAGAGAGTTACAAAGAGAGGGAGAACTATGGAGAGAGCTGAGGAGAAGATCTGCATTGCACTTGAGAAACTCAGTGATGGAAGACAACAACCAGAATACATCTGTAGGATAGTGATAAGGACGCAAAAGAAGTGGAGCCACGATCTCACCAACGCACCGCAAAAGATGAAATGAATATGGAACAACAGGCGCAATGCAATAATCAGGAACCATTATCTCACCAGAATGCTGAACAAGACGAAGAGAATGTGGAGCCACGACTGTGATGTACGTGCGTTATGCCTCGGCGGCACGATTTCATCTATTATTAGTCCATAGTTAACCACTCGTCTGTTTGGATATTTCCTCCATTCCTGAGAACCATACAAAGAGCTAGCTAATGACATATTGGAGGTATCGAAGTTGGACATTATCGTGTTATTCGCTCCATGAAGGATAGGCCGTGAGGGCTACCTGCCCAACCCCTTGCATAGAGCTAAGGATGTGGCTTGAACTCGAAGAGATAAAGCCATCCTTTCAGAGATTGTCTGAAAAAAAGTCCAAATAAGCTACAATGAGGGTCTACCATAATCTTTCAGACATCATTTCCATTACCCACGTATCTACAACATCACTCCCCACTCAACCATATCCACCGAATCGCCACCATCTGACCGCACCATCACCCCTATCCATAGTTTTCTGCACGCACCTGCACATCATCACAGGCGCCCCCGGGACGGTCGTCAATCAAGTCCATCGGGGAGTACAATCATTCCTCATCGTGGTAAATCTTGATCTTTCCTTGCCTTGTATCAAATGTTCTTATCCAGCATATTTTCTTCAGGGAGCCATCGGGTTCCCCGTTGAAGGAAACTATTCACATTATATCAGTTTGATTAATTGAGAGGGTCCCATAGATAGCTATTCAACTATTCCTTGTTTGTGGTCAAAATAACTATTCAGCTATTCAACTATTCCTTGTTAATTGAGAGGGTCCCATAGATAGCAATTCATATTGAGAGGGTCAAAATACAAACTGAAATTAGTCTTCACTTTTGGAATTTATTGATCTCCATTGGAGAAGTAGACACACTTAGAATTGGGCACAAAATTGAGTCTATATTTCCCTTTTATTCCCCATCAGATAGCCACCGAAAGAAGGCTCAGGCCAATAAAAGAGATCCAGACCCAATAGAGGCTGAAATAAAGAGATCTGAATTTGTTTTAACTATATTGCTTAAACAGGTCCAGTCCAGTCCGAACTGGGTTAACCCAAACGGCCCAAAACTTCTTATTTTATGTGGGGAAACATAGGCGTTGTGAGCCTCTCCTTTTTAGCCCATAGATAGCCCTGAACATGATATTCCTTCCTTCACATTTCATGCTATTTTCCAATTCCTGTCCTTCTGAGTGTTTTATGCTTATGGATTCAGATAGATCTCTCCTGTGAATTCAGAAGAGGCACCCATGTGGATTCAAGGGTCAGCATCTCCAGCGTCTGTGAATACAAAATTTGACTTTTCCTCGTCTTGTCCATTTAGGACTCTTTCTTATCCTCTTCTGTTCTCCTTCACTATTTCGATATTATGAGTGCCAAATTTCTCCTTTCAACGACTTCTGCTGCGCCACTCAGTTCTTAGTCGAGAGAGAAAACGCGAGACACAGAGGTATAACCAGCGATGATGCTATAGTCAGCCTTGTGTCAAAGCATCGGAGTACCCAATTGATACAAACTATGTGAGAGGTTCAAATATTAATCTCTGGTTAAAATACAAGCATCTACTGTTTTATATGGGAGAAGTACTGATCGCTATAGCTACAGAACCAAATCCAATTCACCATCTCCCTGTGAAGGAGAAGTGCTCGCTCTTCTGATCTATAATCTAGATTATAGATTGAAGACTCTTCGATTCTTCATGAAAAAATTAAAAATAGAATAAAGACTCTTCTCGAAGTTGTCGACAAACCACAAAACTTTACTTCTTAGTTCCGACATGGAAGCAAGAGGAAAATCGAAATTTTTAGCTGATTATGCTGCCCGCGGGCTGCGCTGTGGCTGCTTTCAATCATTTCGTCCATTGAAAGATCTCCCCGATTATCGTTTTTACCTGGTCAATTTTACCGCAGCTGAAATATGGCACATAAGAGGTCAAGGGGTTTCATCTACCCGCGTTATTAGCAGTAGCCTCGGGAGCGCAGGAAAGGGGCCCAGATGACTAGCTCGGGATTTCCCTCGGAAGATAGATCCCTCTCATCCACCCGTCAGAGAGAGAAGGTAGGCAAGGGTCATTTTAATCTTTACGAAGTCAAATCCCAGGAATACTCATCCCACCCACATGACGGTTCCTCTCCTCGCTCTCGCTCTCTTGAGGAGAGATTGGTGATGGCAGGGTCCGGCAGTCGCAGTGGTAAACCAGTACTCGGTTATCTTTCTGAAAGGTGGAAGACGACGAGCCGACGCCCACACCAACGGGCGGGTGGAGTTTGAACGTTTCAAAACTGGCTGCTTCGGATGCAGAAATGTCACGTGTTGCAAGCCCATCCTTGGCCGGGCCCATGCTTGTGGCCCTGTAATGATATAAAGCTCCTTAAACCTCATGATCCAACACAGGGGCTATGACGTTCTGAAGGTAGAGACAGTAGAAGATTGGAAGGTTGACTCATAGCCTCATAGCGTACACTTGTGTTTAATGTGACGTAGAACCCGATGGCCCACGGCGGGGTGGACTGAGTGCCCCACGAGTGGAAGAGGGAGAGAGGGAAGGATCATCTTCAAACATGGACCTCGTGGGGGAGCGTGGTTTTCATTGGTTGCTGCGGTTGGCGCGGGGGCCATCCTCCGACGGCGACAATGCGCTGGCGGCGACGAGGCGGGCGGTTGACGACCCCGTGCGCCCCCATCCTCGTTTGACTGCTTCTGTGTCGTCTAGCTCAGAGAAGATGACGGTTCCCGCATGACAAGCGCCGCCCCCACGGCCAGTCATACCGCTCTCATGCCCAGTCTCCCTCTCTCTCTATCTTGTCCTCGGTGTCGACTCTCCTTTCCCCTATCCCCGTCCTACTGTTTGAACCGGTTCTTCTTTATTCAGCAGAGTACACGAAGACAGCTGAGCTGCCAGCTGACATCGCCAACATCTGAATCCCAGAGTACTCACACTGATCGAAGCAAGCCCATAACTTTCTCTCTCTACCAAACGAGCAAAGCATCATGGCAGAATCCAGGTCGATGAAATCGACGGGCGAGGGGGGATTGGGGGAGGCTTATGGCACCAAGAAAGAAGAAAACTGTGACAATCGAAGGGAAAAAAAGAAAAAGAAAAGAGGATGTTAGAACGCAGCACTTATTCTGTTTCTTCAAGTTTTGTCGAGAGAGGGCCTATCCCTCGACATAGTGATAGTAATAGGCAGAGAAGAGAAAGAGAAAGAGATGAGGTCTTCAATCGTATAATCGGATCTGTTCTTTTTCTGTACGTGCCTATAAATTCTGTTATAAATAATGGCACATTTGCTGTTTCCAAGCATAAGTACAATGGTTTTAGAACAAGAAGAAGAAGAAGAAAAAGAAGTGGGGTTCTGCAAAAGCCCCATAATGTTCAAAAATTAGCGTGAAAAAGGAGAGAGAAAAGGAATTAACCTTTCTTCAGATCTTCTTTCCCTTAGTCTTTCTGGTATCCTCTTTCTTCACCTTTCGATCATGGGGTGGGAGCGCGTGCTGCGGATTCTGGTGTTTACCGTCGGCTGAAACCTCTTTCTTCAGCTTCTTGATCTTCTTTTCTTGCCGCTTATTCATTAACTTTTGTTTCTTCTCTTCTTTCTTGTGATCCTGGCGGTCCTTTTTTCTCTGCCGCCTGGCGTCGCGCTTCCTCTCCGCCTCCTTTATCGTCTCCAGCTTGGGCTTCCACTGCCTCTCTCGGGAGTCCACCACCAGCTGCCGGTAGTCCTTCTCTAGCGCCGCCGAAGTGCATACCCTCGCCCTGCCGACCACGCCGGCGTCATCGACCCTCTTCTGGGTTTCCCGAATCTTCTCGAGGAATTCATCGGAAACTCTAATCTGGAGCTTTCCGGAGGGGGTCTTGTGGACCTCGAACGCCCGCTGCATGAGTAGGGCTGACGTGGAGGACGACTGGAAGGAGGAGAACGAGGAGGCGAGGGTGACGAAGGAGAGGACCGACTGGAAGAAATGGAGGGGAAGGAGGAAGTAGGAGTTTCCGAGCTTCATCAGCTCCCCTTCTTGGAGAGCGGGAATCTTCTGCCCGATGGTGAAGGAGTCGGAGTGGCAGATCCGGTGGTTAGGGTGCTCCGTCAAGAGCTCTGATGCGATCACCGGTCGGTGGAAGACCTTCACCTGTCCGTCCATCGTGATCAGCTTCACGCAGCCTGTGGCGGACTTTCTGGGCCTGGAGGCGGTGGGGGGATCTACTGCGTAGAGGCATCCAGGGATCATGCGTTGGGTGAGGAACCTGTTGATGCCCATGGGAGCCAAGAGGAAGGCAACGATATGAGACCCGCTGTGGGAGAGGCGGGATTCACAGAGGAGGTCGGACTTTGAGGGCGAAGATTGGTGTTTCCATTGGTGTTGGGAGAGAGAGAGAGAGAGAGAGAGAGGACGGTGTGGTGGGCGTGTAGGGGAGAGTATTGGAGAGACCCACCGTGGCAGAAGAGGGGACGGATTGAAGGGGTAATGACAGGCGGGTGAACGAATTATATGATGATGAGAAGGTCGATAGAGATAGGCAGACGGATAGAGAGGGTCGTTAATAGCCTAGTTCATTCGGCAGCTCGTGTCATGAATTTGGTGGGAGAAACCCAAGGAGAGATGGTGGGACGGACTTCTCTCTCTCTCTCTCTCTCCTCTAGATATATACGCACAGTGTGTCTCCGTCCCTGCCTCTTAGAAAGGCAGGAGCTTTTCCCCCCTTTCTTTTTTACTTTAAAAAGATTCGATTATTAAAGCGTCTCCGGCCAGGAAGCCATTAGACTCTCTCCCTCTAAAGGTTTTCCGTGGGTTTTACGTTGACCCTCCCTCCCTCCCTATCTCTCTCTGTCTCTCTCTCTCTTCCGCGGTTTAATGTTGACCCAGCGTTCCACGCTCCACCCTGAACCAGAAATTTTTTGTTCCTTCTTTTTAGCTCTCTAACTTATAAGTAATATAATTAGATAAACGAGGATCAGGCACCTTATTCACCTGAGCCGAAAGTCCCGATATCATACGGTACATTATTTTATGGTGAGAACAAGTGAAACATCATGGTCATTAGGATTAGTAATATATTATACGTTCTACTTTGTAAGAAAAATCGTGTAATTCCTATAGATCGTACATCAAAGAAGACTCATCTTGTTGACTTATCAGTCAACGACTCTTCTCCCAAAACTGTATGCCAACGAAAAGGGAAATTATTTTCTTAAATTTTTCATTTAATTTTACAAAAGCTTAATTTATTAGCATTAAAAATCACTACAATCAATTTCTCTCACGGAATGAATGGGAATGTTCTCTTAATGACGGCGTGACTGAGTGAAATGAGGTGTAGATTAATTTAATGGTCATTGAGGGAAAAATAAGGGGTTACGAATAGTGCCTAGGTAATTAATTTATGAGGTAAAGGGAATGATGGGGGCAAGATTGATGACTTCTGTGAGCTCTAGTATCAGGATGTTTGGTATTCCACCTTGCCTACAAGTTTGGCTTAACGAAGAATAGTGTGCTTCATAATCTACATTCGTTAAAGACATCACCAAGTTGTCATCTTATTTGCCCTAGAATCAGTATCAATTTATTCTCCACCGCCATATAGCATGATGGGGATATTCGTGGGTTATAAGGGAATAAGTCTTCTCACTCTAAGCGCTGTCATCTCATCCTCAATGATGGAACTAGTCTGCCCTGTGACCGTGACGAAGAAGGGTGGGATCAAGGTAGATTTTGAGGATTCATACCCAGTCATACCTTCTCTCTCTCGCCCTCTCTCCCTCTCCTCCTCTCTCTATCTGATATTTTCTAATAAGTAAACGCCGAAATTAGGACGCTCGCCGGCCAACATCCGATCGCCGTTTTCGTCATTAATTACCAAAAATATTTATTTCCTCGTCGTATTATGTGCATGCGCGTAACTTAATGGGTCGTGTTGTGGGGGTAGGGACAAGAAGGATGAGAACGCAGGAGATTGGGCTTGGACTGACGGCGACCAACATGTGGGCGTGGTTTCCGCCATCCGCCGATCTTGACCGGCCGACATTTGCCCCAGTCTAACTAGGCGACCCTTGACCTTGGAGTTTCCGCCGCCCCAAGGGACCCCGGGATATTCTCTCTCTAGACGTACTCCCCTCTCTACTTCGTCGCCTGCTACGTCTACTAATATTATGTATTATTAATCCTATAACTACCCTCTCTCTCTCTCTCTAGCACGACGGCGTGCACACCAAGGATGGGTACTTCGGAGAATCGGGATGCGTGATAAGATGGGGAAGAAGTAATGACGTTCGGGCCATGATGTTCTTCGGCTTCCCCTTCGGACACACCCTCTCTCTCTCTCTCCACACGTGGCAGAAAAGAGACCCTGTCTATCCCATCGGAGACTGAGAGATTCCGGCTTAACCACGCTCATGCATGGAGGAGTCTGAGTATCACACGACTCCCGTTATGGCTGGCACAGCCACACCTCATGACGCAGTAATTAGTAGGTCTCGGGGTCGTCATCATCAATTTTGATCCGCCTGTTCATACGTGTGGAGCTGAAATGGCGTACTTAGGAACAGGTCTTCGTTAATCGTCCAAACTAGAAATAAGTTCCCATCTTTTCACTTGTGCTTTGTGCCCCTAAATAGCGGTAGAAAACTCTTATTTTTCATATTATACGTTAATTATAACTAAAAACTAAATTAATAAGAAAAAAATAAGCATGTCCCTTCTGAACTTTCACGTGTCTAAAAAAGAGCAATAAAAATGACTCCTCGAGTTTCTCCACCTGATCGGGGTCTCACAGCTGAACTCCGTAAGATCTTATTTGCTGAATGCCGTAAAATTAAGTACAGAGAAAAATATGGCCTCAGATAAAATTCAATTGGGTCAACTCAGTAAGTCTTTCACCTGTTCTTACAAAGTGGTACCTGCGTGTGTCTCTCCTCTCTCTCTCTCTCCCTCTCTCTCTCTCTCTACCCCCCTCTCCCATGCATGGTATTAATTCGTCTTTAACCGAGTTGATGATCAAGTCAAGGGATGGAACAGATTTGAGAAGGAGACCCTGGACGGCAAGAGCAAACATTTGGAAACCGAGAACAGAGAACAAATATTCTAAAAGAAGTTAATTACTATGCTTCAAGAGCCAGATCTACGCCGTCTGCAAAAACTAGCAGAGTTTCATGCCTGAATAGCATCAATTCGCTTCCGCTTTCACCCGATTTGCTATTGGAATAGAAACAGCTCGTGGTTCATCTGACCCCGTTTCTTAGCTCACCTGAGCGATATAAAACTGTGTGTGGTTCGGTTTTGCTGATCTTATGTGGCTCGAAAGCGACTAGGATCATCATCATCATCATCAACAACAACAACAACAGCAACAACAATGGCTGCAGCAGTGTTCTGTCAGGGCCGACAAGCCATACGTTCCATGTTATCTCAGTGAGGTACACATATGGGACAGATAAATGGACTCATCTCTGTCACCTTCTTTCGCCATGAATCAGAATCTAGGAGTACACGTACATTCACATACAGGGGAGGAAAAAGTCCAAATGCACCCCTCCTTGGATGATTTTAATCTCAACTAGATCTTAATGTGTCACTCATGGCGTGAAGGAATTAAATTCTTGTCACAAAATCTCGCCGAGTGGTGGCACAAGATCTTAGGTCATAATTGGTTGCCGAATCAGATCATGATAAGTAACAGGGAAAAGGACTAAGTGGAACCGAGTTTAGATGCTCTCGGGAAGGAAAAACTCGGGTCTTGTAAAATATTTCTGAAGCCAAAAACCAGGTCTCAATAGATATAAAGGGAGCTAAGAATATGGTCTAGTACTCTGTCAATTACCGTAAAAAGCCAAGCCCGGTATTTTGCTGACTTTAAATCCCTACATATTTCCAGTCTGTGCCCCTATCGAAATAATACCCATTGTCATAGATTACTGCAAAAAAAAATAGGGAGCTAAAAAAATTGTCATAGTCTCACCAAAGCTCTGTTCCGTGAATCATCTGGGATGAAGTGACCATGAATAGTGACAAGCTTCGCAGGAATAAGGGCACTGACGACAAGAGTGCCTTGAAGATTGGATGCGAGTTGCCACTGAATTAAGGCTACTCTCTGATTTAGATCAACCGTGTGGAAGTAGAACTTCCCACAACCCAAAACTTCATGGACAACAACCTACAGCCATCGTACAATATGATGCGCTGATATTTCTCCAAAGCAGGAATAACTCACTATCTTAATTTCTTACTGTTGTCAGTGACAGAGCCGTTCTTACTGAAAGGCTTGCCAGAGAGTTCTGAAAGAGAATAGGGTCACGGGGGGGGGGGGAGATCCGATCACAAACACCGAGTCCCTGCTGTTCTCAGCAGACTGCTCCGCTAGAGTAGGGAGTTGAACATCTGTGATTCTATCCATCATATCGGGTCTGGTGCTTTTCAAGGAGGAATGCTGCCGTGCTTCTATTTCTTCCCATAGGAAGCCTAACAAAGTGCCTGCTCTGTTGACAGTATCCAATTTTGTAAGAAACTTGCAGTTGATAACGCAATGAGAAGGTAAAAGAATATAAGACAATTTATTACATCAGAGGAGGAGGCGAAAGAATCAATCAAGAGGGTGCCTTAACATCTCTCTGAAGAATCTTTCTTCTCATCAAGGCAATTGCTTCTTCCGGCATGAGCTCATCTCGCCCCGGCCATCTAACACTGGAGAAAGAGAAGGCAATGATACACCATGTTTCCTCAGGAATCGGCGACTTGAACCGGAGACCACAAAGAACATGCTCAACTACGCAGGCAGCCTTCCACTAACGTCGCAGAAACGCCAAGAATTCTTTTGGCTTTATCCACTGAATCAAGCGAGAAGAGATTCTACGTCAGAGAGTATCAGAGGAGGGGAAGTTTCTTCCCCTAACTGCACATCACTGGTGAATCCTTCACAGACTGCAAACAGCGAACGGGAGTGGGACTTGCATCATCATCCTTCGACGGAGCGCCAAGGAAGACGCATCCCCAGAATCTATCACACCGGAAGCAGCAGTTGAATTGGACCCGTCAGTGATGGCAACCTTTCGAGAACGTACCATCAAAACATCCCTAAAGCGAGGCTAAAAACCAGTCATATCCCAACACAAAAAATTAGATAATAGGAGATTTCAGCAGCTTAAATATACATTTGATGCATACTCGTAAGCTAGCAATTGGGATCGGGTGTGCTCGCAAAGTCTCCACCATATCAAGCGTATGGCACTGGCCTCCCATCTCTACGTGGATTCCCCAATTTTGGAGATCCGATGGTAGAAAGAGAAGCGCGCCCCTGAGCCGATGAACCCCCATGATTGGTCAGCATCATCTGCCCCGAGTACCAATCCGCGCTGTCAGCTTCTACCACCTGAACAATGATAAACACAAAACAAAGGAGCATTGTCGCTTTTCATATTTGCGCTTGTGGAGGGGTGCCGAAATAATTCTTCAACAATCTAGCTGCCACTCGCTCTCTGTCAAATTCTGACCATGAATTCCCATTGAATCTATTGCAGGTGGAAACGTAATTTCTCCATGTTCTGAAACTTTTCTTGAAACTCAGCATTTGTTAGCTTTATTTACGTCGTATTCGCAATCCATGCAAAATACTTTGCTCCTTCCTGCGAAGTGCAAGAAACAACAACAAAATGAGCAATATTTTTCAGCTAAAAACAAGCTTAACAGCACTGTACGAATACCCACAAGGACAACTGGAAGAACCCTATCATTTATCCCATACGCTCACAAAGCTCTAATAAATTAAACGTAAGGAAACATAAATGAGTATGTTTATATAAAAACAGTTTCCCATCGGTTTTTGAAAACTTTCAACAACGAACTAATTCCATATAAATAATTTTTTCAGGAGAACACTATCATTAGTTGTACCCGATCATATGCTTATGATAAAAGTCTAACTCAACGATGTGGTTAACCGTTTTAATTTCCAAAATTGCCATTTAATTCCTTAAACGTAGATAAATCACTCAAAGACAGGTCATATAATAATTTTTATAACTTAAATACAACTAGCAGTATCATTGATGAATTTGATGACACCTTCTAACACAATTCGAACCTGGACTTTATTTGAGACCAAGAAAATACTCTTGATAATTGAAAAACATAATTGGGATTTTGCATCAGAAGTCATCGCAGAAAAGGCATGTTCCTTTGTTTAAGACACTAGTTTCATTTTTTTTTTTTTCTTCTCTCCTAAAGGTTTCCAATGGTACATCATTAGATTTAAACACAGTAATCGTTTGAGCTGATGGTTGAGACAATTTTCACTTGAAAATTCTCCATATTACTTATTATGTTGAATTGCTTAAAAAGTTGTCCTTCCCAAGCATGGAGCCTAATTGTGAAAATAATCACTTTTATCCAAGTAATAGAATCACTCCTAGATACTAAAGTATTAAATATTTACATTCAAGGTGACTTTCGACCTATATTCCAAAGACAAAAACTTAAAGTGTTGAAAGTCTAGGAGCAAGTGGGTTGCAAAATGCTATCATCACAAGTTAATAATGTCTTGTAGGGGTCTTTCTTGTTGAAACTTAAGATTAGCATCATATGAAAGGTTTCCTAATTACAATAGGAGGGGGTAGCTTTCATAAAATTCTAGAATGCATTCAAAGTTGATGACAACTTGTGGAAATAATGCACGGTGAAATATTTCCCTATTTTATATGGGTGAACTTATGACTAAAGTTTTATTGAACCATTTAAGAGTGTTGACCTCTTAGTCAATTATTTAATATTATTAACCTTCTAGAACTGTGAATTTAAAAGAGAATTTTGCATTGAATTTTTATAAAAGCTTAGCCCAATAATTAATGGCTGTGATTGGTGAATGATTGATCTAGGGGAACTAAGGATGGGAGTGCTCTTAGGGAGTTGAAGTAGTTAAATGGTCGAATCACTTCAAAAAATTTAGATTGGTTTAAAACTAGAATCTAAAAACCTTAAGATTAGAATACAAATGTTAAAAATAGTTGGCACATGTCAATAATTAGAATCTGATCAATTTTACTCTCCTTTATTGATTTAAATGCAGCCTAACATCCAATAGTATTCACATAAGGACAAAAAGAAAAATATTTGTAATTATGTTGTCACTATATTAACACATAGATCAAGATCTAAATCATTAGATCTTGTCATCTTTGTTGTTGAAATATTTTTTCTAAGCATTATATGGAGAAAATAGATAGTCAAACATATAGTTGAGAGTAAAACTTATATCAGACCAAAGCAGCAAGATTTTAGAAAAAAAAAACTAAGAACACAGAATGTGATAACCCATGTCTTGGTTCATATATAATGAAGGAAGAGATACAAAGTTGTCAACTCAATTGTGCTAACCCATCTAGAATTGAGAAAGGAAGTTTTTAAACTAACAGAAGTATGTGTCACAAAACTGAGGAGAGTGAAAGTGTGTTGACCTAGAAAAATCAAACCAAGTATTAGGAGATAGAAAACAAGATTTTCTCAACCAAATCTGACATGTTAGATATGACAGAAGATTTGACAAGTGTTATTGGATCCCTAACAAATGAATATATCTTGACATGTTAGAGGATCAAAGAATATTACCCTAAAACATTTATAGAGTGATCAAGTCAAAACATTTCTAAAACTAGCAACTTGACTATGTAGTTTGATTGGCAAGATGAGTCAGGTTTTAATAGAGAGAATTTTTCATTGATCAAATCTCGAAGTTTTTAACATAGAGAATTCTTTTACTCTATAGGTGGGCCATTGTAAGAGTTTTCAAATGTCACCCCAATGAGAAATCAAATCTTCCAACTCATTTTGAAATTAAATTAATTAGTAAGCCCTTTCTTTGTATTCATGTGTGAAGTCACTCTTGGGAGTGCTAGTAGCAAGCTACTATCATGTAAATATATCATGTAAATAAATGTATTCTTCATTAATTTTGAGCAACATCTCTAAAGGAGAACATTGAAAATCATAAATGGTGACCTTTGGTAAGTGGATGAAAGAAATGGAAGGTTGGACGACTATAAATTTCAATATTCTTCACTTTATAATAGTTGGTTTATAAATCTAGTGTGTTAGCCTAGTCATATCAACCTAGTGTGACAACCCAAGTTGGTATGTGTTGACCCAATCATACATATTGACTCAAGCAGGTCTGTGTCAAACCACTATGTACATAACTAAAAGAAACAACCTAAAAATATGTAAAAAACAATCATTTGAATAATGAATTCAAACCCTCCTTGATAGTAATAAAAAGTCATAAGAAACCTTTAAAGTAGGATTTTCAATTGGAAAAATATATTTCAAACAAGTTCAACGTAATCAATATGATATGGATTCCATCATAGTTTGATATTGACACTACTTATTGAAGAGATGATGATTACGTATTTTATGCAAATGCAAAGAAAAATATATTAGCCTAATAACATCATAAGAGATGTCTTAAATTTTTCTATAAAAGTAAAATAAAGGCATGTTAGTTGAAAGGAAAAATGTTTTGAACAATTTGGATGAAAAATCTAAAAGATTTAACAAAGTGAGAAGGGAGGATACTTTCGTAGAAGTTTCAAATGTTATTTTTCAACGTTTAATTTATTAAATTGACTTTAATATTATTTCAGATATCTATCATAAAGAACGGCATACACCATAGATCACCTAGGTGTGTAGTATCTCCCAACACAAAAATGTACACCAAATAGGTAATATATCACCTACTCACATATAGTCATTGACTCAACATGAAGCCAGTCGGTAAGAGTAGATGGCTGAATGAGACTTTGTCCCCTGGGCCCACCTGTGGTGAAGATTAGGGAAGCTCAAAGAAGATAGACGAGGTCCAAGTAGGCCAATCTCGGGTATACTCTCCTTTGCGTCGTACTGTTGACTGAGGCATCACGCGACAGACTAACCGTGACGTGGAACCGGGGTTAAGTCCTAACGGGATTCGTCCCTTAGTTTCGTCAGCTCCACGTGTTCGAGCCACTGAAATCTGAACAGGTGGCGCAACACTACTGGTTGGAACAACACAGAGTGTCGATCCAAAAGCTTCTTATATTCTTTGTGCTCTTCTTTCTCTCTCCCTCTCTCCCTCCGCGCCGCGCTGCGAGGACAACTTTTCACCATGAGGGCTGGCGGAGTTTCTTGCGCGCTACTTCTCACGTTAATGCTGCTGTGGACGTCCGAAGTTGGATTTGCGGCAGAGGACCGGCAGATCAAGCCCTTCAGGGGGGAGGACGTCTCGGCCACGGCTGCGGACATGGTGAGCGCAGGAGGCGAAGAGGATGCTGAGGGCGAGCTCGCGGGAGGGTTCGCCTCTCTGGATGGGATGCTGCAGTGGGCAATCAGTATGTCTTTCTTCTTTGTTGTCTTCACCTAATTATAATTACGGCAGCGTTTTTATATTACCGTCCGTCGTCTGGTTTATCTTCAAAATTCTCAGGGAAAAAGCAATTTTGGGAATCCCGAACAAAATCTCATCCTTGTAGTAGCACTGTGGAGGCCACATTTTGTCCTTATATGTAGATTGGATCTTGAAAACTACGAATTTGTCGAATCTTGCCATAGCTCATCCTGTCGTTCGGGTATCTTTAATAAAACATTTTCCTAATCACCCCTTTATTAGTACTTTTAGAAAATAATCTTTGAGTCTTCGTACTACTTTCCCTCCAGATCAATTGGTTTTGAGGCAGTTCTGATCAAGATCCGAAAAGCACAGACTTTGACAACCCAGTCATCAAATAATGTTTCTTTTGATCCAAAATTCACTAACTGGGCATTGCTTTTGCCGAATTATCCATTTGGGAAGATATCCTTTGGAGTCACATGCATTGATCCCACCTTCGATCATCATGTTGACCCAACGTTCTCTAGGCATTCCAGAGCGCCTTACTCTCCCTCATTATTTCCCTCTGTTGATGTTTTTTAGTAAATGATCGAAGGACAGAGGACTCCCTTATGTATGTGTCGTCTACACTTGTGAACCTGATGAAATTGGTCGCATACCCCACTTTTTACTTAAAAGGGGTAGGGTTGAGTGCACCATGGGTATTTTGTCACTGGTCTGTTACAGCTAAACTATTCAGTTCATCCCATTGACCCTTTTCTTCTCTACACTGTTTGTGTACATTTCAGAGCTCCAATTTTTTTCAAACAACACTCTACATATTCTTTGATTTTTCCATTCCGCTTTAGATATCTACATGCGATTTTTGTAAACACTTCGATTTTCGTGCCAAGGAACAAAATAATGTTGGCCCAGCTTCGATTTGAATCCGTTGATTCGGGTGACAATTGATTAAGCTCTAAAATGATACCCCGTTTCCTTGGTACTAAAAGAAATATCATATTATGTGGGTTTGTATAATTTCTCCATTTCAAATTTTTCACGTTTCTATCAGTTGAGCCATGGAAAATGTAAGTTCCTACACTGTTGCAGTATACTCAGTGTTTCCGTGGATTTTATGACCGTCCTTTCCACCCTTGGCTTGATGAATCAGGTCATTCCGATCCAGTGAAGTTAAAGGAGAAAGCAAGCAACGTTCAACAAATGTCTGTAGATGAGCTGAAGCGCCGCCAACTAGAAATAAAGGTCTTTCCTCAATATTACTTAGAGCCCATTCTGTTTTCATCCTGGATGTCATAAAAGAATGTAACACCTGTTTCACTAACTTCGTGAGTTTTCTTCCTTGGATTGTGACAACACAGGAGCTGGTGGAGAAGCTCAAGGTCCCATCGGACGCAGAGTTGATGAGAAGAGCTATTAACGAGTTAAATAACTCTTCGATTTCCTTGGAAGATCGTCAGCATGCATTGGATGAACTGTTGGTTCTTGTTGAGCCGATTGACAATGCAAACGGTGTGCTTCTCTCTCGCCTGTTTCTGTAGGGTTAAATTTTTTTTACATGCCGATATATATATGGTCAATAGTAACAGAATCTGATGTCTAGGGCATTAGCAATGAATAGAACTGAGGGAACTTGTTTGATTCTTCTTATTTTGGGTATTTTTTAGGATTATGTTTGTCCATGTAAGCATGATCCCGGACTGATTCCCTGTCACCCACTTTTTCATCATTCGGATGGAATATCCATGTCTGCTTTGAACGTTTCCCCAGCTCTGTTGATGAATATTATTGTGCTCTGTTTTGATCTTTGTTCTTGTTTCTGTTGTATTCTTCCCCAACTAAGAAAATAATTTTTCCTTCCCTCTAGATTTCTGCAAACTTAGCGGTATAGCTGCTGTTGTCCGGGAACTTGGTAGTGCCAACTCCAAGATAAGGTTAACTTCTGCATGGGTTCTTGGAAAAGCAAGCCAGAACAATCCACTTGTTCAGAATCAGGTCACATTCTTGAGTAGATCTGATTTTCTAAAGCAACCCAATGTATTTTTTGATTAATTTTCTGAATCAGTGCGTCCAAAGTCTTCTCAGGTCCTTTCTTCTGATGCCCTGAAAACATTACTGGAAATGGCGCGATCTGGTGTCTCTGAGGAGGGGGTAAAGGCATTGTATGCCATCTCCTCCCTGGTTAGGAACAACGATCAGGGTCTGGAGCTGTTTATCGCGGAGCAGGGAGGTTTGATGCTTCAGGTTGTACAGAATGTGGGCTGAACCTTTTTTCTCATGCAAAAGTCTTTGAGATTTCTGATTGACTAAGTTGGATTTATGCTTTCTAGGACGTCATGAGCAACCCCAGTGTCGATATCAGGCTCCGGAAGAAGGCAGTTCTTCTTGTTGCCGACATGGCAGACCGCCAGCTAGAAAATCCAGACTCCAAGAGGCCATCCCTCTTCAGAAGCTGCCAGCTCCTGAAATCAGTTGTCGATCTTACCTCATCCACCACCGACCTTGATCTCCAAGAGAAGGTAATTCTTTTTTTTTTTCTTTGTATTCTTTTTAACTCGAAATGGGTTTATATTTCATTGATATGATTTGAAAATGACAGCCTCAATCATGTTTTATGATGTTTATATTTCTTTTTCTTTCCATCTCTCCCCTCCCCCCTACCGCCCCCCCTTCCGCCCCCCCTTCTTTTTCAGGCATTGATTGCCATTAGAAGCCTTCTACAGCTGGATTCGAGCGAAATTCTGGTGGTTCTTGATATGTTCTGTGGGCTTGACAAAGCCCTTGAGAGGATGAAGGAGCGGCTCAAGGAGTTGGCAGTGCTTGGTGAGGAAGGAGACTTCGCCAGAGACATCGAGAGCCTCGGTGGAGAAATCCGAACCATTTTTAGGAGGAAGCTGGAAGCAGTGGAGCAGCCACTGGCACCTCAGTTCTGCTGAATCCGCTAGTGGACCCCACACGCTACAACTCAGATGCTGATTGGCATGGCAGGGAAGCAGAGTGGATAGGCCTGCCACCACTGACCACGGAGTTCTGCCTACCCGGCCCCAGGGAGCCGTGGCTGGTTGGCTAATTTGCGAGGACTGATCAGGGCTAATATTTTTTTGACCTTGGAGAAACGAACACAGATGGAAAAGAGCTTTTGTTGCTCCAACTTGTTCATCTCTCCCCGCTCTTTTTTCCTTAATAAGAATGGCATCAATGCCAACTTAGAAGATAACATATTATGAATGAACACTTAGACTTCATTCTTAAAAATCAGTTTCAGATGATCTGACCCTCACCACTTGTTCCCTCCCTCACCTTATCGTCTTCTACACGATCCAAGTTAAAATAGGCATCATGATGGTTGTCAAATGACTATTATACCCCTACCAACGACAGTAGGTATGCCATCCCTCTTCAATGCCTAGTTTCACCTTCCCCACCTGGTGGAAAGTCGTAGAGTAGTAGTTTGCTAGCTCGATAGAATTGGATTAGGCTAGGTTATCTGAGTTCATCCATGATAATATAGCCATCTAAATGTGACAACCTCAATGAACCAGTGAGTGACATCATGACTAATGAAGGGCAAGCTTAGATAAAGTTGCTTAACTTATTTGCTCAAAAGAGTTGAATAGTGAGGATGCAGCCTGATAATGAGTTTCGATTTAGTCAAATGATTGAAACAAAATTAAGATTTATATGAACATATGAGGGGAATAATGGTGCTATGAAATTTTGAGTTGGTTTAATTAAAATTTGAAACTGAAGATGGGTTCCCTTAATTTATCATAGCCAATTATCTAGTCAATCTGTAGAAGGTGGTTGTAGTAAGTCATTAACGTGATGTTGTGAAAGCAAGTAATGTATATAATAATGCATAAAAGTGCAATCTATTGAAGGCAATCTTTACATAAATAAGGTATCTTTGATCATTTTTTGGGTGTATAATTGAACATTAAAGAATAAAGTACTTGCATGCAAAGAATTCAATTTCACTAAGGAAGCATAGAATGAGAATTTGAAGTTGGCTCCTAGAGAAAGAAATAAGCTTCTAAGTCGATCAATGACTAACATGAAACACCAATTGTTGGTATTTTTTTTCGTCTTGAAATTGGTAGGTTATTAATAGATCAATTATTGTGATGATGATGTTGGGTCCAATGATGCCACAAAGGAAATAAGAGGGGAGGAGGGGGAATAGGTTTATTTCTTTTAAGGAATAAGATAGGAATATTTTAAACCAGCGTTTAATTTTGGTCATAGAGTTTTATTTTGGACAAATTTGTCCTAGAGAACTTAGATGGGTGTCCCTCTTGAATTTAAACCAGAGTTGTTTTGCAATCAGTATTATCACTTATGAAAATTACATGGCTATCTCACAAGAATAAACGATATTATATATTTATATCTGAAACCTATTTATCACTTATGAAAAAAAAATTACATGACAACCCATTCATCTTGATCATTTAGAGAGGGAGTGTGTAGTGATTTATTGTCTTCCCTGCATGGTTCACAATTATTTTATCTAGATTAGAAAGATCAAGACAAAATACATGGAGTAATTCTGTAGAGGAAAACGATTAGGATTTAACATTACGAGTCCTGAGGGGGTGCCTCCTACGCGTTAGGCCTTTGCCTCTATCGCCGGTCGAGGAGATTCACAAAGAATGAGCTCAGGTGACCAGTGCGATGACTTGTACATGTAGGGGAGCGCGAGGAGGAGAATCAGTGACTGCCCAAGAGGATCAACGTTACATATATACCACGCGGCATGAGGAAGAGCAGGTGGTCTTTTTTTTTTTTTTTAAGACCCGAATTCAAGAAAAAGTATGGAGAGGAATCCCGGGTTTCGTGGCTCGCTAAATGGGCTCGGCCTGTTCGAACATCATAATTTTGACCTCACTCAAAATTTGCGCAAAATTGTATGGAATGCAGATCAAATGAGCTCATTTTTAAATGGATTTCCGACACTGGAAAGAGACAATACCCGTACAAAACAGTAGAGAGAGAGAGAGAGAGAGAGAGATGACGCCACGATTGGGTTCCATTGACTGGCGTGTCGATAGCGGGGAATCGGTGGTAGGTGCGAGAGTGGAAGGTGGAAGATGGTGATTGGATGCAGGGTTTGGTGGATCGCGCCTCGCTAAAGACCTGTTCTTGATTTCCGGTTCGGCGTCGTGACCCAGAACGCCTAACGCGATTCTCAGGCCTCCCAGCGATCTCCGGAGGCGACCATGGCCGGTGGTGCTGCTCTTGCGCAGCCATCGCGTCGGTTCCTTCCCGCCCCAGCCAACCCGCCTGTCCAGCGGCAGATAGGGAACCGCTGCATGGGAGGATCAGTTCTCAGGCTTGGAGGCGGCGGCAAATGGGGGAGGTTGCCGGTGGCGGCGTGCTTGTTGGAGAGCACTGGGAGCGGGGCAGTTGGAGAGGGAGGGAAGAAGGGAGTCATCGGCGGTGGCGGATTTGGGACGTTGCCCAACTCTAATTACGTTGTTCCCTTGGACAAGGCGGCTCTGGGGATCATCCGGCCGCTGGGGGAGATCCTGAGGGACCTGAACAAGAAGGTCACCGAGAACATTATCAACAAGGTCGACAGGTCCATCCCTTGGTATGAACAGTCATCCTCCTTCTAGCCCCTTTCATCGGAAAATTAAGGGAAAATAGTCTAGAAGAGATAGGTTCAGCTCGCATACTCTGCTGTTAACTTCTCTTCAGATATGACTCCCATAAATGCCGTCCGGGTTATCTGGATTTTCCACCTATGGGAGCATTATCTGTGTGTCTTATTAATCGTTAGGAGTGGGAAAAGTTGAGGAAGCAGAAGAACATTTGCAGTGCGACTTTTTCTTTCCTCTTTGGGTTCATCTGTTGGCGCTACCCTGCAGATGTTTTCTCTCTGGTTGCTGTAATTGTTACCTTCCACTGAATTCCGATCTCTTCTTTACTGTTTCCTTCTACAGGTACCATGTGAACCGATTGCTGAGCTTCTACGCCCCAGGTCAAACTTTCATCTTTTTATTTGGCGTGCCAGATCCCATGCTTCGCTATTTCTCCTTTCCCTCTTCTTGTTTGCATCCCGGTTCTTCTGCTTCTTTGCGTTGGAATGAAGATTGATGACATGAATGCTTGAAACCCCGACATACCATCTGACCCAGCTATTCAACGAATTTTAAATTATTGGTTCGGATGTCCATAAGCATTCACAGGAGATTAGGCTTGTGGTGTGTATCAGGAGACTCCATTCCTGTATAGTAGGCCTATATCTAAATTCAAGGTTTTTCCAGAGGAACAAAGATATTCTCAAAATAAATGGTCAATGTGGCCAGATGATGGCTAGTAATTGACTTAATGGACACTACTGATTGACTTCTGTGTCCCTTTCTGATCCACTGGCGATAATTGCCGATCCCTAGATTAGAGCTAGTTTATTAATTCGTTGATTCGAGAAAGTTTGATGGGATTTCTGTTAAACAAGAGAAGCTCATCGGCATAGCAGGGGAGATCAGAAAGTCAACTTTGTTTGCAGGCATCTTACCCATAAAGTCAGCCTCATTGTTTCCTCTTTCGCACGCTTTTTTATTTTTGTCACGAGATCAGAAACTTTGAAAACCGTAGAACTTTGAATTAAAAGTTGGATTATTGCAATGCGATTAATGTGTATGTAATGGGCATCCAACCGGGCTGTTACAGACTTGACCTTTGGTCGTAACCAAGTTTTGGGTCCCCTTATGCGTTCCAACTTCCTTGTCCACTTCATCTACTTGCTTCAGGGTTTTTTGGGTCTCCATGTGCAACATTCTATTGAATTCAATAGCACCAGAGACGAGGGAAGGGTTGCTTCATCCAGTAATCTCTCTTGTACTGTGCAACGAATGGACCTTTTATGGATGGGCTTTTCTTTATTCCATTTTGACCTTTTAATTTTTCTTCTGGAAGTTTTAATCGTAGAAAAGAAACATATATGAAAACTAAAGCACCTCAAATGGAGTCTACACCCTCAGAAATCAAGTTCTCTTAGTTCTGATTTGTGAGAGTCCGTCTAGGCTTGGAAACTTGGTAGGGTAACTGCGAATGTTGAAGTATACTCTTTGAATCAGGCCTAGTAGATGCTATCTATGCATCTATTGAACATTCTCCTCTTCTACTGGGAATATGAACTAGGAAGACGAACTTGAGAGCCAATGAGATGTGTAGTATCGATGTGTGTTTTAAGCGACTGTAAGAGCCTTGGTAGATAAATCACGATGGCCCATCTGAGTATGGCTTCTTTATGTGTCGTTAGGGACCAGGAATGCTGTGTGATGAAAGTTCTTTCGTGCATGCTCTTATTCAAGCTACTGTTTGTAATGTTAGAAACTAACTTCTTCCCTAGTCATTGGCATATAAGACGCCAACCCTCCATTCCATGCCTTGTTTAAAATCGAATCAGTCTCACTAGGCTGATTCCAGCATAGTTGAATTCATTCAAGAAAGGCAGTTTCTTAAACATTCGGTCAGATCAGCATTGATTCATCAGATATTGGATTATTTACTCTACGGCATCAAGGAGCTTTTGATAATGGCATGTGCTGATTGCTGGGTAATCCTCTGGTTGCAGGTTGGTGTGGGGAAATAAGGAATGTTATCTTCTCCGATGATGGAACTGTGACGGTTGTTTACCGTGTCACTGTCCGAGGATCTGATGGAGAGGTAACTTACTTTGTGTGCCTGAGATTTATCTCTTATTGACCTTTTAATCGATATTTATCTGCAAAACAACATCACGTCATGTTTGTATGCATCAAACTTGATTCTGTAGTGTGAAGGAATTATTTTCTGCGTACATTGATGGATGATTTCTCTAATCAGGTTTATTTTTTTTAGTTAAGTTCAGTTCATTCCTAGTCTTCTGGTGTTTCATCAAACTGACCTTTAAAGCTCAGTTTCCTCCAGTTTGTAGCCATTAGACAGATCAGGAAAGATTAGTGTTTAAACATTAATTCAAGACTTAAATATCAACTTCCTTGTGAATTTTATACCACAAGATTAGTGTTTGGACGCTGGTCAAGACGGAAAGATGCCAGTCTTGTTCGTTGGAAGTTCTTGTTTTCTTCCTTCTACATCTCCTCCCATACATACCCTCATATAACCAATGGATTTCTAAACTCTTCTTCTTCTTCTTCTGGGCAAATTGATCGTAGTTTTCTTAATTTTGCTCTTGAATGATTTTGGTCTGAGCTCAAAACCAGCCCCATGCTCTCACTGCCTGCGATCATCTGACCTTTACAGTTCTCATATGAGCTAAAGGGCTTGCAAAATCTGACCGAAGAAAGAAATTCTAACATCTGAGTTGCAGGCGCACCGCGAATCCACTGGGACTGCATCCTGCACTGACGGCACAGAAGGAGATCCCGTTGCTCTGGCAGAGGAGATAGCCTTCTGCAGGGCGTGTGCTCGCTTTGGGCTCGGCCTCTACCTGTACCATGAGGATGACCACCTCTAGGGGCCTTTGAGCTCAGCCACACCAGCTTCCAGAGGAATTAATGCTCCTAGGCATAGTAGAACTGCTTCTCTTTCCACCCCTTCTTTCTCACCCCTGCTGTATGTAGGATGGAGGACAGCTTGTATGGATTGGCAGGTGGTGTCTCATGCATGGTTTTCAGCTTGTATGTAACTGGATTGTCTGCCCAAGACATCAACTAGCAAAGAATTATCTCTTTTATTTTCCAAAAGTCAAAAAAATGGAGAAAAAAAAACTGGTATTCCTTTTTAGGCACAAGAGAGCAGGTTTTTAAATCCATAAGTGTACAGACCAGTCATCATCCTTCTATTTCTGGCATGGCTCGTAATTATACAAAACTGGTACTATCCTTATCCATCCATCCATTATTATCTGTACAACACGTTAGGAAGGCAAGTTGCATAGGAACTGTGATGCACGTACATACATGATGAGTCTGTTGTTCGTTGAGGAGATGAATGGTTGTAGGAATCTGGTTCCTTCAGGAGGGGGGGGGCTCAGGATTGAAGAAGCCTGGGGCCGGAATTGGAGGTGACCCATGCTGCAATGGCCTCAACGAGCTCCTTGACTTCACTTGAGGCCTGCGCTCGCAAGATCCTAGAGTCGGGGCTGAAGGTGCTGCCCACTTCCTTGGCCACGGCCTCCAATGGCGTCCCAGCTGTGAGGCTTGCCAGAAGCTCACTCCCCCGGTTCACAGTGTCAGCCATGGCCGGCGGCACGTCCGGGAGGAGCTGCAACCAACCAAACGGAGGGTAAACCAGGAAGCACCCCAACCCTTCTTCCGTCATCCGTTTCTATGCAAATGTCGAGGTGTAAACCCTTGGAGATGCTTACCTGCTGCAGGGGGAGCGCATGATCCCCGGGGAGAGAGCGGATTGACATGTCCAGCTGAGAGCTGATGGCAGATTCGGTACTCAGAACCTGGGCCAGTGTTGGGGTCTCATCAATTATGTCATCCTTGAACTTGATCAGGAGATTCCGTGAAACTCCGTAGTAGGATTTTATCTGCAATAGCAAATGAGAAAATGTGACGAACAATTCCATGTCTTTGAGAGGGGATGAGAAGGAGGAGTAGCGCTGAAAAGAAAGATATGAGAGGAGTTTCCTGGGCGTACCAGGCGACGGTTTTCCTCTGGCTTTGGAGTGAAATCCTCCCTTCCCTTGGCCAAATCCATGTAAAGTGGAGGAAGCTGCTCGACTAAAGGTAGAACTTGTTTCATGATTGGAGGACTGAGGTTCTCTAATTGCTTCATAGCCATCTCAGCCTAAGATTCCGTGATCAAATCAAGCATCGATCAGCTCAAACAATACTCTTACATTGGAATGAAGTCAAATACTAAAACACAGGAAATCGCATGCAGTCAGTCAGTCCTTTCGAGGAAATTAAACTGCCTGGTATGATCTAAACCATATAATTGTCAATTGGAATGCAGAGGTTATGGATGGTCTTCCGTTGCTACCTTCCTCCTCTACCTGACATTTCAACCCAAAAGTAGAATTGGAGGATGAATTCAAGAAATGAGGGTTGAGATCGCACCTGGGGACTGGAAAAACAATAGATAAAGCCTCTATGCTAGATGTTGGTTTCGAGGAAGAAAAAAGAAAGTAAGGTAAACATGTCTGCAGATGAATGTGCAGATATACCACAGATGGATTAAAATAACCTTGTGACTTAGCCAAAATTCATCGAGTAAATAACATCAGAGAAAAGAGAAAAATTCGGAAACTCAGAGAAAAATAATTAAGCAGAAGCCTAACAATCACTGATTCACTCATCCATCTATAAACTTCCAAAATCTGAAACCATTCCCTTACGCATCAATAATTTCACTTCCATTAATACACAGTACACATTTTGGGTCCTTGAATTCCTCTTGAAATGTGCTCCAATTACATGCTACCATCTTTTCAGGGAGATAGCAGTAACCTATAAAAGTATTAGAGAAAACGTATCGACAACTACCACAGGTTGTAACTAGAGAATGGACAAATGCATTTCACAGATGTGTCCAGTTCAAAAGACCGCAGAGTTGTAAATACCTAAGCAGGTTGTACCTGTAGAAGGGAAGGCAGCTATGAAAGAGTCCAATAATCTAATGAAGGGTGGAGAAAGAATGGCTGGCATGATAGACTGTATAAGGCAAATGGATGGTCAAATAACAGCGTGGTTTTCCAAGTTGAGCCGCTTAGAAGGCAAGAGGGATTAAGCAACAGGAGAATCAAAAGATGAATGATAGACTTTAAAGTTGTAACTTTAGATCGAAGATATATGATGAACATATTAGATATTTTACAGGCACCTGAAATATATGATGGATCTTTATCATGCCTGGTGGCTTCTAAATACCGTGCCATTCGCCGAAAACAAGGAGCCCACATTATCATCTTCACTGATCTCATTTTCGTCTAGATTATCCCAATGGGTTGCCAGGGCCCAAAACCCATTCTCCATCACCACTTGCTGCCTGTCTAACATAGATCCATGCATTGCTAAAAGCCCAAGGGACGCAGTCAGAGGCATTCCATCACCCTAAAGTCTCCATTAAACATTGAGCTATAGAATAATCGATGACAGCTCATGCATGAACAAATCAGTTCATTGATGCTCACTTCACAACCTGCCCAACCGTCCCCTCTCACCCAATTCATACGACATTGACACTTGCAGGCCCAGAAATGAGTTTTGAACCACTGCGCAAAGGATTGAGTAACCCATCCTCTATTCTATCCTAGCCAGTAAGAAAATAGGGAAATAAACAGGGGCTCAAATGAGGTTCTGGGATCTTGGGTATGGATAAGAAGCTCTGGCAATCTCTGCATGATCAACCAACCAAGAGGTGGAACACAGTGGTATTCCCTGGGTTGATAGCACGGCTTTTCTCTCTGAGCAAAGTTATTCATCATCAAAAACCTGAGGCCACCGATCACGGTCAGGTAAATCACTTCCTTCCTCCTAAGAGGACAGCTGTGTCCAACTCAACGTAAATTAGCGTCATTTCCTTATGTGAATAATGGACTATGGAGGGAAAAGAGAGGAAAACTTCCCCTACTTATTAGATTTAGAAATGTTAGACCAACATCCAAAATAACAAACCACGAAAGAAGCAAGCAAGCAAGATTCTCACCCCACGGAGAACTGCAGGGGATGATGAGAGCTGAGATAGAATTGGACCAAAACTTTGAGCCATTGGTACAATAACAGGAGAAAACAGGGGAATAGCCAGGCTTGCCTCCTGAAAAATAACTGCAGTCGTCAAATAGGAGAATTGTACACTCAGCAAAAAATACAAGCTAACGATACTTCATCATACCATGCAGTGATGACAGATTTTACAAGGCTTGAAAAAAATACCTTCGACTTAAGAACTGTATGCACAATTTGTTTAAAGAATTTTTAGATGCAGGGGGGGTAGCTTCATTTATTCTGTTGATCAATATATGCAACAACTGGTGACATACAATGAAAACGCACATTAAAAACATGTGAATGCCACCATCTACTTTTCAACGTATGTACAAGAAGCGTGAAGTTGTATCAAGAAGATCACAAGCTACAATGTTTGAAACTCTAACGTCATGACCGGTTACACAATGGCTGAGTCAGGCCAATTTGGCTATCGGATTTAATCCTGGCATCCCTGAGCAACATAGATTAGGATGGCAGAAGGAGCTGCACTAGTTTCTGGCAGAGGTCCAGAATGCTCAATAACACGGAAAATAGAGATCAAACCAAAAAAAATATTAATCCAATGTATTCAAAATGAACACGTGATTTTTCAGGGATTATCAGAAGGAAAGAGGTCTAAAGGTCAACGAATGTGTGAGAGACAAGTATCATTATGTTCTACCCTGCAGCAAGGTCTAGAGCGCAGGCATGGACTCTAGGGCTCTCACTTGAAACATTTTATCGAAACACAATCATATCTAGTCATTATAGACGAGTTCGGGGACTACAAGAGAATTATAAAAATTAATAAAAGTATAAAACAGGCAATAAAAAAACATAGTAATCCTCAAGACACAAGGCTTATCAGAGAGGAGAAGAAACGAGTACCTTGTTGTTGAATGCAATTAATATATTTCCATCTCTCTGTACAGCATATCTTGACCCTAATAAGACAAAAGTTCACCTTGAGTCACTTGCCACCATTTTAAAAACTAATAAATAGAATAACCATTCACCCATGAGTCACAATCAGTACCAATAAGGAGATGGATAAGCGCTCCCAAAGAATGACCCACGCCAAAAGTTGGCAGACCATTTACCTGCAAACAGAGCATCATAAAATCTTGAAATACGTCCAAAACTATTGACATAAATTTGAATGACTGAACTTACAGTGTCTTTTAAGGACCGAATGCACCTATCAAACTTGAATTGAGCTTCATCGGCAATCTGCAAGTGATCAAACCCACTAGCAAAAGGAGTGGCAATCACCAAAATTCCCCTAAAAAACAAAATTTAAAATTTTTGTGCTTACTATTATTGAGCATAAATTGTCTTTAAGGAGATTAAACTAAAAATATGAACACTGATTCTTTTAGTGGATAGTCACACAATTTCAATCATGAAATATTACTATACATATCAGGAACAACATGTGAAATCAAAAACCTTTAACAAACAGTAATATTCTTGCATTTGATATTACCTTGCTGTCAGTCAAGCATCCTCCATTAGGAGGTACTTAAGAATTTAGTTTCTGCAGGGGTTATAATTCTTTAGTATGGTTTTGATAAAACACGAGAAGGTTTTTCCACTTGAATAAAAACTATTAGTTAAAAGATAAATATTTCGAACCCTATTTTCATTAAATGGCATTCATTTCATCAAGTAAGCTCATCATGAGTATAAAGAAAGCAAGTATGAACAATAAATGACAGTCAAAATGAGTGCCATGATCAGTACTAAAAATCTGGTGGGGGCACTGTTGTCGATGGAGACTATAAATGCTAAGCTAAGATTTAAGCCGGTAATTTTAGAGAGAAATCGATTCAATTTAGTATCACTGAACAACGTAGACAACTTTGGATAGGAGACACTCCTAACCTAGAAGCCAACCACTGCTTGGACGGCATGATAATCTACCATTGTGCTAACTGTACACGGCTTCTAGAGTTCATCAAAAAATCAATTTAGGATGTGGGGATCAGTCGCATTTAATATACAAGAAGTTATTGTGAAAGAGAACAGCAAAATTCTTAGCTGACATAGTGTCAGTAAACACTACATCTATATCAAGAAAGAGAAGGCAACATCATTAATCTTGAATAGTGCATTAATCTTTTGCAATAGAATACACAAAATTTGTAACCTGCACATCATGGAAGATGATTTCACTTATGTGACATTATATGAGGTAAGCTCATTGCTTCATAGACAAGGTTGTCCAGGATAGCTCAATAGTGAAATATAACGCTAACTCAGGCGAGGAAAGCAAAGCCCAAAGAAAGAAATAAAAGAGCGCCTCACTTTTCTGCAAGTTGATTGAGAAATAAGCGATATGTAAGTTGAGGAGCAGCTCCAACAAAAATGCCTCCAATAAAATGCACAACTGCTAGTGGCTTTGAGTCTTTTGGTTTAAGAACCCATGCTCCCTGATGAAAATAAAGCCGTATGAAAAAAAAAAAATAACAAAAAAGGACTTTTAAGAAAAACATGGAAAAATATGGAAAGACATTTTAAGAAAAACATTTCACCCACCATTTAAAAAAAATAGTTTTTACTTTCTCCAGATGCCTGCGGTGTAACAAGAATTTTATATTACATCACTATTTTTCTTAAACACATAGTGTTTTTGTAATACATACTATGGTAACACAGTTCTTTTACTCTCGCACTACTGTTCCCAATGATCTTAAGCTTCCTGTACCTCTCTTTTACAAATCTGTGGGTTACAAGGTCTACCCTATTTGCATACCCATATGTAGCTCGCATTTTCCTTCCATACCCATGTTAACCGAGTCCCCAAGGTGGGCTTCACCCAAGTAATACCAAGCATAAGAAAACCATGCGCTATACTAAAAATAAACAAAAATACCAAGCAATGAGGATTGGGTACACCAGACCTCAACTTCTGTCCAGTCTCCAGAAGCACCCCAACTTTCTTGAGATCGTCTCGCTGTTTCAGTAATTACCCTGAAATGTAGATAGTAAAGTGAGCATGCCAATGTAGTACGTATTCTATCTAGCCTCAGCGAGCAAATAAAAAAGAGCAAGTATGCACCACAAACACAATACTCGAGTTAGCAGGCAGATAACATCGGAGTACAAGTACCATACTCTTCTAGTGGTAGTTAATCATAAACTAAGGTCAAACTATATTTCATCCTATAAATAAAGTGCTTCCGGTTAAGCATTGCAACAAATTGTATAAAAGTAGTCACTTCCTTCTGGCAACAAGATAGATGGAAACTTTAAAAGTGTTGGATGGCCATGGATAGAAATCGAATGAGAAAAGGACACTTTGGTCAATAGATAAGCAACACTGGCCTAACAAAGGTCACACGCTAACAAAAATTTACACAGAAAATTTTTCGTGGACAGAGTGTAATATAAACTTCAAACGATATTTCGTTTCATTTGATGGTATCGAAACTTTTCAAGGGCAGACATCATGAGATTTTCCCAAATTAACTTCAGATGGCATTCGGATTAGCACGGATTTTGAGGTTGGGATTGACTTGAACATCCATTTAGCAAAACAAACAGTAGATTTCAGGCTAGTGGAAACAAATAAATAGGAGTCTTTTAGTTACCCTAACATTTATATGCACGCTAAAATAACTAGATTATATAGCATCTCTTTCTTCTCAAAAGGAATCGAAATGAAGGCTTATCAGCATGGATGTAAGTCAATTACCTGAGCTCCATAGTTTGGTATGGAGTTTTTTTGAATTATCAAACAAGACACGCCCATTGTCTTACTGCTCAGACAACAAGGTACCTCCCCCAAATAAAGCATAATTACACCGCATTTTAGTGCAAATAGTTGTTAGCATGTGTTGACATCAGATATCATGAAATTCTTATCTCAATATAAATGAGAGTTATGAATAATTAGCGCACTTTCATAGATTCTAGAGATAAAAAGCATCTTATTTCTAATTATTATCTAACTCAATTAAATTGGCTTTATAGTTATTAAACTGGCTTTAAATTGCACGACGTGACCCATACACAGACAGAAAAGTAATTGTTTTCCTCAATGAAGTTGTCAGAAGGTCAATTTTTTCAGTTCTTCATTATCGTGCTTCTAACTTTTTGGTTGACAAGTTCATTCACATCAACCAGAATGATTGTTCTATCATACCATGTTGCCAAGCAGAAAGATCAAGTGAAATATGTAGTCATCTTATAAAATGTACGTGAACTTCAGATAATTTTCAATAGCATCTAGTTAACGTATGACCTTTCATGTCTAACAGCATTATTTAGTAATGTATAATTCAGTGATAGTCCATCAAGGATTTATTTTTTTTCAAACAATGTTTATGGCAAAAAGTATCGTTAGAAACCAATGCAAACCATATTTAAGTTACATATCATGATGGCACGAAAGGAAGCCAAGAAAATGATATCAAAAGAGTAAAGGCTGGCGTGGCTTAAGTTCCAGAAGGAAACAGAAGCCATCTAAACAATGGTGAATTCTGGTACATCCAGCACGTTAGGAGATGAACATAAGGGGTTCAAAAACTGGACTGACTGAATTCTCAGTGGTTGGTTATCCTAGGCCAAATTGTGCATTCTCAATGTGGACGGCCATGAACTAGGGTGAACCTTTATCACTTTCCTCTAGCCGTCCTCATCAGTCAAAACCTGAGTTCAGCGTGGACTAAAGAGTCAAATATAAGGAATCAGCATTGCCAGCATAGCATGATGCTTGCAGGTTATTTTAAAACGGTAATGAAGAGAAAATCAAACCCATTGAGAAGTTTCTTATGAACGACATTATACAAAGTGAGTAGAGATCTAGGGGCGGCCAAATTTATTCGTAAAGTTGAATGCAAAGAAAAGCGCAACAGGTGAGGAGAGAAAAATCATACGCGAGGTTGGACTGAAGAAATATGATCTTCTGGGGGTCACATTATTAGCTTAAAGAAGCGAATACCAAGGATAGCGGTTCTTCCAAGGTAAACGAGAGAGAAAACCTCTCTACTTAGGCAGCCTACCCTGCCAATGCTCAAGGTTCTCACTAAATTGATCGTTTCATGCCGCCTCGGCTTTGGCTCAACCTGATACAGCCCCCAAATGGGCTGCACATTAAAATTATGTGAGATTATATGACACGAAAGACCATGGAACAGAAAAAATTGGACATCATTCGGGGGGGGTGTCCAATTGTCATCGTTTGCAGTATTCTCTTATTGAGCGGCAAGTACCTCTCTATCTGGCTGTAAAGCTGGATTCCTCTAGAGCCCGTTGCATCTGGATCGTCTCCTCCGTTTCCACCAGTCATATTGACGCCGGTTTCACGCAAGTTACAGAAGGCGATCCCCACGGGAGCCCTCCTGCGCTCCCATCGCTGGTTGGGAATAACCCCAAGGCCATCCCCAGTGGCTAATCTCAGGCTACACCGGAGGAGGTGAACCAGCTGTCGCGATGACAAACTATGCGACGACGAGGAGCATGAGCTCCACCATCTCCCTTCCGGCGTCGCTCCCCCTGGGACGGGTGCGAGCAGGCGACGACCTTTACTGTTGACGTGCCCTTGAGCCAACGAGAACAGAGGAGGCGAGCACGAGCAGCTCGCCATCGCCGCCACGGCAGCGTCCCTTCACACGCCCCGGCCTCGGCAGCCCCAGAGCGGATCTACTCACCTCTGCTCAGCTACCCCCTTCCCCTCTCCCAGACCACCCAACAATGGAAGTACCGTGGACGTAGACGACACCCCCCCCCGGCTTTTCTTACCTTCCATTACTGCCCACTTACGACAGTGACGCCCGGCGCTTTTCCCTCCGCGAAAAATTAAATCAATAAATTAGGAAACTGAAAAAAGCCCTAATCTTCACCGCATCTAAAATCACCCTCCAGAACTTTCTATGTATAGAAATTAAGCATTTTTTAGGTATTTCCAAACCAACATAATTATTTTCATTTTTTTATAAATATTAATTGATATTTTTTGTTTCTCTCCCACGAAAATCCCATGAAACCAATTATATAGTATCTAAGTAATTATTTTGTCAAAAATAAATGAATAATAAAATCCTTTAATTTTTACATTTGAAGAATAACAAGAGAATTTATATGTTTCCTTAAATAAGATGTACAAAAGATGCACTTAAAAGAAAGGTAAACACCATTTATATTCTTCTTCATTTAATATGAATATAATCTATCCATGATAGTGCACACAAAACCTCTTAGTAGACTTGAGATTCATTGATATTTGGGATGATCCCTTCTTGATGTCCATAAAATTATCACAATGATAAAATAGTTGTTTTGCTATATTTATGTTTGAATGCTTGTAATTTTTATATTTTATATATTTTAGAAAATGGATTCAATCTAGCAAGTCAACCCCCCAAATGAGAAGAAGAATAGGAAGGAACAACCATATTTGGAAAAACACATCATCAAGCATTGAAGTTAAAAATCATAGAAAAAATATCCATTCAGAAATAGTAATCAAGGAATAATATTGATTACCCAATGTCTATCTTGCTCACAATACTATAGTAATTTATGTCCACTTTTCAATCTCAAAATAAGGTTTAATCACAAAAAAAATAAGTTGATGTTATTTTAGTTAGTTTAGCATTTATTTTATGCAGAAACTAATTTTCAAAAGTGTATGATCTGAATTTTGGATTATTAGAGAATTTTTTTAGTATACTACATGATTTGGTAGAAACCTAATTTTTGAATCATTAGACTTGAAGGCTAGAGTTTTCAAGTACTTCTTTCTTCTTTCTTCCTAGGGACTTCCTAGGGAGGTCACCCATCTGGGGACTGCTCCCACCCGAGCACACTTAACTCTAGAATTATTATGGAATCCAATAGCAACTCTCCCACTTATGAGGGTTTCTACCAATTCACTTGCAGACTTTCATCTATAAATGGTAATGTTTCTATTTTCTCTAAACGATGAACATTTTAGGTTGCAAATGGCACTCTTTGTGATTTTTATCCCATATTTGTGTGAAAGAGATGTAAAATGGCACTTTTTATCCTATGGGCTTGAAAATTTTATTCAAAGTTACATTCTATATGAGAACTTATTTTATTTGGAGTAATACTTTTGTTCAATTGTTGTTCTCCCAATTTCTATTACTTCTGGTAAAAGTGGTGTAAAAAAATTCCCATAGCAGTGTAAATTGATAAAAATCGTGAAAATTAATTTGGGTATTGAGAGGGTAGAAGTTGTTCGCTTAGAGGGAGAGAGGGAGAGAGGGAGAGAGAGAGAGAGAGAGAGAGAGAGAGAGAGAGAGAGAGAGAGGCTGATACTTGCGATGATAAGAAGGTAGGAAGTCTATTGACAGAGTTGGGCAAGCGATTCATAGGGCCCATATCAGGTCCACAACGACCCAACACGAGGGGTGGCTGTAGAAAAGTGCAAAACCTCGCGGACTTGGGCGGGCTTGCGCAGCTGTTCTCGCTTCTCCCCGCCTACTCCCACCCCCATGCGGACATCCCGCCGGCGGCGGCGGAGGTGGGACAGAGCCTGTAATGGCAGCGCAAAACCCTTCTCGCTCCTCGGCAGCTGCAATATCCCATTAGCGCCGCCGCTCCTGCTCCTCTTCCTCTCCCTCGCCGCAGTCACCCTTCTCTTCTGCAAGTTCGCTTCGCTCGGCGGCGGCGCCACCACCAACCTCCCCGTCGGAACGCCGGCGGCGCCGCCACCCGCACCGCCCAGCTCCACGGCAGCCTCCATTAACCATTCGGAACCGTCTTTGCGGGCCGTACCGTCCTTTTCAGGGGACCCGCCGCTGCGGAATGCAGCTATCTTATCAGAGGGAGGAGCAATGGAGGAGGAGAAGAGTGTAGAAGGAAGAAGAGGTGGGGGACCCTACCATGAATGGGGACTCTTCAGGGAGGGCTTCGAGGAGATGATGAAGACCCTCAAGATCTTCGTCTACCCAGATGCCCGCAATGCCTCCTCTCCCTTCGCCGGCGTCTTCCTCCCCCACCCCAACCCCTCCAACCCCAAGCTCGGCAACTACTACAGTGAGCACATCTTCAAGCTCGCCCTCCTCCATAGCTCCCTGCTGACCTCCGACCACCAGGAAGCCCACCTCTTCTTCATGCCCTTCTCCATTAACGCCCTCCGCAACGACCCGAGAGTGAGATCGGAGGCGGCGATCTCTGAGTTCGTTGCCCAGTATGCCGCCAAGGTGAGCCGTGAATTCGTGTCCTGGAATGCCTCCGGTGGGGTGGACCACTTCTACGTCAGCTGCCATTCTGTGGGGAGGGACGCCGCGGCGAGGCACCGCGAGCTCAGAGACAACGCCATCCATGCCTGCTGCTCATCGAGCTACTTCCAGAGGAATTACGTTGCCCACAAGGACGTTGCACTGCCGCAGATCTGGCCACGCCAGCCTGAAAGGACTCCGGAGCCCCCCGGCGCAAGGTATGCCAGGCTCTTCTTCTCTTCCCGAGCTCCACTCAGTCCCCATTTACATCAACCATTTCATTCTTCTCCATAAAATTTATAATCCAAGTGCATTCCGCCATAAAAAAATTAAAAATTCCATCTTCCGAGGACCAACTTCCGTGTAATTACTATTTGTTTATAGGCATCCGTAATTTGTGAGCTACTTTAGATGTTCAATTATAGATAAAATTGAAGCTCATGAGATATTCATAGATATATCTTGGTAGCACCAGAGCTCCTGTTTCCTGGATTCCAAGGACCAGGGGATTATACTTACTACCAATGAGTTCATTGGTAGTAAAAAAAAAAAAGAAGAAAAAAGAAGCATATTTCTGAGGACCAACTTCAATATAATTACAATGTGTTTATATGCATGCATCCATCTTGCCTAATTCCTAAGCTATTTTTGATGTTCAGGTGTAGACAAAACATACATACTTACATACATCTGCATATAAACACGAAGTAAATCGGATAATTTTCATAGATATATATATATATATATCTTGGTAGCATCAGAGCTCGAATCGGATTATGATTTCTAGCTATGAGTTCGGCATCCAACAATGCAGGAAGAGGCTCGTCTTCTTCGCCGGGCGGATACAGAATTCTCAAGTCCGGAGGGAGCTGATTTCCCAGTGGGGGAATGACACGTCCATGGACGTCTTCTCCGGAAACCCACCCTTCCCCTACGAGGAAGGCTTCAGACGGAGCCGCTTCTGCCTCCATGTGAAAGGCTACGAAGTGAACACTGCGAGGATCTCAGATTCCATCCACTACGGCTGCGTCCCCGTGATCCTCTCCAACTACTACGAGTTGCCCTTCGCCAGCGTGCTGGATTGGAGCAAGTTTTCTGTCATCATCAACCACAGAGACATCGTCAAGCTGAAGCAGGTTCTCATCTCGTTCCCTCCTCGCATGTACCTCGCCATGTATGAGAACCTCCTCCTGGTTAGGAGACACTTTGTCTGGCATGTGCCTCCAAAGGGGTATGATTCCTTTCACATGACTGTCCACCAGCTATGGCTGAGGAGGATGGCCCATCTGGGCCATGTGTCCTGACCCATGTATTCTCCCACATATAAACATATATATATATATATATATATATATATATATATATATATGAAGATTTATGTATCTCCACACCTTGCTTATCATTGCTAGATGGTTCTCTGCTTGGACGGAGGCTATGAAAGCTGGTGATGTCTTATCAGCTTTAGTGTGACATAAAATTGGGAATATTGCATAAAGAACCATGAGAGAGAGGAGAGGCAAGATAGTCTAAAACCCATCTAGTTCTCATTTGAGCCTAGTATAGATATGACCAAGTCTTATTTTCTTGTAATGTGATTATCTTCTGATCAACTACATTTCTCTCTCTCTCTCTCTCTCTCTCTCTCTCTCTCTCTATATATATATATATATATATATATATATATCTGGTGTGGTGGAAGTCGAGGAAGAATGCAAATTGGGCTTTGAGTTCATAAACCACAAACTCTTCATTTCTTGAGTCCACAAGGACTGATTTCATCAACTCTTGAATCCACAAGGATCATAAAGATGCCTCTTGAACCCATAGTAATTGTTTGACTCTAACAGTGAATAGAAATCTCACAATGTGAACAAAAATAGCATCAATACTTGTCCTAAAGTAATAACTCGTTGACCTATTAATAGGTCAACAATTATTGTGACTCTATTATAAAATTAAGTCAAATAAGAAAATAATATAAAACCAAAATAATAATGGAGCATTTACTATCCTTACAGATAGATTTGGGCTTGCTTTAATTTTTGGGTTTTAAATCAGTTTTGCATTCAAGCCTTATAGTTTGCATTTTTATCATTTTCATGCCACATGGGTCACAAATCAAAGTCTGCCTCATTGATCGATCATTCCTTCCTACAGGTTTTAAGATTCCTTATTGAAGACTTGGCACAAAGTGCATGCTCATCGGGCTTCCTCGTGTGCCCAAATCACCTAGAACATCCACAAGGCTTATCTTATTCAACACTGACATTATATCATAAGTTTTCTAAACCTAATACTATACATGAAGGCACTCTATGGAGTGTGTGCAATGAGGATAGAAAGACAGGTGAGCAATGTGGTGTCTAGTATATGGGGTGATATGCTAATGAATTTTATCTTATGAGAAAAAAAAAAATATTGTAATTTTTTGCTATAAATCTCTTGAAATAAATAGAATGGAAACCAAGGGGTAGGACCTTTTTGAAAAGTGGATTTAGGCTAGAAAAAGACCAAATCACTATCAATCTTGGTGTTGTATTATAACAACACCAACCCGTATGTGATTGCATCAACCCACTACAATCATAATTAGCAGGATGTATTGAAAATAAAATAAAATAGTAAATTGTTTTAGAAAACTATCACCCCCCCTTCTTGGTATGTAATCTAGCATATTGAAGAAGCAACAGTTTTAACTTGGTAATAATACCTAGGAAGCCTTGAATTCAATTACTTTGATCTCCTCAACAAGTCAACAAGTTGGCAATATAGGTAATTTATTCCCTCTTATTATTTTGAAATAAAAAAATCAACCTTCAACTTAAAATTCCATGAAATAGTATTTTCTCATTTTCTGATCCATTTATATGTGTATTTATTGATTATTCATTTTTACTCCTGTCTTATATCCTCAAATTAGTCAAACATAGTCTTTCAGTCCAACATTTAAATAGATTGTAAATTTTCACAACCATCAACTATTCTTATTTTAGCATCACTAAATGAAGAAAAACTTATGGTATTTAAATCATAGATATATTTGAAGATATGCTAAATTAGACTTAACCTTAGTGAAAATGATATAATGGAACGTGTTGTAAATAGTTAGTATTACGTGGATGCAATGCTTTATTCTTAATCTAAATTCAGATTCGATTTATCTGCTTCCATAAAAGCCCATTTGTGGCTTATCTTTTATATAGAAAACAAAAAAAAATACTTTTCTTAAAGTAGAAATCATAAATTTAGAAGTAGAAAAAATACTATATGTATGACAAATCCTGTCTCTATCTATAACTAGAAATGGGTATTAAATGTACTGAGGATCTGGAGTTTGGAAAATGGAAAAACTTACCTTAATATGAAATAAATAAATTCATATATGAAAATAAATTGCCTATATATACAAATGGATTGAGCACATGGCGTTGGCCACCAGCGCAGTCGGCAGGTATTCGTTGAGCGACCCCTGAGATCCTCGGTGGGTCTCGCTTTTCCCCGCTTGCTACCTCATCACTGGTTCTCGCTGTCCTCGTTATCAACAATGCCACCTACGCTTATCCCTGCCCGAGCCCACATTTCTCTCTTTCTCACCCCCCACCCCGTACATTCCTTCTCAGCGGCAGTCCTCCCTCGGGTTGCCGCCGCCGCCGCCGCCTCTACTTCGCCGGTGGAGGAAGATCGGATCGTTAAAGCCCTGGTTCCGTGGGAATCATGTCAGGGAATCAAGGTCTGATTAATCGCTTTCGTCGTTTCACTTCTTTCCCATCAGACGTCCTTTCTGCGGTAGTGCCTGTATTGTCGTCGGGTCCCTATCATGGAACTGTAGCCGTTCGTTTTCGTGCCTGTCTACGCCACTGCATAGTTGACAGATTGAAATTAGCATTTTATGCATTTGTGATAAAAAATTTCGTTAGTTTGACTAAAGAACAATACTAGTTCCGGTACTAGTGCAGGCCAAGATTCTGAGCTGTTGCTGTGCTATGTGGGTCGATGTTGAACCTACTGGTTTTAGGGGGGGTGGAGGAACGAGTCGTCGCATCTATTTCGAGGTTGAATGAGAAGTAGCAATATCTAGGAGTGATGAAGGCAAGATTCTGGAGAGGAACAGGATGAGTGGAGATGCAAGCTGACATTTCGGGTGCTTGATTTCATCTCCTCTATCGACCTTATCCAGTTTAGTTTTTCAATGGACAGCTATTGAATCCATTATTGCACGATAGCAGCTCGTTGAGATCATCAATGACTAGACATAGTCCTCTTTTTCCTGTTATGGGTTGGATATTGCTGGAGTCTGCCAGAACGGGCCTTTCTTCTCCTTATGCTAGTTTAATTGATAATTTTGGTCGACGCTGACCATCAGTCGATTCTGAGGCTGATACGTGGAAACAGTGTGCTGACTTTATCTAGAGACGGCCAGCGCTTGTTTTTTAACTCTGTGACAGCTTTTTATTTCCTTTACTTCTATTCGTGTCTTATTCTCTATAGAAGAATCAAAAGATTGCTCGAAGTAAATATAACCCTGTATCATTTTAGTTGATTCAGAAATGAATACAAGAACCCGGTGACGTTTGGATACATTTCTAGTGAACCATGTGATTCTTTGCTTAGAATTTGTCTGATTTCAAGCATCCTTCGCTTGAAGAGAAGGGGAATTGTATATTCTTAAAGTTCTTGTGTGCCCTGTGAAACGAATATTTGGTGAAGGGTGCAGACGAACTGTTAGTTATATTAGATGAGCTGAAGTTTTCTTGGCCTGTTTACTAAGTTTGGATATTCAAAGTGCTGTTGAATCTATTCTTAATGAAAGTTGATTGTAGTTCCTGGCGAATTCATGGTTTCTTTGATCAATTAATTGGTCAGTCACTCAAGTCATAAAGATTCACATCAAATATCAATTTAAATTTGTAAAGAAGTTCAAAATCTATTTCATAGGTAAATTCTCGTTGATCATGAATAATTTCTTGGCTTGTGGCTTTATCAAATGTGTTATCTTTATCCATGATTATCTTATGCTGTATTTTATTTCGTATATGATCACTTTGCTGTTGGCTTTTAAAAAAATTGAGCTTGTCTCAAAGAATGATTTGCGAATATTAAAACCGTCTCTTGCGAATATTAATTTCTTTAATTCCAAACCTTCAGATGAAAAGGCAGTTTCTGTCAACATCAGAAGCGACAAGGGTGAAGAATCATCGAATGAGCCACAAGTAAAACAGAAGACCTCCCCATCACCATTGATGGGGACTCCTGGAGGTCCTTTTGACTTTTCTGCTCTGTCAGGAATTCTCAATGTATTCTACTCTCTTTGTTCCATTAATTTCATCACCCATAATTTTCTTACCTTCTTGATATGGTCTCATCTATTTCATATGATCTGTAGAACGTTTTCACAGAAAATTCACATCTTTTTATGTGTACTTCGAAAACTAAAGTAGGTAGTCGTGATATATATATTTGTATTTCGTTAATGATGTTAAACCCGAATCACCAGAAAAACATACTATTCCATCTGTTCTTCTGGACATGTCTACAGTTTCCCAACGATATCATTATTTTAGGAAATAATCAACCTCATTTACCTTAGATGATGACGAGTGAAGTTAGCGCCTAGTAGGGATTGCTCATCATCATCATTCCTGAAATCACAATTTTACCTTTAGGACATGGACCGTACCGCAATACTCTATTCTATCATATGCCATGATCACATAACAGCAACAATAGAAGATTAATACCAAAGCAAGTACTTGATTCTTATGAGAAGGAATGTTGGGATACAGATTTTTTAGTGGTTGAAACCCAAAAGATTACTCTTCCTAATTACATATGCTGGGGTAATGGAAAAACTACTTCCAACGAGTCCCATAAGAGTTTAACTACGGGCTGTAGAAAACCTAAGAATCCTGGTTTTTAACACTAGGATTATTCAATCATCCCTGCATTAATATTAAAAGGCACTTGCTCATCAGATGACTTCGTAAAGCCCCATAAATAATTGGGCTTAAGTCTGGCTCATTATGGGGTGCACTAACTCAATATGCTCCTGCATTGAAAGGACTTTCACTGCCTGTCCTCTTTTGATTACTATCTCTACCATCCTTTTGATAGAACGAATTCCCATTTCTTCTACTTTCATCACATCGCTATATCTTTTTCAGTTTTTGCAGTTACTTAGCACTTTACTGCATGCTGTGCAGTTAGACTAAATTATGGTTTATTGAGCCTTCGCTTCAATCTTAGTTGAATATAAGCATCATTAGTTTGGATCAGTAGTGTTTCCTGCTACGTTGAGGGCACAATGACTGGCTGGGGGCTACATAACGGACTTCCAAATTGGACACATGTTGACCACACACATGGCCTTTCTTAGGAGTGTTCAGGACAGAGACAGTTTTTTTTCTGGGCTTGAGTGGGCTTTGGGCCATCCTGACACTTTCACACTCCGACTTTGCACTTAAAGTTTCCTCGACCACATAAATTATGGTGCTCTATAGAGGCTCCCATTGACTGAACTTACGATTCCTAGAAAATAGTCTGTCTATATCTTTCATGTTTTCGCTTTATTCGTTTCACAGTCCATGTTATTAGTCATGAAACAAGATGTTCTGCATACATGGCTACTTGAAATGAATTCACAAGCAAGAGTTTCACGTTGAGGTTTGCTTTGAGATGTTACTAAGTGAGATCTAATAATAAAACCACTGTATAACTGGTGCCATATCAATACCTCACAAGTGTATGACATTTCTAGTAACGCATATATCCATATTCTCAGATGTAGAAGGGAGACCATAAATTGAAGAGCAATGCAACTATTGAATTAAATCCCAAGATGATATTGAATGTGTATCACTTTTTTGAACACCTTCAAGCTATTACGAAACATATTTAAGCCATGAAATGAGGTAAAAGACTTTGGGTTTTTTATTCATTAAATATAATATCATCCTATTCTATTGATTGGGGAATATTCTGTTTTTGTTCATTATGGCTGGAACTGGTCCAGAATTCAAATAAAGAGCCATATTTCTGTGCTGTTGCTTTCCTTCTATCCCCTATCACTGCTCTTTTCAAACTACACTCCTGTTGTGCCAATTTACCATTAGTGACCACCTAAATACAAATTTTTCTCTTTGACTTTATATTTTGAAGGATCCATCAATAAAGCAGATGGCAGAGAAAATAGCTCAGGATCCTTCATTCACACTGATGGCTGAACAGCTCCAGAGAAGTATCCAAATTGGCAGTGAAGATGTTGTACCTACCATGGATCCTCAGCAATACATCTCAACCATGCAACAACTCATGCAAAATCCTCAGTTCATGAACATGGCTGAGCAACTGGGCAATGTTCTAATGCAGGTGCAACATTTCCCTTGATGTTTATGGAATCATTCTTAGGCATGCTTAGCTCTGGTTTGTTTTGAACGTATTCCCAATTTCATTCTGGATATACCAGCTTTGTATATTGCTTAAACTTTCGAGCCTAATTTGCATCTCTTTTTCAAGGATCCTTCGATGTCTAGAGTACTGGACAACCTGAACAATCCTTCCAGTAGAGAACAACTTGAAGAACGAATTTCTCGCATCAAGGAAGATCCAACACTTAAGCCTGTACTAGATGAGATTGAGTCTGGAGGTCCAGCTGCAATGATGAAGTAAGTGATGTGGAGATTTTCCGTGGTATTCTCATGAAGATTAGGATGCTATGTTATCTTTTAACCTTTTGGCTTTAGGTATTGGAAGGATTCTGAAGTTCTACAAAAGCTAGGTCAAGCTATGGGCATTGGTGCTTTGGGGGATACTGCAACATCAACTGAGCTTTCTGGATCAGGGGAAACAGAAGAAGCTGAATATGAGGATGAGTCTGTTGTTCATCATGCTTCCAGTGTTGGCGATGTGGAGGTATTATTGATTATTTTTTTTATTCACAGTAAGGCGATTTATTCTTTATGCACTCTTTTTTTCTGTCTAGAATGTGAAATAAGGGCTGAAGTTATAAAGGATGCTGGCTTTTTAAAATGAAATAACCTTTAATTGGTGTAGTTTCTAGACTTTATGAACTAAATGAAATTCATTAATTGTTCCGTTTCCTATAGGCATTAAAGAGAAAAGTGGAAGGGACGTAGAATGATTCTGCTGTCCAAGCAACTGGTGGAGCCCAGTCTCTTGCCATAAAATTCAGTGTTGATCTTCAATGGATAAGAAAGTAAAAAGCAGAGAGAGTGGCACATGCACATGGACCCAACTGATGTGTTTTTGTTGTGATTTTTCTTGTCCCAACAGTCATTGGTGGACCATATGTATAAGAGGCATCCTAGTGCTGACCATGTGTCGTGGACAAGGCCATTTCCTGATTTCTTTGCTGCCACTGGACCGTGTGGTGGAGTTCTGTGCTTCAGTTGTTGATTATCCTTGACATTTTGATATTGTTCAACGAGATATAGTTTTAATCCCTGTATTTACTTTAGGAGCCTGAAATATTGCACAGATAAAACCAGAGTTACCCTATCCATTATGAATATCCGGGATACCATCCAAAACCTTAAACTAATTTCGTTCAGTTTCACGTATGTAATTTCAAGCAATTCTGTCCACAAATCTTTGTGCACGTAAAAGTGTGTGAGGTGCTAACCTAGCTAAATCTAACCAATGGTATCTTGATCGCACAAGCACCTGATTGATAAACATCAATGGAGAGATGAAGAACTAACTTCCCCGATGAAACACTTTTTGAGATTTCCTTGCTGGAGAAGAAGTTGCCATTGCTTTGCCAAGGAGACCAAAATTAGCAGGACCATACGAACCTCCTGTTGTCAAGTCTTGTAGGAAGAATTAGAGGCGGCCTGGTATGTGCCGCAGGTTAAGCCATAGCAGGGCAGAGAAACTTGGACAAAAGTTGGAATATGGTCTATTGCTATGAAAAATCATAAGCTTAGCTTTAGCAGAAAACTAGATTTTCCCTTGTGTACGTCACCTTCTTTTTTCTTTGCAGGTGTTTAGCCTTCCAGACTTACTCTCCATGTTGAGGCCAGATTGATCAGCACTATAACAAACAAACATGGATTGATCTGTTATAGACAAGAAAGATAAGTGGAGCACATAAGTTTCAGCCTGTTTAGGTTTCTTTCTTTAAGCAGGTCGGATCTTGGATCTTGTATATTTGAATGAGAAACCAATGAAGCCAACAAGTATATCTTCGTTATACAGAGAATGTGGGCATATGTAAGGGAAATGGAAGTCATCATAACAACCACATTGGATCATAGCTATTAGGTCTGATCTGGGTTACTGGAGATCTGTTCTCAATTTCGGGGAACTTGTCTTTTTGAAAAATTCTAACCTTTTGCTACTTGAGGAATATGGATACTGTGTCCTTTCGCTTTCGATTTCTTTATAGAAATAAGTGTCATTTTCATCATTATGCATGCTAATATTTGAGGCATGCTTTTTCATCTCGTAACTGACTTATCCGTTTTAATCTAAAGGACTGTATTAAAATAATTTATAACTGTCATATCCCTCCTAAGTAATCGGGTATGTTTTGTGGCTTATTTTTATCTCATTTCGTGAAGATCTGTTTTAAAGATGTATTTTGTCACTATTGCTTCCTTCAATCTTCCTTATTTTGAATAAGAGTAGAAAATTTATTCGTCATCTTTATGACCATGTCCTTATCCTAGGCGTATAAATTGTTTGATGTTTTCCTTGTACTTCAGTTTTTGTTAAATATTCTCTTTACGTGTTTTTTTTCAAAGGTCGGCCTTTCTTTTAAACTTTTGTAAGCAAGATCTGTTTTGTTCACATCATCTGATCTTCCTGTAAATCTTGATTCGTTGGGTTAAGCTTCTTGTTTTGCATAATTGAGAGGACCTATTTATGAATATGTGGTAATTGCATCTCTCAAATTTTGCTAGTAGTCGGTTTTACTCTGTTGTACATTTTGAAGTACGTTGATAAAATGGCTTTCTCTTTTACTTTTTTTTTTGGGGGGGGTTTTGGGGAATGGAAGTGGCCCAGAGGAAAGTCATGAGGTCCTGGTTAGATTCTCCTTTTCACAGATCGTATTTTGCTTAGGCTTGTATGCAACTGCATCAACTGAACTTTTGCTCCATCTAAACTGAAAAGTTTTATATTTTTTGCGTTCATGGTTAAATCAGGGGTTGCAGAATGCACTTGCTGCTGGAGCAGACAAAGACGAAGAAGATTCAGAAGGAAGGACAGCTTTACATTTTGCCTGCGGTTATGGGGAGGTAAATAAGTTTGTGAACTCTCTTTGCTGGGCATACTGAGGTCAAAAACATTTCCAAACTTTCACGGCCTTGTTTCTTGGCGAAAATTTTCAAGTTTGCTCTTTCTCCCCCATAAAAGCTCATTAGGATTCTATTATGCTGGCTGTAGTTATAATACGTGGTGAGTTGCATTCTCATTTACGTTACATGAACCATTAACCTGTGTGAGGTTAATATTGATGCACATATAGCTTCTTCATTGGTTTGTTGTTAGCGGGTTAATTGGTCTAATGAATTGAAACTTGTCTTGAAGGATTTCTCGACGAAGAAATTTTCCTCATCCAGATGTTTGATTTCATTTAGCCAACTGATATGGGCCATGCTTCATTTCCACTTAAAGCTGATGATTTAGTTGTGTGAAACAAACCAATAAAAAATACATGGGTTCAAAAATGCCTTTGAATGGAATTTGTGTGACAATTCGTTACTGTCTAGGATATTTCCTCTGAATTGAGTGAAATATTTTATCAGGATCAGGTCTGATGCCTACTCCTTTTTGGATAGTATCAGGTATGACATCATATACTTCGTGTGCTTTCAAGGTGGTAAGAAGATACATATGGTAGGAAATTGCCTTCTGCTTAGAGCGCTTTGGACAATACCATGAGCATCCCTCGTATGAAAAATCCTGGATCTTAAAGTCATATTTTCCTATCAAAGTTTGGTAAAGTGAAATTAAAAACAGAAATTCACTTCGGATTCTTATGTATTTCTTTTCAAAAGATTGTTTTTTTGGACGGTAAGCTGACTTATATGATTCAGGGTGATGAAATATCTTATTCTTGGCTATTCTAACTGATTGCAGCTTTTTATAACATATAGTGTTGGGAGAGTTTCACTCCTACTATCTTTAGAAGGCCTAAAAATTAAGTGCCCCATAAAGGGTTTTACAGGAAGGGAAAGTAAAATATAGTAACTGGAAAATAAGGAAACTCCAAAAAAAATGTCTAACAGTCCTAAAAAATTAGAAGAATATAAATTAAGTAAAATATATTTAGAAATATATCACTGAAAATATCTCATCATTCTCATCACGAGCACTCAGGTTCTTTGGGAAATTCCCTGCAGTGTTAGAGATTTATAAAGACTATGACAATTGCCTCTTACAGAGACGATTTGGAATTCCATTTTTCTGACTACCCACAGGTGTGTGGGTGTTGAGTTATGAGGATTTTGCTTGCTGCCTGCCAGTGCAGCCGCTACTTGCCTCTGCCTCGAGGAGGATAAGATATAGGATACGAGGAGTCTGTGCCAAATGGCCTGTCTCCATGATCATTGGTTTCTGTTGGTGGGTTCTCTGAAACTCACGTTGAACTAAAAAAATTGACAGGTTTTGCATGACTGCAAGAAACTTGCCGAACAGTCTAACCCCAAATTAGAGCTGCAATTTCCTAAATCCTCTCTTGATTCAAAAGTAATGTTTTTAATCAATTGGGTTCATAGCCGCCCCACCGGTTAGGCTTGATAGAAAGTTTGTAGCTATATTCTCCTCGCCCACAGTGACATCAAACCCCTGCCCGACCTGAGAGGAGCTTGCTCATCCACTATCTTGACTACAGGCCCAGATCGTGATTGGTATGCCATTTCCCAATTCGGATTTGGGGTTTATTTTAAGTCAAACATGTTGTAATTGGCTGTTCAACTTCGTGCAAATGCTCTGGGTTCAACATTGGATGATCTTGTCCAGTAAGGGTCATGATAGCTCAATGTTTGGTGTTTCAGGTCCAATGTGCTCAGATTCTCCTCGAGGCTGGGGTTGCAGTGGATGCTCTGGACAAGAATAAGAACACTGCTCTCCACTATGCTGCTGGTTATGGCCGAAAGGAATGTGTCGCTATTCTACTTGAGAATGGGGCTGCTGTGTAAGTTGCAGATGGTTTACTGGTATCTTGGTCTTCTCTGACGACAGCTCTCCTTTTTCTCACATGGTTGATTGATTTATTCTGCCATCTGCAGCACTCTGCAGAACTTGGATGGGAAGACACCTCTTGAGATTGCTAAGCTGAATGATCAAGATGAAGTGCTCAAGTTGCTGGAGAAGGATGCCTTCTTGTGATGATGATGACTCACTTGCTACTGAAAAGTTCGATTTAGAGAGATTAGAGATTATGGTATCTTCAACCAGCTCTTCCCTGATTGGCTTGGGAGATAATGGTTTAATTGATGATTGAGGGGGGGGGGGGGTGTTGGGGTTGGATTCAAATGTCGTTAAAAGCATTCATTATGAACTCTCTAAGCCCATTTCTGTTCTTCTTGACTTCTGCTGCATCAGCAAGACATAACATTCAAAGCTAAGCTCTCATGGAGCATAAACTTTGACTTGAAAGCTTGACCTTCTTATAGTAGTACTAGTGAAAAATCTGGTGATATTGATTTAAAGTTAGAGGGCTAACAAATGAATTTCCCAAATTTCAACTTTTTCATAAATATTTTTTTCTAATTTTTCTGTGATCCAACAGTCATTTATAGATATTCCAATAGTCGCCTAAAACTTCTTGAATATTGATAGCATGAGCCTCAATTACTATGGTGTTTTTTCCAAATTTCATATTTCCTTTTTTCCTACAGTTTTTCATTCCACATTTAGTAAACTCATTTTGTTAAATTATAAATAGTAAAAAAAATACATTCATTTGATCAAAGTTTTTGTAGGACTTTGTCATAGATTGGTACTCCATAATCAGAATTTTTACCACCTTAGTTTGGTCGCTTATTTGAGGATGGCTTGTATTCCTAAATTTAAAGGATAAATAGTATATTAGAAGTGCCATAAAAGTTTTATATTTCAATCAGAGTTGATATATTTTTGGGCTCCAAGACAATGAATCACTTCTTTGAAAAATAATTTATTGACATCTATTGCATCCTTTTGTTTTCTTGTAAGCATTAAGGTGCATCATATCAAAGAAAGAATCAAAACATAAAGACAAAGTCTGCTTCTTCTCATGTACTTCGTGACTCAAATGTAAAATCTATAGATGTCTTTTCACAACATTGAAAACATATAATCACATATGCACTTTATTTTTAACAATGAATGTTTATATTATTCAAATTTTTGAAATTTTAATTTGTGCATTTTTGGCTATAAAAAAATTCTTAAATGATTTGTGCGTGTGCCATAGATGAGTAACAATGCAAACTTACCCACAGTTGAGAAAGTTAAAAAACTAGAACTAGCTAAATGGATACCAAGTATGAAGTCACAAAAGAAATATAATTATGAGGCTTATATTATAGGAAACCTATTTAGAAAATTTCACAAGCTTATGGATAATATTACAGTCATATGACCCCTAGAAATTAGAGATGATCATGGAGCAGAGCCTAAAAGAGAAATTGAGAATTTAAGATTTTCTAAATTCTATGATAAGGAAAGAATCTTTCTTGAATTCTTTAGTGTAAGAAGTCCATGGTAAAGTAGAGAGGAAGAACATAGCCTTGTTAGATATTTATAAAATAATATCGGTTGAAAATAATTTGTCATTTTTTTTTGATAGAAGTAATTTATATATCCTGCTACATGTTGAATAGAGTAATGGTTATACCTTTTATCAGAAGCACACTATATGAGCTAGTTAAAGTAAGAAATTGAGCAAATAATTATCTACATCTTTAAACCAAGTTTTCTTTGGTGTAAAAATATGATGGAGCTTGTGTAGCTTGTTTTCATGGCATTGACGTAAGATTATCATGATCTTTGAGATATGCTATCTTTGTGAATGCAATTAACCCTATTCAAGAAGGCAATTTTTTTTGTTATGATCTGCTTTAATTGTATGTATTTTTGTCTCAATCGTAGCTGATTCTCAAGGAATTATCCCACCTCAAATGATTTCATGTTCTTGAGTGGTGGTTAAATGCAGATTTATTTTGTGATACTCTTTATTTATGTTTAATGTTTTTACTTGGATGAACATAGATATATTGCGCCCCCCCCCATGATCATCACATAATTCCGAAAATATTCTGAAAAAGTACCAAAAATCAAGAAAAAATATTTTATATAAAAAATGAATTATAAATATTACATTATTATTTATTCAATATCAAGAAAAAAATGTACAGAAATAATATTTGATTGATCATATCAAAGATTACTTGAAAGTTTGATCAGATATTTCTACATATATTAAAATCCAGTTGGGAAAATCAATTACATGCTCTTATACCTTAAAATTTCTTACAATGACCAAATATGCCACAACACCAAGGAAGCTACTGTTTTGGAATCATTTGCGTCATTATATGTTAACATGACTTCCTTTCCCATGTGAAATCACTTATGGGGGGGGGGTACTTATAATAAGGGTAGAAAGACAAGGTAGTATCTTGCTAGTTAACATGGTGTGATAGACCCATCCAATCTATTGTATAACAAAGTTACTGCTTCCATGAAGTTCAATTGTTTTTCTCTGAAAGAGAATGGTAAAATAAAAGATAAGGACCCTTGTGAACTAGACATAAGCTCAGGAAAGGTAAAACCATTATACATCTTCATGCCAAATGTACTAGATTTAGTGTGTTGTCCTAATGTGTTTATTTAATCATTCAGTGTGTCAACACTATGTCAATCAAGGTCACTCTAAGTTGACCCAACACCTTCTGTGTTAACCAACTATACTTGGAATTTGTAAATCTATTTAAAACCACATAAAACTTGTAAAACCAGTATATTCCCCCTCTTAGTATATATTGTACTCTAAAAGAGAACTAATATATATATATATATATATATATATATATATATATATATATGACTAATATGATCGAAATATAAGAAGCAAGGTATCTCATTTCTAATGGCAAAAAAAATTAACCAAATTTATGACACAAAAGATTATGCCATTTTAGCACACACAATTTGGAAGTTATCTATCTATGTAGAGTATTTTAGAGGACTTCCTAAACTAGAACTCGAGTAAATGATCACATCATATGAGTTTTTATTTATAAAAATTAGGTAAATGACAATAACTACTTTTGTAAAATATGTATTAAAGGAAAACAAATGAGGAAAAACTTCAGATCAAAAGATCACATCTTGTTAATTAAACATAATGATTTGTTACACAATGATTTATTGGTTACAATTTTGAGAAAAATATTTTGGTTTTGTTATTGTGGATTATTTTTATATATTTACTTGAGTTTATTTTTTATAATAGAAAAGTGAAAATTTAGGGTATTTTATAATGTTTAGGAAGAGAACTCATAATAAACTTCAATACGTATAAAAGATATCATAAGTGATCATTGAAAAGAATTTGAGAATGCCAAATTTGTTAAATTTAATGAAGAAAAGGTTTGCTCTCCTATTTATATTGGGCTAGAAGACCTACCTTTTAGATTTATGGCTCTAGGGGTACGAACAAGGAGATTCACTGTTTCTAGATTCATGACTGTAAGGGCCTAAATAGAGAAGCCTCACTCATCTCTTCTAGACCAAGACCTCTTTGGGACATGAGTAAGGAGAGTACCATTCTACTAAATCTAATTTGAAACTAATTCTATAGTGTGAGTTATAGTTTGTATGTTATTTAACTCTAAGCTTCCAAAGGCCTTGTTTCCTTTGATTTCTTGTTTTAGAAGCTTTCCATGAGGATACACCTCCTGCATTTGTTCTATTTGAGTCTTTGCCCTTGATTTTGATTTCTTCATCATTCATCATTTCTTTATCTTGTTTCTTGTTCAAGACACTATTACTTCTATATCCATCGATCTTTTCTGGTTTTTGTAACCTTTGAATGAACTTTTTATGATCCAAAATTAGTCATTTCAGGGAGGTGGTGGATCCTAATTGGTACTTTTGTTTTTGTAATTTTGCACAACACCTGACAGTCTTCTCTCTCTCACCTCATGTATTGACATATGTGAACACTGGAATTAGGGCATGCAAAATTGCCCTAATTTAATAAATAAAAATTACTCAAATCAATACTATAAAATATTTTAGAGCATATGAAACACATTTGAGCATTTTCAAATGTTACAAGAGTATTCGGTTTAGCCTATAATGGAAATGAAGATTATTATACCCTTCTTAATTTTATGGTTTTCCTCACTAACAATCATTTAGATCATCCAAATATTTAGTTCCATAATCATGAATTTTATCAAATTATTCTTTAATATATTTTGTTCATCATTAGAAACATCATAACCTCTTAGTGTAAACATGTATATCACATGATTTCTGGTGTTTCAACACCTCAAGAAAAAGGTATATCTCACAATATCTTTTGTGCTTCAACACCTCAAGAAAGAGATGTATCTCCCAATCTCTTGTGCTTGAAGACCTTAGTAAAATAATACATGTCACAAATTCTCTTTTGTCACTTCCTTGATGATTTTTCTAATGTTTTATGCCTAAAAAATATAATCAAGCAGCGAATGGATTTGATCTACCACCTCAGATCTTCATCCATACGTTAGTGCAATAGTGACATTTTGTGCTCATTTATTTTATTTTTTATTTTATTATTTTTCATCAGCATCAAAATACTTTAACCAACATTTATGATAATCAAAATAATTCCTAGCGGACCTGAAGATTGAGGATTTTGTCTAGTTGAATAAAGGCCAGATTTCTATTATTTTCCCACTTTTCGCATCATTAGAAGGTGTGAGATAAAGACAAGGTGAAGAACTGAGAGAGAGAGGGGGAGACAGAGAGGTCTGCCTATGGGTTTGAAGCGTTAGTCACTGCTGAGTTTAGTAATTTTTTAGTTGTTGAGAGAGAGAGAGAGAGAGAGAGAGAGAGAGAGAGAGAGAGAGAGAGAGAGAGAGGCTCATCTCTTTGAGTCCAGAGCAGTACCTCTACCGGGTTGACATCTCGTCTTCTGGTGGGTGCCAGCGAACTCGGGGAAGGCCGAGACGATCGCGTAGAGAGACAGCTCGGAACCTTCAAACTTTTGAACGTTGACTATCCAGGGCCTTTGAAATAATTTAATAATTTAGTTACAATATTTTAGCGTTGAGACATTCCGGCATTGTATCCGATGCCAATCACGGTATCAACTAGTGACCCTCTATCCCTCTCATTTCCCTCCCCTCTCCAGCCAGCCCCTTCCGCGCTACCCACCAGTCCGTCCCCCTGCGACGGCCCTCCGTCCTCCTTGAAATAATTTCCCACCATCATAAAATCTTTTCTTGCTTGGCTGCCTTCTTGTCTCGACCCTAACACGTTTGCGTGCGGAGAGGGCGTGCGGGAGCACGAAGGACGAAGGTATGCCGCGAGCGCCGGTAGCTGGCAGCGGTGGTCGACGGACGGTGTAACAGTGCGTACCATTTTCCTCCCACCTCTTTTCTCCCTTCCTATGGCTTACGCTTGGTTATTGTCATCGTCTGCCCCCTCTCCGTTTTCTTCCGTCGATGGGGTTTGGCAGGATGATCCTTGGGTAGCCCGCGATTGGATCGGGCTTCCTAAAACATGTGCTTGTCTTCGTTACCTTCCAAGAGGAGATTAGGTTTCCCGCATGAAAGCTAGATAGGGAATCTGGAATCTGATCGGAATCGATCCGATTTTGAGGGCCTTATTGGCTTTTTAGTCAATGATACTCTTTACCTCCATCCTGAACGCACAAATAACGCTCGAGTTGATTTGGGATAAAAATTGATCGATCGGATGACCAGAGTTTTACGGGCGGATGGATCAAGAGATTTTCAGTTCTTGATCTTCAATGGTTTCTCCTCCCTGTTCTCACTGCAGTCGTATTCTCTGATTCACAGAGCATTAGATTGTGCCCGGGAAAAAATGCTCGACTGCGGCGGTTTCAAGTCTCAGTTAATTGATGGCCAAAGGGAAAAATTTGTAAGGTATATTGCTACCGCTCTTGTAAAACGTTTTCTTATGTTTGATTTTTTTGATTCTTGTTTGAAAATTGGGGGCGTAACGATAGCTTTCTTGTGATTTTCTCGACCCCATGATGAATTGCCCAACATAATTTTATTTTGACGGTTTAGCACTGAAAAAGTCTAAGTGGCATGTCTGTCGTCATTAGCTGCTAGCCGGCCAATTGTTCTTTCAGGGCGAATGAACAAAGAACAAGCTGCAAAGTGAAACATTTTCTTAAATTTCAAAGTTTTGCGATGCTATATTTGTATGCTAGTCAAAATTTCGTGTGCCATTTTTCACGGAATATTCAAGTTTTTCAATCTAATAAGAAGATCAAGATAGCCCGACTTCAGAAAGTGAAGCTTTGTTGGAGGATCTCAATCAAAATGTCCGTTATCTGCACTTCCATGCCGTACTCAATCACCTGGCACATGCCCATGGAACTTGCTCATCCAGTGGACAAGCAGTTCTTTGCTCTTGTCTAACCATCTATATGGATTTTGTTGCTGAACCAAGTGATGGCTGATGGCTTCATTATTTTAATGCTGTTTATTTTCATGTTCAGCCATACGACCTGATAATGAGAGGCAACCTTGGGAAATCCTGTGAATTGAAATCAATTTCTTGAGATTGTTTTCAACTTGTTTAGATGTCATATCGTGGTCTGTGACGAGAATAATGCTGGTACCACTTCGCAGGAGAGGACGCAAGATGTTCCCTGCGTCTGTCGTTCTTGCCTCCTGCTAGGCCATGCTCATTTAGTGAAGCCTGCAGACTCCATTCCTATGGTTAGATGCTCAAAGTGGTCATGGTTGCTATCTGTTTACCTCCTCTTTCTCTTTATGGATAGAAGACCCATCTCTTCCTGTCTTGGCCTCAGATGATGCCCTCCTGACGGCTTCCTTGCCCAATGTCCTCACTCCCTGCTTGAGATCTTCCCCATCTACATTACTCACTGCCGTTCTCAGGGCACCACTGAACTTTGCTCCTTGTTCCCAGGCTGGAGGACTTGGACCCTAGGGAGGCTGGGAGAATGAGCCGATACGGGTTTGGGATTGAGGGGTTGGCCCGCCCGTCCAGGGCTCCACCACGAAGGTCCTTCAGGAGCGAAGTGAGGAGGGGGTCTGAAGGGCTTAAGTCACTGGGGCGGTCACTCCGCCATGGTGTCACCCGGGCGGTCTTCCCTGAGGACCTCAAGGGGTCAGAGAAGAAGGTGTTTGACCCTCAGGACAAGTTCCTGCAACGGTGGAACAGGCTCTTTGTGATCTCGTGCATACTTGCAGTCTCGGTGGATCCGCTCTTCTTCTACCTTCCGTTCGTCAACAAGGAGCAGTACTGCGTCGGGATTGATCGGAAGCTGGCCATCACAGCCACAACAATCCGCACCCTCATTGATGCCTTCTACCTCATCCGCATCCATCTCCAGTTCAAGACAGCCTACATCGCCCCGTCCTCACGTGTCTTTGGTAGAGGGGAGCTTGTGATCGACCATGCCCAGATTGCCCGACGGTACCTCAAGTGGCGCTTCATCGTGGACCTCCTGGCGGTGCTGCCCCTCCCCCAGGTGCCACTCCTCACAACATTTCCCTTCCTTCCTTCCTCCCATTGACTTTATATTCACAGATCTATCATCTTGCCCAAGTGCAGATTGTCATCTGGAGGTTCATTCAAAGATCCCAGGGTTCAGATGTGCTGACCACAAAGGACGCGCTGTTCTACATTGTCCTGATCCAGTATATCCCCAGGTTCTTTCGTATTATCCGTCTCACGTCGGAGCTGAAGAGAACCTCTGGCGTCTTTGCTGAGACCACCTGGGCTGGTGCGTCGTACTATCTCCTGTGGTACATGCTCGCCAGCCACGTAAGACCCTGCACTTGGTGTGTCAGCATCGTGCTCTTTAGGCAAATTTGGGCGTTGGGTGTGCTGACAAGGGTTGGATGACCATGTGGCAGATTGTGGGTGCATTCTGGTACCTGCTGGCATTGGAGCGAGAGGAAGCATGCTGGCATGAGGCATGCAGTCCTACCTCTGCTTGCAATGCGACCTTCCTGTACTGCATGAATCGGGGGGCACAGAGCCAAGCGAGCTGGAGCCTCACTGGGCAGCAGATCCTTGACAGTTACTGCAATGCCACTGATGACAACCCAAAGTTCGACTTTGGGATTTACACGCAGGCGCTCACATCTGGAGTTGTCGCGTCGAAGTTCGTCTCTAAGTACTGCTACTGCCTGTGGTGGGGGTTGCAGAACCTCAGGTGAGACCTCCTTCCAGGCAGGGGAATAGCAGAGCTCCTAACGGCCTTTTTCCTTGCAAGTCGGTCATCATGGTGCACTGGTTTGTCTCTGTTTTTCTGCAGCACCCTCGGGCAAGGGCTCCAGACGAGCACTTACCCTGGAGAGGTCATCTTCTCCATCACGCTCGCCATAGTTGGTCTCATTCTGTTCGCCCTCCTCATCGGCAACATGCAGGTGATTCTTGTACCCACCAGCATGCCACACAGGCCCTGCTGCTCTCGTAATCATGCTCTGTTCTTGCTTTTCCTGCGGTCGCAGACGTACCTGCAGTCGCTGACGATACGTCTGGAGGAGATGCGGGTGAAGAGGCGGGACTCGGAGCAGTGGATGCACCACCGGATGCTCCCCCCCGAGCTCAGGGAACGCGTGAGGCGCTACGACCAGTACAAATGGCTGGAGACGCGAGGGGTGGACGAAGAGAGCCTGGTGCAGAGCCTCCCCAAGGACCTCAGGAGGGACATCAAGCGCCATCTCTGCCTCGCCCTGGTCAGAAGGGTGAGTCGAATTCCATTCCATTGATATCAGTCCATTGCAGAAGCAGGTGCTTGCCCTGATGGAGCGAGCCCTCCTTGCTTCTTGGACAATAGGTGCCCCTCTTCGAGAACATGGACGAGAGGTTGTTGGATGCCATCTGCGAGCGCCTCAAGCCCAGCCTGTACACGGAGGATACTTACATCGTGAGGGAGGGAGACCCAGTCGATGAGATGCTCTTCATCATCCGTGGCCGCCTCGAGAGTATGACCACCGACGGGGGGCGGAGCGGATTCTTCAACCAGAGCGTCCTGAAGGAGCGCGACTTCTGCGGTGAGGAGCTGTTGACTTGGGCGCTAGACCCCAAGTCCGGATCAAACCTTCCCTCCTCGACCAGAACGGTCCGGGCCGTGACCGAGGTCGAAGCCTTCGCCCTGATCGCCGAGGAACTGAAGTTTGTGGCGAGCCAATTCCGGCGACTGCACAGCCGCCAAGTCCAGCACACATTTCGGTTCCACTCTCAGCAGTGGCGGACATGGGCGGCCCGCTTCATCCAGGCGGCGTGGCGGCGCTACATGAAGAGGAAGGCTGCAGAGCTCCAGCGCAAGGAGGGCCTCGAGATTGCAGAGAGTGCTTCCTCTGGCTCGTCCAGTCTTGGCACCACCATCTACGTGTCAAGGTTCGCAGCCAATGCCCTCCGTAGCGTTCACAGGTTTCGCAACAAGACTCCCAGAGTGCTGGGGCTCCAGAAGCCGCCCGAGCCGGATTTCATGGCAGATGTGACCGATCAGTAGTTGCAGTGGGTGAATTTGATCGAACTGCGATATGTATATCCACTATCAAGCTGATCCAGCGCGTCGTTTCCTCTGTCAGATTTTCAGATTGGAAATGCCTGCAAAGAACAATGATTATAGGCAACGTGACCAGACATGCTGTAAAAATGTTTTTCTCGAACTCTTTGCGGAACCCGGACTGAGATGCGGGCAGGAGGATCCCCTCGAATCCGTGGTGATCATGAAAATATGATATGTTCTTTAGGGACATAATTTTCAGTTTCTGCAATAGGTCTTGACCTCAGCGTATCCAGCTATGTCGGTCAAATGCTAGTATCAAGATGGGCCGCCATGTTTTCAAAGTCAAGGTGGCGACCAGCTGGACGGGGGCTTTTTATCTGTAAAAGAAAGAAGACAGAGACCCTTTCTGTGGAGAGTCTTCCTGGGGCTGTTGTTAAATTTGTTGAAGAGGTTGCTTGATATAGAAACGCAGTCCAAGAAACGAGGAAGACTCGGAACGGGGGACCCAACTGATACGAAAATGGAGAAACATGGAGTAGGATGGTTTGAAAGGTCGACAGTAATAAAAGTTTTCTTCTCGCAGATTCAGACAGACTTCCGCCGCATTAGAGCTTCACTTGGAAAATCTTGTTGCCCGAAATGGAGCGGTCAATGGAGAGAATGAATAGATATCCCAACATAAGCTCACACGGTGACCCTTCTCTGAGAAGGACGCCAATCTCCAGCCATTCAGCTCAGGTCACTGGTAAGAGCTCGGATGGGGAAGGAGGAGCATGCTTTTACGGGGAATTTGCATGTCTTCTAGTTACCATTGGCTATGGCTAAAGAAAAAGAACGATGCCGCCGCGTGACGAAACTTTCTTCCAGCAGTGTACAGCAGGTCTAATTCACTACACCGTGTAATCCCCGTGATCCGTCCTCATCTTCAGAGCTGCAGAGTTCTTCGTCATCATCATCCTCTTCCTCGGCGTCATCCTCCTCGTCACCATCTTCCGATGAGCCCTCCCTCACGAACTCCGCTGCGGCGACGCCGTCGGTCTTCCTCGTCCTGCGTCTGTCGCCATGGCCGGGCGCCGTGGCGGCGTCCATCGCCGCGCTCTGCCGCATGAGGTGGATGTACTGAAACCTCAGCCCCATCAGAGGGTGCTTCTCCACGAGCAGGTCCCTCTTGTATCCCTCTCGGAGTAGAATGGTGTGCGCCTTGATCTTGTTGGACTGGTAGAAGATCCCCGGGTGGTGAACGAGTGCCCTCTTGAAACCTGGCCTCAGGCCCACGCACTCCCCCAGCAGGAGTAGATCATCGCGCTCTGCCTTCTTCCCCACGAGCAGATGGAGGAGCTCGTGGAGCACCCCCACCGTCCACTTCTCCGCCAAGTCGCTGGCAGGGTTCACGCAGCGGCCGGCGTCCTCGTAGGGGGAGAGGTAAGGGAGCCGCTGCCAGTCCTCCACCCACCGCCGGACCTTCTTCTCCAGATCGAACCCTCGGGGAAACTGCATGGGAAAGGACAGGGGATCCCCCTTCCTGTACCCACCCGTCTTCATGGCCTGCCGCTCCATGGACGACACTGCGAGCTCCTTGTTCCAGCAAACCAGCTCCAGATCGAGCGACCCACTTCCTCTTCCGCCGCCGCCGCCGCCGACGATCTGGAAGTAGTCGGGATACTCGGGGAGGAGGGAGCGGGCGTAGTCATGGGGAAGGCCCAGGTCCCAGCGGAGGCGGTCGATTACGGAGAGGGAGAGGCGCTTGAAGGGGGTGAGCATGAGGAGCCTCAGGAGGCGATCGGCCGTCTCTCCACGGCAGGACTGGTAGACGAGCTGCTCCTCCTCGTGGATGCGGATGAGCTCCGGCGTGGGGAGAATGTGGGGTCGCCGGAAAGCTTCCGACGATGGGGCGGCGGCCTGCTCGAGGAAAGCAGATGGGTACTTGCGGATGAAGCGAATTGCGCGGAAGGGGAGGCGGAGCTCGTCGCTGCGCTCGGCTATGGCGGAAAGGAGGAGAGATGAGGGGATGGGGGACCCTTCCAGGGAAGGGTTGAGAAGCAGGTTCTTCAGGGCGTGTAGCGGGCGAAGGTGCTTCTCCTTCTCTACGGCGTGATCGAGCCCTCGGTCTCGAACCCATTTCACCTTTGCATCCACGAAGGGCGCCGCCCGTAGGTCGCGGCAGGGTGGCGGGGCACGAAAGCCACCGCGGCGGCGACGAAGATGCCGAAGCAGGAGCATCCTCTCCGCCACCGGCGTCAAGTTTGGGGGCTTCTTTTCCAAGGGAATCCGCGTTCCACACCATTACAGAATAGGTCAGGGTTCCGCCCCCCGACTAAAAAATTAAATAGTTTAGAATTTCCCAATTGAAATCGAAGTTGAAATTAAAATGAGATTATGCATAAGTAATATAGAGAGGGTTTCATTTCTCTCTCAGATCCTCTATCGAAGGCCCCCCAAATCCTCTCTCTCTCTCTCTCTCTCTCTCTCTCTCTCTTTGTGAGTAGGTGGGTACACGAAAAGGGTTCCATTTGATTAATCTCTGGCTGAATCTTGGGAAAAGATAGAGAGCCATGTTCACGAAAAGGGTTTCTCCGGTGAGGAGTGCGATCCAGTTTCAGATCTTGGCGTATTGAGACGGTAGAAGAAGGGCGAGCTTCTGATTCCCCGTGGGTTCCTCTCGTCGGGGGACCATCCCGATTGACCGCCAGCAGGCTTTCCTGGAGACGGTGTTGACTTTGAATCCCAAGAGCTTAATTCCCAGGGGGCGATGGCGCAGCCATGGCGGGCATCAGATCCGACTCGAGACCCAGGATCCAAATGAGGGGAAGAAGTGGAGAAAAGATCAAGCTAACGTTGCCTTGACTGGGATTAATTCAAGTTTCAAATGCCATTTCCTTCCTAGGATTATATTCCCACGTTCAGACATACGCTGGCGACCCCTCCAACCAGCCTAGAGCATGCGACCATCTAGAACATTCAGACCCATCATCAACCTCGTCATGTTCTTGGGGGATCACGAAATGTCTTTCTCTCGCACGCGTGCACAGACTTATCTTGATATATATATATATATAGATATATATATATATTTGGTGGTGAGAGAGTAATTGCCCAGCTTTCCGATGTCTTGTCGCCTTCAGTGTACAGGGTTAGAAAGTCCATTACGAGTGACCTGGGCCAGCCTTGGCCACTTTAAGGGAGACGGGCCGACAGCGGACGCTTTTTATCCTCTCGTCGCCACCCAACTCCGGGGGCCACAGGGGCTAGGAAAGGTCTCCGCCGTCGTAGGGCTCTACGACCCAGCTACTGTAGCGATAGAAGTCACGAGGTCAAACTGGAGCGGTTGACTTGACTTTTCTGGTCAAGCGACAACTCGCCGGCGCAGGATCCGGGAGGTGGTCTGGGGGGACATCCACGTGGGCTGCTCGTCCGCCAGAACAGACCCTGGTTCCTGTGGGCAGGCTACGCACTGCGGCGCCGCGCCGCCCCGTGAAGGAGGCCCGGGCCGTCCCCATTCGGGAAACAGGAAAGTAACTTATTCTTATTCTCCATCGGGACCGAAAGGGGAATAATGTTTGATCTTTTCTTCCTTTCGGACTATCAAATTTTTTTCTTTAAGTTGACACTGCCTGCAGCGTCTGGGGTCCAGCGCCATTTGCTTGTAAGAGTTGACGCACATTATGATATTTTCCCTAACCGTCAAATCTCGTTTTATGTGAACATATTGCATGCCATACTTGTGCAAATATTTTGTTCAATTTATTATTTTTTGTATCAATCTATTTATGATAAATTTCACGGCAGAACTTTTATCCTTTGTTTTGAATATCTTATCGAATGACCTAGAGTTTAGCCTTAAAAGGAATATGATGTTTTATATCTCATGCTTCCACCTAAGCTATCATTGTCATTATGGGGATACTTGTTCTTTCTTGATTTATTTACCCTCTATTTTTCACCAAAATATTTTCACATCCGTTCATTTAAGTAACTTTCAGACGTGTTGAAACTAAAATGAGATTATGCATAATTAATATGGCCATCTTTGTTCAGCTAATAGACTTTTTTAGATTCTACTTGAACCTTGTGGAAGAGATATATTATGCTTATTTTCTAGCAGAGTGTATTACACTTTTTTTGCCTAAGGTATGACTTTTGATAGACAATTGATGCTGTTGTGTTCCGAAATTTTAGTTAATATGAAAATTTGAAAAGTTTACCATAGTTGAATATCAGATGTATTGTAGTTGAACTCTTGAAACTTTACTGTAGTTGAGATCATTGTTGGTCTATCGAATGTCATAATCTTATGTTGTTCCCATATTTCTTTGCTTCTCCATCTCTCAATAAAGTTCCTTAAAACTGATTATAATCATTTGATTCTTAGTAAGTGGAGATCCTTGATCTTTGTCATGAGAGATATTTTAATCCTGCACGACACTTGCATTACCAAATACCTCATTTGCCATCCTATTCCTATTGGCACTAGTCTTGAAATTTTATCATAGCAGGATTTATGTGTCATGTTCCTATGTAGGCGTCAATTTTCTTATTCTCCTCATCTATTTTGAAACATGTCAACTAATTATTTCTCATGTTTTTATTACTTTTTTAGTTAATTTATCTAATGATCAATTAAAAAATGTCATTTAATTAGAGATCTTGTTCACAAAAGTGTTAGCAACCCTTTTTGAAAGTGTCATTAAAACATCAACCCTAATGATTTTTGTGAAAAAATACTTTCTGTAATCATCATCCATCCTACTATTGCGAGCGAGAGTATGTAATTAATAAAACTAAAATGGCTCCATGAAAGATACACATCATTGCTCATTTTTATAGAGTCTGAGGAAAAGTATCATATTAATTATTAAAAAATCTATCTATTTGTTGCTCACATGATATTTATAAGGATTACTAGTGACATTATAATGGTAAAATAAATGCTTATGAGTAAAATGAATGTAGGAAGGTTTTCCCTTTTAACTATTATAGAAGAGGTGAAGGTAAGTTGTCTTCCTTATATCTATTAGCCTTTTGTGATTATTCATTAGTATATTGTTTGTATGATGGGTTCTGTAATTGTTATAATTATGAAGTTGACGAAATACATAGAAAGGTAAAATAATAATTTTATAATACTAAAATTATAATGAGAGCCTATAAAAATGTTGAAAAAATATTTTTATAACCCTTAAAAATGTCCTATGTAATTTAAAGACTTATTCTAAAACTTAGCATGACTATTTTTAAGAAGGGAGTAATCTCATGACTCCACTTAGTGAGGTGAATTTTAGACTTACATATAGAAAGAACTTTGAATCATTATATATTATTCCTACATCAATAATATTACGTCCTAATTCATGAGATAATTCTTTATTGCTTTGGACTTGCAAGTTTTCTCTATTCATTTGTTTGTATGAAGTAAGTTGACTCACTTAGTACAAAAAATGGCCTAGTTAGTATTATGCAAGTCTATTTGTCATACATAAAGAAAGCTTAAATCTTTAGTGATTAATAAAGTGAGTTAACTCATCTACTAGGAAAAGATGCAAATCAATTATGAGAAGTTATCACTCAACACTATGAGTTGACGCACCTAGCAATAATCTCTCAAGTTTGAGAATATTACATATAAATTTAAATTGATAATATTATAATATATTTTTTGAATATTGACAAGACCTTTGTCTGCATTGTGAAGGTTCTTATCTAACATTTAGAGGTGTCTTTAAATCCTAAGGATACATTTTTTTATTTTTTACTTGTAGAAAATGTGTCAAATAATGAGTCAACTCATATGGAAAGAAGTTAGTGGGTAGGGAAACACTATAAGATAAAATAGAAACAGGAAAATCTATTTTGGTACTTGCAAATAGTAGTTGGGGTGATTGTTTATTATTTTTTTTATCATTAAAGACTCAAAAATCATGGGAAAAATATCCGTTTGTGATGATTTACCTCCCCAACATCCCAAATGAATCACCACTCTAGGAAATCAATTTGTACATTTTCTCTTAATCATTCAAGCAACTCATCTTAAAAAAGGCTTATGCACCCTCAGGACAACTAATTCACATGAATACATAGATGTGTAAATTAACACAATTTGAAGTTATACTCCAAATATTATTGTACTTTAGTTTTAGAAACTCATACCAACTTAATGTTATTCTATAAGAGATTGGTTATGCACTAATACAACTGTCCTTCTTGAGCTATAAATCTAGAATAAGTCTTTTTGAACAAAATACAAGATTTTGTAGAACTGTGAAAGATATGTGAAACCTTTGTGTTTAGTAAATGTACTAGCTAGAGTTAGTGAAAGTTATAGGGAACTAAAATTCAGCTAGATGTACAAAAAAAGTGCAATTCACTCTCCCACTTGGTTCCTCTTACATCTTCCTCAAAACTAATAGTTTACTACATGTAAAGAAAAAACTCTATGCATCCCTTGATTGGTTTAATGAGATGAAAAAGATACATTTTTTATCATACTTATATTGGTTTCATGCAACTCATAAATCTTTGTAGAGGCACTTAGCTTCACTTGTACTGTTGTTACCATATGGACAATCTATTAGTATCATGTTTCACAGAATAAGCAAAATTACAGCAAAAAATTGAACTACTTAAATGTTTTACTAGTATATAGCCTTAAGGTAGTTTCTAAGAAGAAAATGATGAATGTTTGAAGGAATCATAGTTTTTTCAATTGAGTAATAAGAAATCTTATGAAAGTTAATTTGAGGTTCAAACTTACAAAAAATCTCATTTTTGTAGATGGTGCAAAATATTAATGTCATGTCATCAATCATGTATAGCTCAAGACTGGTATAGAATGGCTTTCTAATATTAATGCACAATGAAATTCATTAGATCTTTAATACTTTTGGTTTCATTCTAACAAGACTCATGTATAATCATGAGCATCCTCTCATGTGAAATAACTTAGGAATTTAATTGATTAAATTTTTTCTTGTAGATAAGTCATACATCCATATTATAAATACTATCTAGATTTACAAATTACCAATCAAAAGTATTGAAGTAAAAATATTTACATTAATAATAGAGACAACTAATTTATTTGGTTTTTTTAGACTATTCTATCTACTTTCCTTATCACCTTGTTATTATCAACGTTGCTAATAAAAATTTTATTGACGTTGTGTCACATTCACTTAATGCACACAAAATGTCGAGTTGATTCTTTATAGAAATTAAAAGGGATAAAGACTTCTAGTGAAGGAAATAGAAACACTAGAGAGATAAATAGTTGCAGTAATAGCTATTGTACAAAAAAATATTTTCATGACCAGTAGCAAATAAAGTATTTCCATGGGGACAAAAAAAGTGACAAGTATACACTCTTCCTACAGATAAAGGTTATAATGGATACAATAAGCATTGTAAAGATAAATTCTTGAGACTCTAAACACAATAAGAACTGCTTACTAATCTCATTATATGACATAATAATTAGGAATCAGCATAAGTTATATAATTCATCCAGCCAACCAATGTAAAGTTGTGTAGTGTTAGATGTTAAAGACAATAAGCTTTTTTATATATCTTATGGAAGAATGTGTTTCTCCCAAATTCTACATGAATTTCATATATGAAAGAGAGATAGTTTGAACATTTTGTAATTCATTTCATCTTATTAACCCCAAAAAGTCAGCTAAATTCATCATTAATTTAATTCAGTTAGGAATTGAGTAACTATCTTTTTTTTAATACGACTGATGTTTCTCTTCACGGTGGAGTAATCCATAATAGGTAAATATAAAAGAAGATAATAGTGTGTTAAGGCCTCCCTTTATGTTTAATTGACTAAGGAAGAGTGAGATAACTCCAAATGGGGAATTTTTTGGCGTCTACTATTTTTTCATTACTTAAAACTAATGTGGAAGATGTACATATATTTAAGAAGTTTAAGGTTTATGACATTTAAAATAAGCTTATCTTGTTCAACAATGTTATTGTAAATTTTTCTTGAATCGTCGTTTGTATTCATATATTTATTTTTTTCCCTTATTAGTTATCAACATTATGAAAATTCAACCTTCGACACTATTCAATGAAGAAAGGTAACAAGTGGTTCCTTAGAATGAGCTATATCTGATGTTGATGTCGACTTGTATTGAGCAATTATGCATTACATGTGTTGGCGAAAAGGTTGGGAAACACTAGGATATGAAGGCAAAATTCAGATTATAGTTGTAGTGTGGAGTCCCTATTGATGTCGTTGTCAGCGTGGACTTGAAAATAAGGAAGAACCCTAGTATCCCTGTCATGTTTCTTCAATAATCACAATATTGGTGGGGAGAGAGAATGCGTGTGTGTGTGTGAGTGAGAGACAGAGAGTTTAAAAAGATTGCCAGTGTTTGTCGCCGGATCTTTAATAATTTCGGGAAAATGAAACCAAATAACAACGAGTTAAAGACCAAACGGACGGCCACCCACCCCGTCGTTGTTATATAGTGGCCTGTTTTGCTATTCTATCATGTAGAAAAAGTTCATGCCCCTGGGCTAGGCTGCGATGGCCGTGGCAAATGTTGACGGTTTACTTGACTGTTTGGCGCATATGCAAGGAATCAGCTTGCGATCAGCGCCCACAGATAACACCTGCAGACGGCGGAATAACCTTGAGAGAGAGGGAGAAAGAGAGAGAGCGAGAGCGAGAGAGAGAGAGAGAGAGAGAGAGAGAGAGAGAGAGAGAGAGAGAGAGAGAGAGAGAGAGAGAGAGAGAGAGAGAGAGAGTATAAAAATCAGCTGGCTGAGCTAGGGGGAAATTAATCACATATCTGACATAACCAAAGAACAAAGAAGGAAAGAATAACGAATCCGGTTGAACCTCTCCCCAAGGAAGCCGTAAATATGGCCCCTGGAAAGATCTGAATATGACCCCTTTTGTCTGCCCCCAAAATACGGGCGTTAGTAAGAAAGCCTCCTCTGAAGACCTCGTCGAAGCATCCGACAGGTGAATCTCATCCAGGGAATACCATTCGGGTGAAAGGTCTCTCTCACGCCTGCGAGTCCAGGTCGCAGGAGCTGATGAAGGTCCCATGGAAGCCGTACGGAACCCTGGAAGGTAGCTTGATGGAGGCCTCCAACAGCATGTCCGTGGCGTTGACGATGAGCAGCTTCGACTCCCCCGTCTCCTCGTCGTGCATGAAAGTGAGGATGTACCCGTCGTCTTCTCTAGCAGGCTTTGAGGAGCTCTCTATGCGCGGCACGAAGCAGGGCTCGCTGCCGTAGCGACCTTCGCCGTAGATGAACTTGCGCACTTCCCCGGACTCGAGGTCAACCTTGGCAAACCCGGAGACCTTGGGCCACGGCTCGGCGATGGAAAGGTAGGCGTATTTCGTCTTCCTTCCCAGCTTGTTTCTGTTGACCATCCCGGCTTCTAGGTTCATCTTCTTCTCCGACGGCGGAATGATGGGGCGTCGCGTGGATTTGCCGGATGCCGGGTCGAGTCTGATCTCCGTGAGGACGCTGCTCAGGCTCTCAGCACTCTCGTTGAACACCGAGTCCGGGGGAGTCATGCAGGAGCCGATGACGACGATCTCGCCGGTGGTTGGCTCCTCCCAAGCGTTCCACACGTGGAAGCAGAAGCACTCAGGAACCTCAACCCATTTCAGTTCGGACGCATCTGTGGCGTACTTGGGGAGGACGCCGAAGCGGGAGGTCTTGTTCTTGTCGAAGACAACTGGGGAGCCTCCGCGGAGCATCTCCTGCATTTTGAAGACGATCTGCTGATCGGGAATCACGACAAAGTTCTCGGTAATGGCGAAGTCGTGGATCATCGTCGGCTGATCCAGGGGTATCTCCAAATCTGTGGACATCTGGCCGTCGGAAGAGAGCCAGAAGTAACGGAGATAGGGTCTTCGGAGGACGTCGTAGCTGAGTGCAAAAAGCTCCCGGGAGACAGGGTCGACCTTGGGGTGGGCGATCATGGGGTACTTGAGCTGGCCCCCAAAGTCGTACCTGCCGACGGTTTCGAGGTCTCCGGAAGCTTTCACTTGGATGTGGTAGGGGAGATCGTCTTCCGACATGGCCAAAAGGCGGTTGTTGAAGTAGACAAGGCCAGCGTTGGCAACGCCCATTCCGCGGCTGTGGTCGATGAGCCCGAAGAGGCCGCGGGTGTAAAAGAGGAGAAGGCGGGCAATGCCCGAGTGCCCGTGGAGCTCCCCAATGGCCTTGGGGAAGACCGGCCTCCCGATGGCGCGCTCCTGCATAAGGCGTTCGGTCTCTGTGAACCGGCAGGCGTAGCTGGCGTTGCCATTGCGCATGGTGACGGCATGTACCATGCCGTCGCCGTCGAAGAGGTGATGCCCCGCAACAGGTTCGAAGAGCGGGTTTGCGCCGTTCCGGACGTAGACTCCACTGATGAAAGGGGGAATGCGCCCTTCCACTGGGAGGTTGTGGCGGACGGGCAGCTCACATACGGGGGCGAAGTTGCCAGATATCTGGACTGCAGGGTCCGTGGTCTTTGGGAGGGCATGCTGCGCCTCCAGCATGCCGCGTATGAAGACATCCTCGCAGGTGTCCAGAGCGGCGGACGCGACCTGCTGAGCGAGGTTCCACTTGGGACTCGCTTGCCGGCGCTGGCGAGCAAAGGCAGCCTTTGGACTCTTGCAGGGGGAATCGGTGGTTGCGGGTTTCAAAGGAAGGGTGATCGGCTGGTAGGGAGAAGGAGAGGGGCTCCCCGGCGGAACGAAGGCTGGAGTGTTCACCGTCCCGGAAACACAGCGGATAGAGGTGGAAATTTTTGATGGCCTCCTTCGCAGATTTAAGGTTGGCTGCGAGCAACTCGGTCGATCAAGCGGAGTATCGAGGTTGTAGCGGAGATCGTGCAATTCGATCCTGCAGTTGGTTTTGGCTCCTAAATTCGTGAATCCTGCAGCAACAGCGGCCATGGCAGCTCAAGTAGGGAGAAACGATCTCTCCGTTAAGGTATGGGAGGAGGGAAGCTGAGAGGCTGAGGCTGAGGCTGAGGTTGGCAGGAAGGCTGGAGAGAGCTGATCTGGGGCGTGGTTGATGATGTCGTTCGAAGCGTGGCGGTTGGGTGTATTTATAAGAAGTGGGAGAGATGTCCCAGAGTCTCGGATGCTGTGGGGTTGTGCAAGATCTCCTAACTTTGATTTTGTATAGACGAAAAATCTCACCAGGAAGCCGCCGGGAAAAGCCCACGTGGTTGACCGTGCGGGGGAAAGATCGGATTGACTGGATTATTTACGTTGTTTCTCATTCGAAGTTTTCTTGGACCCCAACCAAGAAAAAAACTGAACGGCAGAAATTCCGAGTCATACTTGCGTGGGTGACGGGCTCGCCGGCGGTGGCTGCAATTCCGGTCGCCCAATCGTCACGAAGAAGCTTCCCTGTGTAAGTCCTCTCCGGGAGGGGTCGAACTATTCGGTTACGAAATCTTCCATTGCGGATATCGTTTTCCCATAACGTGTCCTCCTGCGGGAGGCGGGAGAAGCAGGAAAAACGCTCTCCGAGACACCGATTATGATATTTGTTTAGAGCGCGTTTTAGTTAAATACTCGCCACGCATTCCGTATGATCCTTAAGTTATGATATCCAAGAGGGAGGCTATCCATATCCTAGGCCCGCCGACCGGCCTCATTGCCGTATGTCTCTTCGTCTGCCAAGCAGGGGGGCGACGGAAGCCCTTTTCTAATTGATGGGCATTGAATAGTTTGCAGAGGATCGTCCCCGGTCCGCCTGTTTCTTCAGGAAGTAATCTGTGCTCCCCGCATTGTTTTCATAATGTTCTTCCGACAATCTCCTGTTTTCTTTTTTCCGCCTTCGGTGCGCCGCCACTTCATCCCGCGGGACGTACTCCTCTTCCCCCTCCTCTCTCTCTCTCTCTCTCTCTCTCTCACCACACTGTTTTATATGTTGGTGAAAACCAATGGCGACTCAGGCGACCTCCAGCCTGGGCTCTCCCCAGCGAGGAGTGGCGTATGGCGAGTGGAGCATACACGCGTCAGTCTCTCAGCGCAACACCATAAGCGGATTATCTTTCCCCTTGTCATCAGCGGATCAAATTCTAAATTTTGCCTTGTTGTTATAATAATACCGACACCACTGCCGTGATCCACGGGTTCCAGGGTCTTTAAGATTAGACAAGTGTCGGCTTTGCCTCTGGCAACAGAGGAGGGAGGGAGATTCTTCCTATACCTCTTCTTTTTAACCCTTTCTTGTTCTCCGGGCCCCATCCGGTCTATCGCGAGCTCCAAGTGGCAGGCAAGGTTCTCCAATCGACTTCTAACAGCTGTATAAGTCCTTGTCAACGATACTTTATCATGGGAAGTGGGCCATAATTTACAGCTTACTATCTAATTGTCGTCACGGATGACCCCGGAACGAATGAGACATGGGAACAACGCTGACTTTTTAGATCTAAGGAAGATCACCTTTGAGCAACTCGGATTTGACCCCCGGCAACCGCCGTTTCGAGCAAACCGAGCCCTTGCTGGCCCATGTGGACTCGCTAAGTCGGATCAGTGAGGCCGTCCTCCTACTTGGCCTTGCATCAAGCTGGTAAGAGTCAGCCCTCGAGCTTAAAAGACACAGAGTTTGCCCTCCAGTCTGTCCAGTAGGCCATCCTTTTAGCTTCCAAGTGTACAGACGACAATTTCGCCATGATCTGCTCACACATTTTGCTCAGATACTATCCAAGTGTTGAGCAACCTGATCTTTACAGGTAGGTCGGGTGTAAGGAGCCGGTCCCTACCGATTCGTTGGATGAATGAAGGTTTGAGAGTATTGACTGCGGGGAAGGGACGAGTAGCATCAGTAGCCAGTAGGGTCTGAAGGAAAATCCAACTCCGTAGGTATGCTTCGTGAGAGGCATCTCTCCGTTCTCCATCCACTATCTGCCCTCTCTCTCTCTCTCTCTCTCTCTCTCGTTTTGATTGGGTTTCCGGCTTCAGCACATAGGAAGGTAATGTACAATACTGTTGGTTCATAGAACAAGCTGGGCCACAATTGGTTTGGTGGGCCTCGGTCTGACGGCAACGGCGAGAAATTTGACTGCCCCCAGGCGGCGAAGGTGGTGATGGACTTGCTGACGGTTGTTCGCTCCCCCGTGGACCGGGGGAAAGTTCTTCTCGTTGACTGATTCCCTCGCGGTTTGCGCATTGAATCGACACGTCTATGGCTAGAAGGGTAACGGTATCTTGGAACAGTGAAAGATTCCAAGTGGATGGCGGCGGAATTTTGGTCAAGCGGGAACGACCGGTGAAGGTTGACGGGATGATGCATCCTAAGAGTCTCCAGATCAACGACACCCTTTCATGCGGTGCTCACTGTGGTAGGCGGGTTTCACTTCGAGAACTTTTTCTTTTCCTGCCATACATTAGACTGCACCCTGAACGCTTGTCCTTGGCTGAACGTTTAAAGATAGAATGGGCGTCAGATGTGAGGAGATTGGCTGTGATCTCATTTCGGTCCTCCCCTGCGCTGTTACCATCTCTGATATTGCCTTAGAGACGTGGATAGATAGGGATATACAAAGGCGGACATCATGACTACCATGGGGGTTAAGCTCTTGATCACATTGTTTTTCCATTCTTACATGGTCATAGGATTGACTTCCCTCCCCCAAACGGCTCGGTAAGCTACACCTTGACCGTGACCGAAGGTTGACCGCTTGTCTCTCTCAAATTTGTTTGAGCGTGAACCCTAAATTAACCGAGTCCATGGTCCTTCAAGTTTTCTCATTCGTCAAAACTGTAAGGTAGGGGCTGCGGTCCAAGCCGTCATCATCGGTTGACCGCAATCTTTGTTGACATCCGGCTACATTTCTTGCCTCGGACGTGACCATGTCAAGTGTATGGTGAAACTGACACGAGTGACGTGTTCGAACGGGGAATAGTCGTATTACCTTGCTCCCTTCAGAAAGCTACAGAATCGGGCTAGAACGAGATCTTTTTCTTGTCTGATAAGCTGGTTCAGGTTGCTCATTAAAAACCATGAGCACTAGGTTGCGTCCCCCACCCCTTCTCCTTATTTCTCTTTCTCTCTCTCTCTCCCTCTCCCTCTCTCCCTGTCTGTCTCTCTCTCTCTCACACACACGCACACACACTGTATTTACGTTCTAGAAGTGAAATGGTCGATGTTTGCGTCCGTTAGTTGTACTCACCTGTTGAAGACGTGCCGCTGCCTTGAAGCAAACTAGAGAAAATGAAATAAATGATGTTGACAACTATTACCGACAACTATGTTAACAAATCCACTTTGGAATGGAAACGATAACAAATAAGACAAACCCGAGCTATCCATTTAGATGAATAAGTCTATCACTCAAAAACCATCAACATTTACAACAAAGGAAATCATAAAGACTGATGACATCGAAGTAGATTCATATCCAGTTTATAGCTGCCTTGGGATATCTTAGTGACAAAGGATGAACCATGACTTTCAAACCAATTTTTTTTACTGAAAATAACATACAAAATTGTTACAAACCATGACTTTATCCATTTGAATTATCTGCAACTGCATTGGACAAGAATAATATGACCTTATACTCCTTTGAACATTATATCTCATACAAATAATTTCTTTAATACTAGTGATAAGGTTTTTGTCAGCAATCTTTTGAGAAGATGAAGAACTAAGCTCAATCTCCTGAAACTTTTAACATTTGGTCTACTGTTTGTATTTTACATTTGAGTACCTCTTCCTTTGATTTTGTTTGGAAGTGATAAGATAAACTTATATCATAATAATGTAATCACACTTATACACCATCAAGGAAGAAGCCTATGCACAACATTGGGTAAATCTATAACTCTCATCTCTTATTTTGTCACATAGCCTTAAGATGATTTCATGTCTACAAGGTTAGATGCCGTAGTGACAAATCAATGTGGCATTTATGATAGATTGACAAAGTAGAATAGATAGATGATTGATGGGACATGTGGAGGAGGTTTTATGAATAAGGACAAATGTGAAGCTTATCAATTGTATAAGATGCTTAGTGAGAATTTCACTGATCATGCATCATTTGCTATAGGGGAGACTAAGAAGAAAATAATCTATGAACTATGAGAGTACAATAATTCAAAGTTTAGATCAGAGATAGATAAAATCCAATAGCAATTAGAAAAGGTGAATATAGTTCAAGAAAAACTTGAACAACTTTTAGTTAATAATACATGTAACCCCTCACCCTATTCCTTAGCACAAAGTTATACACCCCACCCTCATTATTCGACATTATCCTCATCAACTCTCACTACACTACCTCATTATATGCCTCACCCTCATTATTCAACATTAGCTCTTCTCCAACCATCTTCAACATCATCACAACTTACCCTCCTTTATGCAACATATTCTAACTATGGTAATCCATCCAATTATGAGTCAGATTATTCTCATATAGAACGTTAACTTTTCTATAGACAGGATTAGGTACAAGCATCTTATAAACTCATAACCCCACACATGACCTGTACTCAAATACCTACAATCTTGGGTTGAGGAATCATCTTAACTTCTGATTAAAAAAATACAGAATCAACGGCCACTACCACAACTTGAACATCAATACTTGCAGCTTCAATTATCTAGCTTTAAACGACTTCATGTAAATTTATTTATGTAGTAGCACACAAAGAAAACCTAAGGTAATAATCAGATTCCAGAAATATTAATTCAGATAATGCTAATATCAACAAATTATATTGTAGTAGTGATCGTCTCTTAGTCATTGTATTCAGAGATGTAAAATTTAAGATTTAAAGATCTAAATTCACTTGAAAATAAATCAAGTAATCCTCTGAGGATAGTAAATGATGATAATTATTTTTTTCTCTAAATAAATCTAGATCTAAATAAAAAAATGAAAAGAAGAAGAAAAAAAGAAGCAGTAGTAAATTTGTTTTGTGCTCGA